ATTTACATGTCCCCAGCTGCATCGATGTCACACGCTGGATAGTTCGGCTCCTAGGCCAAATTCCAATGAGATTACATTTTAATATTCTGACTGAAATTTAGATGGGTTGTGGGAACTTATACTGAGCGGTATGGCGAGTGGATGCAGTGCGTACCTAACCCTTTCCGAGGGCTGTTGTATCGATGGTCACAAAGAACATACGTACCTGTACATACGTAAGTACTTACATATGTTCTTACATGACCTAGGCCGCACTCCTTACTTTGAAGACATGCAGCCTTTGTTCCGAGAACGAGTAATTTTGAATCAATTCTCCACCAAGTTATCTCGATCTAGACATAACTCGGGTGCACGGAAGAAGCCTGAAGACACTTTATGCCGACGAGAATTGCTGATACGAAAAACAAGAGGCTTTTTTTCTTTTCTAGTCTGCTAATGGGATCGAAGAGTTTGGGGGAAAATCAACGCAAACTTGCAAGCCCCATCGGATAGAGCAACCGAAGATGTGTCGACCTTGCGGGTGGGTTCCGGGATGCAGCGCGCGCGGAGTGGGCGGTTTTTTTGTAGTTCTGTGGTTCGGCCGGCGCCGGAAAAAGCTAAGTGGGCTGCCAGGCCTAAGTGCTGCGCCCCAGGGAAGCGCTCTTGGTGGGACGGACGGACCTCTGAAGTAACTGATTATCGGACAATCTGGCTAACTGAGGGGTCACATTCTCTCTACGGTTAACGGAAGCGCAGATGAGGAAGGGGGCAACCTCGTGTTTGTGAAATTGTGAACCTTAGTATTGCGATCCAAACTGCTGAAAACGAAGACTCGAGCAGGCCTTAACAACAATGATGCAATTGTAAAAGGAAATAGCAAGGGTTTGTATATTATTCGGCAACTTTGGTAAATAAAGCAGTATAAATCTAGAGATCAATCTTTGATGTCGGAATCATTGGCCGAAACAAATAGAGTCAAGATTGAAATGCTTATCCGGCAGAAAGCAAGGTCGATTCGCTGGGGTTTTTGCCGTCTCCGCCGGGCCCTCGCAGGGTTATGTGAGCAAGCATAGCAGAAAGTATCTACATAACGCCATTACCGTTTGGTCCCAGTTCCAAGGTCGATGTGGGGGCAGCGATCGCCTCAGGAGGGAGCAATTAAGCGATTCTCTTAAGATCGATCAAAAGCTCTCTTCCTCTCTCTCTCTTTTTTTTATGACACCACTATATAGATAGTGGTATATATCTGATCTGCGAACATGGTAGATTCACTGCACTTGCGGGTACGGACGATTATTGACTTATTACCCACGCTCTGTAATGAATTTGTTTCATGAAACGGATCGTGATAGGTACTTCGGAAGCAGCCGTGGCTTAAAAACTAAAGTGTCTGACCTTGCAGATTTCACGCCCCTCATTCGCCCGTCACATCCATTACAACTATGATCTTCGCATTCCTCGTTTACTCCGCGGCCGCATCCACGTTCCGCGTGATCTTTTGCCGTCGACCTTGAGCTCCACATGCTTTGCTCCTCAACCATCCAGTTATAGCTAACTATTGAGCTCAGACATCGTTTTTAGTCAGAGTGTTTGGGATTAAACGTGGTAAAATGGAAAGAAAAAAAAAACCTTGTGTTATACGCACAGTTCAGTACTTGGTATGCTTCTTGAGGCCGTTATATTGCATACACAGTATGTTCGGTGGAGTTCTTTAGGGATCTGGACAAATTAATTATGTAAAATTTCAAGGTCTTGACTGAGCAGCTCGGAGGACCATGGACGCCATAATCTTTAGTTGGGATGTAGAGATTGGGGTAGACCGAAATTCGGTTTGACATATGGGCCTTAACGGTCTCGACTTGAATTTCGTTGACGGAAGAGGAAGCTCTGTGGGTCTGTGCTCCCATAGTTCGAAGCATCGCCTCAACGCCTGGATACCCAGGTTAAATTTTTCATGGAGTCTTTGATTTCGGAAGTTGTAAAATTGCAAAAAAGCGGGCCAATTTGAAGCGCAGAGGAGGTAAGAGGCGAACAAATGTTGGTAATTAAGCCTCTCCTTGTAGCGGCCGAATTACTCGCATTTTTAATTTGGCTGCGCTGGAGTTACATATCCGCAATATATTGGAAGGTCTCAAGATATTGAAATTTCGAAATGGTTTGGGGTTTTCAGCCCTGTACACTTTCGTGCCCCAAGAGCGACCCTTGCAAGTGTTTACAGTGTGAAGCTGTTCTCATTTTTCGCCGCTTTATTATCTTGGTGTGTCAATTAGTAAGTATCACTCGTTACTTCAAGAGCCATTCGCGCGTGTCTTCCCTGACATGTCGACATGGAATTCTGCATGTAGTGCATGTCGGTACCCACACCTGGCACTTTCCGAGTCGAGGCTATCAAACCGTCGTTTCTTGGAAAGATGTTCATCATGCACCACAAAGCGCCGCCTGTTTCTGCTTGATGAGCTCGAGATTGGAATGTCAGAAAATCACGGATGATACGGCTCCAGGGTACGTGGAAGCATACGAGTTCAGCCAACCGCAGCAGACTTAGCGTTTCTTCGCACTGGAGATAGTGCAGAACTCCTTTCGAAAATGAACTGATGTAAAACGACGGCTGGTTGGGACAGAAAGATCCAGATTGGATTTTGAATCTAGGTTGTAATAGTCGGTCTAGTTCAGAATGTCAAAATTGCAACAAGTGGGTTTTAGGGAAATTTCAAGATTATCCCATGGACCCGAACCTTTTTTTTTTTTTTTCCCTCGCCTTCCCCTAGAACGTTGACTGGTGGGCGTCACAAGAGTCCTCGATTTTCGAGTAATCTTATTAAGTGTTCAGAAATCCGACACAGCCTTCCCACGCCCAGCGCTGCACGGATTGCCAGTTCCAGAAACAAGCTCGGTTGGAACCCCATCTTTTATCTGGGCGCCTTGACCTCGCCTTAGTCTTCCCCGGACCACCAACCGGTTTGATTCGATTGTGAGGATCGGATTCTACATACCCTTATCATACATCATAAGGTGTCCGTTTCCGCGGATTGGGGATAGGTGCATAATCGAATCTTCTTAGGAATGAGACTCGGGACTTCGATTTTGATTCAATTCCCTCGATATAATTTATCTACTTGAAGTAGTTAGCTTACTTGAGGGACAGAGGGACAGAGGTACAGAGGTACGGAGGTACAGCACATGTATATACTTGCATACATAAGCAAGTCTCTTCTAGAAGATTTACTGCGTATGATACTTACCTACTTCATACCCTGATTTTATTAGCCTCAAGGATATCCTCGGTCGGGGCGTCTTTCGAGTCGATAATCTGCACATCTACCTACATGCTTCATACATACATGCATTAAATACTGACATCGTCGATATCACCTCCATGTTTGCCCGTCTTGTCCTGTCCATTAACTACTCTGTAAATTTGCAACATAGCATACCAGTACTGTAGCTCTCTGGTGCCGGGTAATTAATTGCTTTTCTCATCTTGGTGGAGATTTTTACTCGTCCCATCTCACCGAGTCTGCAATATAGGTATGTAAGTACCTTTTGGCTTGTCGGCCCTGTATGTAAGGAAAAGTCAGTAAGTAAGTATTAGGTATGTATGCACGGCACTGCACTATATCCACCTGGGCTATCAAATTGCCTAGTACCTAGCTCCCTCCGTTCCTTTTTCTTTTCCGTAATTTCTTTTCCCAACCGAGCCGTATGTAACAAGCAAGGAAAACAGATTCGTTAGCCTCCACACCAGCAGGGTGAAAGTATAGTGAGAAGCAACTAAGGACGAAAGGTCAGACAAAGTAAGTAAGTCAGTAGGTGGGAGGTAGGTAGGTAACTTACATGCAGACATACATGCTTTGATGGTGCAGTGTTTGCGAAACGACGCCAGAAACTCAGAAGAGGCCAGCCCTGCCCTGCCCTTTTAACCCGGCCGACGGCCATTCTTCCCCCAACTCCATTTACCGCACAACCGCACTTGCGCCAGAACAACTTCTTTTCCCACCCACCTGCCTGCCTACCTGCCTGCCTACCTGCCTGCCTGCCTACCTGCCTGACTGCCTGCCCGCAAGACTTCTCCCCAGACTTCATACTTCATACGTACTGATCCGAACGACCGCAAAAAATCCCATCGAGCCCACGACTTTCTCTTTCGATTTTAATATAGAACCGCCTGCAGCCTGCTAGATTCCCTTTTATCGCCAGTAGCGACGGTATCAGAGGCCACTTCCTTATTGTGGATGACGACAGAGATGAGAAACACCTACTCTGCATCTTCACCTCGACGTCACATAGCAAAACTCCCCACCGAACATCCCTAACAACTATTATCATCGCATTGGCCCCTCTTCACCTCGAGCCAACATCGCATATTCACCCACCCCGAAATCTCCAAAGTATCCTCCCACGGGATACCAATATCTTGAAGCATTCCGACAACTTTTGGACATAAGGTCACACCACTTTGCATAGTCAATTCGTTTGACCTTAGCGTAATACTGGAGTTTCCGCAACAAGAAGACTAAGCTTTTCTACATATATCTGTCGTCGGGAAACTGGATCGCCACAAACAACATCCGTGATTGAATCCTTTTTTTCTTCTTCTCTGGCAGGTATCATTTTCAGCCTTCCTGTGTAGAGGCTGGAGATCGTAAAATCGACCTCGCCAGGTTCATTTTCATTTTGCCAGCGGACCGGTTCGCTTACGCATCTCGATGAATGGCCTAGCAAACGGGAAATTCAAGGGAGTCTTTGTTAAAATCCCTTGCTAGTCAGATCACGTTGTGTTGTGTGTCCCGGCACTTGAAGAGAGAGAGAGACGGAGAAAGAGAAAGAGAAAAGGAAAGAGACGACATTTTACCTTGATTTCAATTTCGACTTCGACAATTTTACTGAACCCGTGTTCGACTGGTCCAAGAGTCGGCGACAACGACAACGTTAAAAACCATAAGAAACAGGAGTAGGGTTAGAAAGGTCATTAGTGTTTTTCAGGGCTGGATCAGTCTCCAACTAAGAGCCCAATGGTCACCATGCGGGAAGTCCCTAGTCAGTTTGTGAACAGTCTAGCGCCGCCAACTCTACCTCCTCCCGCTATATCCCATTCCACGTCGGGGTCTCACTCCAGCATGCATTCTTTTGACTCCGGTTCTCCTAGGAGTCACCTATCGGGATCTAGTTCTGGCCATCATTCGAATGTCGCTCCCGTCAATAACACTTCCACCTCCGCTGGGTATGGCGGCTCAATACATTCGAATTCGGCCTCACCCGTGACCCATCGAGAGAGCCCTAATCTCTCGTATTCGCACCCTGCAACATTTGGGCCAAAGCGCGCCTACCGTCAGAGGAGGAAGGACCCTTCCTGTGATGCATGTAGGGAACGTAAAGTAAAGGTAGAAACTACCGCCTTTTAAAAATTCGCATATTTAATGGAGATGCTTACCTTATCTCGACTAGTGTGATGCTACCGATACTACTAGCTGCTCAGAATGTTCTTCACGGAGCGTGAAATGCCAATTTACAAAAGAAACAAATAGAAGGATGTCTTCTATAAAGTAAGCTGCCGAACCACCTCGCCTTTGGGAAATACGCGCTAACAAAACAACATTTATAAGGCAAGTGCAGGATCTTGAGAAGCAATTGGCTCAAGCGAAGGCTCAGATTCAATATCTGAAGACAGCCTCAAGGAATAACTCAGCAGAGTCCGCTTCTGAGATAAATCTAAATATTCCAGAGCTTGGGGCTGAACCGCCAAAAAGAACGCCACCACCACCAAATCCTAACCTAGCTAGCATCCGGTCTCACCTAAGAGACTATTGTCGCGGTGTATATCGACCACCACCACCATATCGAATCAATGGACAGCAGAAGCAGTTTGACCCACCAATGCCGGAGCTGCCCCCGAGGCCCGTGGCTGACCATCTCTTGACTCAATTCAACGCCACAGTTCACAATGTGGTCCCAATACTGCACTGGCCGACATTTGCATCCGCATGCGAAGCGCTTTATCAACATGGGGATTTGTCAAAAGTTTCGCCTTCTTGGTTGTCAACATTTTTTGCTGTATTGTCTTGTGGTCTTCTATTTACCGCCGATGCTAATATCCTGGCAATGTACCCGGACCGTGGCAAGAGTTTCAGTATGATATCTCGGCAGTTGACGGATCTTTTCAATGATGAGTTTTCGATCGATCATGTTCGGGCAGCCTTGCTTATGGCTGTTTACCTCACGGAAATCAACTGCAAGAGCGCTGCTTGGACATGGCTTGGATCAACCGTCCGAATTGCGCAGGATATTGGGTTGCATAGAGAAACGGGGCCGTGGCCAGTGATAGAAGGCGAAATGAGGCGAAGGGTCTGGTGGGGTGTTTATGTTTGGGATAGGTATGTTCAGAAGGCCGGAAAACTCGAGATTAGGGAGAACTAACAGATGCGCTACCCAGGCTTCTATCTGTTGAGATGGGGAGACCCTTGATGATATTGGATGCCGATTGTGATGTTGGTTTGCCATGTCCGGTCGACGACCATTTTATTTATGACGAAGGGTTTATGGTACCAAATGGAGCACCGGAGCCAGCCAATTACCTCCTCACAATCATCCATGTCGTCCGATTAGTCCCAGCTTTGTTGAAAACATTGCAATCATCGACATTGTCACCACAAACCCTAGCAGCATTCGACAATCACTTTAACGCATGTCTCAATACCTTTCCATCCCATTGTCAGCTTCAAAGTTCGCAACCGTTGGACGCTCGGTCGCTATCACCTATTACGTATTTGCAGACAGCCCGACTTGTACTTCATCGACATAATCTTTCCCCGATTCAGGCGGCAGATGTTCGTTCCGCGGCAGTTTCAGCTTGCGTAGATATTGCAAAGGACACAGTCCGATTTTTATCACGATCTATGCAACCTCATTCGCACGCATGGTCTCACAGCCTGGCGGCTGCGGCTACGACTCACATCTGTCTCCATATTTGGCGCTGTATTCTTTTCCTGTGCTTCAGAGCTCAGTACAACGATGCACTAGTATGTGTCAATGCTTGTTCGGCCATAGGGGATGCGCGAATAATCAACCAAAGAACTGGGAGGTACATATATGGTTTTTTGAAGATGCTTGCGGAGAAAATCTATCAGGGTGGCCGAGAGAGCGTTGAAAGAGATGAAGGTTTATTGGCTCTCGTCTCAGCCGATGCCCAGGGAAGTGCGGAGTCTTCATGGGTGTGGGCTGGCAGTGAGACTGGTTTGGCTTTGAATTCCCCCATGGAGAAGGAAAGGGAGCGGGAGAATCCACGACCATCTTCTGCCCAAATGCAAATAGATGATGAAACCGACCTTGACGACTGGGGTGGTTGGAGCCAGGTCGAGCAAATCATCCAACAATTGAAGTCTGACCAGGAGGCAAGAGAACAGCACGAACAGGCGGCTCGAGACCTTCAAAGCCTCGGTTCTACGATTGTGCACCACACGAAGACCCCAAATTCCTCTTCCGGACCTAGCACCAGCGCTACACCGACGGGCCAGAGCAGCGCCACTTCTAGGATGACCATTGCGAACATAATCTAAATCATTCATGACATTCCTTGAAATCTTTAGCGACTATATCTTTTTTGCTTTATTTACGAATTTCCCGTGTCACGGGGTACCTCTCCAGCTAGCTCTTCGGCATGAAGTAGCCGAGGGAGCTAAGGTCAATGATCCATTCTCCACTTTGCATACATCGCGGCGCCCTACTGATGATATTCGTCCACGTACGATCTTGTTGCTCTCCCCAAATTTATTTATTTATTTTTTCTTCAAAATTTTTTTGACCATGTATTCTCTGTGTGAAACACATTTAACCGGGGAGTGCCTTCGGTGTCGCTGTTTTGCCTCTTCCTACTGCTTTTGATCTCCGCCCCGCATTCTTAACCGTCTACTGTCATTTACCGCCTCTAGCATGTTTATCTGTAAATCAGCTTCCTATTTTCCCATACAAAGATATTCTTTATTGATGATTGGAGTTTTTGAGCTTTATTCTGATCCTGGAGATTACCTCGTTGGTGGTGCCTATTCGCTGAATGTTTGTACAACCCTCGTTTTCCTCGTCTTGGCCCAACGAATGTCGCATGTGCATCAGACACCTGCCATGACGGCCTTGGAAGGCCGCCCTGCCTTCTCATTTAGTCAGCTGGATTGAACCTGTTGCAGTCGCTTTATTTGAGCTCCCTGGTTTTTAGTGTTTCATCTTTTCTAACGACTATACTTATGTTCGATAGCTTGATTTCTGTTTACATAAAATCTATAAAGTTGGCTTCGGCATTCCTTCCGAGATTGAAACCTAATTGATCCTCCTATCTTCGTTCATTCCCTGGTGAATCGGATCCAAAACCATGATCGGTCTGAGGTTTCCTTTTGGTGGAGAAGGGCGCTTCTATTTCCTTTTTTTCGAGAGCTGAAAGGAAATCATTCATGTTCAACATGGCAAGGTTGTTGCACAGCCCCAATCCTCCCTCTTAGTACTTGCATCATTGCATAAGGTACCCACTCTAGACCTGAAGCAGATGACAACCAAATACCTCTAATACACCATGACCCGTGGGATTTTTTTTTATTTTTTTATTTTTTTGGTTTGATGCTGTCACATTTCTTGAGCAGGCTACAGCTAGCGTAAGTACTGGCCTTGCAAGAAGCTCTAAATTTCGGATCTGAGCCCTAAACTGTCACGACCTTCGTTGCGCTCGTGGCATCTTTTGAATCCATTCCTCTGTGAACCAGACGTCCCGATTGGCTGGGAAGAGGAGGGTATCGTCGACGCACATTTGACTTTTGACTCTCGCATCTTCTATCCGGATTGCACCCGAGCTAGTTACCTTCCGAGCTCTCCGGATTGTTTTTTCTTTCCTTTCATTCCTTCATTCCTTCTCTTTTCTCTTGACCTTCCCGCCCCTTCTTTTGGAATAGGATTGAATGACATGTGCTCACCCCCTTCGCGAGCTCGCTTTCTCGCCTCTTGGTAGACAAGGAAAGCTTAAATCGTTGAGTGTACATATGTGCAGTCTAGGATGGACTATATGTACCTAAGTACCTATGTACTCACTTTCTTACATTTCCCTGTATTGCTCAGGAACTGCATTACTAGCTGGCAGACATGCGGGCTCGAGTCGATTACTTAGAATAGGAGAGACCTAGAACTCCGATTTACAGAACCTTAAGCTGGATCGAACCCCACTACCTTATTTTGCTGCGACTTTCTGCTCGTTGTAGACGTAACAAAACTCGAGAATGGAGCTATGCACCCCAGTTTTCTACCCACCGTAGGATATATTAACCAAAGGTCTCTTAACAAACAAGTGTGCATAAAGCTCCCAGGCTAAATGCAGACAATCAAAGCCCGAATGCCCGCGTGCCATCCTGAATTTCCAACAAACTAGTTGTTATTTCTGGTAGAATTCAATAGAAACGAAGAGTTTTTTTTCCCTTTCTTGATATCAGAAAAAAAGAACGGCCCATCCATGCTGCTTTGCCCACAGACCTCCGGCCGGTATAAACGGACAGTAAAAACTGTGGCCAGCTCATATTTTCGGGTGGATTATTCCGCGGCCTTCGCAGAAACTGTTAATCCGGTCTTCCTCATGGCGATATTATAGCCTAGTTCCCTGCTGGTTCCCTCAATCTTTGCCTCTGGTATGTCACTAGCTATCAATTTTTTATGAAGGGATATCAAGACCAACCGGCTGATATTGTAATTGCCACACCTTTTGGACAACATCGTCTTCTTGTTTCAAGCAGGTTTGTTGGCTTTTTGAGCTTAAAAAGTTCGTATTCGAAAAAAGAACGGAAGCCTGTCCCCCGCATTGCAGCTTGCTTTGGGACCGGCATATCCATATTTCCTTTCATAATACGATTTGCTAAAGGATGACACAGTCTCAGGAACAACCTTCTTCTCTTTTCCCCCTCCCCTTTCATGGGACTATAGTGATGTAAAGGACCGCTCTACTACGGAAAACGGCTCGAGTTAAGGTCTCTTGCCGACTTGTCGTCACAAGAAATGACCTTTGATGCGGAACCAAAGGCATAAGTCATTCGGACATCGATCCCTTTCTTAGGTATTAAGGTTATTCTAGAAACTGTGAAATAGGAGGTCAAGTTAACGTAAGCTCCTTGGCCTTGGGCGATGGACCTCCGTCAGTTTAAACTTTTGGGCTAAGCGAATGCGTCTTATACCCGCTTGGGAACTGTACATCCGGGCAGTGCTTGCGTTTCGAGATTTCCAGCGATCTGTCTCCAATTTACAACCTCCTTTCGGCGTATCAGTCGACCCTCAAATTAATTCGACTTGATTTGAGCCGTGGAGAATTGGATTGATCGACATACATACACATACATATATCTGGAATTTGAGGCATTTTTTGCTTCTTTTTCTTCTTCCTCTCCTCCTCCTGCTTCTTAATTTTTTTTTCTGGTTTCTCTCCCTAATAATGCACTCATGACGGGGCTTGCTCAGTGGCTATGGCTCTCCGATTGGTTTGAAGTTGTTTGTAGCTTGGCCATTAAGGGTGGTGATGTTGATAATAACATATCCAGATATATCTTCAGATATCTTAGAAGTTGATCTGATCTTGTGTAGTTGCGTTGTGTGACCTGGCCCATCCCTGTACCACGTAGACTTGTTCCGGGCAGATCCTGAAACGTTCCCGGTAAAGTCTTGGCGCGATTCTTCAAACCGTCGCCAAACACACTCACATTAATTGCATGCAGCCGTTCGCGCGCCCTTCTCAAACACCTTCGGTCAAACATCGACAACGTCCAACTCCCCGACATCAAAGCTCTCTCCAAGCTAGAACACGATAGGACACGATAGGACACGATATCATATCATATCATATCATATCATATCATAGCCAAGCTCATAGGCCAAACACGGAGAGAAGGAAACTAAGCCTACATCCAAGCTCGCAGCGGACCCGGCAATCCACTGTGCCCTGGTTACGCTATAGCCTCCCACTTGCAGAAGCCGACACGCCTCGCTATCGGCCCGGGGGGCTATTTACTTGCAGCGGAAAGGGAAGAACCTTGATCCGACAATGGCACAACCTGCCGAGGAACCGCCGTTGGATGAAGTGTTATGGAGGATGCCGTGGTTTATTCAGCAATGGGGGCAGTTGAATAGCAACAATAGTATAATCTTCCTGACCCTTCTATGGCTCGCATATACACAAGCATAGCGGTTGGCTAATAATCACAAACCAACCGGGTGATATAGTTCTTCTGTACTTCTTCAATTCACCATTTTTCGACAGGTCTAGTAATAATTCGTCGTTATTCATGCAAACCCAGACGAATCCTTCATTAAACCACTTGGTACATAACCGTGCAGCCTTTGAGAGTCGGTTGAAGTCAATGATTGGCGTTGAATTCGTTGTCGCTGCCGAAGACCCGGCGAATGCTATGTGGGTTATTAAGAAGCAGATGCGGAGATCACCAACAGAAACACAGCTGCTGGATGTCTATTTCGTAGTCGGAGAGAATGTCTTCATGGCGCCAACAATGGAGAAGGTTATGACCGCTCGATTGGTGAGGCTAGTTCCTAAGAAATCAGAGAAAGCATTGTATTGAAGCTAATAGCTATGACCTCTATAGTTGACTGTTACATCAGACATCCTAAAGGCACAGGAGCTTTGTTCTTCTCTTGTTCATTTTTCTACAGAGGCTGGGTATACATATTTCCCACCACAGCCCTTACAACCTTCTCAAACGGCCTCTGCAAATGCATCCTTTTCGCTGTCCGGCAGTGTTCCTCCGCAATCATCTGCCCAGTCTAGCGTTCCACCACCACCACCTTCCACCCTTAGCAACGTGCCACCTTCATCTGTTGATGTCACCATCACAAAAGAGTCCATCAACATGCAATCTTCACTAGCAGCTAGTCTAAGATTTAGTACCGTACCGGGTGGCTATCTTGATGATAATCCAATTACGGATCCACAACAGCTTATGATGGGAAATAGTCAAAGTCAGGGCCACACCCATAGTCAGTCACAAAGTCAACCAAGCCTCAACAAGGAAAAGGCAGCTGCGAGGGAGGCGTTACCTCCAGTTAGCACTGCTGCAGCCGCTGCTGCAGCCGCTGTCGCGAAGGACAAGGGGAAGACTGTGTCACCGACTAGCCCAGCCTCCAAGAAAAGAAGAAAGAGTAAGGCAGCTGGACTCGGCCTCGGCCCATAGCAAGTGTCGAAGCGTCGGAATGTCAGTGCGCCAATGTGACTTAGCGTCCCTGTTTTTCGCTTTTTCATCCCTTTCAACTGTTTCGTCTTCTTTTTTTTCTTTAGGCATTTGTAGCAATACGCATATAAAGCTGATAGGTACTAACTAATGAAGTCCAATGAATTCGAACAAAAACATCTTGAATAAAAATGCCGCATTATCAGTCTTCTATGTTATGCCGCTTCCGTATCCATTGCAGCCCAGTATCTTAAGATTTGATTTAGATAATATGAACCGGCTCCTGTGCCAAAAAATCGATCCCAAATAGTGTTTGATTCGGGGTCAGCATCGGATACTGGACCTGACGATTCAGGCTCCGTCGAAGGTGCTACCGGATTATCATGAGACTTGTCTCGGCAATGAGCGTTGGCCTTAACGCAATTCAAACAAAGGTCGAAATCTCCACCGTCACAAGTCTCACATTTATAGTAGAGTTCACCCTTTTCCGGAATTCCTAGCTCGCAAGCGTCGCAAAACCTAGTAGACTTTTCATCAGACTTAGTATAGCCGTTGTGCATATGGGATATATCATTATCCGATAAGGATAACCCTCTGCGCCTCGCATTCTCGATGAGGAGCTCCGCTGTGTCGTGGTGTCCCTCTCTTTTTGCCCACCATAGAGGGCTCCTGCCGAAAACGTCGTCCTTAATTTCTAAGTCCACTCTTGCAGTTGCAAGAAGAACTCTGACAGTCTCTTTATGTCCACGTCTAGCTGCCACTGATAGCGGCGTCAAGTTGTAGTGATTTTTAGCGTCAACGTCGACTCTCTTATCAGCCAAAAATATTTTTAACATGTTATTGCGCCCTCTCGAGGCGGCACGAAATAGCGGTGTTCCGTTGTTATTATCCCGAGAATCGATGTCGGCACCGTTCTTTAGCAACAGCTTCACTACACCTTCAGTCCCTGAATAGGAAGCTATATTTAATGGTATACAGCCTGAATTGTCTCTGGAATTGACGTCAGCACCTCTATTCAGCAGTAGCTCTGCAATTTCGGTGTGTCCAAGTCCGGCAGCCCAAAATAAGGCGGTTCTGCCTTCTTTATCTCTAGCTTCGACTTCGGCGCCGCTGTCTAGCAACAGTGTAGTCATCATTATATTCTTTTGCAACACCGCCATCACCAGTGGCCCAATTTTTCTTTTTTTTTCTTGACAATTGATGCTGGCGCCCCTGTCTAACAATAGTTTTACTAGCCCCAGATGGTTGTACAGTGCAGCTGCGAGCAACGGGGTAACGCCGCCTTTAGTTTCCGGTATGTCAATATCAGCTCCATTTTCCAGTAATAGTTTCACTATTATTTCATGCCCGTGAACCACGGCTAAAAATAGTGGCGTGCAGCCCGAGCCACTCATCTCGTCGACTTGGGCACCGTGTTCCAATAAACTCTTGACTGTCATTTCATGTCCGTCCCTCGCAGCGTCGCACAGCGAAAGCGGATTAAGATTGTCCTTAGGGTTAAATTCAGCACCACTTTTCAACAGTAGCTCAACTACTGGACCTAGCCCCCTTTTAGCAGCCCGTGATAATGGTTTCTGTTTACTCCAGGAATCCTTAACGCCCGGTCTGGAGTTCTTTGGTATTTCGGCTGATGTTTCAGAATCAGATTGTATTTTCATTTTCGTGTGCCATCCTGTTGTAGTTTTTTGTATTTCCACAGATAACTCAAAATCGGACTTCCTTCCAGAGGTTGCATCAGTGCCAGCGAATAACTGATTTATTGTTTCTTCCGCTAGTATGTCCCATCGAAGCCGATGATGTTGCAAAAATGCAGGATTTCTTTTCCGCCCTGGACGATCTCGCTCAAAATCCATCGATAGAATTAGCGGTTCATGGAAGTCGTTGGGCGTATACTCATAGCCGGTTTCAGCTCGGTTTTCAATTAACAATCTGACAATCGCCTCTGAATTGCTTTCAATGGCTATTGCTAATGGTGTGCCTCCTTTCGCGGTTTCCATTTCTATATCAGCACCACGTTCCAATAGAATGGATGCAACTGCTTCATGCCCTTCCCAAGCTGCCCAATGCAGTGATGTCATTCCATAGGTATCCTTTGAGTCAACTTGGGCCCCACGATCAAGAATTTTCTCTACTATAGCCTCGTGTCCGTTCTTTGCAGCCCACAACAATGGGGTCCAACCAAATTTGTCCCCCGATTCGACCTCGGCACCTCTGTCAAGCAGTACTTCAACGACGTCTTCATTCCCATACCGTGAAGCAAGCAGTATTGGCGTCTGATGATGGCTGTCCTTAACATCAAGGCTACCGTCATATATTAGGAGGTCTACTATATTGCGGGCTCCAAAATAGGCCGCTAAGTGTAGTCCGGTAACCTGCTGTAAAGCACATAAATCGGAATCAGCTCCCTGGTGACCGGCTAGCACTACCTGAGCTGCTGCTTCCACACTGGGAGCAGAGGCAAGGAAGCTTTCGATAGACTCGGGTAGCTCCGAGATCTTGCTAGCATGGTATCCCCAATTGTGTGCAGCATAGTCGTAGAGTGGGTTTGATTTCAGTCGGCACTCAAAATCGCTGTCGGATTGGCATGGCCCAGTATCAAAGACACGGAATTGGAGATAGGTGACGCATACCTCCGCGATTTCGGTCTGCGCTTCTGGAAACCACATTTCTTGTCTTCGATCGAGGTATTTCTGTGCAGTATAGTGAACTAATCGAATGATTTTACTTTCTTCGTCGATTGTGACTAGGCCTGAACAGACAGAGACGATGTATTCGATTGGCGAGATGTTCTCTTCGTCCAATTCCAAGTCGCCGGGTTTCACAGCCAGCGCATGGGGAAGTTCTGTTGTATTCAAAGGCCTTTTGGCGCATACGATCCACGATAGAGCTTGCTTTGCTAATTCTTTGCGATCGTGTATCTGTCCCTCAATCCGTTCCATTGCCTCATCATAAGCTTGGTCGGACGCGCCAGAACCTTTCGGTAAATTCGAGAGTGCATTTTTGACAGCCCTTGGAGATCTTTTTCCAATAAGGGAATCTAGATGAAGCTGTGCAAGTAGGAACCTGACGCTGTTAGTTGAAAATTCGGGATTTGACGCTAAGAAATTCAAGTTTCCAAAAAAGTATTAAGTCTTGAACTCACATCCCTTGGACAGATTTGGCAATAGAGGCCTTAGTTTCTTCCTGTAGATCTGGATTGTCCTGAACAAACGGTGGTAACTCTTGCATACGGCCGTCTAGGTATCTTCGGACGTCCTGCTCCTGGGCTTCTATTGCGATTGACATACATCCTCTAAACCTCTTTGTAATATCAGGGATTGGCCTCGAAGTCGCAAGAAAGTTTGCTCCACATTCCTTTGTAAGGCTGAAAACTTCAGAAAGTAGCTTTCCATGACACCCACCATTTGTCTCGTCCAGAGCGTCAATAACAATAAAAACTCTTGAGTATTGCGTTACGACCGAACGAAGAGCCTCTGATATCTCAGTAAATAACGGCCGCGTTTGCTGTTCCTTGTGCTTTGAATAAAGCTTTTTCACGATATCTAGCGAGCTCTGCCGCCCCCGGGCTAGCTGCTTCAAGAGATTAATGAGTAAGTCATCTACCATTTGTTCATCCTGTCGCTGAAAGCTACAGTAAAAGTAAGCTATTCCAATAGCAGCATCTTGATGATATTCTCCAATAAGACTGTCAATAATAACCGATGCGAGAATTGTTTTGCCTGCTCCGGGAATGCCTGGACAAAATAATGTCCGGCCGCTATGTTCCCGCCATTTCTGGAATTCTGGTGATTCCAGGAGCCACTGGCCAGTCCCCGGTTCTCGTCTCCTGATGAAATCGTTATGTCGTGGAGCGTAGTCGATCGGAGTCAGCCACTCCAGTATCTCCACTTCTTCCTGGCTCCGTTGGTGGCGAACTATACTGTTAGTTCTTGCTGCAATATATGAAACCCCATCGTTAAGTTCCCCAAGAACTATGACTCGTCACGTTAGCATTCGTAGGGCACTACTCGATAATGTCTATCCACATACTAGTTCCTATTTCTCCCACCCATGGCTCTAAAAAGGCTATCTTTCTAGGCTTTAGGACATAAAGAAGCTCTCTTGCATATGCAGCAGCTGTAAGCGCAGCGTAATTGTGCCAGTCGTCGTTTTTGTGTGAGTCTGAATAATCACAGATTCCTCGAATAACAAGGCACGGGAAGTTGTTCATTAGACCTCCGGCTTCCATTTCGAAACATAAAATATTCAGCTCCGGGTCGTTAGCGTGCCGGTCCCTTTCCGTTGCGTCCTTCATGACTGAATTGGCGGATGCAATAGTGCCGTAGTGAACCGTAACCCTCCGTTTGGATTGACGGTGCGGGCGATCCTCCAATCCATCATTTTCACAGTCTTCACAATTTTTTCTTTTCTTGGTCCTATGCTGATAATCAGCACGGTAAAGTCGGTCATCCCCAGGGCATCGAAAGTTTGGCCGGTCATCCATCAAACTTAAGTGTTTGGCGATAGTGTCTGGCTTCCTAGGATCATTATGGCGCCGTTGTATCTCGGGGAGAACTCCAAGAAGGACCCGCGGAGGAGCATTTAGCTGACCAGATTGTAAGAATATACCGTTCGATAACCGCTTTCCGAAGTCGTATTGGACTACACCGCTGTGTTTTCCTATTGGTACACCGACGACTACATCCCCGAGGCGGATATCTCTCTCGCGAGTTGGTGCACCACCCCCAATTCCTACCATCAATGCAAACTTCAGGTTCGGAAATGATCGAACCATATCATTCGCAACAATTGCGGCGGCGCAGGTGCCGTATCGACCATGTGGCAGACATCCGATAACCACATTGTGACCGTTGATACAACCAAACACATAAGTGTTGTTGTCGCGCATATCATTGATCTCTGGGCCGTCGAATTCATCATCAAGCATGCCGGCCGCAGCTTCATATTCTTCCTGTAAAGCACATATCCAACCAACCGAGTAGTCTTGGATCAGTGGTTCCATAATTTCGCTACGAGACTGCAGCGCTTCCAACATGGTCGACTCTTAGCGGCTTAATATGATTACCACAACACGACAACAGAAGATGAAATGAAGTAGACGAACGCGAATTCGCGAACTGAAAGAGGGCCTCTCGATGTTGACTATCGAGCTAACCATGCAACCGAATGTATGGGCGTATCTTGGTACGTTTTAAATTTCTGAACCGCACTTATGACGGTACTCACACCCTGACAAATATATAACGCCTATGTCAGTAGATATTCTCCAATGAGATACAAGAACAAACGCCTCTCGCTACCCCTCTTTTTTAAATCGGGGAGGATACCATGAGTATCTAGGAGCAGCCATTTGAGCGAAACTTGGCAATTGGAAATTTCATCGCCTTCCTGGAAACAGGGTATATTGACATCGCGAAAACGGACTATCACAGCTATCCAGGCAGGGATGCTAAGGAATGCAGGAGGGATTTAATCGATTTGCAAATATGAGGAAAACTGTAAACTTTTCTCAGCCCTGGATCCTTAAAGTGAGACGAGAGTGCTTTTCGTAAACCTGCACACCGCTCGATGCATAGGCGGCCTCTGCATGATCCTGCAGCTGCAAGCCAACTGAGACTCCATAATCCGAGACTCTGTTAGTTTTTCTGTTATTATGTACTGGCCGTTTTATTGGTCCCTCTAACAGTATTGTGGGCCTCATGGGAGGACAGCTGGCGAATTGACGAGTAAATATCCAGGGCGAGATACCAACATATTGATCATGCATGAAGCGTGGGAAGAGCGGGAGTCTGGCTAGCTAGCGATGGCGGATTTGTTCTTAAACTCACAACCTTGGTTAGTCAAGCAGCGGCTTTCTAAGGCTGTGGATATTGAGAGCAGAATCCCTTTTCGCACAATATTAATAGGTAAGCCAGGAGGCCTTCCCAATCTATTCTTTTCAAAGAATGCTTATGAAATTGCGACAGCAGTATCCACAAAATTAATTATATTCTATATCTCCGATATACTTGTTTCGTACTGATATACCTTATCTCGTAAACCAGAATTGATGCTACTGGTATAGCCGGTATCAATATATTTCTGTCAACCAGACCAGGCCAGTACTCTCGACCTTGACGTCGGCTGCTAAGCGCATTCAACCAACTACAGTTCCCGAGGGTGGCCGCTAAAATAACGAAAGCCGTTGTCTTTAAGCCCTAGCCTAGGCTAAGCCAAAAGCTAGCTATCTTGATATTCTAAAATGGAGCGGGAAGACCGTGGCGGCCAGGGCGCGAAAAGTGAGACCAAGCGGCTTTACAATCATTCCAAGGGCGACGAAACTGCATTGTGGTCCGAGTTCGATGACCCGGCCAAGGAAGAGCGGCGACTACAGGCAATAGGTCACCGCTCAGCTATCATTCAACGGTTCTCTAAGGAAGAGGGCGATGGAGACGGACAAGCGCCGTCTTGGAAAACTCAAACAATTGAGATTCAAAGTTCACGCTTAAAAACCTCTCTTGAGAGTATCTTCACCGGTTATCCGGACTGGAACTCCGGTCCTACGCCGTTTACGTTTTCGCCTCCCTTCAAAAGTTTTTTTCACGTCTGGGATAAAATTTTGGAGGAATCTGGAAGCAAACAGAAGGAATATCCTATTAGAGCGGAAGTTGGACTGCTGCGTGAAGCGCTCAAACCGAATATCACCCCATATCTATCGGAACTAAAACAGATCAAGGACGCAAACGCGATTGTGTTCAAGTCTCTCTGGTTATTATTCGCCCCCGGTACGCTTGTGGTGACGAAGTTGGGGACTCGCCTTTGTGTATCTAAACTTCGAAGCCTCAAATTCAAAGAGAAAAAGGAGAGCGTTTACAAGAAACGTCCAGATCGTTGGCGTCTTGAGCTGCTTCGCTATGACTGGAATGGGAGTTACTGCGGCTTTATAAGTTTCGTGGTTAAGATCCCGGATTTTGATGGATCACAACGTGTGACATCACTAGCCGCGTTCCCTTTTGAATTCCTCCCGAACCAGGCTCAGGTGCAAGAGCAACTACTCTCCCGGGGCCAAAAGTTTGCTGCGCTTCGCGGATTCTCCATACACAATTGCGTAGGCAGCAAGTACGTTATCGAAAAGACTTACTTCAGCTCAAAGGAAGTTGAGAAACCAGTAAGTCGTCCAAACCTGATTTTGAATGCTCGGGTCAATCTGACTTTGCTAGGTCTCGGGTCGAGTCATAGTCGACGGATATGCGTACTACAAGTGTCAAAACAAGGTCGCTCCGGAATTATCCCGACGCCGTGAAGAAAAAGATAAGGATGATATGTCGGTAGGGGGTGAAGAAACCCAGACGTTGGCGAACGGAGAAAGGAAGGAAGAACGTCCTCCGTTAACTGACGCGGAACTCCTCCTCAGTGTTCCTCGGGTCAGAGGCTTTGACCTAACTACAAAAGAATGGTGTATGTAGTTCAAACGCCTCATTCTCGACAGGTATAAATATGATAGCTGATATTCTGTGAATCTTCCAGGTGAACTTAATATCGACGAACTTCAGGATCCTGATTGGAACCAGACTGCATATGAGAAGCTAGTTCTCCCTGAGGGTGAAAAGGACTTGGTCATGGCATTTGCGGATCGTTTAAAAACCAGGGTAAAAAGATTTGACGATTTTGTACAAAACAAAGGTGAGCTACTTCATGATCAGTTCATATCTAAGTAAACCCGTAATTGACAAATTTTATGCAGGGGAGGGGATCATCATATTACTGTGCGGTCCGCCAGGCGTAGGCAAAACTCTGACTGCAGAGGCAGGTAAGTTATCACAGCGGTACATGTCAAAAGACGGTACTCATTGTCCACTGACCCTCGTCATCACTAGTGGCGGAAAGATCACAGGCGCCCCTCTATGTTTTAGGTGCGGGAGAGCTTGGGACAGCCCTGCGCGAAGTTGAAACCGCGCTCGATGAGGCACTGGAACGTTGTCGACTCTGGAATGCAATACTCTTGTTAGACGAAGGAGATGTCTTCTTGGAAGCTAGGAGCATTGATAGCATGAACCGAAATGGACTAGTCTCTAGTAAGATTCACCTTCAGCCAACGAATTTTTTACATTTTTGATCCTGGCTCTAACTTTATGTTTAGTTTTCCTTCGGCGCTTGGAATACTATCGCGGATTGATGTTTCTGACTACAAACAGGGTCAGTGCCATAGACCCGGCATTTAGATCCCGAGCAGACCTCATACTCCCTTACACTAGCTTGGATGCACCAGCGCGGAGGAAAGTTTGGTCAAACTTCTTGGACCGATTTGCGCCTGCGACATTCCAAATCAGCGACGATGAATTGGATGAACTGGCGGAGAAAAATCTAAATGGAAGAGAAATAAAGAATATGGTTAAAACTGCCCAAATTCTGTCGGAAGCTGATGGTTTGTTAACTATGAAACATTTCCGAATTGTTCTGAACATCCGGAAGCGGTGTTTAGATGCTGAGGAGTTAGAATTGGAGGAATCTGCTAGTAAGAAGCAGAAGATGTGAAGTAGTACTTAGATTTTGTGCTATGATGTGGTATTTTTTAATACTATGTGCAACAATTCATGAAGACAAATGACTAGCAGCCTTAAATTTCCTCAACTAGCAGCCTTTCCTTTTTATCAAAAGCTGTATGAATATAGCAATTTGATTCCGTGCTCTGTGTATAGCCAGATCCTTGCGAGGTACCGAGGGAATCTTTTCAGTGGCAATGTCGGCCAAATTTCTAGCAAAAGCTCCGACAGTGCACCCATTCATGGTCATTTGCAATGTTCGCCACATCTATGCATATGCATCCCTGTCGGTCTCCGAATTTAAACACCGATTCTACCGACTCTAAACTGACTATCGTAAGCCTTAGGCAAGTTGAACTTACGTACACTGGAGGGTAAATGACTGTCCAAGGGATGACAAAATCCAAGACTGAAGTTTTTCGAAAGTAAAGGAAGGTTTCAGGTCGGGGTTTTCTAACTAAGGCCCGACGAGGGTGACAAAGCCCAAGACGCGCGTCAAATACCACATATTCAACACAAACTTGAGCAAAAGATTCCCTCGAAGGACATTAGAAGGATCCGACGAAAGTATAAAAGGCTCAGGATGTACAGGGCGTTTGTTGATTCTTCTTTTCTCCCACCAAAGAGTTCAAAGAGTCCAAAGAGTTCAAAGAGTCCAGAGAGTACAGAGATTTATTGTTTTTACCAAAGAGATATATTATTAAAGAGATTTTTTATTATCGATTCAAAGAGTATACAACCAAGAGTTTATTTTATATTTATTTTCAAAGAAAAAAAAAGACCATATGACCAAGAACTATCAAAACTCGGAGAAAATGGCCCCATCCAACCCACAATCCCCCCAAGAACAAGTCATGGATTTTATCAATAACCTTGGTGACCAAATGGAGGAAGCCTTCTCCCAAGCCGCCTCTTCTCCCCAAACCGAGAGAGGCGACCCATCCACCTCTAACAGAGAGGCTAGAGCTCAGGGAAATCCACCTAGCTACGATCAACCCGAACAAACCAGCGAATCTAGCGCCCACGCGAACCGTGGTGGAAACGGTGGCGAACACCGTGGCCGTCACCAATGGGGCGGCGGCCCATGGGGTTATAACTGGCGTGAACAAGCAGACCCATGGGTCCAAATGGCCAGCAACCTTGCTGAAAGCTTTTCCACTCCAAATACCAACGGCCCTCCACATCCCGGTATGTTCTTCGGAGGAGGGGGTCCAGGTGGGCCTGGAGGGCCCGGCAGCTGCCATGGTGGCCGTGGTGGCGGCCGTGGCGGCCGTGGTGGCTTCGGAGGCTTCGGAGGAGGCCGTGGAAGTTATCATGGTCCGTGGGGCTGGGGTTCTCACCGTGCCCGCTGGGGAAACCGCGGCAGTCACTACTACAGAAATGATAATGGCAGCCCGGAATTTATCCCTCCTGTCGATCTATTCGATACACCCAATAGCTTCGTCGTTCACGTTGCCCTCCCAGGCGCCATCAAGGAGGATATCGGTATAAACTACGATTTCGATAACGCAGAACTCCAAATCTCTGGAGTTGTTCATCGCCCAGGGAATGAAGAGTTCCAAAAGCATCTTGTTGATGGAGAGCGCAGTATTGGTGTCTTTGATCGCAAGATTAAGCTTGAGAGTAATGGCAAGGTCGTCTTCGTCGATGCTGATAGCATTACTGCTAAGCTCGAGAACGGCTTGTTGGAAGTTACCGTACCAAAGTTGAGGAAGGCTGATGAGCCTGAGAAGAAGAAGATTAATATTGAGTAAAGGGTATAGCGGCAGCCTTAGGCTCGTGTGCGAGTTCCATGGGGCCCAAAGCTGGAGAATACCGTATGACCTCTCATCAATAGTTAATTCTTAAAAAACGATCTGCAAATTTTTTTTTTTCATTCTGACCTTTTCGAAATTTTCTACATTGTCGGAGGATATATTGTTCGGACATTCGTTTTAATCGTTTTAGTTATATTAGTTACTTCATAAAACAGAAAACTAATAAAAGATTTTTTTTTCCCCTTTCTGGAACCGAGTCTCGAAATTTGAACTTCCTGTAGACTGATACTTAGTTAAGCTGTGCCATAAATCGGTGAACTACAGGTAGAAGGCTGAACCGGGATACTTATGCCCGCAAAGAGGGTACCATATATATTAGCCTTCATAGAATTCCGTTGAGTATTGTAGACTGTACGAGAGGAGTATTTAATAATAATTACAGGATGAAAGTCACCAGATGTAGAAGTGCATCAGTTGACGACAAAATGAGTAAGTAACGCCATGGTAACGTTGCTCAGTTGGATGTCGATAGCCCGCCTATGTAATGGGATTGAAGATTTGACGCGACGAGAAGCCCTTTCTCCCAGTCTCCGATCAACCATGGCATACTAAGACATGGCTCCGCCAAGAATGGCTAGATAAGGGGAGCGCATAGTTACAAGACTGGGAGCGCATAAAATTGGAATATGGAAATTATTGTAAAGCCAATTCCTATCATCTTCATCTTCATCCACATCATCATCATCATTACCACTACTATCACCACCAAGCGCCACTAGGACTTCAAGAATCCAAAGCCACCACCTCCCACCACCATCAGCCATGAGCCATCAACATTGACATCGGCAGCAGCTTTGCCTTAGCAGTCTAGAGGCGAAGCTGCTGATACAATGGCTGATGATGGTGATGGTGGTGGCAGTGACTTCGGATTCTTGAAGCTTTCTACCCGAAAGCAATCCAGTTCACTAGCATGGACAGCTAAATTTACAAGGCAATTAGCAATTCGTCATTGTAACGATAGCCTTCCTGGCTGTAGTAAACTCGAGAGACTTACATGTCGATCAAGTTCTCTACAGGCTTGGGTGGCCGGGAATGAGGTTTGCGAAAACGTCAAAAGAGTGCATGGCCGCTCCCACATTATTTCCGTACCTCCGTCGGCTGTATCAATAACCAGAAGCCGAATTGGTGAATCCAAAAACGCGTCTACCGTGTAACGGGCCGAGGCCTAATCGAATTGTCTTAGTAAGTTTACCCACCGTCGTTTTCAACAACATTGCACCTTACTAATCTAAAATCAAACTACAGGAAAGAAGGGACCTACGAGCAGATCCAAGGGATTTCCAATGGTGTACTGGGTCATATCCTTAGGAACATAGGCGGTGGTATCAGCAAATCCCCACAATCTAAACCACCTTCCATGGAGAATCGTCTGGAACCAAATGTACCCGGAGGGGCCTCGATATCGATTAACCGCTGCAGTGTAATTTGCTTGCGAGTCGGCGGCTGCGGATAGTAGAGCTGGCGATGTGAGATTACCAAGTTGTTGTTGTAGCCTTTGCTTAACGATTGATATGTTACGGCTTGTGCGCACATTCAGACGTTCAACGACATGATATCGAGTTGTAACCAACGGAAAGGGAACGGTTGCAGTAGGAGTGGGTTGTCCGACAATGAGGTTACTTGGAATTATAATCCCAAGGAGCAGCAGGAGAAAGAACAGAGCAAAATATCCACAGGACTTCATTTTCGCTGATGGATGTTGGAGCAGGAGTAGAGAACGATGAAGTTTTGCAGGTATCGCTTGCTAGCTGGCGGGCAGCAACGGATTGATGCAATGGAGATTATGATGAAGGAGAAAATAACGAGAGCGAGAAAAGGACTGGCGAATAGACGGATTCTATTGAGGTACTTTGACGAAGGCGGTTTCCTCTGGTTGTACTGGCTGGGGTGTAGTGATTTGCTATCTTTTGATGATGTCCGTTGCAGGGAGGCTGAATGGATGGGAGGAGGTGAGGATGCTGAGATAGTAAAGGACACAAAGAAAAAAAATACTCTTGGATTGTGGGAAGTATGGCTGGGTAGGTATGTGAAGGGTTGCGTCGTCCTCCTTGCGCAAGGCGGTATTGATAGCACAGCACACCGGCAAATCACTAGTTCGCTACATCCTCGACGTTTGAATATTCAATTTTAAGGGAATCTCGAGTACCGACACAAATCCAATCTAAAGCACAAACTGGACTCGAAACTACATCTGAGAATAGGAAGAGAAGCAAGGATACGGCTTGCAGGGAGCCTCGATAGTGCATTGCAGGCTATTGCAGGCGCCTAAGTACATACATACGCTCGGGGCGTCTAATGGCTAAATCTCAATACCTGTTTACGAATACGAAATCAACATTATCTTACGATTACGATTTGGAGAAAATACCAATGGCGAAACGGCAGCTTTAATTCGAAGGACTAGCCAGTAGGACCGCATCGGAAACTTTCATCTTCGAGGTCTGGATGTTAACAAAAATTGCAAAATATCGTTGTTAGTGTTGTATTTTTTTGTTAGGAAATATACCGCCGATTTGTTCAGTCTCGAAACTAGAACAGCCGAGCAAACGATTTGTTCCAGAAGGAACTTCAAGGACGCAGCCTGACCAAACTGGTCTCATTCCTAGACGTTGAAGGGGGGATTTACTGGTTCTCGGAGCCAGCTGTAAGAAACCATGCAGGTAAAGCATGGTGCACCTATAGGGGCAATTGGCTGACCATAAGGACAGTTGACAAGAAGCCACAACATACGCTCAAGGAGTTAACTATACAATCCCCTGGGGGTGGAGGCGCATTTGACGGAGCAATATACAGATGTGTACATGGTATATATATAAGGTATGTAGATAGACTCGTAAACCGTAATTTTTAATTCGTGAACCACTTAGGCAGAAAACTGGGACTAAGCTAGTAATACAATTCAAAAACTCCAAAAAGAAAAAGAAAACAAGACGATAGTACTCAAAGGGCACAAAGCTCCAAAACATAAAGGAATTCCCTTTTCTTACAAGCAAAGTTCCCTCCCGAAGTGAAACAACGATGCAAAGGGAGTATCATAGGCACGTAAGTAAAACAACTAGAATCGTTATGGTAAGAGCGGAGGCATAGCAGGGAAGAGAGAGAGAAAAACCTGAGTATCAGGTGCTCTTGGGTGTCAACAAAACAGGTCACAGTCAAAAGCAAGAAAAAAGGAAAGGTGCTTAATTCCTGGGGAAGGGGTGTTAAGAAGAGGGGAATCCAAATCGGCCTTTCGAAGGGTTAGCCCCGTTACCCATCCTCTCAATGCCTCCTCTTATGCCACTGCTGCTTTTTGTTTCCTTATCTTTCTCTTCCTTCGCAGGGGTCAGGGCCTTTGCGATGCTTGCTCCGGAGGCACGGCTGATGCTTCCACGCAGGTTGTTAACACCATTGTCGGCCGTAGCAGGGGCGCCACCCAAAGCTAGTAGTTCGTCAACAGCTAGAACAAGCTCCCCCTTCTCCCGGCGCTCCGCTGAGAGATCTTCCTGTAAAGTCTTGATCTGTTCTTGTGCCTTTGCGAATTGTGCCTCTAATTTCTCGATTTCCTCTCTCCGATCCTCCATATCGTGGGGTGAAAGAACCGGGCCGCTGAGGTTTAGATGCTCTTCACTCTCCTCTTCCATTCTCATAATCTTGTTAGATAGCTCATTGTTGGTATTCGTGAGATCATTATTTTTAGCTTCAAGTTCATTGACTCGTTTCTCCCATCGTTTAGAGTACGACTGTTTGAGGGCTGAAACCTTCTGCTCATGCTTGGATTTGTATAGTGAGTGCAGTTCCTTCGCGACCTTTTCAACGGCCTGACTAACTTCCATATCCTTTGTTGCATTGGCGGCGGCGACAGCTTTCTCAACTGCGGCCTCAACATCAACACCGCTACCCCCGGATCCTTTGGCCGGGGAATTTGGGGCCGATTTCTTTTGTCTTTCAACGATTAAGTCTTTCTTGGTAGAAGCCAAATCTTGTTTCGTTTTCAGGAGGGAATCTGAGACCTGCTCATGCTCCCGCTTCAACTCTTCAAGTTCCCTTCTCAAGAAATCCTTATCCTGTACAACTGAATCCCGCTCGTTCCGAGCCTCGTCGAGAAGCCGATTCCCTACTTCAATCTGTCCCTGAAATTCTTGTACAGCACGTCCAGCTTCAGAAAGTCTCGATTCTATGAGCATAGTCCTGGCTGACATATCTTCCATCTCCTCCCGAACTTGTCGCAGCTCAACGATGCCATTTGATGCTCTTCTTTCGGCGTCTGATACCGAATCTTTGAGAGTATTTATTTGAGCATCTTTACCTGCAAGTTCCGCCCTTAATTGTGCAATCTGGGCCAAGAATTGGGATTTGATGTTCTCGACTTCTTTAGGTGTTACAGATGGGATTGAACGGGGGGTGGGTGGTGGTGGGATGTCAAAGTCGAGAAGAAACCTGCGTTCCATGGGCGTTGGTGCAGGTAAAGGCTGTTTACTAGGTGATTCAGACCCATCACGAGTTCTCTTTGTCGGTGAAGATGATTGCGAACGTCTTCTTGACCTTGTGGGTGTTTGAGGGGGAGGGTTGGCTTTGATGGCATTGAACTGCGCGGTGAAGTCAAGCAATAGGTTTTGCGTTCTTTCATTGTTGCCAGGTGTCGATTCTGGGGATTTGGAGTATTGTGAGAGAGTAGCAAGACGAGATCGCTGGCCGGTTGCTCTGGGGGTGACAGTTCCAGGAGTGACAGGATCTGACTGAGGGCTGCTCCAAGATTGTCTGTTGGGTGTCGAGAAGGAGAGGAGGTTGCTCTTAGTGGGGGTATGGAATGGAGAACCCTGCGCTCAAACTGTAAGTGGGGTGTCCCATTATCCCCGCATCAAGAGGATAAAACCAACGTACCCTTTCCATACTTCGCTCTCTTCTATAGCTTTCTCTTAGGATCTGTCTGTCAACAGATCTTTCACCTATTTCGCCTATTTGCTCTTCCGTTTCCCTGCTTACACCAACCCCACCCTCGACCATAACATCTGAGAACCCACTAAGGTTGGCATCGAAGCTCATCGAGTGGGAGGTGAGTTCATCACCTCTTCCCAATTTGCTGGAGATACGCGCCAGGAAGTCCTCATCGTCATCAGCAAAGCTAATATCGTGATTTTCCTTCATTGATTCGTCGTGTATATCGTATTTTGGCTTTTTCATCACCTTCATAGGCGAGTTGTGGGCAGATCGCAAGTGTTTTTCGCCAATTCCAGAGGAGGAAACGGATTTTGGAATGTTGTAGTCGATAACGGAGTATTCCGAATCCTCAGAACCTAGGTTAATCGGGTCATCTAACGGCGGCTGAGCCGATGGAGTTTGAGAGGTCCCGTAGACCTTGTTTGGCGAGATATCGATTAACGGCTCTGACATTTTGTGAAACTGCGATTTCAAGGCCATGTTAGTGTTTACTTCCCGGGAAAGAGAGAAAGAAAGAAAGAAAGAAAGAAAGAAAGAATAACAATAACAACAAAATGATTTCGCTCAAGAGAAAAATGAGATGGCTTAAAAACGCGGGTATGTGGGATGCGCCCGCCACCCGATGAGCGCAATGCACCCGAACACGAACTGATACTTGCCTGAGGAGATGAGGGAAGAGCTTCGGATAGCTCAAGATTGTAGACGAAGTGGCGTGTCAACCTTCCCACAAACCAGTCGGAACAATTGCTCGGTAAGCTGCAAGATGTACGAGTTTGTGACTGCGGCAATAACTGGAATGGGATTTGGCGATGTCGATGATTGGAAGTGCTAGTAAGGATTATTCATATGTACGGTGAGTTGTTTATGCAGGTCTTTGATTGGGTTACAATGTAAACAACAACACGAAATCCAAATAACAACCGTCGACATTGTTGGTTTTCCGTTTGCGGAAGGTTTGACACGCCAAACCAACAACAGCTCAACACATTTACTTGTTATATTTGACCAGCTTCGAGGCCGCACCGTCCTGGCGGATGACCTCGTCACAAGAGAACAAGGATAAAAGCCACCACGAAATTTAATCCTTGGAACGGAGTACATTGCATCTAACGTGCTCAATTGCAAGGTCCCGCCGAAGCATGCCGTGGACCACCCCAGCTAATAGATAGCGCTAGTGATCAAACCAGCCCTATCCGATGAGTCAACTTTTGGAGTTCCTCCATTTAATTCAATATCCATCCAGATAGACTTGTCATGAACCTTGGATCTGTATACAGTTGTGAACAATAACTTAACTGAATGTCACACAGTACCTCCTCAACAATGGCATCTGACCAGAAAGTCGCATTACTCGACCACATTATTGTTCTCGTCCCACACGCTGAACTCAAAGACCCACCAAAGAGTCTTACTAATAATTTCAACATTACCAACGGCGGGAGGCATGCAGATGGGAAGACCGAGAACAAACTTATTGTAAGTTTCTAGCATGTGAAATGTTAATGGAAATCCGAAAACTTGGTCCTGACTACTTTATCTACTACATCAGGTTTTCAAAGATGGTTCCTATATCGAATTAATATCATTTATCAATGATCTCCCTGAAAACCGGGCAGGCCATTGGTGGGGTTCCAAACCCTACGGCATAGTCGACTGGGCCTTCACAAACCAAATAGACTACAAGTCCAACTACGAAGCCCTCATTGGTCGACTAGCTGATGCCCAAAAGGGTTCTTCAGGCGCATACTCTTATGCAACCCCTCAACTAGGTGGGCGGATTCGTCCTGATGGTGTCAAACTCGAATGGGCGGTCACCTTCCCAACAAAAAAGGAAGGGGAAGATACAGAGACAACGAGACCTTCTAATCTACCATTCTATTGTCATGATATCACCCCCCGGGATAATCGGGTCAACGGGGAAACAGAACATCCCTGTGGTGCCGTTGGCATCCGCGAAGTTCTAGCTTTGGTTGACGATGTCCAAAATGATGCATTTGCTGGTCTCATTAGAGCCTCTGTGAACTCTGATGATAAAGAACAGATTAATAGAAGTGGCGTCTTAGTTGGCACACCCCATGGTGCTCCAAGTGTTATCTCTTTCATGACTCCGACAACAGATGCGGAGAAGGACGAAGCCTGCCTCCATAAGTTTGTCCTAAAGGAGCTGAAATTCGATCACGGGTCAAGTGATGTATCTACCGGAATAACATTCTCATACCCGTTTCAAGCCTAGTTTTAGATCCGGGTTGATGTGAGTAGCCCATGGGGGGCTCACGGCGAATATCAAATAGTGCTGCGTCGCTGAGCCCACTTTCCTAAACCTCTCCATCTGCTAGAGGTGGATCAATATAGTCCGGTTCGTTAGGGACCTTGCGAATATTAACATTGACTTCGAAAAGAACATGTACATAAAAAAACGGAATTGTAAAACTAAAACGTTTATATTAAAAAAAATCTTAAAGGTGCCGTATATATATAATTAAACCACATATGCCTTAAAAAACAAGGGAGGAAAGAAGGTAGAGAAGGAAAATCGTCAATATCGTTCAAAGAAATTAAACAAGTGCAAATACATGATTTCATTTTTTCCCGGCCTTTCACATCAATAACTACCAAATACCCAAGAAATTATCCAAAGAAATCAATACCAACATCTTCAATCGCGACAACAAAGAAACCATAACTAACAAACCATGGCTAGCACCGAATAGTTCAAAATATATATGTCGTTGGAGTATCAAACATCAATGTCGTTACGTCGTATTCGTAGTGATATCTTTAAAGTCATGGTCGTCTAGAGTGCTGGAGCGCTCAAGGACGTGGGTAATACCTACACATGGCGGGTTGGTCAACAACTGTCCGAGGTCATATCATAGAGCAATCAGTTCATAACAGGAGAGATATTAATGAAAAAGGTACAGGCTAAATAAAATACATGGAATTCGTATCGAAATAAAGAGTAAGAGGGTTCTAATTGCTCGTAGAACCATTCTTTAAAATTGATCTAGGTGCGGGAACGTACTGAGGTTGGGGAGGTGGGACATATCCAGTGTATTGAGGCTGTGGAGGCGGGACATATCCTGTTGCAGAGGGATATCGGTTTGTATTTGCTGCAGGATCGCTGGGGCCGTATCCACCGGGAGGAACGGGCATTGGGATCTCGGCGCGCGGAATCTCCTCGGTCGTGCCGGAGCCAACGCTAAATTGCGGGGCCATCCGAGGCGCTTGTGGGTTCAACAAGCCGGGAAAGCCTGGGCGGTTCGGTGCATTCTCGGTTCCCGGTGTTGTCGGGGCACTTTGGATCCGAACATTCTTTCCGGATGGACTGCCGGTGTTGTCTTCAGAAGTCGCACGTTCCTTGCTCTTCTTCCTGTTATCATGGGCAACCTTTGCTGCAAGGGCGGCAGCGGCAGCGCCTGCTGCAATCGCCTCCTTCTTGTGGCGTGAATGTCGGCGTGCAGCTTCGGATCTGCTGGATGAGGAAGAGGAGGAATCAGAAGAGGAATCGGATTCTGATCCGCTATTTCGGGATTGGGATCTCTTCTTATCGAAATGGTGCTTTGCAGCAAGGCCGGCAGCAGCAAGGCCCGCGGCGGCGGCAACCTTTCGGCCTCTGTGTTTCTTTTCTTTGCCTTCACGTTCAGATGAGGATGACCTCGAGCTCGACCTCGAACTAGTGCGAGACGAAGGAGATTGCGATCTTCCTCTACGCCTATCAATGGCGGCGGCAACACCGCCAAGCCCAGCGGCCGCTGCTAACCTTCGAGCTCTTGATCTCGATCTGCTGCGGTCGGAGCCAGCGCTATCAGCAGAGGATTCGCGCTTTCCCTTTTCACGGTCGTGTTTGCGTTTTTCGTGAATGGCAAGACCAGCTACTCCGGCTGCTAAGGCGGCATTCCTGAGCTTGTGGCTCTTCTTCCCGGACTTGGCTGAAGAGCGCGAGGAAGAGCTGCTGCGAGACCTAGAACGAGACCTGGATTCACGTCGCTTCTTAAGCCCATGGTGGGCAAGGCCGGCTGCAGCAGCAAGAGCGGCTGCATTTCTTGCAGAGTGAGATCTCCGGCGTCGTCTTCGTCCAACACCTCCAGTATCGCTGCCATCCGAGGAACTGTAATGTTCGATAGTGGTAACTGTCTTCTCAGGCCCACTGTTCTTTCGATGGTGATGGATAGCGGCGGCAGTGACACCGATAGCTGCAGCAGCAAGGGCAGCTTTCTTAGCTCGGGAGTGGGATCGAGAACCGCTTCGGGACCGAGACCTAGAAGACGATGAGCTAGAGTCATATCCTTGAGAATGTCTTCTGTGTTTCCGGATTTCGTGAACGGCTACAGCGCCAAGACCAGTAGCTGCGGCCGCCTTACGAAGCCTGCTGTGGGAACGTGACCTGGTTCTACCCCGCTCTCGTTCCCGCTTATGCTTGTTGTGTTCATGGATCATATAACCCGCAGCAGCAGCACCAGCCGCAGCCTTTCCGAGTCGGGATCTTGATCGATGTCGAGAAGAGGATCTAGAGCTACTTCTTGATCTGGATCTTGACCTTGAGTTCTTCCTGTGGTGGTGGTGAAGAGCAGCCGCGCCAAGGGCAGTAGCCCCAAGAGCGGCCACAGCCTTGCGGCCATGATGGTGGCTTTCATCAGAAAAGACACTATTGCTGCTATGACGTCTGCCAACGGCGACAAGACCCAGGCGGTGTGGGCGTGGGGATGGAGAACGGGATTGACGTCTTCCTTGATAAGCTATGGCGAGGTCACCAACATGCGGGCCAGAAACCCTCGTATCGAAGCTTCCACCACCGGCTGAGAGGCTAAAGCGCCTATCTCGTTCTCTCTGAATCTGAATTTCGAGGTTACGTTCCCTCTCATCTCGTAGTTCGGCTTCCAACCTTGCGTGGCGTCTACTAGAGCGGCTGGATCCTGATGACATACTATTGGAACGATGATGACTTCTATGATGGTGGTAGTAGTACCTCTGACGGTGATTCCTCTGTCGGCCATAATCGACCTCTGGAGCTGGCTGTGGAGCTGGAGCTGGAGGAGCGAGTATGATTGTATCCCGCTCGATAATCCTGGGAGGAGGAGGGGAAGGAGGCCGTGCGAGGACGAGGGTATCCTTTTCGTAGATGTGTTCATGTCTTCCTCCTCTGTGAAAATGATCTCTCCGAGCTAATGCAAGCTTCTCCCGTTCATATTCTCTTTCTCGCTCGCGGTCTGCATGGAATGACTCGTCGTCATAGTCGTGAAAATGGTCAAGATCGCCTGTTGAACGTCGGCCATTTGGAGGACAGTACTTGGCAACCTGGCGATATCTCGGTACACCTTCTTCTCTATAACGATATGTAGTTATAGGACCGGACCGAGATGGAGATAGCATGTACTCCTGACCTCCGTACCTACGCATCCGATCCTCAAAAAAGCGATCATGTGCCCTTGGTGAGATAGCGGACTCGGCATACATTGTTCTGCCGACCGAAGACATTTTGTCTTGGTGAAGGACAGGAACCGCTACTGAGTGGTAATGATAGTGAGTCTCAGAAGGTGTAGGTGAAGGGGAACGTAGTTTAGAAGTATTATCGTTGTTAAGCTCTTCTACGACCGGCATTCAGACTTCTTTACCTTTGTAGGAGTCCAGATATTATAATTTTTGAGTGGGATGAAAAGGTTGTGGAGGGGCTTCTTCTTATCCTCTTTCCGGAATCGAAGGATAACAAACGGAATGGCCGCAAAATTAAAAGATGCTGTGCCTCTGATACTGTTAACAGCTAGTATACTAGGTAGTAGCCCACGGCTTATTGCAGTTTGTTGCAGTTTGTCGCACGGATTCGGATGCAGGTATACGAACGATCGAGGCAGTAGGATCTAAACTAAGTGAGGAGTTGACGAAACAGAAAGAATTCGCAGATGAAGAGGGCAGAGGGGCAAATATAAATTACTTTGGTTGTATGAAGAGCTTCGAGCAGGTCTTCGATCAAGCACCGCATGTACATACTGCACTGCCCTCTCCGGGTGTCGGGCATTTTCTTTCTAGTGACACTGCAGTACTGTTGGACCGCAAAAAGAGCAAGGTGATCCTGATGTATCCCGGGTCAGCATGCAGCCTTGGAACCGGTGACTCGAACAGTTTTTGCAGGATGCCCATATGCATTTTTCTTTTCTTTTCAGTGGGCCACATGGACGCCAAATGGCGGTACATGTAGAAAGGACGGACTGCAGACATGCTTCTTTTCTCAACGTTGCAAGGCATAGAAAAACTGTTACGTCCTTCCAACCAATGACGTAGCTGACGAAACTGAGCTAACCACATATCGTCATCCATCCTTGAAATACATGTCTTTAATGGGACCAGGGTTATTCCATTCCTTTCGAGAACCCAGAGAACCTTCAGAAGTTTATGCTGTTAGGACGCTGCTCTCCTGCAAAAACAAGTGGTTTCTGGTTCTCCATGATGTAGCCCGGCCAGGGATCTATTCGGAGTGGCTCTAACGCCCTTGAGATCTTAAATGTGAGGCTGTAATATCTAATGAGGTCGGGTGACGTCACCATGGGATCCCTGCCGAAATGGCTTGGTGGGTGTTATCATCGTGCATGCAGGGCATCAAATGGCCTAGAATGGAATCGAATTCCTATAGGTGGATACGTACTGCGCGAAGGTAGGAAACGCTACTATCTTGAAAAAAAATATTCGGCTCATAGCGATTATGATCGACGATGAGCGAATGGTTAAATTTGAGAATTCTGTATTTTAAGGGTTCTGTTGATTGGCACAAAGGCCTAAGCCAAATGTGAACATCGAATCGTAAAGGTTTAAATTTTAGTGAGAACATCGAGATGGTGTTCAGAGTTCAGAAACGCCGCGCCGTCGAACCGTCTAGTCAATGCAAAGAGAAAGGATATTGGCGCTAAAAATTTGCATCATATTGCAGAAAATCCAGAATATCGTTTAAAGGGAAGCTGAAGGTTAAAGAAAAGGCGTCACGCTTGATGTCCTTCAAATTCTGTTCCATATCATATATCACCGGGGGGACCTTCCAGCCGCAGACAATTCATAAATTTTGAGGTGGCCCTTCTTGTCCAGGAGGAGGAGGTCCCCTAAACTAGTCCACGAAATCCAACAAGCCCGCGCTGGTATCAAAGTACCCGGGAGCTTGGTGAACTCCTGCTTGTCGCTAAGCACGGATCCTGCACCGAAGTCGCATTTGTAGACTGTGCCATCTCCGTCAATAAGTGCGACAGCTTTCCCATTCGGGGACATCGCAGACCGTGTCACTCCCTTCTTGGTGATGGGGAGCGCATAGGATGTAGACTGAGAACAATTCGAATGCTTATTGCTATCAATACAGCGCATATATGCGGATGGCCTTCCCGACGTTGTTGTTGCAAAGAGAAAACGTTCGTCGGGACAGAAGATAGCACCAGATATTCTCCTATGGGTACCTGGCTCCTATGGGTGTCGTAAACACTGGTCAGTATGACTTCATCCCTGATACTCGTAACCCTGGTATTAAGTGATAATGTACCCAGTCATTAAATTTAAATTTGTTTAACAACTCCCATGCAGCCGGCCCTCGATGTTCATATACCATAAGCATCCTTTTCTGAGTGCCACAAGCAAATCTCGTATCGTTGCCAGAGAACGACATGGTAAATGCGTAGTCTCCACTGCTAAGATTAATATCCATTCTTGGATCACCACGGCGGAATGTCACTTCGTCCGGGTCGAAATCTTGATCTTCCGCGGGAATATAATGAAATTGTATAGTCCCATTCGTGAGAGCTGAACATAACTCAAGCCCACTATTTGCGAATGCAATACTGGTAAAATTGTCGGTGGCTACGGATTTGTCTGAGGCCCACTCGTAAACTTTTTTGCTATTATGGTGATTGAATACTTGTAACTACGAAAAAGTTAGCTTGACGAGGGGCATTTTTGAAGTTCAAGTATCTAGCTTTTATGTACGTCGCTTCTTTTCATGATGGATGGGGACAAACCTTGGTTAGAGTCAATATTGCAAGGTGGCTGTTTGATACCGCAATGCTTAACGGTTCTCCGTCAAACTCGCCATAAACCAATGGTTTGATCCCTGATACTTCCATCGAATAGGCCATGAAGCATTCGCGATCACAGACACCCACAATCGTTTTTGAATCTGGTGAAACTGCAACAAAGGCCCACTCTTTCCTTGATTCCAAATGAATGCTTCTTACAGAATAGCCTGATTCAAACTTTTGAGTAAAGTGAAACATCCCGGATTCAGGTTGTCGAGACGTACGGCCGCCGAGAAGCTTTTTGAGAATTTCTTTAGACTTTTTTGGAGTAAAATCCGGTGCAAGGTCGGGAGCTTCAAGGCTCCCATCTCCTTCTCGGGCTCTATCGTAAGGCACGTTTCTTGGACGATCTCCGCTGTTTTGTGAGGAAGGGGGATAGAATGGTGGAGATGATGGAGATAGCTCGAGACCTGTAGTAGAGGAATATAAATTGCCATAGTTTCCACGGCTTGCAAATGTATTATCGCCTTCAACTTCTGCAATATCTGGTGGCGGCCGAGTCGGAGCTCTATATGCGAATCGAGACGGTGTTGCGCCTGAGCTTCGTAGGATCCCTTCTGGAGTTCTGGTATTAACAGACCCTAAACATGGTCTCGTTGGACTATTGTTACCGGTGGATATTGACCTCGATGATAACTTCGAAGAGGTACGTGCATGGTGTGGCTGCGTAGATCTATTATCATACGATGTTTCGTGCGGCAGGGTTGTTGTATCCTGTTGATAAGCAGGATCTAAGAATGCTTCTTGTACTTCATGTGGATGCACTGGGTGTAAGAGGCGGGCGTCTTCGAGGGTGAGCCGTGCCATCGGGCAATCCACTGGATTGCAAGGTATAGGGCCATCTTCATCCACGGTTTGCAATTCGAACCGGACCTGTCGCCCTCCTCTAAACCTTGGTGCGGATTTTGTGGATTTTAAGTTTGATTGAGGGAACCTCCTTTCCTTGATATTGACTGTCTCGCTGGGATAGCTAAAGTAGTCGTTAGGATGTCCCGTGTTTTCATGGCCTGGATAGTGAAGCTGTTGGGCGTGGGGTCTGTAGTGTGTGTTTTGATGATGTTGTGCTTCCATTAAGGGAGGTGCTAAGAGAACAGAACTTTGGTCATAAGAGTCGTATCTCATGTTAGTTGCTACCCGCTGATCACGGAAGCTATCGCCTGGTGGCTGTTGATGATTTTGATCAAGATATTTTTGTGGTGGAAATATATAGTGATGGTGTTTCAATATGTTCGTCTTGTTTTCGTGTTTCGGGACATTGCGATATTTTTGACGACTTTCCAATATCTCCTCTTCGTGTCGACGATATCGATTTTTACATACGCCGTATCTTTCCTCAAAGGCTAGAGTGTCACAAACTAGTGGAGAAGTCCCCCAAGAAAGTCAGCTAAATCTATTCAGAAGCTTCATGAACTAAGAGAAACAAGCAGATCAATGAACAAAATTTACACCAACCTCTTTCTTCAATCTCATCCGGTGCGGTGAGGGATGAATCGGATACGCTAGGCAGCGTCTGCACGGACGATATTGACGAGCTGCTTCCCGTGCCTATGTCGGATCCGTCTAGAACCCCCCTCGTTACATGTAGACCAGAGACATTCATTCTCTCGTTAGAGGCTACAAGTAGCAGTGTTCGAACTATCCTTACGTAGACTGCGTGGGCTATCGGTCGGAGGTAACCTGGTTGGCTCGTGGGAGCCTGGCGATATTTGACAGCTGCCTGGAAGCGACGTTAATGACTAGTCTTTCGTTAAAAACGGCTGCAAGGGACGAAGGTGGCGTGTCTATCAAATTTCTTTATTACGCAAGCCAGTACAGCGAACGATGGCGATAGCGTATGCCAACGATCGATCAGATCCCACCTTCAAACGCCTTTATTGAATTAAGACCATTCGCCAAGCTCAGAGATGTTAGGGTCATCATAGTGCAACGTTCCGCTCTTGGGGAGCCTCATCCAGGCCTTTGTTTGCATAACTAAAAAATGGAGTCACCGAAACACGGAATTAATGTTATTTCTGAGCGTAGTATTCGAGTTTTTAACCTCTCCGATGTATGTGCCTTTGACCACGTTCTAACCTAGATAGCGATTCTGTAAACCTAAGAACTTCAAGGGCGACCTAATTAGAGAGTGTACCTAGATAGGACTTCTCTAATTCGAGAAATTTCGAAAGGCCTGGGTTCCAGGCTGGACCTGTTTCTCAAATTGCCAGCTTTCAGCTTTCAGGATCTCGTTACCAACAATCACTCCCTTGGGGCCTAGCTAGCTAGCCTTATTGCTCGTCCCGCGCCGCCTACCAAAAGCAGAGCTCACTTTTATTATATCCTTTTGATATGCTATTTAATCGATTTTACATGTGACTAAGGTACATACGTGGATATAGCATAGCTATACAAACTATGAACTTTCATGCATATGCTCAGCGGCTGTATTAAACATTATTTTTTTATTATTTTTACCGGGCGCTAATGAGAAGTGCCACCAAACACGGCAGGAAGCCGAAATAAATTATCACTGGTCGGCAATCAAGACCCCTTTACCGTTGACCCGCTCCCAATACTGAAATAAAATGCAGAACGAGGAGCATGGGGATTTGAACCTGGCTCTGTTCGACCGGTCTTAGGTTTGGGTTTCAACACTAGCCGATCTAGTTAACTTCAATAAGGAGCATTTCGTAGTCTGGGGGTCGCTTCCTGGCGTTCACAAGCATTTCGATATTTCTGCTCGACGAGGAACTGACGGCGTTCAAGGTCGACAAGGAATATGGGTAGTTCGTGAAATATTCGCTTCCAAATCAATCTGATAGGTTGTGGGCACCTTCGAACGTTTTACGGATCCAAGGGCCTTCCTCTTCGAATCCCAAGGATACTCACATAAACTTCCAAGGGATTGAGAGTGATAAAGCAAGCACATAATCCTTCAAGGTGATACATGTAATCTGGTTTCATTCATTCACTAACACCCATTTGCTATGCGGCCGGCCTTGCGTTACATAGAAAATATTTAGTGGGTAACCTTCGAAGTCGTTTCCTAAGATTAAAAGCATGCTAGCACATTGCACAACAGGCATTTATTTCGCAAGTATTTCCTTGTAGCATAGGTCTCCCATGTTAGTGTGGTATTTTGTGTGTTGGTGGGTTACACAAACTTGTCTGCTGCCAGAACGGCGTAGTCTCGAAGTCAGAGCTGCAGAGTCGAGTCCGGCGCTCTTGCATTGCGGCTGCGGCCGACGTATACGTAAATGCAATGCAATATTTTAATAGCGATTTGACCGTTGCAATGATATCGATTGCCTCGTACCCAGCCCGTGATACCGACTAGAACTCAACTTCATCTTTATCTTTAGCTAGCTTAGGAATTATGTACGAGGGGGAAATAATTTACTAGGCTTCCTTAGCTTAGCAACGTTTATATTCTGTCTAAGTTCCGCTAAAATGTCAAAAAGTTAATTAAGTATATACGTATTCTGGTCTATATTATTTTGCGCAATTGCACCATGAATGCGCACATATACTGTGCACTGTATAGTGCGCGATCTAAGATCGGTCTAGCTGGAACGAAAGATTTCCCTTAATTATTTAACTTAAGATAAATTTAGAACTGAATTAGACATATAATTCAGCCGGCTTACGCTTCTATATAAATAATCATAACATTTTCATATATAATAGACAGACCTCAGGTCTAGCTCACCAGCCTTAAAAATTTTAAACTCTTAAAAAACTAGAACTTTATCTTTTGTATTACAAATGCCTCTCGAAATATAAGGGCTGAATTCAAAAAGGTCGATATATGTATACTTGAACTAATTACCTTATATATCTTAATGGGGACCTGGAGCTGGGATTGTTAGCTAAGTCAAATCCAGTCCCCGAGAGAACCTCCTATAGAGTCAGATACCACCATAAATTAATAATAGGTACCATTGATAGCTGTCTGTCACGATATATGCGAGAAATGCTGCGGAACTTAGTACGCATAGTAGCCTTTAAAATAGATTCGATATAAAATCACCTCTGCACCCGAGCTCCCTAACCTTCGATGTATTATAACGAAGTAAACGTTAACTTACATACAGGTTCTCAGGCGAGCATATGCACTGGTATCGATATAGGGTATCATTGCAGGATACCAATCAACATATATAACGATATATCGACAGGTGACGAGGCTCCAACTGCTGCTGCCTTTATAGCTTGAGCTTGGTCCCTTATTCGCGGCCGACTAGCTACCCTGGGCCAGCAACAAAACCGATGGCCGCCGACCTAAGTGACTAGATCGAACTAAGCCCGGTTACATATGTTAGTCATAGCTTGATTACCGTCCTTATATTACAAGTATCTTGATCGATTCTTGACAGTTATATGACCGACTTTCAGAAAGATCTTGTATCATTTTTGTCTTATATTCCCACGTGGGATATTTGTAAATCGGAGGCGAAGGGAAGTGGCGGATCTGAATATCGTAGCCAGAGTTTTGGCGAGAAGCCTTTCGCCGCCGTTTTGCAAAGTTGGGAAGGTTGCACATGCAAGGCTAGTCGACCGATAATCTAGAGTGCGGTAGTACAACAAACTAGCATTTCAGCATATGCAAGCCGCGCAAGTTCGACAAAAGGGGCAGCAATTCCTGTTTTTCCATTGTCCTAAGTGACTTGTACGTTGTCCCAAATTGACAGGCGGGATTAATGGGAGGCTGCTGGCAGTTCCCAGGCCGGGTAATACCCTCTCCGATCGAAGTACTGCTGCCTAGCAATAAGGTCGCTGTATTCTAGAAACTGGATATCGTTATAGTGGCTTACAATTATAGTCGTACAGGCGGAGTATTGGTAATATGGTTTTGACAGCTCCCCTCCATCAGTGATCGAATCACCCTCTCTTGACCAGGAGAAACGAGAGTTCGAACCGTCTATCCCCACCAAGATATTGCAACCAGCAAGCACCAAAGGCTGCTACAGCCGTTGCTATATATTCCGTCCGCGAGTCGGAACTCCAACATAAGCTTTTGTCCACGTTGACGGTTCAAGAGTCAACGGCTTTCAATATTTTGACACTATGGCGCAACAGTATTCAGAGTGGAATGAGGGGAATAGCAACCACGATAATCGTCAATATGATATATCCCCTCGACCCCTTCAGTATCGTGAGAGTGGCCTCAGCCCTTATAATGGTATGCCCAATACCATGACTTCGAGTATGCAGTCCTTGCATAGCGAGGTCAGCCAACAGATCCAGGACATGAGCAACCCAACTCGTTCATACCCTATAAATCACAGTCATAATCACCCTCTCCCACCTGGGAGTGGCCAGTATCCCCACCGTATAGCTTCTTCAGAGTATCTTTCACAATCAGCTAGCCAGACACTTAATCGGCCTGCGCCGTATGCGAATTCATGGCATCATGGGCAGTCGAATTATGAGGAAGTTCAAGAACCGCCAAGGACGGCTCGAAGAGCTACATCTTTTCATACCGAAGAAGCAGTTGGCTATGCTACAACTACTCCGGCACCGCTATACAACGGTCGCCACAGCCGCCGAAGCTCTGCTGCACGTTCTATCCCAGGGCAGCCTCGCAGCAGCAGCGAGCAAGGCGAAGTCTATAGTACCGCGATGCCCAGTCCAAACTTGCAAGGGCCGCTACCGATGCCTCGGATTTCAAGCACTTCGCTACACTATGCGTACCATAACTCTGAAGATGCAATTACCCCTTCTATTGATACGACTGCCGTCTCAAGACGCTCACACCAGTCTTACAGAAATGCGACTGCATCTAACCAAAGTCCTACCATAAATGGGGAACTTATGGCCTATGAAGTCGATGGCCATCCTATATCTAACACCGCTGCTGCACACGCTTATCCCTTTCCGAACAATAGCCCTGGCAATAATGTTATCAAAGAAGGAGCAGCAGACGAAAGAAGTATAGCGACTAGTGGTGACGATGGGGATATGATAGTTCGACAAGACTTAAGGTATGGCTCGCCTGGGTTTCGAAATTTCCATGCATCTAGCAGAGAATATAAAACTTAACAAACATCCTAGGCGACAACTACATGAGCGTCATGTTGGAATGATAGCATTAACGGGGTAATTTTGAGAATTCAGTTCCCTTATATCTTTAGTCTGATATTAATTGATCTTCTATAGTGCTATCGGTATAGGGCTGTTCCTCACTTCAGGCAGAGTGTTGAAAATTGCTGGCCCAGGTGGCGCCGTACTAGCATACTTTCTCATGGGCACCGTGGCAAATGCAGTAATGGCCTGTCTGGGCGAAATGACCGCCCTCATCTCTATACCTGGGCCCATGTCTGAATTTGCTAGTCGATTTGTCGACGACTCTCTTGGATTCGCAGTCGGCTGGATGTTCTGGTAAGCTAGAAGCTCACACACAAAAATACAACATTTAACTGTGTTGTTCATGGCTTCTAGACTGTCATGCATAAGAAGCTTAGAGTCTATATAGACAAATTAACTAACGGGGTCTCTGACTTTTTAGGTTCACTCATGCGATTGGACTCGCATCCGAGACAACTGCTGCAGCTATCCTGATGACTTTCGTCTACAAGAACACAGGTGTAACTACAATCCCAACACCGGAATTTGACTGGCCAAAATCAGTCTTTGCATCCGATGCTGTGTGGATTGCGATATTCCTGATCCTTGTTCTACTAGTCAACCTACTACCAGTTCGTATATACGGAGAGTTCGAGTATGGATTTTGTTGCTTTAGAATTACGTGTTTGATCCAACTTACTAAGTCATAACTAGATACGTCTTCGCCTGGATTAAACTTACATGCATCATTGGCTTAATATTCGTTATGCTGGTCCTCAATTTACGAAGTACAGTCTGAAACTTTTTATCCTTTTAGCTATGAGATAAGGATTAACAGGTTCAATAGGTACAGATAGGTATGGAAGAGACGGACCGATTGGCTTCCGTTGTTAGTATATTCTATTATCTGATGATGATATTCTATCGCCGATGACAGCTGACTCCCATATTTTTCCAGACTGGAGCAAATGCACAGATGCAAGCTCTTTACAATATACCGCAAATTGCACTCAACATCCAGAATGGGGTTTCTTCGCCCAGGCCTTTGACTCCGGGAGGCAGAAGATATGGGCAAATCTCGCAGATCCAATCAGAGCTGAGTACCTTCAACAAGATGGCGACTTGGGAAGACTTAAATCTGTCTGGACTGCTCTTACCCTCGCATTTTATGCATATCTTGGTATGGAAATCATCTCCGTTACGGCAGCTGAGTCTCGAGCCCCAGCATTGTCTATCAAAACATCGACACGAAAGATGTTTTGGCGTCTTGCTACGCTGTATTGTATTGGCATGGTAAGTTTTTTTATTGGAATAGATTAAGATGAACTCAGAAACTAATACTTCGATGACAAGTTCGTCGGGTCTCTAAATGTACCTTACACCCACCCCAACCTGCTATCGCTTCGCCCAGACAACAGCGAAATCCAAGGGAAAGTCTCCCCATTTATTATCGCCGTGGTCGAAGCTGGCATCATCGGTCTCCCTAGCTTTCTCAACGCCCTTTTCTTATTTGCCGCATGGAGTGCCGGTGTATCTGCTCTTTTCGTTTCCTCGAGAACGATGCACGCAATGGCCCTTGCGGGCCATTTTCCAATCCCCAAAATGAAAGAAGTCAACCGATACGGTGTTCCGGTGAATGCTATGCTATTATCTTGGCTCGTCGGCTTTCTGGCTTTCCTCCAGAGCGGGAATAATGCCCAAGAGGTCCTTGGGTATCTCGTCAAACTAGGGACTATCTCTTGCCTAATAGTTTATGCTTGCATCTCGGCCTCATATATTCGATTTTTCGAAGGGTAAGTTGACTTAAGGACTTTTCCGAAGCAGAAATTAATACTGATCTTAAGTATATGACAGTCTCCGACATAGAAATACCTTTTCACGATGTGACGCCCGATATCCATACCGTTCGAGGTTTCAACCTATAAGAGCATGGTATGGCCTCATCGGGTCCTCCATGGTTGTTATATTCAATGGCTGGGAGTTCTGTACGTCCGATTTCGTCGACGAAGGCAGCGCACGGGCGAAGGGATTTATATTTTCCTATCTTGCTGTAAGTTCGAACTATCTATACCCTCGTCCATATCTGAACTAAAAATTACCTTACCGTTAGTTTGTCGGGTTCCTTGTCCTCTACTTTGGTAGAAAATTGGTAACAGGATCGGAGTTCGTGCCTGTGGCGTCTATGGACTTTGCGGGCGCAAGATTGAGACAAGATGTCGAAATTACTGGGAAACATTGGCTTATTAAAGTGTGGGACTGGCTCAAATAATGAGCTATCACTTTTAAAATTTCTTATTTGCTCTGCTATGCTTTTTAAGATCCTTTATGACTTCGTTTTCAGTCCTTCAACTACCGCTATAATTAATAAAATCTATCTGGGGAAATATGTAATGGGCAGTTGAAAGTTATACATGTATGGATGGTTCCTTTGACTAATACGGGTCACGGAATTATCGATATCATGAAAATTCATAATATAATTGATTAAATTTGATAGATTAATTTCTCGAACTACTTGATTTCCCTAACAATAACTTTTCGACTCATTAGGCCTTTAAAGTCCATTAAAACATATATCTAAACCCATTGAAAGCACATTCCCCAATTGCAATTAATACACCTTGCTGACGAGGTCTTTTATATATCCTCCAGATGAGAATCCCACTATACATATCTTGCATGTACACGACCTCGAACAGCAGAAATAAATCGTACAAGACCAAAACAAATAATCCCTTTTATACACTTAGCTTTTATACTCCAGACCGGTACAATATCCTAAATTTAAACCTCCCCACAGAAACGCCCGCAAAAAAAAATACCCACAGTACATACCTTCCTCATTAAACCCCCCAGTACTACAATTAATTACTTAATTAATAAATCTCCCCATCACTCATAATCGAAATTGAACACCGTTCAACATAAACAGGCCCCCTTTTCAAATCCGGATTTACAAAATCCCCAACCGTTCTTCCGTTCTGGTACATCAACCCGGCCTCCCCTTTGTCTTTATAATCCTTCAAAATAGCTTGGAAATTCGATCGAAGGGGACTATTCGGTGGGAGGTCTGCGAGTTCTTGTTCGATTTTATGGATACGGTCTGAAACGTCCTCTGTATCCGAGTAGGAGTGTATGTGGGAAGAGTGGCTTTCGATGTCGTCTACTGCGGCGGCGGCGGCGGCGGCAGCAGCCTGAAGTTTTCGGAGGGTGATTGACATTTTTGTTGGGTTTATTTTATTTTATGTTTTTTTTTCTCTTTTGAAAAAGATTGAATTTAAATCGAGGGTGCTATTTCCAAGTAGAGTAGAGATAAAGGTGTAGTATATGTAAGTATGAATAGTATGTTAAGCGTAAGTCGAGGGAAAGAAGGCCGGAAGGCAATCTTTGATATTTGTGTAGTCTGAAGGGAATCGATGACGTAGGATATGGATCCGCTACGAGAGATCGATAAGATTGCAATTGAAAAGTTAAAATAATGTACCAGGCAAGATCAATTGTATCAGGTATCTGTCTGGACGGAACAACCGGGAGTATTTGATATATTTAAGGATAAAGGTTGAGTTAAACTATCCGGAAGAACCCACTGCTGAAAGCCGTAAGAACTACAGAACAGAGAGAGAGAGAGAGAGAAAATCTCGGTCGATGAGCATGAGGCCCATGATGCCCCAAATATATACCAATACCCAAAGATAAGAATCCTTCTTCCCGGCTTCAGGAACCCTGTGTAAAAATTCAAGCTTTCTGTTCTAGAACCCAGCAACTCCAGTCAAGGATTGTCCATTTCCGGTCTACAAACAAATGACACCGTCCCCTTCTTCTTTTTCTTGGTTCGACAAGCGAAGTTCCAAACGGAAAAACCTTGTTAGCAGGCAAAGCAACCTGGTTGCAATGACAATGCTAAAAAAAGGCAATCGACTAAAAATATACTTGTAAGCGGAAGGGAAGCTGGATAAAACCTTGATCGTTGGTGGGAAACAGAATCAGGTACAATCGCCACATCTCTTTCCTGTTTCATAGATAACGTCTTGACCACCGTTTTGGGCCGATACTGAAAACGTTACAACGTGGACTTCGAGCTCGAGGCGGATGGCATGCATATGCTGAAGATCTTAGCTTGTCCGGTATCTGGGTTTTAGGGCTACATCGCTGGACATTATTTGAAAAACGGCATTGGAATGATCTGACGGATCTGGATTCATTCAAATTTCAAACAGACCTTGGAATCGGGATATACCAGGACCAAGCAACCCCGACCCTGATCTGTAGATATCGACGGATGCATTTACTTCATAAGAACAAAATAGATATATAAAAAAGTAAAAATTCACTTGACTAGAGCAAAGGATGAGCACTAAGGAACATGAGCACATCTACCTAAATCCTTCCAGAAGTCTGTTCCGGCAACTTCCCGCAATCCGTGAAGCAATTCCTAAGATAAGAAAAAGTAATAAAAGTGATATCCCATACGGGCTCTCACATCAACATCCCAATATCCTAGAATGGGTTTGTTCCAGTAAACCGGTAGCAGGTTTACCTCTATCAAACACATCCCAAGATATGGAGGCGGCCAATAAAAGTGGTATCTCGCCTGCTCATAAACATGGAGCACTTGGCGCTTACCAGATATTAAACTGAAAACAAGGCTCGGAAAAGCAAGTGAAGGGTATAAAGGGAAACAAGCAACGGATATATCGTCGGAAGTAATTTTTTGACAAACAAAACGCATATTTATAAAAGTAGAACGAGATGTTTTGACATGGACAGCATAAAGTCAAAGAGGAAGTTCTTTACCATACTTACCCCGCCAAGATGTGGTGAACATCCTAGGCTTATTGGAAAATTCGATGTCATCTGTTGGGTGTCGGGAGATTCGTAGAGTTGTAGGTTGTTGAGAGGGCTAAACCAGGAGGGTCGAAGGTGCAGAGCAGAAAGGAAAAATAAGAAACGTTTTTATGACGCCGTAACTCCGAGAAATGCGCGGTTTGCAGTTGATGCTGAATGGTCGAACGAAAAACTAAGTGACAGGGACCAGTCCAAAAAGTACCATAGGACTGTCCCGTTTCGTAGATATGTTTTATAGAGATTTATGCTTCTTTGAAGCAGGTGGGGAACCCCTGACCTCGCCATTTTCGGAAAGCTCATCTTCTATTTCTTCGTCGTCGTCCTCTCTCGCTCTCTTCGTAGATGTTGCAGTAGATAATGTTTCATGGTGATCAAGGCCTAGGAGAGGTGCGTCGTCGTCGTACTCAGGCTCCTCCTCATCGTCAACTTCACTGAATGGCAATGGGTACTCGGCGAATTCGTTGGGATCAAGTTCGAAGGTGTCACCCGCTGCCTCAGCAGTTTCGCTAAGATCTTCAGGAAGGTCATATGCGGCTTCTACATACGCAGAGCCTTCGTGTCCCTCTTCATATTGATATTCTCCATGCTCATTTTCATCGGCCTCAGCGTAAGACCATTCTTGCCAGTTGGTATCATTAATATTATCGGTCCCGTCCTTGCTGGAGCCTTGTAAGATAGCTTGGTTATCGGTCTCGCCCTCGGGAACTTCATGGAGGGTGCTAGATGACTTCTCATCTTGGGCATCTTCTTCTTCATCTTCTTCTTTTTCTTCTCGGTGGTCATGGTCTTGCTCGTCAAAATTGAGTAATCCGTCATCTAGAAAAGGGAGCAGATGAATATCGTAAGCATCGTGATTTCCAACTTGGTTTTCTTCTACTCCCAATTCCTCGTAGTTATGAGTATAGTCTGCAATACCTTTATGATGTTCCTCAGATTTGAGCTCAGGTTCTTCATTGGAGCTCGGGCTATCTGGTAGCCCATAGCTACGAGAAGCCGAATAAAGGACGGACGTATCTTGCTGTTTTTCTTCAGCAGTTACGAAGCTTGCCTCGTCGTCTTTGATATAGCTGCTATCACGGCTATGATCTACGACGTTTAAGCGAACCTCGGCGTTTGGCGTGGCTTCAAGGTGTTGAGAGAGCTGGGTCTCTGGTACATTGGAGACATCCGTGTTGGATGTCTCCTGAGTGGCCGACATCTTCCGCTCCTGGATAATTGTCTGCGATGGGCTCTGCGGCACATCGACGGTGGCGACCGTAGTAACCTCTGGCTGCACATCAGTTTGGTGGGTTTCCCCACCGTAATACACATCCTCGGCACCAAGGCCCTTCTCAAACTCCTCAAGTTCGAGCTCGTCGTCTGCATGTTCATCAGTTGCAGTTTTAGCCTTTTCTAAAGGCGCGTCGCCCGGCTCATTTGCCTGGGCACTTTCAGGGGGCTGGCCATGCGTGGAGGCAAGAATATGCCCCCAAGAAGCAAGGCCGCCCCCTTCAACGATGTGGCTATGAATCATCTCGAGCCTCGGGATATACTTCTTTCTCGAAGTCAAGGAAATGTGGAGGGGGCGAGCCTCCTCTACGCCGTCCTGGGCTAGCAACTTGGAGAAGAGCCCGAGGAGGTCATATAAGGTGAAATTATTCATCTGATTATTCTCCTATTTAAATCGCAGCAGGTTAGCAAAGCTGTAGAGGCCTTTTAGGGGAGCCCGGTGACATACCTCCTCGAACTCTACACCAAGCGCTGTGAAGTTTAGTATGAGTTCCTCCGATGAAGTGAACTCTTCTCCGAGAACATCACGCAACGCCGCCACAAGCTTACTCAACGGACTACCGAGATGTGATCGATCGGGGAGGAAGCAGGTCTCTGGGAGATTTGACTTCTCTCCCGAAATGGGGAAAAGCGAGAACTCGAGGTCTCGGTAAATGACAAGAACGGGGTGGGTGAGTAGAGGGTCATCGTGAGCCACATCAGTATGGCCCTCATCCCGGGTTTGCTCGTGTCCCTGATCATGGGAGGATTCTTCTTCTAAATGCTGAGACGACTGGGAAGGAGGCACCCGTTCCGTGTCTTGCTCGGAGTGAGGGGTATGAGGGGAAAGGGCCTCTGGGTCTGACGGGAGTGAGCGGCGAGATGATCCACTTCCGGAAGGTCCGTGAAGTGGTGAGGTGGGTATCTCTTGGTGCGCGGGGTATGTAGGGGCCGGGGGGCTTCCCGATACCCCTTGGCCTTCTAAAGCATACCAATCCCGTTGGTTGACGTCCGGTGTGGGGTTCTCCAGGGCGATAGTCTCAGCCTGACTAATTCGGAGCGGATCTGTTGAAGATGACGGGGTTTGGTGTTTGGGGGTCTTGTGATTAGAGGCCTGCGGAGTTTTTAACTCGTCGGCATGCGGGGTGGGAAGTGAAGGGGGGGTTGCGGGGTCTTCTGTGGGTGGGACTATTTCAGGTTCTAAGAGCTGTTCTTCTGGATTTTGCCGTTCAACATTTTGGGCATTAGAAGGGGGAGACTGAGGTTTAACGACCTCGGACCCGAAGGGGGTACTCGAGACGTCTACATTTGGTTCCTCGGTGGCTGCCGGGAGCTCTTGCGCCGATGTGGTTTTGTCAGGAGAACCGGCTAGAACTTCGGGATTTGAAATACCTGATTCGGCCGTCGTAGGCTGATTCGAGGGTTGGGAAGCTTGGTTCTGTGGCTGTTCAGAAGTCTGTTCAGGGACCTGCTGAGTGGATTCCTGTTGAATATGTTGCTGCTGAACAGACTGTTGCTGAGCCGTAGTTTGTTGCTCGACTGGTAAATGCTGGATCGGTTGTTGCTGTTGGAACTGCTGGAGTGGCTGAATGGGTTGAAGAGCCTGGAAGTCGTACTGAACAATGACTTCCGGCGGGTCTGCATCTGTCATAACCTCATTAATGACTTGACTGAGAGCATCATCCACCATTTCATCATCATTCGCTTGCTCCATATTATATCGTCCAGACGGGACAGATAGGCCGGGTTGGCCAAAGATCAAGCTTGAAGCAGGGATATTAGCCGCTGTTTCCATAGGATCATCTATAACTGTCGGTATGGGTGTCGCCGAGAGGTCATCCAAATTCATGTCGTCATCCTCGTCATACGTGTCGAGGTCGAGGTCAATGTCTATATCCTCGTCACGAGGAGCATTCCCCATATCATAGTCGCTGGTGAAACCGGCTTGGCTAACCTGAATCATGGGTACTGATAGCGACTGACTGGGCATTTGCCCTGGCATCTGGTCTTGCATCTGCGACTGAGGATCTGAGTTGATGGCACCAAAGACCTGAGTTGGGTTATGTTGGTCGAACGAGAAAGCAGCGCTCGCCGAGAATGAGTCGGAACTAGGTCCGACGTTATTTTGATTGGGATACGCGACGCTCATCGCTTCTAGGGGTTTGAATCGTTAAATGTAGCTAGAATCTTGTGTTTGTTAGTAGAATGGGTTGCTGTTCATGTTAGAAGGGTGGTCGTTAGTAGGATAAGGTGAGATTGTTTCGCAGGATAAGGTCTGGCCTATGTTGGTTGTCGAGTCTAGGCCAGGTTTCTTCTGTCGGGAGGATGTTACAGGACAGGATATGGTTAGTTGGATGGAGATGGTGATAAATATGAGTTACTATTTGGCCGGGTTTGGGATGTATTCTCAGGATTCAGACGTCTAGTCTCGTGGCTGTGAATATGGGCGGAAAGTGTAGGTTGTAAAACGTATGAGTCGATAATCGGAGATTTATTCAACCGGTACTGGCAGCACGTAAGATGTAACAGCACGGGAACCAGGAGGTGTGTAAAGGACGTTTTTGTATAGAACGTAGCCTCTTGAATGAAACTATCGAGGTTCCCTGTAGTACAGGGTGCTCTTTTTCTTGTCGTCGCGGAGGATGATGAGGAGGAGGAGGATGTGGTGATGGATGGATAGATAGACAGAGAGGAAGGAAGATGAAGGTTGATGGTTGGTGGAGGGGAGATACCTTAACAAAGACAGTAGTCAAATTAAAAGAGGCCTGAAAGAGCGCAGAATTGAAATTAAAAGAGGGGCAACGCACAGCGCGACTTGCCGAGTCAAACAGTTCCGTGTCCACGTGACATACCAAACAGGCGAACTGGCACCTTCGCAGCACAACAGCTAACGAAGCTTAACATACCGCAACCCGACCTATCGACAGACTATACGACACCTGTGCTGCTCCGTATCCCATCCCATCGTACTATCGCCCGTCACACCGGTTATAAATCATTCACAATGGTTGTTCTAGCAGCTAGTATTACCACCCGAAGCGGGAAACCCGTTTTCTCTCGCCAATTCAGGGAGATGCCACGGTCGAGAATAGAAGCTCTCCTGGCGGCGTTCCCAAAGCTCACAGACTCGAGCACTCAGCACACCACAGTGGAGGGCGACACCGTCCGATATGTTTACCAACCGCTTGAGGAGTCCTTCTATATGGTCCTTATCACCAACAAGCAAAGCAATATCCTACAAGATATCGACTCTCTACATCTATTCGCTCAGGTTGTCGGGAACGTTTGCAAAACCCTAGATGAAAGAGAGATTTTAAAGAATGTCTTCGAATTGATGGGCGCTTTCGACGAGGTGGTGAGTTTGGGGTACAGGGAGAACCTAAGTCTAGGACAAATCAAAACGTTCCTCGAAATGGAGTCCCACGAGGAGAGAATACAAGAGATTATTGCTAGGGTATATATACCATGCTTCGCACGTTATTATAGGAGATGTTGTCACTGACGCGGCGATACTTCAGAACAAAGAGTTCGAGGCTAGTGAAGAGCGCAAGCGGAAAGCCAAACAATTGGAGCTGCAGCGAAAGGAGGCGCAGAAGAGCGGCCGTCCAACTGGGCTTGGGAATACCCCGCGCTCATCTGGCTACCAGTCCTATCAGCCTGTCACCCAAGCTTCGCCCGCTGCCACCAGTACTTATGATTCATACGAAGCTGAGAAGAACAAAACGTTCAAGTATGCTACTCAAATTTGCATTGGTGCTGTTGGATATCAAGCTAACTGTGATAGGAGTGCGGCCCCGAAGGGCAAGGGCATGCAACTTGGCCGCAAGTCCAATACATCGTCTATGTTCGACCGTGTTAAGGCAGATTTAGGGCCAGATGCCGAGAGTGCGTCATTAATATCCCACCAAGCACCCGCTCCAGTTGAAGCATCGCCGAGAGCGTCGATGCAATCCGGTGGCGATGGGATCTCCATCGCAATCAAAGAAACAATCTCTGCGGAACTCACAAGAGATGGTGACCTCAAATCCTTCGAAGTCAAGGGCGACATGATGCTCCGCGTCAATGATGCTTCCCTTGCAAAGATTAAGATCGATACTGTCGCGGACGCCGCGGATGGAACACAGTTCAGAACACATCCAAACGTCGATAGAACTTTGTTTTCTAACTCCAATGCTTTACAGCTGAAAGATCCTAGTAAACCATTCCCATCGAATGGCCAGGCTCTTCCAGTACTCCGCTGGCGTCTTGTCGGAAAGGCTAGTGATGACCATTTGCTACCAATAAAGTTTACCATCTGGGTCAACCGAGGCTCCGGAGATAACTACACTATCACTGCAGAGTACGAGGTTCAAGCTCAGGAACCTCTAAATGATGTTGTGGTTACGATCCCATACGCCGGATCTCAGCCCAGCGTCAGCAGCTTCGACGCTGATTACACAGTCTCCGGCAGCGAACTTATCTGGCGAATTGGCACAGTGGATTCAGATAACGGCAGTGGCAGTCTCGAATTTGAAGCAGAGGCTGATGACGATTCCAACTTCTTCCCGATGAGCGTATCATTTTGGAAGTCCAAGCCATCCGTAAATGTCGATGTGAGTAACCGAGATCCATTCAAAACAAGTTGTGGTGCCCAGAAAAACTAATAGACAAATAGGCAACCAATATTACATTACTAGAAATGGGTGAATCTGTTGACTATGTGAAGACCGTTGAGGCGAAGGCCGAGAAGTATCTCATCGTTAGCTAAGCTGTAGATAGTTCAGCGCTTCGGGTTTGCTGGTCAGGTTAATTGTAGTACTGTTGTAATGTATTTTGGGACGAATGGAAAAGTACCAATATATTTTGCACCTATGACATATGACATAATTTGTGATTCGGATATCTCCCCCCATTTTTTTTAAGAAAAAAATTTACAATCTAGCATCTGAAACCCGATATCGTGAAAGGCGGTTCGATATACCTATCTCTCCAGATCGTACTGCAAATGAAGCAGACTACCGCCGGTGTCGAAACAGAAAAACCGGTGGTTAACGCTAAGCTCAGACCAGGAACCAAGCCCAGCTCGCTTGGTTTCCGTTTCTATATTTTGCTACGGACCACACGTCAGGTTCTGTTACAGATTAGTTAACTAGCCCAGACTAACCAGCTGCATGGCCGTAGCATGGATTAATCAATCGGGATTAATTGGGATATCCTTCCTGTCCCCAAACTGCAATCTTCATCTTTTACATCTGATAATTAAATATGTCTTTCGGACATGTTTTACACCGGTATTAAAGGTTATAGTGGATGGCGTATTCGTTATAACAGAATTGTAGTGGATTACGTATCACAACATAGCTTTCCCCTGAGAGGCTTGACGGGATCCCTTCTCGAAAGGTTGAATTTAAATTATATTTACACGGTACCTGGAATCGATTAATTGGTGAAGCCGCGAATCGAAGCAGCTTCCTCCGCAATTTTAATTAAATCTCAGACAGTCGGTGGCACAACATCCCCTAGCCGTAACCGGAAACATAAGCTCATCGGAAATCTCCATCGAGAGTCGTGGGAATATAGTGATGAGGAGTTACGTATTTACTGTACTTGATCATTACCTAGTACCTATATTAAATATCGAGGAATGAATATATGCATGCAAGCATCAATACATATGGTCTCTATGGATCCAGGTTAATTCTGGAATACTACGGTGATATGCAAGCACATGGCCATGTCTACAAAAGTAGAGTCTACAGATCTCTAGAGAGAAATTAATTAGAATCGAATCTAAATATAGCATTCTCCGGAAGATATAATTTTGATATAACACCGCGCAGATAAAATAATAATCTCTTCCCGCATCGACAAGACCGTTTTAGTGAACCCTCTCGATGTTGCACCGCCCCCTCGTGTGAGAACCCAATCGACCGCTTCAGCCGATTATCTACAAAAAAGGGCGAACTAGGGCTATGTCAAGAACTCGAAATCCGCCAAGCAGGGGTTAGTTGCCATAAGTATACATAAGGAAGTAGCTGTCACTAGGTAGGTTAACTTGGTCCCTGATCGATGCCCGAAAGAATTCCCGTTCGAACGTTCCTGTGAATTCAAGCAGAGCATTCAAGTTAACAGCTGATCCAGGCCAGGTATCAGGAGCCACATCCCTCAGCCGGACTCGACCCCATATTCAGAACCTCGTGTTTCATGTTAAAACCAATCCGACAAAAACTCAACGTAGGGAAACTATAAACGTTTATCCTACCCCTCGAACCCGCTTCGTAGACATTTGTCTTCAAGCATCTTTCCTTTGTGTCTCCTTCTTATTCCATTCCATTCTTTTCGCCCTGTTCCGTCGAGGCGTATTCGCACATTCGAAGTAGCACCGGCTGCTACATACTGCATCACCAAACAGATACCCCGGGAAAAAGAAGCATCCCAACAATCCAGAAGCACCAAAAAGGGCGGACCAAGACGCGGACAAACGTAATAACGAGGTAAGTGGAGTTCGAAATCCGTTCTTGTTCGAGGCGGCCAGAAGTATTTTTGAGTTTCTCAGCGGAACGTTAACTAACGGGGGGATTCTTCTTAGTGGTTGACAGGACCGGTGCAGGCAATTGTGAGCAGCTACGACGCAGTGTAAAGGAGAAAACAGCAGGAACAACCACATCAACCTCAACCAGCCAGACCAGCCAGACCAGCCAGCCCATCTTCCCTTCACCTTCAACGACCACCATCACATCCCTCCCACCATCACAATCACCATCATCATCACATCATCGTCCACCGACAGCCAGCGTTCCTCTCGGCTTACTAAATATACCTTTCCGACGCTCCTTTTCTTCTAGCTTCGATTTCTGCTTACGACTCCCAGGACTCAACAGGCGGAATAGTCGATACACTGCTGGCCTTTTATCGCTATTTTTTTTTTTTTTTTTTTTTTTTTTTCCCCTTCCCTCCCGCTCTCTTTTCGGTTTGCCCGTAGACCCAACAACCCACTGAACATACTTACAATCGAGGTGGAACGAGGTTCACGACATAAAAGTCACATTCTCAAATTTCTCGCATTTCCGAGGCAACTCAATATTTGACCTTCCTGAATATATACCTTCCCCCGTGGCTCGCTTTTAAACAGCAACCTCGACGGCTCACTGTAAACGGCTGATTCTCTCATTCATTGCACGAACCTCTTTCCGACCTCAAAACACCCAGGATTCGCCCTAGAACGCACTATAAACCCGATATACGGAGGATCTGAAAGACTCTAAGAAGACAGGAAGGGCGGAATAACGGCTCAAACGTTCACTTTTCTTTTCGCTTGCTCTCTCCGCACTCTCATTTTCTGGGAACCTGCTGGGGATATCTAAAATCTCTGGAGCTTTAAAATGGTGGAGGATAAGTTAGTACACCCCTACCCAGCGACTTGGCGTTCCTTGGAAAAATCTGGCAAGAAAGGCTCTCCGAGTATCAGGGTTTTGATTATGGAAACTTGAGAGCCAGCAGAGGACGTAGAGCTCCGGCGACTATGCTGGATGTATATCGGCGAAGAACATGGCTAATAGCTGGCTGAATATAGATATGTCGGACTGGCGCTGGCCGTCTCCTCGAGTTTGCTAATAGGCTCGAGTTTCGTTATAACAAAGAAGGTGCGAACGAGTAGTCAGTCCTAGATCTGGGCCGTGAAGCTAATGTAGAACGTAGGGATTGATGTCGGCAGAAGCAAAGCAAGGATTTTCTGGCGAAGGATTCTCGTACCTAAAAAATTCACTATGGTGGATCGGCACAATAACAAGTACGAATGCCTCTATACGAACAACGATTTCGAAGGTGCTAATAGTACGATTTGTGATGTTATAGTGGGCATCGGTGAGGTTGCCAATTTTGCAGCATATGCGTTTGCACCAGCTATCTTGGTAACACCGCTGGGTGCTCTGAGTGTACTAATAGGGTAAGCTCTGGAGCTGAAAATCGAATTCAAAGGAAAGAAATAAAGCTGACAGATAGTTCTTTTTCAGGGCGGTGCTGAGCTCTTATTTCTTGCACGAGGATCTTGGGCTACTCGGAAAGCTTGGTTGTGCAATTTGTTTGATTGGTTCGGTCATCATTGTTCTACATGCTCCAGCAGATGAAGAAGTGGATGAGATTGAGCTACTGCTTCACTATGCTATTCAACCTGGTACGAACTGCCCAAAACTAAGCAATGAGGAAGCAATGACTAATATTGTTTCATAGGATTTCTCTTTTACTGTTTCTTCGTCTCCATATTCGCTTTCGTGATGATATACAAGATATCGCCGAAGTATGGTAAAAAGAACCCACTGATCTATCTCTCGGTTTGCTCCACTGTTGGTTCGGTATCCGTCATGTCGGTAAAAGCCTTCGGCATTGCGCTGAAGCTTACACTCGGTGGAAATAACCAATTCTCACATCCTTCGACCTACGTATTCATCATTGTCACTGCCGTGTGCATTCTCACGCAGATGAACTACTTTAACAAAGCTTTGAGCCAGTTTTCCAGCTCAATGTAAGTTTTCCCTCAGAACCCCATGACACGCTAGCTATGCAGCAGGGGAAGATGGTGTTCGAAAAATCCAAAATGATTGGCTAACACTTACGGGCGACGCAGAGTAAACCCACTGTACTACGTAACCTTTACAACCGCGACTCTCACAGCCTCCTTCATCCTGTTCAAAGGCTTCAATACATCCAGCGCCGTCAACGTAATCTCCCTTCTCTGCGGCTTTTTAATAATATTCGCCGGTGTCTATCTCCTCAACCTCGCTAGAATCAACTCAAAGGGTCTGATGAATGGTCATGCGGATGTGGACAGCATCCCCACCGACCCTATTTCCGGATTCCAAACGAGAAGAAGCATGCAGGCGAGGAGAAGTTTGGACCCAAACCGTCTAAGCGGCAGCAGCTTTAGACGAACTAGTCGAGACGAGATGATGTATGAGGAGACAATGGTCGGATTGACGGATCTAGCAGAAGACAGCGACGATGGCGATGAAGAGAGAGGAATGATTTCGCCGAGAAAGAGTAGTGGGATGCCCAGAAGCCCCGGGTTGAGACGGTAGTCGCCATATGAAGGGTAAAAAGGAAGTGAGAATTTGCACAATTTCCTAGAGTATGTGATTGGGTTCTATTACGAACATATTTCCTTTGTTCCTTTTTTTCTTTCTTCCCTACTCTCTTAATTTGGAACCAGGAATGGAAACGGTATAGGTGATAACTAAAAAATCTTCGCTTTCTTTTTCGTTTTTTTCTTTCGATTTGATCTGGAAGGGTATATGATTCGAGCATATTTTTAGCTCCTGTTCCCTATTTTCTTTTCTTCCCTTTTTCTAACTGGCGAGACAAGAAAAATATGATATGGGGAATGGGACTACCGATGTACAGGCTTTTTCTCTCCCCTTCCCTGTGGCCCTCGGGGCGGTACATACGCAGATTTTGATTTTTCCTTACCGGTGATGGGACTTTTTCATCGTTTTTTCTTCTGAATAGATATCTCTCTGTAACTGTTGTTTCTTTTGTCCTAGCTTTTTTTCTTATGTATATTCCCCCCACCCCTCTTCTTCTTCTATTTTGACTCTTATATGAGGTTTTTCTTATGCGATGTGGTATGGGGCCTTTCTTATTTTAACAATATTTTGCTTTTCGATTAGAGATCGAGAACTGTATGATACAACTACCTATATTATATACTATACAAGTATATATTATCACCAGTACTGGTGATATACTGTGGGAATTGGCCTTTTGACTCTTTCGAGATGCTCTAAATGATTATACAAACCTTATAATATAATATATGTATGAACTTGACATTGCGAGCCTTAAAATAGCGTCCCATCCCGTCCAGCCTGTACAGCTGTCATGCGTGAATATTAACAGCAGCCACGCGATATTGATACCAGTTTTTCACGTTCAGTATATATAACTGTGGTCAGTCGGAAAAGATCCGAAACAGCGACGACATCTTAGACCCATGGTTGACGAGTTTGGAGCAATCGCCAAGGAGGGCAACTTTCGGAGAGGTGTGGGTTTGCGTAAGCTACATCTGCTCCGCCACTATCTCCCCGATCTCCAAGATATCAGAAATCACAAATTCTCGCTTCTTTCGTTCTTTCGTTCCTTCCTTGTTTCTATTTTATGTCTCTCCACACTTAGGTTGCGAGAGGGGACGGCTGTACATCTTCTTGACAAGATGGAAGGTTGGTGGGATAACTAAGTAAATATGTCTGTTGGATACGCATGTTGCCCCAGTTGCAAGTCGTGTGAGCTATGTTTGACTTTGCAATGTACAGCCGCCAGAGACATACCAGGATCTTCTCGGGAAACTTTGTGACATTGATTTTTTTTTAAAAAAAAAAAAAAAAAAAGTTTGGACGTTTCTTTGAGCTCGGGTCGATCAAGAAGGCAAAGTAATATATTTGATATCGATCACATCAGGATACCATGGCCATGGTCATAGTCATAGTTCGAACGAGGGTCCACGTATTTGCGAAACCATCTGACCTAGACAACCTCCAAGCTTAAGCTCTGGGTGTGGTTGGAATTGAATGAATGGGGAAGTTAGAACCTTGAAAAAGAACCTGCTTCGAGTGCGAAGTTGTAAGAGGTACCTTGACGAAGTACTTCCATCGCTGTCAGAAGTTCGAAGTAGGTGTCAGAGGTATCCGGCGCAGCACTTTCACGGGCGAGAAATACAAATTCTTTTGTATACAAAGAACAAACATAGTAACATTTCAACAACAATGGCATGGATTTGGTCAACCGGATTAACTAAAATAATTAAAATAATTAAAATAAAATAGAATAAAATAAAATACTGAAGCGAGTGATTAAGTAACTGCTGACAGCTTAGTTGGTTTAGATGGGATACGAGGAGAAGAAGGCAAAGGTGTCTAGTACGTAGCCCTAGCCAGTCCTGAGTATAGCCTACTTAAGGACGTACTGGTATTTGAGGGCGTCGTGATCATATAAGGTAATAAGTATATATCTCGGGTGCACCCTCCTCCTCCTTCAATTCAAGCTTAGCTTCGAGTCTTTTGATGCTTTCTTTGGATCTGGTCAGCTTATATATATCCTCTAAGTACGTACCGTACCTATATTATTGACTACTTACTTTAAGTACTTACTCACTTAAGTACTTAGGTAGCTACGACATCCGTCATCATCGCCATCATCATCTTAGCTTCCTCATTCCGATTCATCATCATCAATCTCAAACTCGACCCGACCTCATAGGCAGCGTTTGTTCTGACGATAGTAGCAAACTGCCCCAGGAAGAGCCCTGCTTCAGCTCCCCTGTGTCCCACATCCAGTCACGGCCCTGAGACCGCTGGTACCTGTCGATTTAGCCGACCCTCCCATTAATTCAAATCCACACTTGCTTAAGAAATAACCAATTCCCATTCCCCGAGCCTGCAGCTCTTGCATACACTACATCTGCCGTTGGTCTCTGCATGCCATTTTTTATTAATAAACTGGCTATCGGATCTTTTTAAGTTTGCCTGAACTTCTGGGACGGTTTCAAAAGGAGAAAGAGCAAGCAAGCAAGCAAGCAGAGGAGCCTCTTCCCATCCAACGTCGTCCGTCTTACGGAGCACCCACTTCCTGCTCTAGAAATACCGCCGAACCTTTCCCACATCCCATCGCCCTTTTCGCTGCACCCCGCAAACTTCTACCTTCATCCTTCCTGTGCTCCCGTTCCATCGGAAATACAAAAACACAAATATTCACCGTACACGATTTTTCAGAATGAAGAAGTTTTCGGAATTAATACGACCGAAGGGTTCTCGAAGTGGTATGTGTTTGTGGCATCCTTTCCTTCTCCATGGATTATTATTCTAGTTGCCGGGGTTCTTCTCTATTTGAGTTGTTTTGCGGCTGGGTAGAATGGATGGACGGCGACGGATATGCGCATGAATAACATACGGCCTGAGCTTCGACTAACGAATATCGTGTTTTTTTCTTTTGCGACTGAATAGATTCACCGGATAGCGGCGCAGATACACCAGAAGCGAACGTAACAAGAGCTATCGTATGTATCTCTGACGTCCTCGATTCAGAGTCCCATCTTCGGTGTATTCCGAATCTGAAGTAACCAAGCTAGGTTGTTGAGCGGTAACAGTAACTAACCAACTCGGTAATACAGAAAGCTTTCTGCGAAGCTGGAAAATCAAAGCAATCGCAATCGGCCCCTGGACCCGAAGGCATTGATAGCACGCAGGTATAACCCATTAAATTTAATCCCGATTTGCCGAAGGAAAAAAAAAAGGACTGCCGTCGCACTAGGATCCTCTCTAACACGACATAATTTTTTTGGCAAAACATGAAATAGGTCGATGAAGTAACCTTCCTCCCTACTATAGTAGAATGCACGGAATCCTCCCCGACAGCCGCCCAAGCGGCGCTCAATACGATCCGGAAGCATGTCGAATACAAGAATTCAAAGCAAGGGTATCAGCAATACAATGCGCTCATGCTGTTCCGTATCCTCGTCGATAATCCCGGGCCGACGTTTACGAAGGGTATCGATGAGAAGTTTGTGAGCACGGTCAAGGAACTGTACAGGAATACTAGAGATCCCAGTGTTCGACAGCTGTTAGTGGAGAATTTGGAGTATTGTTCGAGAAAGGATGACCAAGGGTTGCAGTTGCTGAAAGATTGGTATGCGAAAGAGAAGGACAAGGCGGCAAAGATCTATGTAGGTCCTTCATTTTAACATTGCAGATTTCTAGTTAGATGTATATGAAGTTCTAATCGTTGATGGTGGTGGTTTTTTTAGTCCGGTGTTAATTCGCAGTCGAGGAATGCTATGGGCGCATATGTTGGGACAAGTATCCCGCCTCCGCCTCAAGGTGGGCACCGGGGGCATCGAAGTCATCGACGGTCAAAGCATCAGCTACCGTCGCCGGACGAGCTTGCAGCCAGGATATCAGAGGCGCAGACGTCGGCGAAACTCTTGATGCAAATTCTGCAAAGTACACCCACTAGCGAGATCCTGTCGAACCAATTGATCACGGTACGTAAAATAGAGTATTATAATATTATGATGGGCGCTAATATTGTTTTCATGTTATAGGAATTCGCGGATAGATGCTCGGCAGCTTCTCGTTCTATTCAAATGTTTATTGAAGCCGATACTCCAGCACCGCCAGATGAGTCGACAATGTTGACCCTCTTCGAAACGAACGAACAGCTTGCAACATCGCTTTCAAAGCACCAGTTGGCCATATTCTCCGCCAAAAAACAATCAAAATCTGGAGAGGTATCTCGTACGAACAGTATGAACCAAGTTCCTCAGACTCAAGTCGATTCACAATCACCACCGCCGGAGGGCCCGACTATGTCAGCGCCCGTTCATATGAATACTACGGGACCAATTCCTGAACCAGTTACGAACGCTCCGAATTATGGGTTCAGCGGTTTTGGATCAAGCCAGTCACCGCCTTTGGCCGAAACGAGACCGTTTGCGGCGCCTCCTCCACCAATCCAAACGAAGCCACAAACCGAAGAGAACCCATTTAGTGACCCAGAGCCCGCGAGGTATCAAGGTTGGAATTCGCAGCCGCAAGAGCAGCAAGAGTCGTCGTTATATACAACGGGTCGATATACGCCGAGTCCGGTTGAGCATGCGCCACCGGCTGGCCAAGGGAGACATCCAATGGCTGATGTTTCACCGGTTGCTACAAATGCACCACAGGTAAGATTTTATCGCACAATCCCTTTTTTTTGGTGATGTTAGTAACTAATGGTATTTTATAATAATCTGTAGATGCCGCATGGATACCAACCATACAGGTATTAGAGTAAAGACAAAGGATTAGATATAGAGGAGCCGGGGCATAAGAAAGAGGTTTAGATGGAACTAAAGGCTAAGGGAAGCTGGGTTTCCCAGGGACTCGCGACAAATATCCGAGAATAAGTTCTTGAATGGGGAGTTTCAATCTTTTTTATTTCTTTTTACTTTTTAAATTTTTTATTTCATTGAGAACCCGAATTGATCGATTAATCGATTCATGGACCGACTGGCTAGTGACTTAAATCTCACTATTTCGTATACTATTTTTATTTTATGGATTGTACGAGCTGAGCGCTGCTTTGGCCTCTGTCGCTTTTTATGCTGTATTTTGACGATGTCTCCTTTTTATTTATATCGCTCTTCTCGCCCTCACTTGCACTTGCACTTGTACGTGCACTCTCTCGCTCTGGCTCCCTCTCTCCCTATTCTATCGAGTTTTCCTTTGAAGAGAAACAAAAAAAACCGGAATGTATTTTTAAGATGCATATGAAACTTTTGCGAGATTGCCCTTCGAATCCCCATGACATGACCCCGGATGACAAGCCCTGGGAATGCCTACCGACTAACCCAGCTTGGGGGAGCCGAGATGACCTGCCCGAACGGCGATTCCGGTTGGATGATGTAACCTGCGGGGGGCCGAACAGGAACAGAAGCAGGAGCAGGGTGTCTCTCAGTTGACATGTCCGTTCTAACCTGCGCATGTTCCTGGCTCTGTTTCTGCCGGAGAAGCGGTCGAATCGAATCGAGTTAACTTGAACTGAACTGAATCAACTTGAATTGAGTGCACGACGTCAAAAAGGAACCTTAAACCCGCAGAGATTTCCTGAATTTGAATTTTGAACCTTCAAGCCAAAGGATTGGCTCCCCTGAATTTAGCACTTTCTCCCTCCTTTCTGACTCCATTATATACCTAAGTTCTTATAGACCCGCGATCCTACCAAACATTAAACTTCTGGCATATCGATCATCCTATCGTATCATATCATATCCACTGTCACTAATTCTCATTCCGGCCTGGGTGTTTGCTGCATTTATATCTTACGGAATCGACCCGCCGGCCTTGGAATACAAGAAGCCTCACTAGCACCAAATAAGACTCCTGACGGTTTCGCACACTATATCTACTACTTCCCAACCTCAGGATTATTTTATTCCGCTCGTTGCGAACCAGAAGGAAGAAAGAAGAAACTTATACACCTCATGCGGCATACGATAATAGCCGTCTGGTGTTCGGATTCCTAGATTCGCTCTTTTAAACTCCCCTCAAAAAACGACCATGGAGCCGTCGTCGGATTTACAGCAGAAGCTCTCAGAGCTAGACCACGAGCTCGAGGTTCGCCCTTCTTCTCCACCCAAGGACCCGTCTAGTCTGCCATATAATACGGCATATCATCATAGCTAGTACCTACTAATGACCTCACAAACTTCTATAGGAAGGCGAGATCACACGGAAGGGCTACGAGAAACGTCGCACTCTCCTCCTGAGCCAATTCCAAGGTGTCGGCAGCGCCACCTCCTCCCCGCGAGCATCGATACAATCCCAACCTCATATCGCATATAACCCCCATCACTCAGTTCAATCCATAAATCGATCTGCTGCCGCTTCTCCTGCTCCTTACCAGCAGCAGGAATCGCCAAGGCCGAACAGGCATAGCCTGCAAGTCGGACAGGCGGGGAACTATGACAGCAGAGCTGACACCATGGTGTCGGCCGTTACGGCCAATACACACTTCTCTGGCGGCGGCGGCGGAACTCGTAGCTTCTCACAGCCATTGCAAACTCCGCAATGGCATCAGAGGAATCATTCAGGAAGTGCGGCACCCGCAGCGCAGGCACGGCAGGCGTCATACTCATACGGTCACCAACCTCAGGGTTCTTCGTCGTCGTCTCAGAGCCAATACGTCGCATACCAGCCGCCGATGAGCGACTATGGAGGCTACAATAACAACAATGGTGGACAAGGACAGTATGATCCATACTATGGTAACCAGCAACAACAACCTCCAGTGCAGCAGCCTGGGGGCCAATACGGTTACGATTCCCGCGCCCAAACGATGCAAGAATATGCTTACGAAGGTACGAACACCATGACGAGTACCGCCTACTTTGCCGACTTTTCTCAGCAAAACTACGACCCGGCGCAGCAGCTCCGTCCGGATAACTATCAGGGAAACCAACCATATGTTCACCGCTACTCAGGCGCCACTGCAGATCCACCTTACTCCCCAGCTGTAAACATCGCCCCACCGTTACTAACGGCTTCAGACCTGCCGCCTGCGGTGGTTACTAGTCACCAGATGCCGCTAGAGCCTAGAGACGTCCCGTTCGACGTCTACGATCCACATAATGCCAACATTCCTATGTCGAAATTCGACAATATTGCCGCTGTCTTGCGATATCGAATGCGTGTGAATGGAAAACAGGCTGCCTACATGGTGCTGGACGGCAAAGGGAAAGAGATAGCCACTTGTAACTGGGATAAACTCGGTTCTAGGGCCGAAAAGGTCGCACAGGTCATCCGCGAGAAGTCGAACCTTTACAGAGGCGATAGAGTAGCATTGATTTATCGCGATATCGAAGTGATAGATTTTGCGATTGCGCTACTAGGGTGTTTCATTGCAGGCGTTGTAGCAGTTCCTGTGAATAATCCGGAAGATCATGCGAAACTTAACTTGATATTACAGCAAACACAAGCACATTTAGCCCTGACGACGGATAACAATCTTAAAGCTTTCCAGCGCGATCTTGTGAACCAGAAACTTCAATGGCCGAGAGGCGTTGAATGGTGGAAAACAAACGAATTCAAGAGTTTCCACAGCAAGGGTGAGGGGCCGGCTTTACAGGTCCCGGATTTAGCATACATTGAGTTCTCCAGGGCACCTACGGGAGATTTGAGAGGTGTGGTGATGGATCACAGGACAATCATGCATCAGATGTCGAATCTTTCGGCTATAATCTCGACTACGGGTACACAGCAGAGCTCGAAGGATACGTTCGCGTCGAATTTGAGGGATAGGGCTGGCAAACCGATAGCTGTTAGTAACACTGGAGAAACGCTGGTGACGTACCTGGATCCGCGACAGTCGGTTGGTATGATCATGGGGGTTCTGTTGGCTGTTTATGCGGGAAATACGACAATATACTGCACTCATTCGTGTATTTCCACACCGGGATTATACGCCAATATCATCACACGATACAAAGCTACGCTTATCCTGGCTGATTATCCGGGTTTGAAGCAAGTAGCGTATAATTACCAACAAGACCCATACACGACTCGCAACTTTTCGAAAAAGCAGACGGTTGATTTCTCGCCGATGAAGATGTGTTTGATTGATTGTTTGACAGTAGATTCGGAGTTTCACGAGATTTTAGCTGATAGATGGTTACGGCCCTTGGGGAATGCGAGGGCGAGAGATGTGGTTGCTCCTATGCTTTGTTTGCCAGAGCATGGAGGAATGTTGATTTCGATTAGGGATTGGTTAGGAGGCGAAGAGAGGATGGGGTGCAGTCTGGTGGCGGAGGTGCTGAATCTAGTTGATCCTGAGAAACCGAAGGAGAGTTCTCCAGGTGGTTATAGTGGCTTAATTGGGTCTGATGTCGCGAAGCTAGAGGATGGGCACAGGCAGAGCGACTTACTCGAAGCACTTTTGGATAAAGAAGCTTTGAAGACCAACGACGTGGTTATTGTCGCCGTTGGAGCGGAAGCTAGGAAGAGATCTAACGAGCCTGGTGTCGTTAGGTTAATGGCGTTTGGGTATCCTTTGCCGGATGCTACTCTCGCTATCGTTGACCCCGAGAACTCGGTGCTCTGTGGGCCCAATACGATTGGTGAAATATGGGTTGACTCCCCTTCGCTATCGGGTGGATTTTGGGCGCTGCCGAAACACACGGAAACCATCTTCCACGCAAAGCCATATAAGTTCGAACCCGAGAATCCGTTACCTGTTATGCTAGATATGGAGTTCTTGAGGACCGGCTTACTGGGGTGCGTGATCGAAGGGAAAGTGTTCGTGCTAGGCTTGTATGAAGATAGATTACGGCAGAAAGTGGAGTGGAGTGAAGGTGCAGCCGATATGGGGATGGGGAGAGCGATGGCGGAGTATCGATATTTCTTCGTGCAGCATGTTATTGTGAGCATTATCAAGAACGTGCCGAAGATATATGATAGGTGAGTTCTATTATCTCGAATACAGAAAATGGACACGCAACGGCTAACATTTGGTTGTAGCTCTGCATTCGATGTTTACGTGAATGATGAACATCTACCTATCATACTTTTGGAATCGCCCGCGGCTTCAACATCTCCATCCTCAGCAGGTGGACCTCCTAGACAGCTGGATACACCGCTGTTAGAATCGATAGCTGAGAAGTGTATCGAAGTTTTGCTCGAACAGCATCAAGTCAGAACATACTGCGTCATGATTACCGCACCCAATACTCTACCGCGAACGTGGAAAAATGGTCGGCGAGAAATCGGCAATATGCTTTGCAGGAAGGAATTCGACGTCGGTGGACTCCCATGCGTGTACGTCAAGTTTGGGGTCGAAAGAGCGGTATTGAATCTTCCCCTCGGCGCTGATCCAGTTGGTGGGATTTGGTCAGTTGAAGCGTCGGATCAACGACAGGCTGCTCTGGCTAGTAACGAAAAGCAGTACTCTGGCTTCGACTATCGAGAGGTTGTTATTGATGACCGGACATCGACACCACTCAATTCTTTCTCGAGCATTGTTGATTTGTTACAGTGGCGTGTGTCGAGACAAGCTGAGGAGCTGAGTTACTGTACTATCGATGCGAAGGGTAAGGAGGGCAAGGGAGTTACATGGAAGAAACTAGATCAAAAGATTGCGGCTGTTGCAGGCTACCTCAAAAAGAAAGGGTATAAGGCCGGTGAACACATTATTCTCATATACACGCACTCGGAGGATTTTGTATATGCGGTCCATGCTTGCTTTTGTATGGGGATTATTGTGATTCCTATGGCACCGCTAGATAATAATCGGTTATCAGAGGATGTACCGGCATTATTGCATATCATCCAGGACTACAAAGTCCGGGCGATCTTGGTTAATAATGACGTCGACTCACTATTAAAGCAGAAGAGCTTGGCTCAGCACATCAAGCAATCTGCTAACGTACTCAAGATTACCATGCCGCCGATTCACAATACCGCCAAGCCACCAAAGCAGAACAATGGATGTCGGGATATGGGATTCACGATGAAGCCTGCATGGGTGCAAAGTAAACAGCCCGCGATGGTTTGGACCTATTGGACGCCAGATCAAAGGAGTGTGGCTGTCAGTTTGAGCCATCAAACGATCTTGGGGATATGTAAGGTGCAGAAGGAGACTTGTCAGATGACGAGTAGTCGGCCGGTGTTTGGATGTGTTAGGAGCACGAACGGGCTAGGGTTTGTGCATACTTGTTTGATGGGGGTGTTCGTTGGTGAGTATATCTTGAGATTTCTATGATTGTTTATCGTATGTGACTGATCATTCTCGGGGGTATTAGGTGCCTCGACATATCTTGTTTCTCCGTTGGATTTTGGAGCAAATCCTCTCCTTTTGTTCCAGACTCTAGCACGGTATAAGGTTAAAGATACATATGCGACACCGCAAATGATGGATCATGCTGTTTCACCGATGACGAAGACTGGGTTTAATCTCAATGAATTGAAGAACCTTATGATTTCATTTGAGTCGCGGCCCAGGCAGGATTTGTGTAAGTCATTTCTTTCGGAATTTATTTTGATTTGACCGTATGCTGACTACGATTTCATAGACCGCAAGGTACAATTGCACTTTGCTACGACTTTTCTAGACCGCTTCTCCATCAACACTGTGTATTCGCATGTTCTGAACCCCATGGTGGCATCAAGATCGTACATGACGATAGAGCCCGTCGAGTTACATCTTGACACCAGAGCACTACGGCGTGGACTTATCTACCCCGTTGAACCAGACACTGATAGCACGAGCCTTCTAGTACAGGACTCCGGCATGGTTCCGGTTTCCACGCAGATTGCGATTGTGAATCCGGAAACTTGCAGGCTGTGCCACGTTGGAGAGTACGGAGAGATATGGGCTAGCTCGGAAGCCAACGCGGACAGCTTTTATGGAAGCAGTGATGCGTTTGATGCTGAGAGATTCAATGCTAAAACGGTGGATGGGGATCCGAGGATTACGTATGTGAGAACCGGGGACTTGGGTTTCTTGCATACGGTTAATCGACCTGTGGGGCCCCAGGGGCAACTGGCAGAGATGCAAATGCTATTTGTACTGGGGAGCTTGGGGGAGACATTTGAGGTTAATGGTTTGAGTCACTTCCCTATGGATATCGAGTCTAGCGTCGAACGGGCACATAGGAATGTGGTACCCGGTGGCAGCGCAGTCTTCCAAGCGGGAGGTTTAGTTGTTGTGCTTATTGAGGTATATCGCAAGTCATTTTTGGCGAGTATTGTCCCGGTTATTGTCAATGCGATATTGAATGAGCATCAGCTTGTGGTGGATATTGTGGCATTTGTGGGACAGGGTGATTTCCCAAGATCGAGATTGGGGGAGAAACAGCGGGGCAAGATTTTGGCAAATTGGGTCACGAGGAAGTTGTAAGTTCCTTCTTTTCCCCTTCTAGTTTATATGATTTGGGGGGCTCGTAGCGCTAATGATGATAAATAGGCGCACAATTGCACAATTTGGCATTCGGGACCTTGATTCTACGGAACATGCTGCTGCTACTATGCCACCGCCGCCACCTCAGCAAATTGGCGTAGGAGGATCACCACCAGCACCGGTTCAGCTCGTAGAACAAATCCAACCGGCCAACATGGAAGGATATACACCACCACCAGAACAGACTCTAATTGGAGCCGCACACGCCGGCTTACCAGAGGAACCAGAAGTTCCACGATTACCAGAACCAATGAATGCGGAAGACTTTATGCCGATACCAAAATCACATATGGATCCTTATGGCATGACAGCAACCCATTACGGCCCTGTACCAGTTGAAATGCCAACAAGCTATCATGAAATCGCAGAACCTACGCCAAAAGCCGTAGAGAGGAATTCATATCTCGGAGATGTAAAACTTGGGGAGCTAGCTTCAGAGGGTGTTTCTTCTTCCTCGCCGCCGAAGATTCCGCAGATGAATCCTAGAAGGAGGAGTACTTACTCTGCGCAGCATCACCCGGATACACCAGAGGATGAAACACACGGATGGATAGGAGGAGGGGAAGATGTGACCACGCCTAAGGCGGGTGTGGAGAATGAGATGAAGAGGTTGAGTTTGGGACTTGATGGGACTGGAGACATGGAATTGGATACGTCGAGACGGATGAGCGGGGATAGTGATATTAGGAATTATAATTATCCTGCTGAGGCGCTGATGTATCAGAAGCTTTTGGAGAGGGATGGGTGATGGTATAAAAGTCGTCATTGAGTTCTACGTTAGAGCTTTTTAATTTCTTGTAAGAACAATTGCATTATGCTTGGGGTTTTTTGTGTGTGTTAGAGATGGTTTGGTACCGGCCCGCCCAGACAAGTAATGAACTACATAATACAAATCATATGAATTCATGTCTACTTGCTAGTGGGCTCACAGATCTAGAACCCCGAACTCGACTTGGGATAGGCGCTTGTGTATGCAGTAACGGCGTACATACTTAAACTACTACTTAATCAGCCAAACTGTTGATAGCTAGTAATAGACTACTTAGTTATACTCGGTAGCATCTGATCAAAACTAGTCTCATGCTGAGAGTACCTGCTAGTCGACACATATTATTTTAGGATTCTTTCGCTTCATTATCCGAATTACTCGCCTCAGCGATTGGCTTTTTGCCCCCTTCCCCTCCCGTCTCGTTCATGTAATTCTTACATGTAATACTACATGAGATATGCATGTGTAACCAACCTCCCGCGAAGTATGTGGCCAAGAAATACAACATTGGCTCCAACACGGTTTTAGCTTCGGATGTCAGGTTATGATTTGAGATCTAGCTTCCAACGCCTCTTGCGGATGGCGAAGGAACATTTTGTTGAACCTCGGTGGTTGATTCGCTAGTAGGGAGGAGTATGTACGTAAGTAAACTGGATTGACTAGAGTATGCATGTATATGGATTCTTTCATTCCATTGCTGCTGCTGCGCGCGAAGAGATAACAAGTTAGCTAGTTAACCATGCCAAGAAGGATATAGGTTGAGGTTCCCGTGTTCCGTAGGTAAATGGAAGTGGAGAAGTAGTGACGTTCGGTCCGTTTTGCCAATTGATGGGGATAGAGTGTTTGGTGTTAGAGTAGGTAGATCAGTGGGAAGTATTTAATGGGCTGGGATGGTCCTTCTGGCCGGTTCGCTGGTCTGACTTTTGAGTTCCAGGTGTCTACGTCTTTTCGTCGATTTACTATATTATCACTCGAGTTTCTTTTGATCAATTGATTGCGCTTATAGCTACTTTTGGGACTTATTTTTATTCACTCCTAACGGTAATAATCTATTTTAGTCGTTAAGACTCCTTTTAATTTTTAAATTCTGTATAATATACATAATATCGAACGAAGGGCAAGATGAATACCCTCCTGAAGACCATTGCTGTTTGGTACGTCACCTTAACTTCTTTACAATCCAATAAGGGAATACTTCAAATTGATGAATACTAACTGTCATACAGCACTCTGATCCTCGGCGCAACCGCTCAATCCCCTACAGAATGTTCTCCGGCATCCCTCCCAACATTCTGCCCAGCAGTCTACAACAGCTGTTGTAAATACCTCTGCTCCGGCGGCGGCCAACCCGCCTGTTGGGACCGAAATATCACAGACACAGAAAAGAGCCCCGCTGGTGTCAGAGGCGTAACCTGTGACCTATGTCCTACAGGACTAGCCTACATCCCGCTTGATAGCACCAGTAGCGAAGAACCCCCAGCCGCGGCAACAACTACAGAACAAGTTCGGGAAGTAACTACGAAGGGATCTACTCCGGTTTATACACCAGGAGCACCGGAGGGTACGGGGAACTCGACAACTACCATTTCGGAACCGGCGCCTACGGGTAATGTTTCTGAGCCGTCGAGGCCGGATCCGACGTATATTTCTGGAGCGTCGTCGGTTTTGGCAATGAGTGGGACTGCTATTCTGGGGGTTTTCTGCTTTATGATGGTATTGTAGACGTTTATATATCACCGGACGGTCTACGAAATGTAAGCGGGTGTCTTTTTCTTTTCTTCTTTTTTTCGAATTCTCGAGTTTTACGAATTTCAGAAATCCGAGGATTTCTATACACGACTCTATATATAATATGTAATTATATATTGACAAGACTTCTTGTTTGGAAGAGAGTAATGGGGTTTTATGATGTTATTCTAGCTTAATGACGAATACGAGATGTATTTTAGCTTTTATTTTATTTTATATATCAATTAATTGTGGTATCTGTTTCTATACCTGGATGTTCAGGAGGATAAGTTGTAAATGTATTGACATGCACAGCGATCCTGATCTTAACGTATACGTAATGAACTAATTGAGAACGTCCTACTTAAAATTCCTAGAAGAAGCATATCGCCCTCTGACTATCCCATACAGATAGATACTTTTAATTGTCCTAGCACCCAAGGTCCAAGACCAATCCCTCTTATTCTCAAGGCCGGAACTTCCTCGTGGTATCTAGCAGGAGTATATATACCTAGTTGCACGGAGTGAACATGATAAATTGCGTTGAGATGTTGGAGATTTAACACTCCTGACCTCGCGTTGTCTTCAACTTCAACCTATTGTCACCCGTCACTTGGTCTGGTCGCTTGTCGTGACTCTGCAAGCGGCCCGTTCGCATCCCAAGCCAGAAGACTTCACAATGGCATCGCCACCCCCGGAAACGGATGTAGAAGTAGAGAAGGTAAGTACCTAATTACCCACCTCCATCCCTGCAAAGAATAGTCAAAACTAACAGCCGGCGCCAGGAAAAGAAAGTACCCCAATTCAAGAGCTTCAAGGCGCCCACAGGCGGCAGTAGCAGCAAGCCAATTCCACAATTTAGCAGCTTCAAACCCTCATCCTCAAGTACCAAGCCCGACGAACCATCCCGTCGCGATCATAAACCCCGAGGACATGAAAGAGACGACAAAGAAAGATCCCGTCGCGATAGGTCTTCCGATCGACGACACCACCATAGTCACAGTCATAGCCATCGACATAGCGACAGAGATGACCATCGGAGACATCGCTCGCGTGATAGAGAGCAAGGTAGTCGTCGGGATAGAGACAGAGATGGGGATAGTAGGGATAAACGCCGACGTCATCGCTCACGGTCACGATCGGAATCGCCAAGACGTAGAAAAGATGATAATAAGATAACACTGCATTCGACGGCGGTTCAGGATCCGGATATCTTACCTTGGGATACACCGAATCTACCATATCAAGTTGATACTAAGGGTGATCCTCATAATATTACCTACGGAACAATACATCGGTACAATATTCCGAAGTATTGGCGGTATGGGCGGGATAGGATCATGGGGTTGGGGAGAGGCGTAAAAATTGAGTCAGATAGGGGAGATGGGAAAGGGTTGGTTGTTGGGGAGGCGGGAGGGAAGGGAAATGGAAGAACGAAAGGGTGGGCTTATGCGCTCGAGGGGAGCCGACAGCTCAGGGTCAAGGTTGCTGGAGACGATGAAAATAAAGGGTTCGTGGAAGGGTGGGAGTTTATAGAGCTGCCAGGAAAGGGCACGAAGAGGAAGAGAGCCGACGAGGAGGAATTGGCAGCAGAAAGAGATTATCGGTCGATAGAAGGGATGCAGAAGGGTCAGGTGCCTAGCCTGGAGGAAGATCTTGAAGAAATCGATTCCTCGGACAATGAGGCAGCTGCTTTTGATGCGGATGTGAAGGATCGAACGATCAAGTTGTCGAGATTGGTGGAGGCTGAACCGCAGAATATCGATGCTTGGTTCTCGCTCATGGAGCATCAGGAGACCATCGTTTACGGAAACAAGGAAAAGAGACGGCGGAAAATTCGGCAGGGCGAAAAGCGAAGTCTTGAAGAGGTGAAGTTAGGGATTCTGGAAAAAGCTATCAGCAAAAACGAACGAAACCCTCGACTTCAGTTAGCCTATATGAAAATTGCTACAAGTATTTGGGAGCCTCCAAAAATCAAAGCGAAATGGGAGGATTTACTAGCGACAAATTCCACGATTGACTTGTGGCAAGCTTACCTCAACTTTCGACAAACGGATTTTGTGTCCTTCAAATACAAGGAGTGTCTGAAGGTTTACGAGGAGTGTATCGGAAAACTAAGAGGTAGGATACTTCGATATGGTACAACAGAAGACGAAAGAGTTGAGCTCGAAGATCTTTTACTCTACATTATTATACGAGCAACGGCATTCATGGACCAAGCTGGGTTTTCGGAGCTTTCTTTGGGTATCTGGCAAGGAATACTTGAAATGAATATCTCGTCTCCCAGGGCGTTTACATCTGGCCCCAACTCCCTCACCGAGCACGAACGAATGCTCGATTCCTTTGGCACATTTTGGGATAGCGAAGTCCTAAGAATAGGTGAGCCGAAAGCAAGGGGGTGGGCAGCATATTCCGAGGAAGATATTGGAGAATTTGCAGACCCAAAAGATCTTCCAGATGACTATTCGCCAGGTGACGATTTGAAACCTAGTGACAAAGATTTCTTTGGGGCCTGGTTCGACAAAGAAAAGGTGCTGCTCGGGAAGCTTCCCGCTCGAACGACAGATGAGATCGAAGAGGATGACCCTTTTAGGGTGATTCTCTTCAGCGATATTCGATCATTTCTTTGGAAGTTTCAGTCCCATGATATTAAAGGAAAAATCGGAGATGCCTTCCTCGCATATACGGGCCTTGTTTCTCCGACACTCTACCAGAATGATGCCTTTTTTAGAACCGATCTCGTCAAAGCTGGCGAGGCAAGCCTAGCGAAATGGTTCTGGAACGATATGGGAGACTCTGGAGCAAAGCTTATTGCTTGGGTAGACGGGATACCTATGGAAGCCGAAAGGCGGTTCAGGGTAACCAGAAATCCGTTCTTGTTCCGGAGCAGCCATCTCCCATTGGACGCGTCAACACTGTTTGCTTCTAGTTGGTGGTTCAGCTCTACAGAGATCTCCGACCGAGGAAAAGGCAAGGTTGACTTTTGTATCGCTATGCTTAAAGACTTCGCTCTGAGAATATCGGATGAAAGGCTGGCATTGCTATCTTTCTCGCTAGAATATAAGAGAAACCCGATGAACAACAAAAAAATCGCAAAGCAGTTTCTAAAAAAGCATTCGAATAGTCTAAAACTGTGGAATGCATATGCCATCAGTGAGATTGCACAAGGTAACAAAGAGGCTGCAGTAGGAGTCTACCAGACGGCCTTAAAGATGAGTGCCGCATTCTCGGAGGACCAGCAACGCTTTGCGATCGAGTTGTGGCGATCATGGGTATGGAGCGAGGTCGACGAGGATCACGAAGACGCAGCATTGGACATATTACTCTCCATCCCGGATGGTCATTCAGCAATTGGTCGAAAATCCGAGCGTGGAGCATCGGCTTTGCTAAAGATTCGAAGGGTAAGTTCGTTCCTAGCACCGTAACTGGAAAGAAACTGATTACCTACAATGTTTAGTTCCTGGAAGACATGAGACCTCGGATGTACTCACAAAATGAACTAGAGATAGCACTGGCTCACGCAGAGTTACATTCGCTGTTCCTATACTTGTCTTTGAAAGACAGGGATCTGATTGCCATCTTAAAGCCACTCGACGAGCTGATCAGCGACTTTGAAGAAAACGGTAAAACTGACTGCATCGAGGAGGCCTATATGAGCAAAGCTAGGGTTTTTTTCCGCTCTGCTCTAACATCTCGTGCTTATAAGGCATCGACATTTAGAATCTTTCTTGAGAGTGCTATCAAGAAGTTTCCCGATAACACAGCATTTTTGAGCCTTTTCGTGTGGAATGAATCACGCTCGAAGATTGAGTACAGAATTCGTACGATGCTAGCGGCAGATACGGGCTCGGATGAGGGGTCGGTTGTGAAATGGGTCTTCTCAATCTGGGCCGAGATGCAGATGAGTCTTGGGAGCAACGTAAACTCCAGTGGTGTTAGAAACTTATTCGAAAGAGCGGTGGAGTCCGAACGGTAAGTTAGCCTAGAATAGAACCAAAAACCCCGTCATTGTAACAATACCATCCCGTCAGACGACGGAATAACAATGCAACAATGACGGATCGCTTATCTATATCACCAGAAACTAACGAAAGAGCTCCCGTTTCTGCAGGACTAAATCGAGTATTCAAATCTGGGTACTCTATTTACAATTCGAGGTTCGACAGTCACAGCCAGGGCGGGCGAAAGACGTGTTCTTCCGCGCTATTCGCGCATGTCCCTGGTCCAAAGGTAAGTTCCGAGCTTTGATGTCTCCCCCACTCGCAAACCTTTGATACTAATTTCGTTGGACAACAGATATTGTCCTATCAGGATTCAAATTGCTTCGGTCTATCCTTGACTTCGGGGAAATGAGAAAAGTTTATGGGGTCATGCAGGAGAAAGAGCTACGTGTCCACGTTGATATCGAAGAGTTGTTGGAAGAGTGGGATCAGGACGCCATGATGGATGGTGCTGGCAAGGCATCGATTATTGGCAGCGTTACCCATCGAATCACTTTGCCGGATGATGAGGATAGTGATATGGAAGGAGCATAACGAAAAGCCCACCTCTAGCCAATAACTTTGGTGGACTTTCCCTCGTCGGTTGTGATGTTGACCCTGGGCCAAGAAAGCGAGCTACGGTCCCCTGGGAAGGAGCAAATAACTATCTAATACCAGGCCAAAATGCATATATACGTTACCCCCAGGTCATCTGATGAAACTAAGCGGATGCAAGTTATTTGTTTCCGGTAACCTTTAGGTTTGAAAATGATTGGGTGCGATGCATCCTTCGCTTATGATGTTAGGAACCAAAAAGGCGATATACAGCTCGCCATGCAATAGCTTGCGTGTTTTATAGCCCACATACCTAGGGTACTAGGGAAGCTGGAGACTTGGTTGTTTTTGGCTGCGGTTCAGGCGGGGGCCGTTTGTTGGCAGAGAGCCGATTCGGTAGGGTCGGGTAGATAGACCCGGGAACTACCGTTAGGGCATGGGCATCGACGGTCGACCGCGGCCGGCTCACGCACCGGCTCGTCAGCAGAATAGCGACATAGATGCATTTTAGATACCTAATGATAAAGTTTTCTGATATCCTTTCAGCTCACTATGACCCATGTTCAGCTGAGTGTCCCCGCAGCCGCAGACGGCATTATAAGCATGCCGATGCTGCAAACCGAACCACGGCACATCTGCTTGTGGGGAATTATTTTCGGTCGTCGATGCGTGAGCCTTTTTTTTTTTTTATTTTGCCTCCCGCTTGATTATGCAGCTTACTTGGTGTTTCCGATCCAGAGGTTTTTGGATTCTTGAAATATGCAAGTCAGGTTGGCCGTTGCTTCGCTTAAAACCACCTGATGAATTGTTCCCCTCGATCTCCAAGCAGCGATTTTTAAAGCGCTCGATCACCATGTCAATATGTACGGGGATATTGAAACTAATGATCGCGATCTTGTACCCTGTAGATATCCCAGCAGGAGCCTTTCTCCTTACTTGGCAGTATCACAACCGTGGGGTCAAATTAGGTAAAGTTTCCTCATGCATACTGCAGTATTGAACAACTTGAGCTCAAGGCCAAATTAGAAAAGGAGACGGAGCAATCAAAGAAAAAAAGACAAATTGACGATCAACGTTATGATCATGATTGAATACATCCGTGGTAAACGGAAGGCGACAGATACTATCAAGCCAGCAGTACTTCGAGGCGAACCAATCCCAGCCAGATATGGTATCTATCACCGTCCCTGATGAAAATATTCAACTCAAGAAGCCCGGCTAGCTTTCTTAAGCTCTTAGTTAGCAGATCAGATCTATTCCAGGAAACCTTAAGGGAACCGGCCGTTGAAACAGCAGAGACCCACGTTGCTGGAGGCTCCCATGGGCCCAATGTTTCAAGGTATTTTCGCCTCGGCTTTCGAGGATACAGGAACCAGAACAGGCCAAAGCTTATTTTATTTTTGTGATTTGCCACAAAGTTTTACATCAATTAGGGAAATGATCGAAGATTCAGAAATCCCATTTTGGTCGAAAGTGGTGGATACCACAGCACTGACATCTGCGATGGCTGCACAGCCTACCGAACCGAGCATTTCCGGGTCTGTTCTTGTGGCTCGACTCCACAAATGCCGAAGCTACTTGGCTACACGTTTTAGTGCTGTATCGGGTGCCTGGTACATAATTTGTATATGGATTGGTAAGCTAGGTAAAAGTAAGGTTTGCAATTCTTGAGAGGGCAATAACACCATGGGGTCGCCTCGATCTTGAGAGCATTTTCTGGGCGCCCGGAGGATCGTGAGAACCGGCCTCAGTGGAGTCCGGTTGCTAACGCGGGTTGACACCTGGAACCAAACTCACGGAGTGGCGTGGTTTTAGCTTCATCTGAGCAGGCGGGGTTAGCTGCTGGAGATGAAAACCCTTGATCAAGTTGGCAGCTCAATGCGAGATATAATTTTCAAGAAAATAGCAGTAGGTACGAAAAGGGTCATATGCAAGCCGCTTTGCATATCAATCATGGACTTTTGAAAAAACCTGCTGATTCTGGTGCCGGTATCCGTAGTTCTAATTCGTTGGAAGTAATTGTCGTTTGCCGGTTTTCCTGTCGCCCTGTCGGTTTTCTTGAGCTCGGCGCGGAAATTCGAAGAAGTCTGTGCTTGGCCTAGTTCTTTACGATGTATGCAAGCCCTTATCTTTGGATTATAGCTTGGAGGTCGAGGCTCATTCGCTCGGGAGAGATAGACCCTGTTGATCGAAGACTCAGTTGACGGATTTTTCCATGGGGCTGCAGCAAAAGCACCGTCCATACGTACTGTGCATCGAATAGCATGCTAGTATAGTACGAAGTGATGAACTAGGATCACTGTCCTGCAAGAAATCTCATAATCAACTTGTATTTGTCTTTGAGGACGCCCTGACTTGTCAATCACACTATTGGTATATTACCATCGGCTTAAGATACCCCGAAAACTAGCAGAGGAAATATCACCAATGCAAGCCGATCCTTTGCAATTGTGCTTGATACATACGGCTCTAACGAAAGCCACTTACGTGCGTCGGGCGCCGTTCATGATGTATCAAATTTATCTGCGCCAAGCTAGCTTTGCCACATCGATACGAGCCCAAGCATTCCTCAGATGTATATATATATATATACTATATATTCATGTCTGGTGAAGCTTAGGGTGTATTCGTCCGATCGCTGCATATTCAGATGCAGACTCGCGAGCCATAGATCGATCGGGTGGTAGAGCGACTAGTCCAGACTATCGTGGCGTACCCAGATAGATGGCTCCACGCTTCCTTTCACCAATCCATTGCATCCCCACTCATTCGGGACTCGTCGAGACATGTTCTGGCCACTCTATACCCCGGTCGATCGAAGTCAAATAAGGTGGGCCTTGAGCCACTGTACTGGCTCCAACCAAGCGAATCGCTGTCCCTAACCGAACATCCCCGTCTGAAATAAAATTCCCAGACGATCAGAAAGACAACGAATTTTGATTTGCTGGATGACGAGAAGCTGCTTGACGCACGCCAGATCTAGATTGGATCATGAGATATCGATGTTTTGAAAAATGCTATTTGTAATATCCAATCGGAACTTTCCAATGCAAAACAATGCAGCCTTCGGACGAAATCAATGCAGCTTAGACGTGCAGGTCGCCGTTAGTACTTGGCTCATACATACCAGCTCTGAGTTTGAGAAGAGGCCCTCTAGCTCTGCATAACGTGGCCTAACGAATCAGGGGTGTACCACTATACTTGACTGCCCATTACGTTAGAGTTCTGCCCTCGTCCGATGGGAGATGCCGCTGACTCGAGAGCCGGTGCATCGTAAGTAGTACCTATGTCCATGTATGTATACTCCGTATGTTTAGCTTGATTAATCAAATGAGTCAATCGGGAGACGTTTTTCTTGCCGTCCGAAATTGCTTTACCCAAAATCTAAATGGAAGAATTGAGCGACCGCCCCGGGGTGCATAGACGTCAAATTACAAATATCAATCAAGGAGTCGGATAGTACTGCTATGAGCATGTCCATTGCTCCGCGGTTTTCTGGGCAAGCTGGCGAAGCCCTCACCGCCCACGATAAGCAGAGCAGTGGCAAAGACGGGAAGAAGCGAACCGCGATTTGCGTAATTCATCGGACCGACGGATTTCATATCTGACGTTAGTGAGCAAAGCAGAAGTCCTGTAATTCTCGTCATAGTTTGGCAAGTTATATACGCGCGGGTAGTTGTTTTTGTTGCATGTTGCCCTGGGTTGGGTGCGGACACTGGGCTTGGGGCATGCACACACTGTGCAGGAGAGACTCACATGCAGGCTGCTGCATAAAAAATGCAAATGCCGTGGATGTGAAAGTGAGAATTATCCAAATGGGCACTGAAGGGAGATAATGAAAATAATACTTTGATTGGAAGCAAATCTCGGACCATTCGCATCATATATATAATATACCAGTGTAATGTGGTGTAATGTCATGTAATGTAACGGTGTTAACGATAGTTGAATTGATGAAGAAGATAAGATAGGGCAGATGGTCATGGCAACATCACCCGGTTCGCAAGTTCGCCACAGCTAGTTAACTGCACAGGTGCACCGACAATTTCAAAGCTCGGGTAATAACCTCGTGAACCCGTCGATTCATCGATTGTATTCAGCCCTGGCATTCTCAGTATGCGGTCACGGTCCCAAAAAAACTTTGGAATACCTCGCCGCTTTGGTAATACGGCTTTAATAAATCAAATATGCAATTGCTGCTGTAGCTAATTGCAAGTGGAAAGGGCTAGATCCTCCTCGAACCAGGCGGCATGCTCCCGACTTGCGCCTAATATAATACGCCCTGGCCAGCGCGAGCATTCGAAGATGTAAAACATACAGCCTCTTGCATGAGACACGGACGTTCGTCGAGGCTCAAGACCCTTGGAAGCGGTCCCAACCGTCCCTGTCACAACCGCAATATCTCGCCCTCCTTGTCGAGTTGATCCCATCTCGAAGATATCGAAATACCGATTTGTTTGCAACTATTTGCGACAAATACCAGTTCTCCGCTTTTCAGACATATCAGGAACGAATATACCATCGGCTAGCTCTCAGGCTGAAAGATATAAAATCGCCAGGGGCCTTTAATAGCCAGGGAGACAATATCATCAATGCACCAACTCGGTTTGCATAAAAGCAGGTTTTCCAGGTGTAACAGTCGGAGCTTCCGTTGTTTGCTGCGCAGCACACCGCAGTCGAAATGATATTCCTTCCAACCGTTCCCCTGAAATGCCCTAGTAATGGTCCCTTGGTTGGCCTTTCGGAAACCGGAGGCGGCCTGCGAGAGGGGCATGGCAGTGAGGACTTGTAATGTCGACATTATGACACACTAACTTGTCAGGTTTCCTAGCCGCCAGAGGACATGGGATGCCAACCATGTATATTTCTTGGTCTTAATATTCGAGGTCAATTGCTATTTTCCTCGACGCTAGTTCATGCGTGGAGTTTGTCTCTCGCTGACATGTTTGGCCAGTTTGTGCCGTAATCATCTGTATGTATGTATGTACTAAGTACTAAGTACTAAGTACTACTTACTGGGTAAGTAGTAAGTATGTAACGGAGTCGATGCTCATGGAATTTATTCCAGTGGCCCCGCGAACAGCGCCGACAAAACGGGTGGCATCATGAGGCTAACCGTTTGAAAATCCAGCATGAAGCGAGATATTATCAAGTACATGGTAAGATGTTGGTCCATACTGGTCTAGGCCGGCGCGAATTACAATGTATGAACTTCCTCCTCCATCTGCATCGAGATGGAACAGCATGGTTGAATGCCCCGCTCAACCAGCCTCCCTTTTCCCGAAGCCCTTGGTGTCTGCTCCGACTATTCGCCCGACCTATGCTGCTCTCCAAGCCCGCCAAGTTTTCAAGGCAGCCTTAACGGCCGACGGTTGAGTAGACATGCTCACAGCCTGTGGGTAAGCCTACATACAGGATAACTGTGTCGTAAGGTCGGACAACCACCTGCTCTCGAGTACCTTTGCATTTGTACTCCAAGATTCATCCTCTAGGAGCTTTGCGATAACGATAAAGACGAACAATGAAGAGGAGGGAAAAGAGAGGAGAAAAAAGAAAAAGAAAGGAAAAAAGAAAACCACCAAGCAAACTTGGAGAGGGCAAAGAGGGCAAAGAGGTTTGCAACGTTTGATTGCTGGAGTTTCGAAAAGTGGGTGGGCCGATTTCCACCCCAGCAGCAGGGGCGCCGGGGTATTCCGGGAACGGCCACACCATATAAATACCGCCCGGGATAACCTGGAACGTCAACTGATGGTGCCGGGGGTGAGCATCCTTCGTCTCTTTCCCTCCATCAACCACTCACAACCGTCATCACCAATCAAGTGATTTTATATACATCTCGACATCGTCTCATCAACGAAAGATCCAACAGGCTAGGCAAGAAGAGATAGGCTAGCAGAATCCAACCATCGACTGCGTGTCTTAAAACCCCATCCCCATCCCATCTTCCGGTTTGACCCAGTAGGTGTTCACTACCCCGGGGCCCGGTAATACCTTCCGGCCTGCTACTTGGAGAACTAGAGTGAGTTCCCGTCCCTGCAATTAGATGTCCCTCGCTAGCGTTCTGCTTCCTTTTTCCAGCCGTCCTTTTATTCTCGTGGGCCGCCAGCTGGCAGGTGTGATCTATCTCACTCAGGTTTTTTTTGGAGATACACACGGCTGTGGTCAAGCAAACCGAGTCTAGGAACTGACCCCATGCTCACGGCGTTTTGGGGGGGCTGCTTGCGAGACCGAATACCCCTTAGGCGCACATCGGACGCCGGGATATTCATGTTATGTACATACTTACATACATACATCCATACATCCAAGCATACATACATATGTGTCTATCTGTGGACAGCGCATGCATGACACACGGATGACCCGAACAAATACCCTCTTCTTGCTGTCCCTGTTTGGATATACGTACAGCACAAAGAATAAATTGAAGTCGTTATAATTTCCTGCTGTCCGACTCTGCTTACTCCTCCGATGACCGTTCTATCCACCTCGAGGGCTTTCTATCACGTTTCTCTTCCCCTTCTTTCTGGTCGTGGTTGGTCACAGATGCGCTAACAGAAAAAGGCTCCCATCCCCTGCTCTCTTTCCCTTCCCATTTCTCCCTGCAGCGGCGCCTGGTCTCCTCCCCATCCCACCACGAGCACATCCCCCAGTCAAAGTTGTGGTTCTCACCAAAAAAGACCCAGTCGTCGTCCCTCGGTCTCTCACACCCTCTTTTCTTTTCCTGACTCTTTCCTCCCTCCCAAACACCATATCTCCTCCGTTTTCTTCGTTTCTGTGATATCGCTCGTGCTGCCCGGCGGGTTTCTTCTCTGCCTTTTGTTTTTGTTTTCCCTTACCCTCTCCACAGATCCTATCCGTTTCTTCTTTGTGCGCTCGCGTTCTATTCCGTACCTTCGGTTTCATACTTAAGCCTCTCGTCGCTTCCTTTGGCTAATCTTGATAGTCTTCTTCTTCCTCACAGCAGCCATTTCTCCGTCATATCATATCTCTGGCCATTCCTGTATGACGAACGGGCTGTTTCCCTCCATTCCCCTTCCACTCAGCTTCGCCCGCTCCAGTGCTCTGTGGTCCACTGCTGGGTGTGGCAGGTATTAGCGTTGGTGTGGTGTGGGAGGTTGGACCCGTTTTAGTCCGCCCAAGACATAAATAAAAACCAATTCCCCAACTTCGAGGATCGCATGCTGAACCCGCATACCGCTGCTTGAAAGCATCTATCAATAACCATTTTGCAAAATCAATCTGCCGTGGCAGGGAATGCGCAACAGAGTCTGGTTGGAGCTATAGGAGTTAATTACGGTCTTTTACTTACCCCTTCATCAATCACCACATTGTCTTCGGTCTTCATGCCAACGATGCCTGCGCCTGGTCGAAAGAGAGGCGCTGCAAATGCAGCCAGCGCGACTACGGCCTCCCCCGGCCAGAAGAGACTGAAGACCGAGACCGACCCGAGTAGGACTCCGGATCAGTCGCAGCAACAAGCTCATCTTCATAACGCACAACAGGGGCACCAACTTCCACCTCCACCTCAGCAGTACCACCATGCTCAACATTACGGTGCAAGTCACGCAACCTCTGCGAATTTGTATGGCGACCACGCCCAGGCTGTTGCATCTGGTGGTGGCATGGGTGCTCTAGATCCTCAACCATCCAACAATTTCGCCTACCATTCACAGACTCAAGTCCAGCAACCAAGATACGCTTCACAGTCATATACAGCAGCTCCCGTTGCCCCTTCTACCGGTATGCCAGCTCCAGCAATGAATGGTGCTATCCACTCTCCATATGCTTCGACTCCAATACAAGCACCATCAAGTACACCTCAGCCCAAACAAACTTCGGGATCATCTGGTGGCAGTCAAGATCTTCCCCCAAACCCAAGAATCCGGACTGATGGGAAAGGGAGGGACCCTTATAACATCGAAACCATCTGCAAACAGCTCGGGATTTCGACGACAGTATGGGATCAGAAATTAAGAACCGAACTTACGAAAGTTATTGACAGGCATGGACTTGCTGGTCAGAAGGTTATACCGACCAATCTTACGGCCCGCGAGTCCGCTGTCGACGAATGGATCCGTAACTGTCCAGAATGGTTGAATGAGCCAAACGACAAATACCGTAAAATATATGCTATGGACCGATTGAAATGCGGGATGGCTGATATCCGCCGCACACAAAACCAACGAAGCAAAAGGACCCAGCGCGCAAATGAGGGAAATGCTGGAGCGGACGAGCCAGAAGGTATAGATCCCATCGTTTACCCATGATTCCATGAAACTGATCTGACGTGCAAGACTCTGCGTTTCTAGAGACAAAAGAAGAGCCTGGCACAGCCTCCCCTGAGCAGCAGATACCAACCCAGCGTGCCATCGGAAGTGTTTCACAGGAGACACCAGCACCAATGCAAACGCCAGTGCCACCTTCCGCTACCATTCCACAGTTTCCAAACGAGCAGAGAACTATTGCTGGCACGGGACCCATAAACATGATTGGAAGCACTTCTCCTGGCCAGTCGATCGCACCCCCACTGCCGAGCAGCCAGCCACCTGCTCCCCCAACGCCTTATCCTATTATATACCCAAATAATCCACCAATTACCCCTGTCTCGATCGTCTTGACGATTATGGAATCTTTCTCTGACCGACGATGCACTGCGGTCGCAGAAGATTTTATGCCAAATGGCACTTACAGCTGGGCAAGTCTTGCAAAAGTTCTCCGCGAAGACTTAGGGTTCAACGTTCATACCCATCGATTGTATTATGAAGGTCCTTACGGCCGAGTTTTTGTGACGAGCGATCGTACTCTTCGCAATGGAATCTCGCTGGAAGCGTCTCGAGGACAAGGCTACCCTAAGTGGGAGATAGAACAATAATCCTACCCAATCCAACAAATTCGTATATTTTCTACCTCCAATTGAGCTCTGGACCAATCTAGAAACCCAGTTGGTTTACACCCGATCACTCTCGTCACTTTTAGAATGACTTGGGTCAGATCTTCTAAACGCATCTTCCTCGTCTCAAGTTGTTGCTCGTCTTTGCATCGGGGGGTTTTTCTTCATGTTTCTGCGTGCCTGCGGGAATGGGATAGATATCTGCAGCATAGCTTTGCACATATATGGTCACGACTCGCTTCCCGTACAGTTCATTTGATCCGGTTACTACCCCAGAGCCAATCAGAACTCTGGTTCTACTTTCATGAAACACAAACGAATCTTGCAGAAATTCGCATTCTACCATCGACCTTAGAGAACGAGTACTTCATCCTTTCCTGACCACCGAATTCTTAACTTGCACCCTTTAGGTTACCATTCACATTTGCGGCCACAGCAGCAAAATTGGGGTGCCGGGAAGGATGACGTTTTCTTTTTCTTAAGATGAAGATTCTGCTTTTTTTTTCCACACTTTTCACACTTTTTTTGACTCTCCACAAAAGTTTTATTTCTCTGTTCACTTTCTTCTTTCCTTTTTCTTTATCTTATCTCCTAGTCTTAACATATCGGCTTCTACGACTTTCGCTCCAGTTATCATTTTTATTCCTATTTCAGCTTAAGTTATCCCTTTACTTTTGCTTGCTTCAATGGAGTTCATTGTGCTGGATTGTTTTTGCTTTTAAGTATATACGTTCTCAATGACCTAATGGGTATGGATGATGGACCGGAGGAATATGGGGTTCGGGCTATGGGGGTAGAACATAGTGTGAGGTCTGGGAAAGTCTATAATTCTACGGAAATCTGCAAGGAATCAAGTGTATATCTACTTGTTTGTTTTTTGTTTCTGTTGTCGTTTTTTTTATTTTTATATTTAACTGGCGAATCATCAATCTATTCATTCCAATCAATTTGGGGGACAAATTTCTCGCCCATTTCTTTCAAACTAAGAACAAATATACTACGGCAAATAAAAATTTTAAGATTTAATTGAGAAGGCTCGACCCCGCCGAATCTGTTTTCTACGCAGTTTGCTACGAATCCACTTGGATTCCCGTATTTAATTGAATATATGCAAAGATATCCCACATGTGCATTTCGAAAGTGGGCAGACACACAGGGCAGGCGGGTCACTATCACTTAAACAAGGGTAATACTTGCAAAGACGGGGAACCAAAGGCAGCTAGCTTGGGGGAAGATCTAACTCTTGGGGAGAGAACAAGTTAGAGGGGGGGATTCCATTAACCAGGACTGAGGTTCAAGGAATACAGATTTGTTTTTTTCCCTCCTTCTTCTCCCTCTTTGGCCTGACGCCTATTGGATAGATTTACAATTTCCAGAGGTTCCATTGAGTTGGCCTTTGGCTTTGGTACGTTGCAAACTAATTTTTAGAGCTCTGAGCTCAAGATCCACTACTTGGACGGAAAGCTGGAGGCTGTACGTTTAACCCCTCGGCGAGGTTTTAGTGTGTGGGGTGCCAAAGCCTCGAGTAAGGATAATGATTGGAAGTTTTTTTTTTTTTTTTTTTTTTTTTTTTTTTTCCCTCCCTCTCCCTTCCAGCTATCCCATACGTCAGTGCTCCGTGGTGGATCGTAAACTTAGGGTTTTCATGGGTGATGGCGGTTTAAAAACCAGGTGCCAACGGTGCCATCCGCCCAATAACAACAGACGCCTGAGCTGAAAAGATCGATTGATATGCAGTTAAGTACTCCCATCCCATCAAAGGCGGTGAGCATGAAGGGGAAACAAGGTACCAAGCAAGCAAGCACCTTTTTTTTTTTTCTTTCGTTCACTGGCCGAAGCAGAAAAAACAGGTTGTTGGAAAAGGGTCCAAGCTAACGCAGACCGACGGGTTTGGGTTAGCCAGCGTGAGCTACGGTAACGATGCGGCCGGTTTTAGGTCGTCTTGGGAAAACTTTTCCCACAATCATGGCAGTTGAGCTCGGTAATCCGGGCGGGTTCTCAGGCTTCAGTGCGATGCAAAGGGGGGGCGGAAGCCAAGTCACCAAAGCGAGACCGGAGATATCTAAAAGCAAGACTGCCGCTCTGCACGTACATACATCTCGAGCAAGAACTTAAGGCCAGTACTGACTGACTGACATGCACCCATGCATCCATGCGACTCTGAACCACGCAGCTGTGAGCTCGATATATGCACTGCACAAAGTGGTGTTTTATTCCGCAGGTTTTAAGAATTCGAATTCCAAAAGAGACCACCAATTAACTCAGGTCTATATTGAAAATGCATACTTTTGGTTATGTTATGTGCAACATCAAATGTGCAACGGGTTTGCTGTTAACCGCCCTCGGCTTATAAGTTCCAAGTTCAGGTTATAACACCGCCGGAAAACTCCTTATGAAGAAATGCCGTCGAGGTTCATCCCTCAAGCTGCCCGTGGGGAAGCGGGAAGGGAAGTTCGAGTCCAATCTTCAGGGTCAAACCTTGCCCGTGCTTTTCTAAATCAAGAAATCAACCGGCGTACGCAATTATGTTAGCGACAAAGAAGGAGTTCAAGTCATCACATATTGCTATCCGAGGGTTTGAGTGAGTGTCAAGAGGTGTATATTTTTTTTATTTTATTTTATCTTATTTTATATTTTACTTTATTTTTTTTTCGGGTTGGAAACAAAAAAGCTGCATCCTTGAATTCTGCGATGTGATGAAAGTGTAATATATCTTTCGCACGGATCGCGGGGGGCTTGATCGATACCTTGCTTTGGGATTCGCGGATCAGGACACGGACGAATGTTTATTTCGGGAACCAGAGTTTTTCTCTCCTCAGGCTGCGACAGCTGCGATAGTTTCACATTCCCGGCTTCCCGGTCCTATCGAGAGACAGTCGGATCTATAGAACGGTTTTATAGGTCGAACCGAGCGACAACATTCGCATACTCCCCAAAGGAAGTCCGACCCAAGAGGCCGTTCATGTTTTGTGTAAGATATAACTAGTAATCTCATTTATTGATTAGATGTTCATCTTACTGTATACGCGTCCATGAGGTGTGCAAGTTAGGAAGCAATGTCCGTGCATCAATTAACCAGAATCTGGAGACGGTCGCCTACAAGAATCCAGGCAAAAGAAAAAGACAAGCTTTCCCTCGCCTGTATTTCTAAATTCTTGGCATATCGAACAGGCCAGAATCTGACCTGTCATAACAGTTGGATTTCTATATCTATAGTATGCATTATATGCCCATCAATCATTGAAATCAGAAGTGGGGAAACCCCTCCGCGCGCGAGACTTATCGTACGAGGTCGGTTCGGCACGTTCGAAATGAAAGACATATAAAAAAAAATATATAAAAAAATAAGGAATGAAAAGACTCAGTGGGGCTTGGGGATATAGAAAGGTTTTAGGACCAGGTTTGCCGTTATCACACTCCTCCTCGGTGGTATCAGTCAGGGTCACCCCCCGGCAGACCAAAAACGTATGGAGGGCCGAATCTTACGTGACTCTTGGATATTTTCTTTGGAGGGCTGAATAAGGCAAAGGGGTGTCGGAATCAAATCAGGATTCCGTGAGATTTGGCCGGAAGAATGATTCTTTTCTGGCTACAGGGCTTCTCGCTACCTCATAAATGATCTTAAGAGATACAATATGGCCTCTGCGCCACTGTTTGGGCCTGAGAGGCGCCTGTGCCTCGATCCAGATGTCACCACGAATCAACGGAATCTCAGATGATAGAGCACCATATATAAGAATCGGCAAACGCACGTGGACATAATCCGGCCTATTTGGAGGGTGAGAGGAACGGCATATAGATTCGGAGTGCTACTACCACCTAGGAGTATTTTTATATGTTTGAGCTCATTTCGCGATATCAAAATGAGACTTGCGGCTCACGGGTCTATAGCGGCTCACAACTTGAGTTTGAATTTGAATTTGAACTCAATTTCTGCCGTCTTGGGTAAGATCGATATATGAAGCTGACAAACTGCTGCGGATGTTGGAAAGAATTAGAACCATTTGAATGCATTGAGATATATCACGGCGGTAAATACCGTATTGAGACCACGGAAAACAAGTGGCCCACAGACGTCTCTTCGTCTAGGGTAGCTCCTAGCTCAGGAGTAATGTTGGAAGTTTTGAACCGTCGTCTGGAAACCTACCCGGCAGCACCAAGACGGCCTTGGGAAGCATGCTACATGAGATTCGACCGTCAGCCAACAGGGTTATCACCTGTCATGGAAGTGATCCTCTGACGGGACGGCCGCGGAGTTCCCTTTTGACCAGTACTAGGCAGAACCCACGAGTCAGAAACGTTGACTGTGGGGTTTCTCCGTCTTTTTTTTTTTGTTCTTGAACGAGACTGGAAGACTTCTCGAAGGCTATGGCATGCATGAGAAAATGCACGCGGTACGTGCTGTGCAGCAATGCTGGCCGGCTGATATGAGGGGCTAACGACTTGACGATGGATTTGTGTTGGAGTGAGGTTTGGTGTGGGTGCTGTGTAGGCGAACGACAAGGGTCTTCCAACCGCGCCCGGTGCTGCACAGATCTCAATTGCTCAACCACCACACCTTCCCGCCGTTTACATAGTTTAGGAACTGCAGCTCGACCTCATGTACAGGCTATGTTTGGGTTAGTAAGTAAGTAAGTAGGTAAGTCCATCTCTCTATCTGCATGTATGTCCTAAGTAAGTACTCACATCGGCATGAAGTTTTAGGGCTTCCGTTCCCTTAATCAAGGACAATTAAATGAATAGTATGTAAGAAAAGTGGACCCTCGACCTTTACTCCGACAAACCCCATGGCCAAGCTGCCCATCTTGCATACGGTCATTGCATTGCATTCGCTCTTTTCCCTTTTCCTTTTATGTTTGAGACTTTGAGTAAGTTACGAAGAATCAAAGGTTTTTCCGGCCGGCTGTTCCAATTGCAAACGAAACAGAGAACAACCGGTATCATATGAAAGTGTATCATTGTCATAACCACCATCGAATCAAGATACATACTTGTTTACCTACATATGCATGTTCCCTCGTTCCAACAGTGGGGGGACCATCCATGTTGGATTTATGGAATTTATGCCTCAAGCCCCAAGGACCAAGATGTCATGTTATATTCACAAATAGTCAACTAGAGATGAAACGTCGGTAAGTCTACACTTTCCTCCACGTGAGAGAGAGAGAGAGAGAGAGAGAGAGAGTACGTTTAACTAAATCCAACTAATAACAGTCCGATCATAAGCCTTTTGACCGGTTAAAATGGAAGATCCCAAATGAGCGTCATCTCAAGAATAGGATCCCTGAGGAAGAGAAGATACATATTACTCCAGTATGTAGATATGGACACTTGGGCTGTCCACGCTGCATCCCACTTGCATAAATTGGTTGGATTCTCCTGTTGGTCCGCCGGGCGCTTTTTTTTTTTTTTTTTTTTTTTTTTTTTTCTGGTCGACAATCTCAAGGATTGAGCGATGCAATTTTCGTTCCTCCCGGCTGAAGCAGTCTTAGACGGGCTATCACCACACAAGGGTTGCAGTGGCTTGTTCGAGAAGGGCATGATCACACATCGCCTCCACAAATCTATGCATGGCGTTGAATTGGACATAAAACCGTCGTTCACATGCGGTTGCGAACCACCCAGAACGACAGAGCTTCCAGTCAGGATATCGAGATCAACCCATCTGTGCGTCCACAAAACGCCTTACTTTCGCTGGGATTGTGAGAAGAATTTCCACGCTGCAAACGCAAACACTTCAGTCAGACAAATGGGAACACTCGTTTCTAGCTTCCTCATTTCGACGGGCCTTAAAATGAGAGCGTCCTGTGGGACCCACGGCTCCTCGACCGTGTGTGATTAAGAGTCCTGCATGCGTTGATGCGTTGGTGTGTACCACAAGAATGGAAGCCAATGAGGACGATGGGTCACATTTTGAAAGTTGCAGGCGATCTTCATGGGGAGCGGGGTGCCCATGCATCTCGTATCCTCCCGTAATCCTGCACTTGATTTCAGCTGAAATTGCCCTCCAACAGGCCGAACACACACTTCTCACCAGGTCACTACCTACATGCTAGTTATGACACCACCTTCCAACAGGATCAGCGGCCGTCCTCCCCGTGCGGACTCGTGCTGCAGGGGTGAGAGAACCCAACCGGTTAAGCCGGGCCTGTGCAGCACCGAGACTCCAATCTCCAACCTGGCCAACACCATTCTCGACTACCAGGCCAAGCGCTTTTTTGTACCTTTGGGAAATATTAAACGAAAACAAAACCACCTCCGAGATCTGGGGAAAGTATGAAGATCTAGGAAATCTTCCACGCTTCACAAACCTCACGTTCAGCTAATGCAATCCGTGCATGCCTTATGCAGGGACTCGATTATGTGATATATTGTATATCAAGAAATCAATGATTAAAAAAGAGAGAAATAGAAAGAGAAAAAGAGAGCTCGAGAGGAAGAACGGCCCAGGCTTGTGAGGCGCTCGTTCCGATTGATACCGCACCGTATCTGTGATAAAATAAGAGGCACGATAACCGACACGACCCCGGATCGATTGCATCCATTTCTACGCGAGGCTGAAACTTCGGATTTACGATCACTAGCTATCATTGGCTACTCTGCACCACGATCGTACATGAAAATCCACCATGTGGAAGCCCAATGTCTTGCAAATTTGCGTTAGTTCATGGCCAAATGATATTCCATGGATAGATTGAACATATCATGGAGAAGTCTCGTATTTGGCAAGCAGATTGAGGAGGAACAAGGTACTCTCATACCCTTCACTCACACACCTTTGGAGATATACGTATACACACACATATTTGATATAACCCCCCCAGCTCGTGAGGTGTAACACTGTATCCTCTTGTTTGTGCAACCTCATTTCTAATGCATGTTCAGGCACTCAAGCATTGAAATGATGGCCTAGATGGTTCTGCGGACCCGTCGTGGTACAAAAAAGATACACCATATGCACATTGATGAAGTAACCCCAGCCCTTAGCTTAGATCCACTCTCCGGAGAGCAACCATTGGATATGTCTACGAGTGAACATTGGGGGTGTTGCTGAACTGTTCCCCGTCCTATGATGGTTGCATTTTCGAACAAAATTTACAAAGTCTAGTGCATGCGTGTGAACTGGCGGCGCCACAGTCACTGTAGTGAAGAATTACCGGTTACATACGGAGCCTGGGGTGATGCTGAAACACGGACCGAGATATCCATGGATCTTCCCACTTTCATGAGGGAGTCGAGGACGGATTTAACGACGATAATTTACAACATTCGGCAACGCAGATTGCGGTTGGAAGATGGGGCACATGTATGTACGCCAGCCACTAGCTATGGCCCTAATATTACACTTGCAAAGATATCAAGGGCATGGCCGATACCGATAGGAACAGGTGGTAAGCACGGTTGAGGAGTCTGGCGACGAGACAATGAAGTACCCTCTATATTTTATATACCTAAGTAGAGTTTAGAAGTACATGCCTAGCTATGTGGTTGAACTTGTCTTCTTCGTTGCAACTAATTAGTAATGAATACTAAAATCCAACAAACCTTTCTAGGTAATCTAACTACGGTTTGAATTAATTCTGCTCGTTCAATCAACAGTTATGATATGAACGTGTAGTTACTTAGATGCACAGAATCACAATCAATATGATATATGTATAGGGCCAGTATTCTACTGCAATACCATTCCGTCTGCATACCCAACTACTACAATATTAGTTTTGAACCTCATTCTATCTAGATTGTGGATCCCAATACCCACATCGAATTCGAAATTCTTATGTATTTAGATACCTAGATATCGATACACAAGGCATAGCTTCCTAGAATATAAAATAGTTTCAAGCCTGCATCTTAAAAGAGTTTTTGGCCGCAATGCAAGTAACCAGTAAATTGTTCCCAGGGCTCATAACTCAATTCTCTGCCTCAGCCGAAGGTAATGATGTTGTCGGATTTGATCCTATCGTCAACGCCGAGAGTGGTGGGAGCGCAGATGAGGGCATACGGATGCTCTCTCATGATTTCGTCGACAGAGCTGATTCTTTGATCCTATTCCTCGATACCCATCAAGCTCCTTACCCTCTTCTCCTCACGCCTCTCCTATCTTGAGCTCTCCCGGTCAGAAACGATATCCGAACAAAGAAATACCGTCTAAAGCAAACAATCCGCTGAGATAAAAGAAATTGCGATACCAGTTGAAAAAAAGTTTCTCGTTTAGACCGTCTACCATCTACCAGCGACCATCTCAGAAACGTCAATCACCAGCAACCGGTTTTGAAATCTCCTCCTACCTTCACATCAAAATCTCCATACCTCCTTTTATCAGACAAGCAAGATGTGTACCGACTACGAAATTTGGTACGCCTGTGGGCACAAAGGACATCCCGCTCGCCCCAACATTTCGCAGTCCAACGAGCAAGAAATTGCAGTCTATGCAGACTGCGGTCCACTCTTCCCTACTGCACGAGTTGTTAACCGTTGCTCCCGTTTCAAAGAGTCTGGAAGGATTTGTCAGGTCCAAGACCGACTTGTCGTAAGTCAACGCTGGGACATTGTCTGCTGCGACAATAAAAACTGCAAGCCGATTGAGAAATTCAGTGACACCGGATGTCAATTGCTGCAGAAGAACTTGGAGTCAAGCGCTATTGCCGGACTGAGGTACTTGGATAAATTGACGGAGAAGGAAAGGACCGAGCTCTATAAGACTAGCGCTAGGATCAGTCAACCACCCGTCTGGGGAAGAAAAGGACCTCACGTCAAGAAACCTAGAAAAGTCAAGACTAAGGAAGAGCGTGAACGCGATAAGGAAGAAAGGGAACGAGCCAAAGTCCAGAAAGAAGTTGAGAAGGCTGAGAAAAAGGAACTCGCCGCCGCTCGAGCCCTAGCCGATCTTGCATCAGGAAAGCCGAAAGGTGGTCGCAAGAAGAACACCAAAGGTGTCCACTTGCAAAAACCGGTCGTCAAAAAAGTTGAAAAGAAGCAAAAGCCGGAGGCCATTGGGGTCGACAGCAAATCGGAATCGACGAAGAAGAAGAAGAAGCCGGCTACGGTTACGGTTACCAAGGTTGAGCCGAAGTCGAAAGGGAAGAGAAAGGCTGCTGCGGACCAGCCATCGAAACCAGCCTCGAAGAGGCAGCGAAAGAACAAAACGGCTTAGTTCACCCACAACCGACATAAATTATCGCACGACTCCAAGAGCGGTTGATTCCAACTGCATCACAAATCCCACATATGCGAACTACTTGTGTTCGTCCTCTAGGAATCATTTCCAGGCGTTATTTAAAACTGCATGCATAAGTTCCCGCATCCTACCCTGGGGCCAAAAGACTTCGGTATGTTCAACAGAATTTTTTTTTTTTTTTTTTTTTTTTTAGTTCTCTCTCTCTAGAACTAGGGCTTGCATGTTTTTTTCTCTCATTTTTTTTTTAATTTTTTTAATTTTTTTTCTTGTTTGGTTTCGGGTTTACGGAGGAAAGTATGATAGCGCCGGCGTTCCTGTGTTTTGCCTCGAGAAGGTCCACTGGTGATAGCCACCTACTTAATGTATGTATCATGGATAATTTGCTTTTCTTCTATTTCTATTAAGTCGATTCCTTTCGTATGTGCATACATACCTGCCCATATGCGTTCATCATATGCAGGCTCTTATGAACTCTCCTTGAAACCGGTATGTGTGCCGAAGCCCTCATCCGAACGCGATCAATCGTGCCAATACCTTGTCAAATTTTGTTTCTCCTATGTAGAATATATTCATGCCGTGTACATGTACTGTACTGGATTGTGTCTGTAGTCATGTAGGTATATTAGTCCTGCAATATATGCCGTATAGACCGCTATAAAGTCCGGCCAAGACACTGCACATGCAAGGTGGATATCATTTGCATTTGCTCGGAAATATCTGCCACTTATAATGATCCTAAAATATACGAAGCACATACATGTCGATATCTCCTTTTAACTTATTTCCCAGGCCTCGATCGATTGAATTCGGGTATCGAATACGAGGGAAAGCACATGCAGCGTCAACGGGTGACAGATGTCATGTCATCGGGATCAGATGTATGGGGGGCGTGGAGGAAGAAATTTAACAAGACGTCTTAATCGGAATATCTTCTTTCAGATGTATGTACCCTTGCATCACGAACGAACAGGAAAGAAGATTCGCCTTCGGTTTTAAGGGTGGGGACTCGCGCGTGCAGTCCGTAGCATTCTGCTAATTGGTTAATACAGCGTTGATCACATATCGAAATAACCTATATCAAGCCGGCTTTATATGCGCAGGAGGGTTTATCTCCTGTCCCCGGCACTCGAAACCCGGCCACAGTCAGCTATCTCTCCCGAACCAAACTGGCAGAATCGATCCCGGTTCCGGAAGTCATCTACACCCGGGAATGTCCCGATTCGCCCCGTTTTTCTCACGTGCCGGCCGTAAAACACGTGCCGTGCCGGCCATGGCGTCAGAGCTGGATTCTGTTACCGGAACTTCGAGCCATGCCATTGTGTGGACCCGGATTTCGAGGAATTGGTTGTCGTCTGACGTCCCGTGCCTTTGGGATTTGCTTCGTCAGAGATTATCAATTGCTACCACCTCCCACTTTTGATCCTTTATTCCACATTTAATATTTATTTTCGGAGGAAGCGACTTTTATAATCTCTTACTCGCTAAGGATGTGATGATGGCGCATATGCCTCAGACTGCACTGACATTTTGTCCTTATAACAGGCGCCTAGTTAGAACTTGGAAGCTCGCACCTGACTCGAACCGGCTGTGGGACTTTCGGGTTTAATACAGGTCCATGGAAATTTCGAAACCGGCCAGCCCGTTATCCATCTACCCAGCTTCCCCGGCGAACAAACAAACAAACAAGCCAAAGAAAACCAGGCAGAAGCTTCTATTCAGCGCCGGTGGCGTTTCGTGGATTTCCTCCATTCCTAGCAAATCACAGGAAAGTGGCTTCAGATTCGATCTGATTGGCGAGAATACGAGGTTCGCGAAATTTCTCTCATCAGATCAGATTTGCAACCGCTGAGATCCTTCTTCCTTTTCGCACCTCTCAGCCTCAAAACGTCAAGATGTGGATGTGCGCGACTCGTGTTCGTCATCGGTGGGCCACCCACGAAAACCAGCTGGATTAACTCGAGCGGTTTCTCTCACGGAGCTCAAGTGGATGTTTGATACTTGATATCAGGCCACTCGGGCACCACCCAAGGTAGCCTTCAAAACCCGTTCGGATGGGGCCCATTAAATGATATCACCACTCGGGGAAAAGATCTGCGAAATAGCCCTGGCCGGCGGGGATTCCTTTCGGATGGCGAAACATGACCTATATTACCGTCGACATATTGGATATTGGTAATATCGCGATATGATGTCTTAGAATTTTGAGATACGTCCAATCCCCAAAAAGTCACTTCTTGGATGTTTGAGATCAAGATAGATCCTTGATATCGTATCCGGGCAGGTCTGCATACTAACTACAATGCTAATTTACAAACTCGCTACCAACCGTGGGGATATCTCGACCATGCATTTTGAATAGCACTCTTTTGTCGACAGCCATGCCCCCCATGCTCCTCATCACGAATATTGAGAGATATGACTCGGGATTACGGTTCCATCCGACATTTGCGAAACTCGGATTGCGGCTTAGTCCTTTGAAGTTGCATATCTTGCCCAAAATAATGATAATCTTTTTTTTTTTTGCTAAAAAATTACTAATTAAAAAAAAAAAAAAAACCTTGGAAATATTAATCCCTTCGGCCTATTATTTCCAGCTTCAACTCAGCACAGGCCTCTTAACTTGCAGAATGAAGGCATCATCGATGTTCCCAAAAATATGCAAGATGGTCATCTTATGAATCCTGCATTTCCCATTTTCGGGTCCTAATTATTCCAATACAGGAAACCGGTGAGATCGGGCCGTGCGTAAATGTGCAATCCCGACGACTTGTCAACGATTTTTAAAAAGGGTCATGTGGGGAAAATCCCATGAAGTTGGAAATATATTTTGGGATATTGGGGGGTTTGTGCACTGTCTTGCTGGCTGCATCGCTTAACGGATTCATGGTGCAGCAAAGACCAACGGTCGACTTGTGGTCCAGATGCAGGTATGTATGAGAATGCACTGTGATGCGGGTATTGCCGCCGTGGCATGGCATGGGAAGCTTTCACTTTTAGTTTGAGACCAAGGAACGAAGATACTTCGAACACGTCTCTCTCATCTCCTAGTGTGCACGTACATACGGCATTGGACGGAATCATATCTCGGTACTTGGTCTCGGTCCTCGGTCGCGATGGCCGGTGGGTAGCCTAGTTTTTAGTCCTGTTCAAGTCGAAAGTCGTGCTTCTGTTGGATCGCGATCGAACCTGTTCGAGAGACCGGATACGAGACCTGCCGGGAAAAATACTGAGGCGGGCCACGAGAGTGGAGAAAAGGAAAGTGGTTTTGAGACCTCTTGTGTTACTGGAGCTGCCCCTGCTGTCGCTTTTCGATACAGGAACATCTTTGCATTTGCCTCTTAACTAGACCTCTCTAGAGATGAAACGTTCAACTTCAAGAGCTCGAGGGAAACCCCACATCGTCATCTATGAATATGAAAATGAGGCTTTAATGATCATGCAAGACCGTATCACATATCACCTTTTTTTTTGATTTCTAAAAAAAAAAAATTAATGCTTACCGCTTGAATACTACCCGGTCACAAATTGTATCCAATGGGATTGAACGCGACCAAAAAAGAAACCGACTCGGCAATCAACGTTTTTTATTTATTTTTTAATTGCCGTACAAAAACACCTGTTCTTCGGAGAATTAATCATCACTCAAAAGTCCATCTGATGCCAGCTTCCCCGAAAAGAAAAATAAAATAGAAAAATAGAAATAAAAAAAGACAACAAGGAAACCCGGAATCAGTTCCCGATTCGTAACACATTTCCCCCCTTCCGTTGCTGCAATGGAACTTACCGTGTGATTGATCTGGACATTAATGTCTCGGGGAACGAAAGCTATCTCACGACAACCGGCCACCCCGAGGGTTGACAGGGAAGTGCTATTGTGTTTCCAAGCCCCTCTTATAATTAATCAGATTACCGGAATAGTTCAAGTTCATATGCCCCTCTATAGCAGTGAAATAGCTAGCAAAAGAAAGCGCCTTTTATTTCCTTGTTTTTTTGTTATGAACAACTAGTTAAAACGGTTCTGCTTCGCCCGGATTATAAATCCGTGCTATTAATTTACCAGTGGGTCATTGATCCACTTCAATTCCGTGTCGATGTTAGCCAACATACATACTCCATATACATAGTACACGTACGTACGTACAACTCCTAGGTGTTAAAAACCGGGATGTTTGGTCTAATATAGCTCAGCTCGGAATCACAATCACAAGGGGAAATAAAACACGAGGGTGGAGAAAGTGGGTGTAAATATGTTTGACAACAATCCACATGGTAACTTTTAGGGTAATGGCAAAGGTCGTATTCGCGGTGGTGCTCTTTAAAGTCTCGTTCAGGAAATTTCTGGGGTAGGTGATTCAGGGACCCTCTCTCTCAGTGCGGCACGGCACCAATCTACCTACGTCCTGTCACTCTCAAGGGCCTTGTTTGTGTAACTTGAGCCGGTTTCTGATCTGTTGCTCGCTACTCTCTATGTAGTATTGAAGATGACATGTCTTAGATTAAGTCCGGCAGTGAGATGTGATATGGTATCACTATCACCCCGGGTGTGTTCAGTTTGATGACACAAAAGTGTGCCCAGTGGATCGAGTAAAACATTCGAGATCGTCCCAAGCATACCAATATATCCCAGGGCTCAAGCAGACGAGGGAGTGGTGAACCCTTTAGTCTATATTTTTTTGTTCTTTCTCAACGTTTCTGCAGCTGATCTTGATGGATGTCTGGGTTCGGTAATCTCAGATCAAAGCTTGTTGATACCAAAGACAACCTTCGAGCGAATGGGGAGGGAAGGAACCAATTTCCACCTTGTCGAAGTGAAAGGTCTACTATGCAGTTAATACCGGCATTTGGATAAATGGATGCAAGGAACCGGGTTTAAGGAAAAAGACAGATGCATCGATGTTTTAACGCAATCGGACTGGAATGGTAATGAAGCGATAGAATAACCAAACAAGTCGACATTTGATCGACTGGTCGCAATGATGGGAAAACATCCCGTACAAAAAGAAGTCAAGAAGGGGGGTAATAGATAAAAGGGTACAGCTTTTATTCCATTTGTTCATGCGGTCTAGCAGCCCAAACAGGTGCCATGCTTTAAAAAAAAAAAAGAGCACTTTTCCCGCCATGATCCCGTTCGTCAATGCCTACATAGAAACGAAGCCGCAAGAATGCAATGAAAGAAGGTTAGAAACAACGAAAAGGACTCGAGTGAACATAACTCATTTGGCAGTATTTCGTCACCAGCGGAAGAGAATGACTTGATCTTCTACTCAATCAAAAATCCATCATGCTCATCGCATCGCGTAAGCCCATTGTTAACTTGACACTAGGACTTCGTGAGGGGTGCCATGCTGTTGGGGTCTTAGAGTCTTCCCATCTTCTGAATACGACTTTGAGTTCTTTTGGCGCGCCCCCGAGGACAACATTACTAGGCGGGACAAATGGTCGATCTTCGTTTGAAGCTGCCATGATGCTGTATTCCTGGGTAAAAAGAAGCGCATGTTGGAAGTCGATACGTTTGTCTTGTGCTTGTTCGCCAACAACGATGTAAAGCTCGAAGAATGCATCAATAATGTAAATGTTGGTTGGGTCAAGATCGGATTGCGCAAAGGGGTAGATTTCGACAGCCTTCACCACTAGTTAATAACTGTTTAACCGGTAAAATAGAACGGGAGGTACTCACTGAGTTTGGTGACTCGTGGTCCACTAAAAAGACGCGGCTAGCGTATTGCATATGCTGGGGCTTGAGACTCCAGTATTGTGCATGCACCTGGCCTCCAGGCTCACCTCCCATCATTTCGACAAAAAACTCAGGCTCCTTATCTTCATCAATCTGCTTGACTTCGTTGTCACCGGCAAGATCAAAGGAAGCGACTTGAGCTGCTCGGAGTTCCTTAATTGATGCGCCCTTGCCTTTCCAGAGATACAGTCGATCAGGTGTTGAAATAATGTAGGGGAACCCGCTGCACAAGTTCGTGAAATGGATATCAACTTCATCGAAAGCGATACCCCCTGCGACTTTACGACAACAGAGCATGTAGGGGATGTCCTGTTGAATTCGAGCCCTAGATCCACGACGAGTGATTATAACCCCGCCGAGTGCTTCAATAAACCGGGGGACCTCTTTGCCTTGTTGGGTGACGATCTATGCTTGTGAGTTAGTTATTGATTGGACTTGATCGAAGGTGTAAGAGGAACCAGGGCATACCAATCTTCCATCGTACTCTCGAGCCAACCGTCGAGCTGAGAGTTGTGCCTCTTCGACGGTTCCGAGGGAGACTCTATCGCCGCTCCAGAGGAAAACTTCCGACGCCATCATTCCGTTGTTTTCCATATAAGAATGCAGGCACATGTAAAGACCGTCTTCATACAATATATGCTCCTGACCGACTGGAACATGGTCCTTTTTCCCGTTAATACCAGTGATTTCCCACATTTGCTTTTTGAGGGTCTGAACTGATTCGTTGATTTGCTTTGGTTTTGACTCGAGCAATAGTGTAACGTCAATTCCACCCTTGGGAGGGTTTGTAGCAGGACCAGTGAAGAACTGTGAGAGGTATTTGGCGGCATCAATACCTACAACATTGAGAATGCTCTCGTCTATAGCTCTCGAGCTACCGAGTCGGAGTGGGGAGGGAGTTGGACCACTAGCTCCACCAGCTTGCGGTGATCTGTATGCCTTAGAACTCTCCATTGCTGCGACTTCGTCCTGGTACGTGGGTAACTTGATCATACTTTTGCGTTGAGGAGTAGTGTCTGGAGTTGAATTTGTAGACCCCCATCGACTGATAGAGTCTTTGACGGAAGGAGCAATGATTGTTTCCGTCGCTTCAGAGTCTGTTGACGGCTTGGGTTTGAGAGGTAACTGTGGAAGAGGACGGGAAGCGCCGGGTGACGGTGTAACACTCGCGGACGGCGGAGTAGGCAATCTGCGTGTTCCACGTTCCTGGGGAGTAAAAAAGAGTGGCTTGACAGCGGGGTCCTCTTCATCTGTGCTCTTAGAATTCAACGATGCCCTTGGCTTAGTTATCGGCGTAGTAGGATTGGAGTTGAGACTTGGGAGGCTATCACGGATATTGAATGTTGAGCTTTTGGCCCTCAACAGCGGCGATTTAGCAGGGGTTGGTGGCTTTTCTTTCCTTTCCCCCGAGCTCTGTGGCTCTTCCTGGTCATCATATTGGATGGATACTGCAGAGGGTTTGCGGGGGGTGATAGGAGCTGGAGACAATGGTCTATTTCCCAACCCATTCTGCCCCAGGGACCTCCGTGTAGGATTGGAAGATCTGGGATGTGGAGAGAGACTCGATCTTTGTCTCCTGGGCCCCTTTACAGCCGAGGAAGAAGAAGAAGAAGAAGCTGTGGCAGGGGCGCGCCTCCTTGGTCCACGGGCACGACCCTTAGTCATGTGGGTAAGTTGCGGCCCTTCTGCAGACTCCTTCGAAGCTGGTTTCGATGTATTAGAGGTTGAAGATGAACCACTGTTGGAACCAGGTTTACCCATCCCCATTGGACCCCGAGAGAGTATACCAGCGAGCCCCGGATTGAAACGATCCGCCAATTTGCCCCCAGACTTTACTATTCTAGCTGGAGCGGTAGTTTGCTTGGAGACAGCAGGCATTGGGTTTTCCTTTCCCTCAAAAACTGCGTCACCACTATCTGGTCGGCGTGATGGTGCATTGGTGTTTCCTTCCAAGCTAACTGGAATAGTTGCAGCACGCCCAAACGACGGCTTCGCTGGGGGGGAAATAGGGGAGTTTTTTACAGGAGATGACGGGCGTAGATGTGAGCGAGCGACGGAGACTGTCTCTTTTAACGGGTCAGGCGCTTGATATTTTTGGGGTCCGCTGCTCATTTGCAAACTGCCACGAGCGGCTGCGACCACTTCTTTAAGCTCATTTGGCGCTTTATAGTTCTGCGGGCCTCCCCTATCCTGAAGGGAAGCTTTAGCAGCCAATACCTTCTGCTTTAATTCGTTTGGTGGTCTGTAGTTCTGGGGTCCACCGCGATCTTGAAGGGCAGATTTTCCTGCTAGGATCGTTTCCTTGAGTTCGTCTGGGGCTTTGTAGTTTTGCGTTTTAGTTGGAGAAAGCCTCGATCGGAAATCAAGGACTCCATCTTTCTTGGCTTGCTGCTGTTCTCGGAGGCTGGCTTCACGTGCTGCACGAGGATCTATGGTCATTGTTTTGCCTGGTCCTCGTTCGAAGACAGGTTTGCTCTTAATAGGCGGTTTATCCTTAGAATCGGTGCCATTGGCTAGTTTTTCCGGAATAGAGGGCTTCGAAGAAATGGCCGGGCGAGGAATAGAAGAAGAAGCCTCTGGTTTAGGTGCCTCCTCAACCGGTTCTTCTTCCACAACTGTTTTCTCGAAGGGTGCCGCAAAATCAAAAGCCGGTGGAGGATTGAAAATTTCACTAAGGGGTCTTTTCGAGAGCATTGCAGATCTTGGCTGGATAGTCGGCCTGGAAAAGCTGCTAGAGTCGAAGCGTGGGTGGTCAGTTTGAGAATCTACGGACATTTTTCGTGGAACGTGGTGCGCAGCCGCCCTGGCGCGAGCCCGTTCCTCACGAATAGCTGCGGCATCCCGAGCCGTTTTGATTGATTTGTCACGTGTAGGTGACCTATGCGAACTCTCTCTTGAAGGGGAGAACATGAGCGGCGGTTGAGACCCGATGACAGGGGCAATGTCCTTCTGTAATGCAGACTCTAGCCACGATGATTTTGTAGGACTCCATCTCCGAGGGTTCATCGTCTTCGACGGAGATGTTGGTGGTGTTGCTTCCGTTCTACCCCTCCAACCATCAGTCGAAGTTGACACGACGGACTCGGCAGGTGACATCTCCCTTCCTCTACGTTCTTCGATTTCTTTGTCTTCCGGTGCTGGTGTACCATCTCTCGATAAAGTAGAAAGGGCACGCTCTCGTCGGATGGGAGTCGTCCGTTCTTTGTCGGAAACATTGCTACCTGATCTTGACAATGTTGACGCTGGGTTCCCCACGGGGGGTTTTCTTACTGAAGCATCTCGCTTTAACATAGCACTCTGGACGAACCCGCCGAGTCCCTTCGTTGGACTTGGTGGTCTTCCCATCTTTTCTGGGGAGTTTCTGCCGCTATTAGATATAATATACGCTGATGGCATTAGAGAGTTCTCCTCCTCCTCGTGTGGCCCGAGCCCAGAAAAGGATGACTCAATTTGCTGATGGGCTTTAGATGCATATGATGGGGTTTTCCAAGGCATCGATTCACCTGCACTTAAAGGTCTGTCATCAGGGAGAGAATCGAGAAACGATTTCGCCTTTGAGATGCTTTTGAATTCTGTCAGGGGTGCAGAGAATGACGTCGTCCCACTGGCATTGGATAACGATGAAAGAGGCCTCGGTGGCTCAGTTGTCCTCTACTATAGCATTAGTCCACGCAACTGTGACTGCACGAGGCATTTTAGTATTCTGGGGGCTACTAACATCCGACATCCCGGGCAATGCCATCCTGGCGCCACCGCCACTATAGCTATCCTCTGCATCTCTTCGTAAAGCTGCAGATTTGAAACCTCGGTCTGCTGTTTGTCGAAAATAGGATGGATCTTTGGAACCGAGGTTTTTGGCGATCTGATCTCTTGATATTTCGGAACCGGCATCGCTTTCATTGTCATCACCTGCGACGCTGCTCGTTCTCGAAAAAGTAGATTGTGTAAAAGTTGGTCTTTCCCGTTCTCCGAAAGCTACTGATTGGGGTCTCCTTTGCCAGGAGAGAGGCTTTCCCGCTTGATTGAACGGCCGTCGAGTCGACCCTGTGACGGAAGATGGAGACGGGGTGAATGTATGGCTTGCAGTGGTGAGAGGTTTAGACGGTGGTGTTGGTAGTGGTCTCGAATCACTCATTAACCTTTCAAGGGCATCGTTACGAGCTTCAGCAGCTGTTGGTTCAGGTGTTGATGGGGGTTTTGGTTTAGATCTAGAGGCTAAAGGCGAGTCTTGGAGAGCTGCCATCGGGCTGCCATCGGTTACTCTTGACCTATAGCTCAACGGTGTGCCAATCGGCATCATCTTTTCTGGTGACAGTGATCTCGCTCTCTCTATAAAATGGGAACCAAAGCAGCAATTGAGCAGTCAGTAGCTGGTCGACATTCGGGAATATAAGTTTGCAAGCCGGCGTCATTTCACGCCTGGAACAGGCATCACGTACCTTCTCGTAACCTCTGCCTGGCCTCTCGCCGGGCCAGGATATCCTCTTCCAGTTTCCGGGTTCGTTCTTCATCTTCTCGATCTCTCTTGTCGTCTAGTTCTCGGATACGCTGCAGGAATTCGGTCACCTGATTGTCATCGGCTTCCGAGGGAGGGTCCATGGCGAAGGCTTCCGATGTAACACGGTCCGTGGATGGGCTCTGGTTCTAGTTAATGCATAGAGTCTATCGATTGGATTGGTCGGGAATAAAGCTAAGGTGTTCCGTAAGGTGTTCAAGGTCTTGGGGGGTATCTGATGTGAGAGTGAAAAAATCTATCGGACTCGCAGGAATGAATGCTGGCACACAGAATATGTTTATCGGTGGGCTAACTCAAGCCCCGCAGGAGAGTGCCAGATGCGAGATGGTGATCGCTGCCCAGAGCCGCTGGCAGCAGTAGGTACAATAAGAAGAAAGAAATATAGCTAAAGTGACGAGCAGCTGCAGAGGAAGAAGCTGAGGACCACGAATTCAACGCCGAGGAGACTAATACGGGACTCGAGGTTCACAGCTGGCTGGACATACATAAATAAGTACATCCTACATGGACATTATGAGCGAATGGGAATTGTTTTGGGGGTTTGTCCAATGGCGGGCGGGCGAGGGACAAGGACAGGAATCACCCCTGTCATTCTTGGTTGGTCGTCTTTTCGGTGATAAAAAAGAGGCAATTTAAATATCTGACGATATTGCCAGGCTGACAATGCAATGGACTCTCGACGGAGTTCCAAAATGTAAACAAAAACATTCCGCGAGAGGTTCAATCTCCAGTTTAATATCTTTCCATGTGGCCATGGCCATGCGGACCTCAAGCTTGAACTCAACCTGGATTTCAATTTTCTTTCCAGGTGGCCTGGCTCTTCTCGTCTTGGCAAGTAATTAAGGCTGATCGGTCAGGCCGACGGACTGTAATCATAACCTTCCAGTTTTCTCATCAATGTAAGTACGCTGTGGCATGCTGTAGATCGATTTATATGCATAGATTAGTACAGGAACAGTCGTTCTTTTGCATCCGTCACGACCCAGTCCAATCCTTCAATAAGGTTCTCTCCTGTCATGGCACTACATTGGAGGATGGTCCACTTGTGGGTCACAATCTCGTCCAGTTTGAGGCCCTGTTGAAAAGTTTATTGAATCGTTCATTAGCCCTCAACAAACTGTGCATGGTAGACGGGAAAACCCGCCAAAGAAACCATCGGAAACATACTTCTTTGATGTCGTCAGTCGACATGCATCCTTTCACGTCCGATTTGTTTGCAAACACCAATAATGATGCACCCATCAGCCTCTGTAGTCGTATCAAGTAGAACAGTTAGATTTGTTTATCCAGTTGGTGTCACAAAAACATAGGATGAAACTAGCCTCCTCCAGCAGGAGCCCGTGGAGTTCTTCCTTGCAATCCTCGAGCCGAAATCGATCAGTCGCGTCGACAACCCATATCAAAGCGTCTGTCTTCTCGAAATAATTCCGCCAGTATGACCGAAGGGTTTTCTGACCACCAACATCCCCTGTAGCTGATATTTAGCCCAAATCATCTCGGGTTTCTAAGACATGAGGACTCAAAATCATAACATACAGATATTGAGCTTGTATCTTGAGCGGTAAGAATATCAATTTTAGCCATGCGTTTTTTTCTAAACATATATTAGGACGGAAATGGCATACCCTTGGTATTCGATTGTTTTGATGATAAACCCCAAGGTAGGGCTCACGGTGTTTACATCTTCATGCATGATCTGCTTTACGATGGTGGTCTTTCCTGCATTATCAAGCCCTCTACCATTTTGGGCGTTTCCCTCAGCTATAGCTTCGACATAAATGGGATTGGACGGGTACTTACAACATTAACACCCTCATCTCCTTGTCCTTCAACCTTGCCTTCCGGAGTATGGATAACATTATGCTTGAGTTTTCGAAGATACTAATATAAGATGTCCTATATGTTATCTGATGAGCATATTTTGGTGACTTTGTACTGACTCAACTAAAGCTTGGTTCGAAGGATTCAGTAACTACCATATGGCAGTTGTACAGCTTAGCTAACCATGTCTACCACACAACACAAACCCCACGCAATTGATTCAACATGTGCATCTATCTGCACTGGCACACCAGATCCTAAAGCTATAAAGTTAGAGTTAAACTATTACCTCTACCGCGCTTATATACAGGATGAAAAACTAGACTATACAGGATGTACAAGCGCGAAAGGATTCTGCGGGCGGGCTTGTGTTTAATTTTTGTGTAGGCATGGAGTACGGTATCATTAAGTATGATTTTCAATCTTTTAATTTACATATAGACATAGCAGCCGATCTGGTGTGAGGTCGATATATATCTGGGGTTATATATAGCTAGATATCTTATACTAGGTCCTTAGGAATAGTAAAACAGTTGAATGGAAATCTGGAGGCCCCAATGTTTAGTTCAATATTATTCGGAGAATTATTTTCTTATGATATTATATATAAGGGCTTCACCGTTCGAAAGCTCGAAGAAGAATTTATATCTTATATGTATATATACATTTCCGCCCAGAATTGAATACGGTCAATGTCTAAAATTTGCGATACTAGCTATAATAAACACCGATAACTACTTAAGTTAAACACCAACGGAGTAAAGCGACAAAATAATACTAACAGGAATGAAACAAAGTCCCTTTCAAATTCTAGTCTATATGCTGATACTGCACTATATAGGTGCATATATATATTATCAGCTTGCTACATTTCTCTTCAAACGGGACAACCTTTCAAGAACCTTCCCCGCGTTCAGTTTGTCTGCGACTTCGATAGTGGTTTATCAGTAGCAGTCGAAGTTTCCAATGCCAAATAAACGGTATCCGGATGCACCGGGCTTCTTGGCTGCGTATGAGTCGCAGCCGCAGGTTCTTCGGCACGTCGAAAGTTATTCTTTTCAGGGTCTGCAAGTGGATCTATCTCCCCCCCGCTATTTTTCTTTGTTGGAGAAGGCCCATTCGGTCCAACTGTGACATAGACATTGTAACTGCGTTCCTCGACGACTGTACTTGTCGCCACGTAGTAAACACTCTCGGTACCGGCGCCGTCATCACCTCCAAAATCACTTTTGTTATCGTCGTCGTCATCGTCATCGTCATCGCCGCCGTCATCAATAGGAGTTGGAAACCCGCCATCGCCTCCCTGGGTGTCATCTTTCTTTGGGTCATCTTTCTTTGGATCGTCTTTCTGTGGACTACCTTTCGATGGGGTCTTCGCCGGAGGCTGCTTTTCGCATTTATCGTCGTCACGCTTACAAATAACACCCGGGCCCGGCCTACTCCCATAGGTTATACCTGCATCCTTCATTGTAATACCAAGCCATACTACTTTCGGGCCTCCCTTAACTCTCGGGTAGGACCTCTGTATAAGCATTTTCAACGCCTCTTGTGGTTCTAACTTTGGGTCTCTGGATAGGTAATTTGCCAAAACACCGGCTGCATATGCGGATGCTGTTAGGAGCACACAGAGAGAGGTTAGGTTAAATTACGTAGTATATATTGGAATAGGTGGAGTGAGGGGTTAGTTTGCCAGGATGGCGAAACTTCAGTAATCAAAGATCTTGAATTCGAACTCACCAAAAGATGTGCCGGTAGTTAGTTGATAGCCAACATTGGAGGCGATCTTGACAGCATACGCTGGAGCGTATACCTGTTGGAAGCCAGGCTCGGGCTTTTGAAAAATGCCATAGCCCTCCTTATCCACCCCTCCCACGATTACCAAATTCTTGGCTGTTTGGGGGGTTTCGGCCCTCATATTCGGCCATGACCATGCAACGTGCTCCTGAGTCTATAGAATTCGAATAACTTAGCGGCTATGCCATGCAAAGAAAAGAAAATGACAGGGAAATGGAAAACATTTTAAAAAAAATTGGAGAGTATATACGAACCCATTCAGATACCCCACTAGCAGATGTTATAATAAGATTAGGCATTTCCGCCAATGCGTCAAAAACGATTGAGAGACCATCTCTGATATCGTTCTCTATTGGGTCATTGTTCTCCCGGAAATATCCAGCGTTCATGGACAGATTCAGAATGACTCTATTTTTCTTATTTTTGGTAACAATGTGCCTATAAAGCTTGACAAGAGCACTCAGATATAGGGCCTCGCTGCTAAGGGCTTTTTTATCCAGAGCCGCAATCATGACCACGTTTGCTCTCGCTGCTATGCCAGTTTTCTGTCCAATGACTACACCAGCCACGCTACTGCCATGACTGAACCTTAGGCTCGAGTCGATATCTATTTTCCGTCTGCCGGGGTCATTTGGATCTGGTGGCAGTGGGTCAGAAAATATAACCTCAATACGGCCTGCTAACTCCGCTTGAGCGAATTCCTATTTTAACCAATTGAGTGTTAGTTCATGTAGACATGGAGGCAATATTAATACTGCAATCCAGATATTATTTATAGAGAAAAGAAAGCATGCTCTGGTGCATCGGAGGGAGACTAACAGGGTGGTTCCTATTGATTCCAGTGTCTATGAAATATACAGTGACACCCTCCCCTTCCGAGTTATGATAAAAGTAATTTGAAGGCGGCTCCTGGCCTTCTTCTTGCAGCATCATAAGCCGTTCCTGACGTTGATTGATATTCCTGTCGATCGTATATTGAGCTTCGTGTGCTGTATATAGAGGCGTTCGGTACTTATCGTATTTTGCAGACGCCGAAATCTAGTGGGTTGCAATGATCAGCATTGAGGTCTTATGCACGGGATGCTACTACTCTCGATATATGATCATGGTGTCATGAGCTTGCGCATGATCGAGTTCAAGAACCCCGCGGATTGCCACGCACCCCCCGGGCATGCAATAAAAGTGTTCCATTCGAAGTTATAAACAAGAAGACACTTACCAAATGCTTGAACCTTGTATCTATTGTCTTTTTCTTTGCCTCGGTGCAATTTACCGTCATAAAGAATGTACCCCATTTTTCATCATAGGAGCCAAAGACCGCACCGTTCGGCGGCTTTTCATCAATCTCTTCAAGAGCTTTGTGCATATCTCCCAGATCCGAATGCTTTCTGAGCTCATTTTTGATGGTAAAGATCCATACTTTTTCGTTTGGTTCTTTGGCCTTGCCACCTTTGGCGGTCGTAAACGAAATCCGCAACAGTAAGAGGGTTAGCAAAAAGATGATGTTACGAGTCTGTCGCATCGTTATTTTTATTTATTTAAAGTCCCCAGCTCTGGGACTGTATGAAGTGCGGAGTGTAGCTATACGGGTACACTCTCACTTAATTATTTGTGAGGAAAGAGTTAACTAGAGTTCGAGTTGAGAGTATGGTCTAATAGTCATTGATTCGGCGGGTGGATGTTCTGGCCCTATATTCAGTGGCATCAATCAATTGCTTTACGTGTACGTGAAGGCCTAGAGTCGATAAGGCACAGGATACTGCGCCGCTTTATATACACAAAACAGCATATAGATCCAAAGTTTAAACACTAACGTATAATGCTGGGCCATGGGTCTGCTACTCAACCAACCAGTTGTTTAAGTCGTGAACACCGGCTTGAAGCATCCCATGGCTGTACCGCATATACTGTTTATTAACAGTTTCAAGCTGCACTGCCTGCTTCAGACGCATGTTCCTACCTGAATAAATTACCGTTTCAACCGAAGGAGCGAAGGAGGGGTTTTAGCTAGAGATGCGAGTATGTTCGTTATATATACCGTTACCTTTCAGGTTAAGTTATATGTATCCAACGGCGAAACCAACACACCAAAGCAGAACGAGTGTTGTATTTTTTAGGCTATAGAATTGGACTTGTATGTAAGTGTGTACCTCTAAAGGAGTTATATTAGAAGACTTGTATGTTGGTTCCGTTGGGTCAGCGTAGCTTAGGTCTAACGGAACCCAACTGCGCAGTAGTACGAGGTTTCAGAACAGGACTGGTATTGTCCGTACGCTTTCGTTCTGGTGGGATGAAACCGTATAACTCTGCTCCCCATTGATACTTAGCTAGAGCTCTCCATTTCTTAAGGTTGTAAGATTGGGGCATACCCCTACTAGTAAAAATGATTCTATCCGTAATTCGGGCATAATATAGTTTATTTGGACATGAAATTTAAAACCGTAATATGAGTGTAGCTATAGTAGACGTAAACTGCCTACAATTAATCTCGTCGCCAGGCCCTTCCGTTGTACTATGTACGGCCTTTGCATTTATAAATTTAATATTTGTGCATTTTTAGTAATTGTAATCCGTAACATACTTTATATACTTCACTTGTAAATACCTGCTTCGTGAAAGTCCGAACCGAATACTACCGGGATATCGTAGTCTGGTTCACGAGACAACCCGTGAATTACCAAGAAAGCAAATGCAGCTCGATCAATTATAATTAGGTCTACTGAAATTCAAAACGTATCATTTCTAGACGTAGCTTGAATTTATAACTGGAGATCGATACACAATTGAACCCCCATCGTACGATACACATCAATCAATACATCCATAAATCCACCAATAAAAACCCCAAACCCCAAACCCCATCAACCCGACTGTCTACCCTTCCCCTTCTGCACCTTCTTATCTTCAACCGCCGTCACCGCCTCAAGATTAAAAAACACCCCACTCTTCAACAACGCCTTCCCACCACTAAACCCCTCAATCGAATCATCCCCCAAATTCGCACACTGATCCCAAATCATCTTCATCCCCATAACACACTCCTTCTTCGACGGTTTCGCCTCCGTCAAAACCCAAGTAACACTAATCCTCTGCATCGCCCCATTCCCTTCCCTAACCACATGAGCAACCCCACTTTCATCATCCGTCCTAGAAAGTATAGTACCACAAAAATAACCCTCAATGTACTCCATAACCGACGTTTGAGACGCAAGGTCAGCTTGTAGTCCCGAGGTGATGCTTAGACATGATACTTTCGCCTTGGTTTTGAGTTTTATAAGTTGTTTGGCTAGTTCTGGGGTGTAATTATTGATATTGTTTTTGTCGAAGGAGGATGGAGTGTCTGTTGGGGTGGGACATTCGTAGGTTGTGATTATTACGGGACGGTCGGTGGGGACTGCGACTTGGAGGATGCTGACGGTTGTGTAGTCTTCTGTGTCTAGGTCCATGGGGTCTCCGCTGGGTTCGTCGTCTATGGGGCTGGGGTAGTCGTTATCTGAGCGTTTTACGATTGTGGCGGTGACGGGGATGGAGTGGACGATTGTGACGGTTTTGATTTTTCCTTTGTGGGGGTTTTTCTTGGGGTTCTTTTTCTTCTTCTTCTTTTTCTCGTTATTGGTATCGACTGGATCTGAAGAATTGGTCGTATCCCTAAGTTCGGGGATTACTGCGATAGCAGTTGTTTCTGGATATAAACCAGGAAGACCGGTGGTGGTCGGAGCCACCGCGATCGCTGTTTTGACAGGTACTAACCCAACTCCTGGCTTTGGAACTGAACTCCGTGCTTGTAAGTATCCCTCTCCGGCGCCTGGGGCCGCAAGAGCGAGTGGTAAAACGGACGAGAACAAAAGAAAGACTGGTAGCCATCCCATCTGGGAGGTCGATTGGAAAGATATTTTAGAGGATCTCATTCTCGATGGTTAACTCCCAGTTTAAAGGTAAAGGTGTATAGCATACACCATCAACGAGGTAGATATAAATCAGGAGAAGCTTAAAGGAAAAGTAAGTAGAAACTGGATTCAAGGATTTAAGGGAAGATGGATCAGAGGCCTAACTGGGATATTATCGATTGATTACTGCTGGCACACCAGTAGATTCGATGGATGCATAAGAGCCCGATTCAGGATGTATACGAAGGACAGCTTGAATCCGCAGGATAATGGCTATTACGGATCGATCATACAACTTAATTCCCTGAAAGTCTTCCTTCGAAACGTTGGTTCTTTTCATTTACAAATTTTATAATATATTTATATACTTAGTAGTCTTAATTAATTAGCCGTCATGGGGTCAATAGACTCTGACAAGCAGTCAATCCTAAAATGAGGCTGTGGACTCTTCCACCAGGCGTAGACACTTGGTTTACGGCATATAAATGATATATTGCCCCTTCATGTGTAGATCCGGTGGCACAATTGACAAAAAGTTGGATATTCTTGTATTACAGAATTATACAGGATGCTCATAGTGTCACTGTAGTACTAGGGTTAGAAGAAATAATAACTGTACAAAGACTCGACTCGACTCGACCTTTTGTGCCGATTCTTTAGATCCTCTGATTCACTTTATCCAGTTTAGTATATACTAACAGAAAAGATAGATATTTAACCTCTTCAATTAGAATAAAAAAGCAATACCTCAATGCATCCCCTTTTCTGCTTGCGTCGACGAAACTAACATTACAGCTGTATAACCTCAAACCAGAAGCATAAACGTTGCGTTGCTCCTGTTGCAAGTCACCACCCTTGTCACACCTTAAAAAAGCAAAACCGTCTAGTTCCAAAAAAAAAAAAAAAGTTATCCCAAATTTTCTTTGCGCGCCGCAGCCAAAAACCATAAAACTACAACCACAACCACAACCTTCCAAACCCACCGCCTGTAAATATCACCAACCTTCCCAACCACGACATCCCAAAAAAAAAGGGAGCTTCGTGGTAAGAAAAAAAACTCATACCAAATGGCGAAGCCAAAGAAAGAAACATCCAATCCTTCAAAACCCAAAACCCAAAAACAAAAACAACCAACAAAAGTTACAATCAAAGGAAAATCCTCGCCGCAACCATCATCTCTTCCTCCCACCAAAACCCAACTGAGCAGACAAGACGACTTCGTACTTACAATCTCCGACTCCGATGACATCCCCGACGAAGAATCTGACATCGACGCACCCAGCGACGATGACAATGATGACAAGGAATCAGAAAGATTACCTGTAATCTCAAAATCGCAATCCGCAGCAGAACCCAATCAGCGCGGGAAAAAGCGAAAGCGGGAAGGAGAACAAACGAATGGAGGAGCAGGAGGAGACAATGGTCATGCGCAAAAGAAACAGAAGGATGAAGATATAGATTCGGACTTTGATTTCCAGATTGGAGATTTGGATGACAAGGGCGCGGATGAATTCGAAGGGTGGGGGTTTGAAGGGGCGAAGTCTGGGATGAATGATCAGAAGAAGGGGGTGGATATTGATGAGCTCATTGGCAGACGGATTGCAAAGGCTGGCAAGGCTGTGAATGGTGGTGCGGGCTCTGAGGACGAAGACATGGAAAACGACAGCGCGGACGAAGCTTCAGAAGAGGAAGAGGAGGAAGAGGAGGAAGAGGAGGAGGAGGATATGGTAGGAAAACTGTTGGAAGGCGAAGAAGACTCTGAAACCGAATTTGGCGCAGCTGCTTCCTCCGAAGACGAGAACGAAGCCGAAGAAGCCAACGATGGATCCGACTCAGACTCAGACTCAGACAAGGAAGCATCAGATTCAGACGCCGAATCCGTCCTCTCCGAAGTCCCCCACCCAGACGACGACGACGAAGAAGCTTCAGACTCCAACAGCGATTCCGAAACCGAAGAAACCCGCGCCGCCAAAGCAGCCTTCTTCGCCACACCAACAGACCTCCCAACAACCTCCCTCACATCCACCTTCCAACAAATGAACCTCTCCCGCCCCATCCTTCGAGGCCTGGGCCACATCAACTTCACAACCCCAACCGCAATTCAATCCCGCACTATCCCCATCGCCCTCCTCGCGCGAGACATAGTCGGCGGCGCAGTCACAGGTTCCGGCAAAACAGCAGCCTACATGGTCCCCATCCTCGAACGTCTCCTCTACCGTCCCAAAAAGGTCGCCCAAACAAGAGTAGTAATCCTAACTCCAACCCGTGAACTAGCAATCCAAGTGCACGCCGTAGCCGTAAAACTCGCAGCATTCACAGACATCAAATTCACATTAGCAGTCGGTGGTCTTTCCCTCAAAGCACAGGAGGCGGAGTTACGCCAACGTCCAGATATCGTCATCGCAACACCAGGTCGTTTCATCGATCACATGCGTAACTCTGCGAGTTTCCATACGGATGGTATTGAGATCTTGGTACTCGATGAAGCCGATCGAATGCTCGAAGACGGTTTCGCAGACGAACTCGATGAGATTCTGAAAACTTTACCGAAGAGCAGACAGACGATGTTGTTCTCTGCTACCATGACGGATAGCGTTGATAAGCTCGTCCGCGTGGGTATGCAGAAACCAGTAAGACTCCTAGTCGATTCGAAGAAATCGACGGTAGCTACTTTGACGCAGGAGTTCATCCGTATAAGACCCGGTAGGGAAGGTGGTAGACTAGCCATGCTCGTCTTACTAGCAACGGAACTTTATAAATCACGTTGTATAGTGTTTTTTAGAAGTAAAGTATACGCTCATCGTGTCAGGATTATATTCGGTTTGTTGGGTCTCAAGGCTGCAGAGTTACATGGCAGCCTAAGTCAGGAACAGGTGAGAGCCTCCTCCTCATTCTTTTTTTATTCTTTTTTTTAAAAAAAAGCATAACAAAAAAAGCTAACAATGTTTTTTTCTTTCTACTTTTAACAGCGTATCAAAGCAGTCGAGCAATTCCGTGATGGAACCGTAGACTTCCTGCTAGCCACAGACTTAGCCTCCCGTGGTCTAGACATCAAAAACGTTTCATACGTCATCAACTTCGAACTCCCCCAATCCCATGAGATTTACACCCATCGTGTCGGTCGTACCGCCAGAGCCGGTCGTTCGGGTCGAGCCATCACCCTCGCAGCCGAAGCCGATCGCAAGATCGTAAAAAAGGCAATAAAAGCCGGTCAAGAAAATGGGAAAGTGGTTTCAAGAACCCTGGATATTTCCAAGGTCGATGAAATGACTGAGAAACTGAATGGTATGGAGGATGATATCGAAGCTATTCTTGAAGATGAAAAGGAAGAGAAACAGTTGTTGCAGGTAGAGATGCAACTCAGGAAAGGAGAGAATATGATTAAATACGAAGAGGAGATCGCATCCCGTCCCCGACGAACTTGGTTCGAGACGGAGAAGGATAAGAAGAAGGCAAAGGAAGCTGGTAGTACGGAGTTAAATGGTCTTCAACTTGAAAGGAAGAAGGTGAAACTCAGCGGGAAGATGAAAAAGAAGCTGGAGAGTCGAGATGATATGAAAGATGACGGAATGAGAGTGTTCAAGAAGACCAAGACGATTAGAGACGAGGCTAACAAAAGAGGTGTGAAGACTGGAAACCTGTCTAAGAAGAAAATGAAGGCGGCAGCGATGGCAGGCAAGAGCGGGAAGAAGCCCGCACGGAAGGGAGCTAAGGGGAAGAAGAGGTAGATGTATATAATATATGTAATTTTAGCGTACTTATACCGATATATCGATATATATATCCTATGCATGTATGTCTGCATATACTCAAATACGGAGTCACTAAATTCACTAATTCGCATCACTTCAACTAGAAGCAGTATCGACTGAGTGCATTACATAAGAATATGTATTACTCTATCTACCGGCTGTATAAACCCTCAAAACTTTGAATTTTCCTATACAATATAAAGAAATTTAAAGTAAGATCTAAAAGCATAGAAGCAAATACAAAAACCACAAAAAACTTTCAAAATCTAGTTCTATACTACTATATCTTCAAAAGAACACCAAGAAAAGCAACAATAGACAAAAGCCAGAATAGAGTATCAATGTAGTCTTAGTATTCTTTCATCCTCTCCAGACCCCTTAGCCAGCAAAGTAAATTAAAGTAAAGTGTAGTGGAGTGAATAGAATAGAATAGAAGTAAAGTGAATAGCCATAAACCGAAGTAGAAGGCACAAAAAAGCACAGAATAGAAACCCATATAAACCACCCTTCCACCTCTACCTAATCACCATATCAGCATCAGCCCTCGACCAAACAGAACATATATATAAGTATATATGCACAAAACTCACCATACACTTCAAATCCGCAGGGTACCATTTAAAAAAAGAAGAAACCCACCTCACATAACATTACACCCATACAAACTAACCCCACGAGGAGGTCCACCCCTCCCTCCACCGGACATACCGTTCTGAACGGTATCAGCTGGGTTTATACCAGAGCAAGAGGTTGTGCTGATAGTGGCCGTGGTGGTGGTACTAATACCGGTTTGGCCGCCACCTGTGAGGGTTGGGAAGGTGAAGGGGATAGTTGGAGGTTCCATTTTTTTCTTTCTTTCTCTCTTTATTTTCTTGATTCTCGTTGGAGGAGAATGGGTCTTTGGTTTTTATTCGTTTTGGAGGGAAGGATGGAGAGAAAGATGTTGATGATGTGATGTTGGAGATGATGAGGTTGATATTGATATTGATATTGATATTGGTATTGTGAGGATGGGAGGGTAGTAGTGTTGATGAAGAGGGTGATGTGAAGTGATTAAATAGAAGAGATCGATATCACAGCAGGGCGTGAGCTTCTATAGGATTTCTTATTCACGGACGGTAACTGACGCCTCATATGCATACTAATAAACGTTCAACTAACCATCGACAGCATCACAGTACAGAATCAAATATAACAAATAATCTAGAGGGTATCAAAGTTATGAATTCCAAGACTCCTATACAAAGAATGAATGGTATCGATAAAAGGGTATAATCCGACGCCGGAACAGATGACCCGAGAAGGAAATGAAAAAAAAGAACGAAGAAGGAATAAAAAAGGTACGCCATATAACCATACCGTTTTGTACTCCGACATCTGATACTCGATATGCAATATGCAATATCCAATATCCAATACAAGAATCCCTCAAATAGGAAATACACCTCCAATCGATTGCTTCGCCTAAAAGGAACTCCTAAACGAAACCTCCCATTCAAAACGCCGTCAAAAGCCGTACCGAGCCATCCACTCTAATATAATAAAAAGACGCACCCCCAGTATTATAATAAACTATAAAGCACGAGTATTGGTGGTATTGGTGGTGGTGACAGAAATGGTGATTCAAAACTCGCTAATGATATCCCACTCGCCTCTCATCTCAACCGGCAACCGTCTTCCCTCGACAATCTCCCATAGTTCATCAAGATCTGAGTCCGACAGGAAGGACATGGGAGTCAAATATGGTGTGCGTGAAACAGGTGTATTGGGACCTCGACTCTCCAGAGCACGTTCCTGTTCTTCTTCGGAGTCAGAGTTAGAGTCATATAGTAATCCCATATTCCTTAGTTCCTGTTGTACATCCCATCGTTAGCACACATAGTATGTGGAGGGTAAAGAAGGATAAACAAACCTGATCACTAACCACTTTCTGATCCTCCATCAATCCCTTCCTCAGTCTATCCTTCAAAGCCGCCCTGAACTCCGGAAACACCGTCTTCAAATACTCTCCATAAATAACTTCATCCTCTGTCGGCCAATCCTCTTCAAAGACAACATCATGTCTTTCAAAATTCTGTTCATTCTCCCAGTTGATCAACCTAGCTTGATCCAAATCCATTTCTTCATTATAATCCCTCCAACCCATGTTTCCCTTTCTCCTCGATTTGGTCTTTTTACCAATCGTAACTTTTTCACCTGATGGTGATGATGACTCGATCATCTTCGGTGTAGTATGAATATTCCTCGAAGAAAGCATCATGGAGTTTAGAACTGCTTGTCGGGATAATGATGTCTTTTTGGTAAGGATTTCGAGAGCGTATGGGTTTGAACAGATTGGTTCGTATTGTTGTTCACACGATGTCGGTGGACCTAAACCTTTGGATTTAGCTGGTGGATGACACCAGGTACAGTGTTTTTGGTCGTGGGTATTGATATTAATATTTGGGCGGGTTTGTGGCCTGTGGACTGGATTGTAGTGAACGTTGTGTCGCATTTTTGTATATATAATAATACAAGTACTGTAACTTTTTTTGTCTATTTTTTGTCTATGGACTTTTTGGGTATCAAACGGTGGGTATCCAAAAGATAAAAGAGAAAAAAAGGAGAATTCTATGAGGGTATCGATATAATAATAATGATAATGCAGATAAAAGAGAAGTTTGGAAGAACAGTTGCTGCTCTGTTGGATTTATATCCACCATGTTACAACGCTAATATGCTGGAATATGGGCAGCTGTGTTGACTCACATGCACCAAACTGGGGCTCGATCATGATGCCTTGGAAGGTGCTACTAAAGAAGGATATCGATATTGTATGACTCCCCCTCCCCAGAGGCCTTGCATTGCATTAATTAATTTTCTATTAAGGTTCCCGGGAAATTAGGGATCAATCGTAGCTTTATTCGGTACTGACTGACTGACATCGATATTTCATACATAAAGTGCTTTCATGATTCTCGATGAATCATTGAATTCATGAAACCCTCTCTCGGTTCCCGACGGGAAAGATGACTGGACTCCATATATTCCATTATATTAACATAATAATCATGCCCAAAAAACAAAGCTGCAAGTTAGCTATAGTTGCCGGTATTTTGGATACAAAAAAAAGAAAAAAATATCATAGAATAGAATAATAATAATATAAAAAAATTTATCAGGCTGGAATGCCATCAAAGGAAAAGGTAGTAATAGTAATAATAATAATAATAGATAATGTAATAATCGTAATAAAGTACCGTCATGATATACATCTATACAATTCACTCCTCGTCCTCGTCCTCATCCTCATCCTCATCATCTTCTTCATGAGCCAAAGGTTCAACAATCAAAACCATCGACTTTCCAAAACTATCTCCAACCGTCTGCCCCTGGTCCGGCTCAAACACTTTTCTCGGCAGGTTGCTGACCAACTTGAATCCATACTGATGCTCATACTTCTCAGGCGGAGAAGACTCACTCCCAGCTTCGACACCAGAACACTCCACAAACGCATAAACATCCTCCACCAAATCCCCCAGCCCGAACCGTCTGACTATCCTCTGTCCGTCCAATAACGTAAGTGCCAACCTCGAAGTCGCCGGCCCAGCTTCCGGTTCAGCTTTCAAACCCCGAGCCCGCCATCTCCTCCAAGCAAGAAGTCTCTTCTCCTCCAACTCCATCGCTTCCTGTCTTTCCTTTTCCTCTTGCTCGGCTTTTAACCTAGCAGCTTCGTCCGCCCTTCTCTGCCTTGCCCTTTCTGCATCCCGAGCTAGCGACGCTTCATAAGCCCTGTTTTGCTCGTCCCTGATACTCCTGTCCGCTGCTTCAGCCGCCCTTCGTGATCGTATCGTGTTCAACGCCTCGGAGTGTGCCGCAATCCCAGCGGTCAATTTGGAAATAAGCTTTTGAGGCGAAACAACCCCCGTGACCCTCGTAACAACCGACATTGCCGTCGAAGAAGTCTGCGGCGTATGCGTTATCAACGCCGAGAACGGGAATTTAGTACACATCAAAGCCGTCGATACTTGATATGCCTCTGAATCCGCAACGCTACCGCCCCATAATATGATATCCCGATCCTTAATAAACTTTACAAACTCCGGGTTTGATAGTGTCTCCTTCGTATAACTCGTCGTATCATCGTGTTCGGGACTTAACAGTACCACCAGAAGGAATTTTAAATCCTTCTTCGCAAGATCCAATGCCTGTGCGTATCCACCTTCGAACCATGGGAGTCCCGTGACTCCATTATCTTCTTCGAACTCTCGGATGAAGCGACTGGCCGTATCGCGCGGGTTCAGACTCCGCCGGCTGGAAGTGGTAGAACGACCCCGCCGGTTTAATGGAGAATAGAAATTCGACAGAAGTCGAGGTAGGAATGGGAATAGCGACGAGAATAGGTATGCGAAGCCCTGGGTGATTCGCCAGGCTACCGACAGGGGGAGGAAGAACAAGGCGAGGATACTGGGTGGACGGCGGGCGGATATGTTCGGTTGGGGGACTATTCGAGGGGCGGGTATTATATCGCTAGATCGGGAACGAGAAGACGAAGCTGAGGATCTGGGGTTCCCTATGAGGGGATGAGGCGGACGCTGGAGGGGTACGGGAGGGGGACGTTGGGCGGCAGCAGCTCTGACGGCGGCTTCTTGGGCTTGTGCTTCGGCTACGGGATCTACGGCGGGTTCTCCATCGAAGAAGCGGGTTATTGCGATCTAAGAGGGAAGGAATAGTGTTAGACTTGATAATGATGACGGCGACTCTCTGTTGTTATGATGACGACGATAAGGGGTGACGGACCTCGACGTTCCACTGACACCTTCCGAGCAGAGATATAGCTTGTGTAGTGTCCGAATTTGTGACGGAGAGGTATTGGGCGAGGGCTTCCTGCTGAGCCTGTGAGAGGTTTGAGATATCACCGGCGGAGGAAGACATGGTGGTGGTGGTGGTTATGTTTATGTTTGTGTTTGTGTTCTCCCATGTGATACTGTTCTTTTGTGAGGATTAATTTAGGTTATGATCGGGTAAGAGTCTAGGAAGTGATCGGGAAGCAAAAGATCTAGCCGGATGAAGTGGTGATGATGGTGATGACTGAAGATAGTAGTGGTGGTGTTAAGGCCAGATAGGAGGAGATGGTGGTGGTGGTGGTGGTCATTGAAGATGCAGCGTGCGTCGCCATTGAGTGCATCTTGCCTGCATTCCTGATTACACAGAAGTATTCCTTCTCGAAATTACCAATAACAAAGGACACACACAGCACAGCCAGTTACCCAGTGTCATCATCTCTGAGCAAGGGCGACAGGGGTCTGGGGTCCGGGGTCTGCTAGAATACCACACAGCACAACACATCCTATCTTATCAAATCACGTGACAATTTTGACATTCAAAACTGTCAACCTCAAACAACACAATGATATTATTATTTAATTTTATGCCATATGACTTATCAGTTCTCGCACGTGACAATTTTGGCTTTCAAAAGTCCTATCTTTTGCTCGTGGTTGGATTTTGGAAGGCTGCCTTTTGAAGGCCAAATTGGTCATGTGATATGGCCTTTCCACCCAGCGACTGGGTACTTACTCTACTAAAGACCCTTCCAGCTTCCCTGGATTCAACAAGTACTTCCCTCCAGTACTGCTTCCTAAGTACCTAAGTAGGTAGGCCAGCACGTGACAATTTTGGCTTTCAAAAGTCTTATCTTTTCCTCGTGGCTGGTTTTTGGGCCTGTCTTTTGAAGGCCAAAATAGGCACGTGACCTGTACTTCCAACTGTACCTGCCTGGCACGTGACATTTTTGGGCTGCAGAAGCTTTGTCTTGGCCAACTTTTGGAAACCTACCTGCCTTTTGAAAGTCAAAGTAGTCTTGTGATCTGGCTCTTCTGCCTTAGCTACCAGGTGCTCTACTCAAAGACTTTTTAAGTCTACACTACCTACCTAGTACCTACCAGGTAGATAGACCAGCACGTGACATATTTGACCTTCAAAACATCCACAATTTGTCGTGGACAACTTTTAGAAGCCTGTCTTCTGAAGGTCAAAATGATCATGTGATCTAGTCCTCCAGGTAGCTAAGTATACATGGCACGTGATATCTTTGAGCTTCAAAACCTGGATTTGTCGTGGACGACTTTTGGAAACCCGACTTTTGACCCTCAAAGCAGTCACGTGCTCCTCTTCTTCAATTAGACTTCCCATTCCAGTTACTAGGACAGGTAGTAGGTGGTTCCGAAATACCACACCCCGCTGCGTTGTTCCCTCCCCTCCCCCCCCTCCCTCCCTTCCCATATCCCCCATTCTATATCAGCTGCAGTCCCATATTATAAACAATGACCTCCTCCATCCTCCCGGCGTCATACATCCAAACCTCCATCACCCAAATCTGCAGCCTGTGGTCAAACTACGGCTCCATCACCCGCATCCACATCTCCTCCCCCAAAAAGACAACCTTAATCCTAAAATCAATCCTCCCCCCCAACTCCCCCCCATCCCAATCCCCACCCGACGAATCCCACCTTCGAAAACTCATCTCCTACCGCGTAGAACGCTACTTCTACACCCACCTCTCCCCCCTCCTCTCCCCCCTCCAATCCACAAAAGTCGCAGAAGCAATCTCAATAAACGACTCAACCGGCCAACTCCTCCTCGAAGACCTCTCAACCTCCTACCCAGTAACCTGTTACGGCTCTCTCCCAATCCATCCCACAACCACCGTCCTAACCTGGCTGGCCGGTTTCCACGCCACATTCTGGGCACCAGAGATCTCCCCAATCTTATCCCCCAAGATAGGATCCCCCACCGCCGTCCCCGCACCTCTATCCGTCCAATCCCCAACAACCACAACCGGTATCTGGGAAAGAGGTGGATACTGGTACCTAGCCACCAGAACCGACGAACTAAATTCTCTAAAAGACGACTGGCACGCTGAAGATAAATACCTATTACCGTGGGCCAAGGATGTCGACAGAAGAATCCAATCCGAAAATAAACAATGGAAAACTCTAATCCACGGTGATGTCAAAGGTGCAAATATATTCTTATCCTCATCACCATCATCATCATCATCATCATCATCATCATCATCATCATCATCATCATCATCATCATCATCATCATCATCAAATACCACAGATCTAAAAGCAGCACTCTACGACTTCCAATACTGCGGAATCTCAACCCCAGCCGTCGATCTAGTATACTTCATCGGAACAACAGTAGACAGATCCCTTCTCAAGAATCTAGACAATTTACTTGCAATATACTATACAAATCTAAAACAAGCTTATGAAGCTACCCACGAAGGCAAGAAACTAGAAGAAGAAACTGGTTATTCGTATAACGCATTGAAAGAACAATGGGATGTTGCCCTGGTCGATTGGATGAGATTTATGGCCGGCTGGGGCACCTGGGGAAATTGGCGTTGGGTTAGAGAGCAAGCTCAAACTATCGTCAGCAGATGGGAAGCCGAAGGTCGCACTCCTATCGATAATTAACTAGGTACCAATTTCGATAGTAATTGCTTAGGTACTTAGGTAAATCCCGTAATGTATTATTACCATGCATTCGTATTGTTTTACGGCCGTTCCTCCTGTCATCACAATGTCGCGGATGGAATATGTACAGAAAGAAAAAAGAAACGAAAGAAAAAGCGCTCAATACTATAAAACACCGTTATATGCCACAACCGGTTGAAGGCTAGCAAGGGAAATCCAGTCCGTCCGATGGAAAGGGAAAAAAAGAAAGAAAGAAAGGAAGGGTGAGCTTAAGCAAAGTGGGAAAAGGCTCCATGAAAGTAAAGAGCAGGGTAAAAAATAAAACTTAGAGTCCGAATAACGGTTGAACGTCTTGATCCTGCGCCGGTTGATTGGGAGGATTTGGTTGACGACCACCACCTTCACCCGCCGCCTGCTCAGCTTGATTAGCCCTAGCACCATCGTCTCCTTCCCCGCCCTCTCGGCCACCCGCGGGCCCTCCGTGTGCTTGATCCGCTTGCTGGCCACCCTCTATTGCCTCTAATGCCTCTAGCTGAAGTCGTCGAGCATTCCCCACACGCTCCCCTAAACCGGGGACCAAACTAGCCATAAATATCCCTACGCTGGTTTGGATATTATCCCAAATCCCACCATTCCGACGATTATTCCGCTGCTGCATCAACCTGTCTGCTAATTGTTGGGGGTGAGGCGCCCCATCTAGCTGTGGTTGTTGTTGCGGCTGCGGCTGCTGCTCCTGATTAACCTGGGCAGGCGGTTGAAAGCGGTCGCCATCCAGGTCTGGCAGGATTGCATTTAATTGATTAAAGATATTTTGAAGGCGGTGATTCAGCAGAAAGTGTAGAATCCCCGATTGTGCGACTAAAAGTTCCCAAATTAGTACCCTAACAGTCCAGGTCGTGGAAGAAAAATGATTTAGCCAACTTACGAAACACAACTGCAGCAACAGCCCAGAGTATCATATCACGACGTGTACCCCTGCCCCCACCCAATATATACACCCCAAATGCTAGCTTCAGGGCTAACCAAATATTATCAATCAGCCATCCCGCTGCGACCTCGAAAAAACGGTCGTTGGGTATCGGTGGATTCCCTCCATTAAGCCATGCTATAAGATTGATGATATAATCCGTCCAAGTCTGTGGTCGAGCCGGAGCAGGTCCGGCTGCAACAGGAACTGGAACATTCGGGGTATGTGCAGGCCGATGATATAGGGCAAGGAGGTCTCTTCGAAAATCCTGCTCCAACCTTCGGGCCAACTCGTTTCGTTCTCTTTCGAGGTTGTAAAGCTCTTCCGCGACCGCTGTAGGCTCTATTTGCATATACATAGATGCTCGTAGGTGGTCATCCGGCGAGTAATGACGGATAGTATTAGGCGAGCGCGTTTCGGAACTCAGATTCTCATCCAAATCGAACCCCGGGGGCGGGGTCATATGAGTGCCCACCGGGGCAAGCGGCGACCTTATTCTTCGTGGTGGAAACAACCATGGACTCGGCCGTGGAGCAGGTGGGGCTGGGGGTACGAGAAGGTTGTTTTCACCATTTGGGCCTTGAGCCAGGTAAAATTGTTGTCGTGGAGTCGGATAGGACGGGTTTGGATATGTCCCCGGGCCCGCGTATGGCGAGTTTTGAAGAGCATGTCGGGGCCAGCCGGTAGGATCACTAAGAGAATAGGCATCTGGAGGAGGAGGGAAATGTCGGCCCCAAGGGGAATCACCAGCAGAAGTGGCGCTTGGAGGAGGAGGAAGATGTCGGCCCCAAGCAGATTCACCAGCGAAATGGGCATTTTGATGCTGATGTAGTTCTCCCTCCGAATAACTAGATTGTCTTGGGGGCCGGTAGCGAAGAGCTTGAGCCTGTGTTTGAAGGATTAGTTTAGAAATCATGTGGGTCATATGTCGAAGTATTGAATAGGGGAATGAAGAATGAACAAGGGACTCTGATATTAGGACAAAGCCCGGTCTCAGAGGAAGGAGAATTTGCTGGCCCACTGACCTGGGGAGTAAATTGCGATCCAGAAGCTAAATTCACGCCATCTCGGTTCGTGATGGGGTCCCGGTTCTGTGAAGGTTCACCATTGTTACCCCCTAAGCCAGGACCTTGAGCATGGGCCCCATGGGGACCGAAAACAGTGGTATTGGCGCTAATTGTGACCTGTCGGGTAAACCTAATCGTACGTGTATTTTCCTGTCCTCCTAAACGTTGGTTAGTCTCGAGAGCCGTAACTAGCTGAATTACTGCTTATATGTCCTCTAGTATGCTTTGGAGGCCGATTAAGGTAATTGGGGAGAAATGTAGTACCTGAGGCAAACAAAGCGGCCGCCGGATTGGAACCTTGTGCCCCGCTAGTATTCGCACCTATAGTTTGACCTTGAGGGATTGTGGGTGTAGGAGACGGCGTATGTGGTTGAGATGGGGCGCCTGATGGGGACGCTGTTGAGGGACCAGATTGAGACGTGAAGAACCCACGAGCAGGAAGGTTTCCACTTCTAGGAGGGTTAGTACTAGGACGTATAACGACGTGGAGGTAGATGGGCCTCGGGCTGTCAGAGCTCTGAAAGACGTTAGATTAAGGATCCAAGCTCATCATCACGATCAGATATAAATGGTAAACAAGAAAGAAGATTTCAACATACCAACACCGTTTGGAATGCGTCCGACAAGATAGTGGTATCAGCCAACTGCCTACCACCATATATTACCCTCAAGGAATCAGCGTCCGGGTGCTCTGCAACGAGGTGTTGGATTTGATTCTTGAGTCCGCGAACTGTCGACGATAGATCGACTGCAAGAGTGAAATCTTGAGACTCTGGAAAACCAGGCCTCATCAACTTGAGAGTGATATCTTTCCTCATAGATTCCCCAGATCCAGAGGGAGATGAAGACATGTTGAGAGGGATATATCGATGCCTCCTGTTGAAACCTTGAAAGGCCGCAGATATCGTCAATGGACAAACGAATGCCTATCCGACAGCGATAATGGAGATCACTAGGAGCGTAAGGTTCAATTAGTAGGAAGTAGCTAGCTGGCGCACAGATATACTAACAAGGGCCGTGGACTCCTTACGATGACTTTGAATCCAATTAATCCAATTCAATTCAATTCAGATTAAACTAGTACTGGGTTGATTTGTAAGGTGAACGAGCTAACTGAGCAGCGGTGCGTTGCGAATGTCAGTTCAAACCAGCGATCTCAACACGTTAACACCCTGGCACGATTATCTATTTAATTCGGCGAGAAGATGGGCTGCCGGTGCGTAATCTGCAGCGTTATGCATGCATGTGGAGATATCGATGTCCGATGGTCTAAGCTGAGTCTCAGACTCTGGCTGCCGGGATCGTGAATCGTGACAAATGGATGGTGTCGATGGTCGGTTTGGTTGGTGACCACGCTGTCAGTTAATTGAAGGTTGCAGTTAGGTCCACTGCGGGATGACATGATGGACGGAACAGAAGGGACCCAATGCGACCAGACCCCGGTCACAACACTGTTGAACATCCTTGTCTCCAAACGTTTTCGCTCCGACGACAGACCACCAGACGAACAACAGACCGGACCAAGCCTGACCAGGACCACAGTAGACTCTCGACAGCATCAGGGGAGTCTATCTATCTATCTGTGTGAATCTAGAACAAGGTCTTCGAACTATGCTATAGCCGTCGACGGCCATCTGCTCCCAATGAAGTCGTCTAGAGCAGTAACGGCGACTCTTCGAGGTTGTACCAGCACCGGCGCCTCTGTAACCGACCCGGCCCGACTTACACGAATACTTCCCCGCAATGCTCTCCAATGTAGGACATACAGCAAGTCCTCAAGACCTCTACAGTCGATATTTTCTTTCCTAAACCGAAATGATCCGGATAAGGTTCCCGAGCCCGGGTTCCCGGTCATGCAGTCTCACGAACGTCGAAAAGAAAGGATCAAGCAGGTCAAGGAGTCATGGAAAAACCCGAAGCCCGCAAAGGTACCCTCGGTTCCTATGCTCTCGCAAACGAATTTGTTCCATCCGTTGTCAGAGTCGCCTATACCGGAGATGAGGGAGATGGGCAAACGAATTCAGGAGCGAGCGGTCTGCCCGGTCGATGTAGCCCACGAGGTTGGGAAACATCAGGTCAAATTCGAGTGTCCTGACTGTGGAATTCCAATTTACTGTTGCGAGGACCACTGGATGGATGACTATGAGAACCATGTTTTGGTGTGCGAAACCTTGCGAGAAATCAACGAAGACGAACACGACCTGAGGTCTGGGCGTGAATTTCCCGAGTTCGAGTATCAGTTATTAGAACAGGAAGATGATTGTCTGATCAACTTTACAAATTGGGATACTTTCTTATATACAAGAGAATTTGAAGCTGTCAATGATATGAGAGCGCTGCGACAGGTCACCAAGTTGTTGACATATCCTGTCACGGTTGGAAGTGTCATTCATGAGTTGAGCCCTTATAACCTTAACAATCGATTAACATATGAAGGATTGAAGAGCTTTGCTGGTATGAACCTTTCTCTGATACTTCAGGATTCAACGGAACTAATGTTATCTATAGCAACAAGGTATTCACTCCATCCGGTTCTATCTGGCAGCGATGGTACTCTCAAGGGCCAGAAGCAGATACCACCGCCAATGCGTATCTTTGTATTGGGGGCACGTGGCGAGGCCTCACTTCCTCGCGAAGTTTGGGCACAGCTTCCCTTCATGTTCCCGCGAGTGAACTTCCATATTGCATTCATCGGGCCTGAAGTCTTCCTCCAGCGTCCAAGGCATCTGGACTGGCCGCCTCCACCACGTTCGCCCGGGAATCCATTCGGCACTCTGTACGAGCGTCCAGCACCGCGTATGAAGATCTCGAGTACGAATGAGTATTTCCATACTCTAAATAAGACAGGAATGTTTGCGCCTTACGATCCGTACTTCGATGTCTTCGTACTGTTCCACCCAGGATTTAGCCATCCGGCTAGTGCGACAAATTGGGAAGAAACACTGCCAATGTTACTGGAAACGAAGTGCCCGGTTATCGTAACGGGTTATACCAAGGAAGATATGGATAATGATGTCGAATGGGTAAACAATACAGCAAAGGGCGAGTTTGATGTCCTCATGGAGCCTGGTCAGAACCGGTTTAGTAGTTTAAGGTGGAACATTCTAGAGTATGTACCCTATTATAGCGTTTATTTGGCGATTTCGATCCTAACTAGTTATATAGAACCGATCCAAGCGGGGGTTTGAGTCAAAGCAACTGGGGAGTCTGGGCATTCAGAGGAAAACGGTAAGTGGTTCAAACACTATTAAGAATCTTGCGGGTGATGTCCAAGCTAACTAATATATGTAATACTCTAGATACGAAACCATGCAACGTGTAACGACACCCGATGTCATCCCATTGTAAAATCTGTAGATACAATATATATAGTGCTTGTACATACATATCTAAACCCAAATCTCATAGAACATACTACGTAGCGGCCTATAATCCTCAATATCCCACCATCCCATCCCCAAATTCGAGATGTTTGTTAGCCCCCCACTTTCCCGAAACAGAATAGCCGGGATGCCGGCTCGCCCAGAATGGCCCTGGTCTGTGCAGCTGTGTTGGGCCTGACGTCGAAACAACAACGAAACGATGTTGGAGAAAGAGAGGCCACTTGTTCTCACAACCTCACCGGCCTGCTGACACCGTGGCGACATTCCGCTCTTATTACCCTCGCATTAGCTAACTATCAAGTCATAGAGTTGTTCGTTTACCAAATTGCAAGCCAATTGACTCCACAGGGTAGGCTTTCAGGCTTCTTCCGCTTCCCTGCAGGTATCCGACGAAATATTGACAGGCTGTTCAAACTGACCCAACCTCAAAATTCCCTAAGGCGCAGGAGGCTACAAGAGCAGGACCAGTTGGCCACATGGACCTCGCATAGTCATCTGTGTCCCTCTTCGAGACCAAGTTTTTTCTTTCTCTGTGAATCCAGTTGCATTTGTCTCCCATTGGATCGGGTTGACCTTCCTTCATCAGCTTCATATCATTACATTTATAAGTCGTTAAGTATCTTAACGCACAAACCACCACACAACAAACCTTACATACGCCCTTGTTATTGAGCACTACCACCATAATTTCTGAGCCTGCAAAGGCTGTGATTCAAACAAAATGCGATACACAAATCGCACAACCACCTTTGCGGTTCTTACCCTCGTCTTCAGCTCATTGGCATCTGCATCGGCGTCGATTCTTGGAATCGACTATGGCAGCGAGTTCATCAAGGCAGCTCTGGTGAAACCAGGTATTCCAATCGAGATCGTCTTGACAAAGGACTCGAGACGAAAAGAAGTTGCAGCAGTAGCATTCAAACCGAAATCTTCAACTCACCCCGCCAACAGCAGCCCAGAACGACTATATGGCGTTGACGCCGTTAACTTTGCTGCAAGATACCCGGATGATGTTTACCCGCACTTAAAACAACTTTTGGGTGTCTACGAAGCTAGTGACGAAAGAGTATTGAACTATGTCGGACGTTTCCCAAATCTCAAGTTGACACTTGCCCCAACCGCCGGCCGTTCTACTGTCGAATTCCGTAGCAATGCTGCCCAAGAGGGCAAATTTGCTCTTGAGGAGCTTATTGCAATGCAGTTAGCAAATGTCAGAAGATCCGGAGAGGCTCTTGCCGATGATGGAAACACTATCACAGACTGTGTTATCACCGTTCCAGCCTATTTTACAACTGAGGAAAGACATGCCATCATCGCGGCATCGGAAATTGCGGGTATGAACGTTATGGAACTCATCAGTGATGGAGTCGCCGTTGCGGTCAACTACGCCATCCCCAGATCATTTGCCCCAGATGCAAAGGAAGAAATCCACATCATCTACGATATGGGAGCTAGTTCCACTACTGCAACTGTTGTGCAGGTCCGCGGCAAGACTGTGAAGGAGGGTAGAAGCAATAAGAATGTCACTGACGTTTCTGCTCTTGGTGTTGGATTCGACCGAACCCTTGGTGGTGATACCTTCAACCAGAAGATGTACGAACTCCTCCTTAATGAATTTGCGGAGAGCAAGGCCGGCAAGAAGATCGCAGAGAAGGAAGGAAAACCAATCAAAGACCTTCTTACTGGAAAGCAAGTCGCCAAACTCTGGAAGGAGGCATCTAGGGTTCGACATATCCTTAGTGCGAACACCGAGGCTTCCAGTTCCATTGAAAGTTTTTTCCCGGATGTCGACTTCAGAAGCAGGAAGATTCAACGAAGCGAGTTCGAGGAGCTCCTCAAGGAATATATCGTTAGGATTTCCAAGCCAATTATCGACGCCGTCGACAAAATGAAGGGTGGATTGGAGGTCATCGACAGCGTCATTATGTTTGGAGGTGGTGTCCGAGCTCCATTCGTTCAGAAGATTTTGACCGAACTCGTCGGGGACAAACTTTCAAAGAATGTCAACGGTGATGAAGCCGCCGTTATGGGTGCCACTTTCAGGGGTGCCTCTTTGAGCAAGCTCTTCAGAGTTAAGGATATCAGAGTCCAGGATGTGTCCTCTTACACCGTCGGAATGAGATACACCTCTGAGGCCACCGGAAAGGGTACGCAACCCCGTCTTTGAAGTTACTATCAATACTAACGAGAATATTTAGAACTCAACCAAAACCTTTTCAACGCCCCAGCGTGGAGAGGCCACAGCCGTTTCGTCCCTATCAAGGCCACCAACGACTTCAGTTTCGATCTTTACCAAATCAATGGCCACCCTCTCGACCCAGCGGCTCCAAAGGAAGAAATCTTCAAAGTTACAACTACCAACTTGACTGCCTCCCTTGCTAAGCTCAAGGCCGATGTCAATTGCCTAGAAAACACGATCACCGCAACCGTCGACATTAAGATCGAAAATAAATTTGGTCTCCCAGAAGTTGTATCTGCTGACATTGGATGCGAATACGACGAGAAGAAGACCGGGATTGTTGATGATGTCAAGGGATTCTTCGGATTTGGCAAAGATAAGGACCAGAAGGTTTTGGAAGACGAGAAGTCCTCTAAGTCCGGAGATTCTTCATCCACCACAAAGACTACTAGCTCTAAATCGAAGACTAAGTCTACCACCGCTACCCCAACCCCCACCGGTGAGAATGGAAAGCCAATTGAGAAGGTTCAAGTCTCCTTCACTGTCGAGAGATCTGGTCTCACTCCTCTCACCTCCGATGAATTTGCCGCTGCGAAGAAGAAGCTCCAGGTCTTTGATCAAGATGACACCACAAGAGCCCAGCGCGAGGAAGCTAGAAACAATCTTGAGGCTTTCACATACCGCGCCACCGAGCTCCTCTCATCTGAGAGCTTTGTGGCCGTGTCCACTGAAGAACAGCGAGAGAAGCTCCAAAACAAGATCAATGAAGTCTCCGACTGGATTTATACCCGCGAAGCTGACGTTGCTGACCGTACTATCCTCCTCGGAAAGCTCAAGGAGCTCAAGGATCTCGAAGGACCCATCAGCAACCGTAGAAAGGAAGCCGGAGAGCGACCAGATGGTATCGTTCGCCTCCAGACCAACCTCAAGGATGGAAAGAAACTTTTGGAGAAGATGAAGCAAGCCGTCACGAAGCACACTGCGAATCTCGAGAGCTGGTCAAGCTATTCTACCAAGTTTGTTGCCAGCGTTAGCTCCTCCGAGGCAGCCGCCTCTGCATCTTCTGCCTCTGCCGCTTCCGCATCCTCTGCCTCCGCTGAAGCTGAAGCCAGCAAGAGTGCCGAAGCCGCAGCGTCCGCGTCTGCAGAATCAAGCAGCTCAACCGATGCCTCCGCTTCCCCAAGCAGCAGTGGAGATCCACTCGAGAATCTTGAGGACACCACCTCAAGCAGCAGCACCTCTACTTCTACTACTACCAAGAAGGCCACCAAGTCCAAATCAAAGTCGACCAAGAAGCCCACTCCAACCCCAGCCCCAGTCGTACTCTACTCTGAACCCGACTGCCAAGGCTTCGACACAGCCCTCCAAGAAGCCGAAAAATGGCTCGCCGAAAAATCCAAAGAACAAGACGTTCTCAAGGCCTACGAGGACCCAACCCTCCTTTCCAAAGACCTCAAATCCAAGAGCCAAAAACTCGAAAAGGATATCAAGAAGTTCTCCGGTCGAACAAAATCTAACTACGCCCCTCCACCACCACCCCCACCACCCAAGAAGGCAAAGACCGCACAAACCCCCGCCCGAAAACTTAAGGAGGAACAGGCGAGGAAGAGTCTTAAACTCGAAGGTCTAGCGGGTGTTGAAGGTATCGATGACACCGTCAACCGAATGCTCGAGGGCATGAGTGACGAGGAACTCGACAAACTGATAGAAAATGTCCAGGCGGAAGAGGCCAAGAAGGCGAGTGGTGAGGCAGAAGAGAAGCCAAAGATTAAGGTTGAGCGTGTTAACCCTGAAGGGGGTGAACCCGAAGCCGAAAAGAAGACAGAAGGACATGATGAGCTATAGATGGTAGCTTTTCCTATGGGTCTATTTTAATCTTAAGCTTTGTGTAATCTAGTCGTTAGCATTTTTGTGCATAGAGATATATAAAAAAATTTCATTTTAAATACCAGTCATTTTTACTATTGTGAACTCTTGATACAACCCACCCTAAGTTTCCAATTAATTATATGTGTGTATACACTAAGACGTCGATACTATAAAATCAAATACAACGTCGCACCTTCGCACCTTCACATTAAGTAATATAAAATGTATACATGTATATGCAACCATAGATATCCCATAGAAACCACCCGCACTTACAAACCCGCCTTCCAACCACCATAACTACGTGTATAATAAACCCCCCATTACTCCGCAGTAACAGTAACCGTAGCCTCCCCAGACGAATCCACAGTCTTAGTAGTCGTCCCATCAACATCAACCGTCGTAGTACCGCCGCGAGTCTTAGCCCCCGTCTTAGTCCAAGTTTTAGTTCTAGTATGATGGCCCGTCTTGGTCCAAGTACCATTCTTGGTCTTCCACGGACTATCAAGACAGCCGCAAAGGACTTGGATCAATCGATCGGGAAGGTTGGTCCAGTTACTTGGTGTGCCGCTGCGAAGGGAGTTGATACCCTTGTTTGAGTAATCTAGGACTGGGAAGTTTTGGTTTTCGTTCCCGTCTTGTTTATCATTGCTATTGTTGTTATGATTAGAGCGTTTTATGGGGTCTCCACCGATTATGGCGGATTCATCGAAGAATATGGTAGTGGTTATTTGACGGGCTGCAAGGGCAGGGGTTGTAGATGTTGTAGACGCTGGTGTTATAATAATATTAATATCGAAGGTTAAAAACTTTCAAATAAATGCAGCAGCATATATATACATATATATATATATATATAGACAAAAAAGAATACTTACAAGTCTTCGTAGTCCTCCTCTTCACAGTAACCGTCTTAGTCCTCCTATACCTCGTCCAAGTCTTCGTCTCCGTCTTAGTAGTTCTAGTCTTCGTAACCCTCGCCCCGCCATTATCGTCCGTCACCGTAACAGTAGCAAAGTAATTAACCGTCCCATTGTTTATAACTGTTTGTGCGGAACACCATGATTTTACGCTGGAAGATGCGGATTTTGGAAGGTTGTTTATGTAACGATCTATTCCGCGGATATCGCACCAGCCGTTCTTCTTACGGGCGAAGAGTTTGCCGGGGTCGGTTACTACTAGAGCGGAGGTTAGGGGTAAGAGGAGGAGGGTAGAGAGGGGGATATGCATTTTTTTTTGATATTTGCTGATTATCGAGAGATGGCGGTTTAGATAGGCGTCTGTATACCCAATTGTCTACGAGTATCGGTTTTTGAATTAATTTTTTATATCATACTATAATTATAACAATAGAAGCTATACGAAGATGAAATCGGATGAATACTCAGACTATTTATGCGTCCTGAAGTCTCAAGCTCAAGAAGTTAGTCCACCGCACTATACCCAAGCTTTCCCAGATGCCTCATTAGACATCGTACGAATAACCCGCCTCTATCGCTGACCAACATCAAAAACCTACCCTACAACCCAAGTAGATATAGAGTTTACAAGCCTTTCCATCAGAAATATATTAATATATAGAATCTAGATGCCCCCTTCCCCTCCGCTTGCAGTACCGGAACCTCCCATTCCCCCTTCTAACAAAAACGTCGATCAGTTCCTTTCCCCTACGCGGCCCCTTACTGGTTGCAGATGCAATACAAAAAGCTTGTTAGTATTAAGTTTTTTATTAACTTCAAGGGCTGGATCGGATCGTTGAACGGGCGAGGGAATTCAAGGGGATCTCTAATCTGAATTATAAGTAGATGGAAATATATACATATAAAACGGTATATCTGGAATATACTAATATTCATATATGCTGCATATCTAAATATATTTAAATTCCTGATGTTCTTCTGCTACCGGTTATATCATAAGCGAATTCAAACCCGATATTTCATAATTGTGTTGAAAATGTGGTAGTCTACCGAATTTGGTATGGTGCCGGTGGCTTGTCGACGACATCGAGGCATGCGCAACATCGAGATTTATCGATAAAGCTTGGATTATACAACGGTTTCTATTTTTATGATATTATTCACGATCAAAGACAAAGACAAAGGCAGTCTAATCAAATGTCGTAGATTACAAATACGGTGGTTGAAAATGGGCTATGTAAAGATGTAATAATATAACATATGTACGAAAAAGAAAAAGTAACCGCTAAGTACGTGAGCTAAGCTAGCTAAGAGTGCAAGGTATGAAAGCTAGTAATGAAAATAAGAAGAAGAGGAAAAAAACCAGCAGGAACACCAAATACTCGAACAGACCGGTGAGTAGGGGGAAGTGAACATGATTCCTAGTTACAGCTTAAAATTCCATATGCCCATATGTTATTGTAATGTGGTCGTGAGAGGAGAAAAGTAGTCCCAAGAAATGGCGGGCTTGGGATGAAAGGTTGGAGATCAAACCCACTTTCATGCAATGCAAAGTTGAATGGATGCCACCGATGCATATGAATGCTCAACCTCGAGGCAGAGCATGATCGCCATGAACAACATTGCCAAAGAAAACTTCAAGCCATAAAAAAGTCCAACTAGCATAGCTTGACTCCACAAATCTGAAATCCACTCCTCTCCACCATCGCATCCCTCTTAAACCACAACCTCGTTACCTCCCTCAAAAACTTCTCATCGTTTGTGCTCCATTGATCTAAGCCAAGCCTCAGCATATCGTCAGGGCTGATAAAGACCCATCTATCATCATCAGGGCTAGGTTCGATATCCCCTCTATAAGCAAATCCCTCTGTGTCTGGTGGGGCTGCCTCGCCTTCTCCTTCACTGAGTCCGCTAGCTTCGATGATATCCGCCATACCGCCCACGATACGACTCGTCATTCTATGGAAGTATGCGATGATATCCATCTCAGCATTCCCCAAAGGCCCGGTGCCATCCATACCCGAGATACTCAGCCCGGTACTCCTCCTTCTCTGATGAGCTAAGAACACTGGCTTCTGTCCACCGGGAGTGGCTAGTGTACTGTAGCCTGTAGCCTCGTCCTCGCTCCCAGGTCTCGCCTCTAGTCCCTCAGAATCACCGTCTCCAATATCAATACGCTGTTCGCCTGCCGAAGCCCACCATATGAAGCTTTCATATGCGAGTTGAGGCCACGACAGCTTCTCACAGACAGTTTCCTCTAGATCAGAATTTGAATCGATGTCTTTGAATTGTGGTATCGACCTAGTTGATATTGTGGATGTTCGCCTCTCGAGAATTGGTTGCACTAACTCATCATTTTCGTCATACTCGTGTATCGAACTTCCCATATCGTCGTCGTCGTGGGTATCTGGGACATCGTCGTAGAAGGGATTTTCTGTTGGATGACTGGCATACCGGCTCAAGCTCCTTTTGAGTGCACGGTATCTGCGTAGATCTCTCTGGGTTGCCTTGAGCTGTTCCCCTGTTGACGAAAGTTCGATTGTCGGCCAAACTTTTTCTTTAGCGTTTTCGCTCTCCGGGGGTGGGAGTTTGACGAGGATATCGTAAAGGTCTTTCTTCATGGCAAGAATACTGTCCGTGGTTGCTGCAACCCAACTACCAAGCTCTCCTGCATTGTTCAAATCACTGCCGTTAGTAGTGTATGGAAGGCCGGAAGCGCGGTTTTTGATTTGAGCCGCCTCGAGTTCGAGAGTAGGGATATCATGAACACCGATGCTAAATAGTGGCTTCAAGCGAGGTAACTCCGGAGTTATGAGATCAGCGACAGCGAAGGGGATATTCGAAAGGACAGAGATATCGTAAACTAATGTATGACATCATCAGCATCACATATGCACCTTATCCCATTTAAAAAGGTGACAAAGCCGTACCAAAATTGCAAGCCTTCTCAACAGGAGCCTCTGCCACTAGTAATATCCTCTTTCTCATAAGCGCTGCCCGATGCAATGGAAAGATAAGAGGTCCAAATGCCAATACAAAATCAGGGAGCGATAGAGCGGGGTGGTGGGGTGACAATGTCTGTCCAGGAACAAGCAAGGCTGTGGCATCCGATATCGATCTATGCCTGAGGTGCATGCGTGGTTGGCTTTTCACTTGCTGGAAGGATACCGAACGAGGGATCCCGGGCGAATGGGGGATGGTATTCTTGTTGTTCATATGTTGTTCCATAAGTTCGTCGGAGGCATGATAAAGCGTAAAATAATTTTTGAGGGGTTCATGATCGGACGGATTCTTAGCAAGTGAGCTGGCGATCCATGGTCAGTATGGTACCTGTACACATGCATATTGACGTATTCCTGGTATGATAACATACACAGCCAGTTCCTTCAGATTCTGAGCGTGTCTCCAACTTCGACCGAGTCTACCGTACGCTAGTGGAACCAAGACTCCAACAGATAACATATTCGAGTTTCGGTTTTCTTCGCCTGCCGGGGCATTTATGAAAGCTGCGACACCAGCAAAGGGCTGATGCACAAAGTACCTGTGAGTTCCAACATCGTGTATCATACGATGTTATTGTATAAGCGACTTTCCCGCAGCCATCTATAGATTTGTGTACCCGAGGCATAAAACCTACACCAAATCCTCACTGAGCTTATGCAGCCCCGAAGGCAGCGATTTGTATTCGACTCCATCGATATTCACTAACAGCGACGAGATATTTCAGCGCGAAAAGTCCCCAATCCGTCCATGGTGGCTCTTTGTGGCGGGAGACAGCCAGCCGAAAGAAAAAGGCGAGGGAACAAACCTCCAGTCGCTGTCCTCTTCCACTCAATCAAGTAACTATCAACAAATCCAATCAGCCACCCGTTCCAGGTCGGGAAAGTTGTCACAAGATGCAGGAAGAAGAGTTGCATACCCAGCCTTGATGTCGAATCGGATAAGGAAGAGCGCTGCAATTGGCGGTAAATCCATTCCAGAAGCCGTTTGCCCGAGAGCAAGATCAAGGGTGAGCGATGAATGTCGAAGAAAGGGTGGATGGTGTTCGTCCATCAGCTGCGGCGAGGGAGGTTTTGGCTGTTGTGGTTGTGTTGCGGCCATCCTTTCAATCCTGACTGGTCGCTGGGTGCCGAAACCTGCACTGCTCTGCACGGTACTGTGGCGGCGGACGCAAACTGCAAACGGCAAGCCGTCGGGTAATATCGAAGACCTGGAGAAGTTATAACAGGCCCGGCCTACTTTCTAGATCCAGCCTGGGGAGGCGTATCGAAATATCGCGAACGGGAAAGGGCTTGGATAACTAACAGTTAAGTAAGTATCAACTAGCTCTGCTGTGTAAGTGCGGGAAGGAGGCCTTAAGATTGAAAAAAATGTCCAACTTGGCTTTTTTGTTCACGGTGAGGTCAGGTCTGCGCCTTCCTTTTCGTCTCTTCTCTTTCGCCTTCAAAGCCCTAGTTCTGATTGTGCTTGATAATATACAGAAGGAGCTAGCCTGTGCACATACTGACCCCCCCATACATCCAGGTTCCAAGAATCCGGGCTGCAGTGCATCTTCGAGAAAAATGTGGAAGTACAATTTGGCATTTGGCATTTTGACACTTCGGCGTCTGCATCGACATGCCATATTCGAACAAGTTAAGTTTAAAAAGGAGACTCTACCCAAGTTGTGAAGCTTAACTTGGGACGAGATTTTAATTAGTGGGGCTTATCGATTATCCATTCTCTATCTATCTATCTACTAACTATTTAAGTATAGTAAATAGGGAACTAGCTGGTGGAGACTGCCGACTGATGGGAAGCTGCCGATTCTAACATAGTTTCTCCTGATATGATGTGCACACCATCCTCGCCCGTTTGAGACCTGAGGCGGTACAGAGCTCAGCTCAGGGCATTTCAAGCACCCTCTCGGACATCTACGATATGTAGTATGATATATTCAAACCCAGCCGTTTCAACAAGACGGCAAGCTTTTGCAAAGGTGTTCTGCCACCCATGTCATCTCTGGGGGCGCTGGGCAAGTTCAAATGTTTGGTTCACACTTGTGATTGGCAGGAAAACCGATCGAGGGCAAAGGAGAATCGAACGATGCAATGCAATGAGATGAGAAACGAGCCCCGCTAACCGTTAGCTCCAAAAGCCCATCCACAAATTCATAAGATGCATGCAATCCTAGTCGATTTGTGCAAGCTTGATGCAGAATGCTGTACCAACTATGTAGAATGGCGACAGCATGGGTTTACGAGAAAAAATTGGGGGCCCAGAGATGTGATAATTCGTGAAGCCCGGTTGAATTGCCTATCGATAAGGCTGGAAATCGACCACATGCTCAACCGTTCAAGTTGCACGAAATCACAAGAAAGCACAGGAATGCGGGCGTTCGCGAAAAAAACCGGACTAGGCCTCAAGAACGGACCGTTATGAAATCGAATCCTTGGCTTTGAAGTATTTCTCACATCGTAGGTTTCACCACGTGAACCCATTTACAGGCATGGGAATACAAAAGGGGTGCAGAGACTTGCATACAATATGAATGAGTAACTGCCACCCCCAGCTTCTTTGTGAGATGTGACCAGAATCAGGATCACCTCCCTGTCTTTGTCTGATATCGAGAGCTATTTCGTACAATACATACATATAAGCTAATGCGAATGCAAATGGGAAGCTGGGTTAAGGCGGGAACTGCGACGACGCAATTTCTGAGCTCGGACCGCATGACAGTGCAGGGCTTGCAATGAAGCTCGTAACTCGGCCGCACCACAAATACGACCCGTACCAGCCATTGCATGGATATAGGCTCGAAGTCTCTCGATCAAGACCTCTTCGACATGGGCTACGAAATTTCAGGACGATTACTTAGTTCCTCAGTACGCTCTATATATTTGTCTATCTATCTAGACACTACCGGTCCTACTATTTGACTAAATTAACTTGTGGAGAAGAACACCAACACATAGAACGTTAACAAGTACCTCTCACAAGCCATGCGAGATATGCAGATTGGAACGTTAACCAGATCGATCGACATCGCCTAGCTAAAGCAGCCCATGAATTCTTAACGTCGATCGATTTCTATATATTTTGCACGTTAGGGTATATAACATGCATTGTTTTATTCGGTAGCGCTTCCTTAAAAATTAAGGGAAGAAATGGTGCAGTGGACATGTGCTATATATAAATTTATCACGTTTAATATAATGATGGTTATGAACACCGACACCTTTCGAATCGTAGTACTATTCGCTTCTGTATCAAACCTACAAGATATTTCAATTAAAGTCGCAATCTCTAGCATCTCACAAATATTATCTATGAGTGGGGTCATATCATTAAACCTCTTATGATTATATAATATAACATCAATGATATCGATATCTATCGATACATCTTCAACGTTGCAACCTCTGTCATGAAACTCCTCACCCTCCTCCGCCTCCTCACATTCTTTCTCACCACCGCCGCACCCGTCATATCAATACCTATAGAAGCAGGACCAAAACTCCTTCTAGATGCTCTTTTATACGGCACACCACATTGCGTTCGTCGTTGTTTCGAAGTTTCCCTGCCAATCGGCGGATGCGACGGTGATAAAGATCAAGTAATCGGCTGTCTGTGCGATCCACAAGCACAGGATAAGATGCTCATTCCGATAGCGGACTGTGTAAATAGGAAGAAGAGCTGTAGTCTTGGGGATGTATATAAAGCTCAGGCTAGAGCGGATTATTCTTGTAAAGTGCTTGGATATATGTGAGTTAGTTGGGGATATCGATGTATCGATAAGCTAGTGCTATAGCTGCAAGGGATCAGTCTCATAACCAATCTGAATGTGAAGGTTGGATGTTATCGCTAGATATATCTAGCTTAAGATACATTAAATTGTGTCTGATCTCGTTCCCAGACATCACAAAGGGGGGCATCTCGAGTCTAGAAAGGTCTTAAGATATCCTCTATTGTTTTTACCGCATGCTACAAAGCCAATGCAATGCAATGCAAGTCTCTGTATGATCGTGTAATGTATGGGGCTAAAAACCAACGCACTCAACACATTTCTCCATTGACACAACACATAATGGCTGCCCATTGACAACTCGCATTCACCGTAGACGCTCTTAGCAAAGGCTTTCAAATAATGCCGTGTATGCCTTTCTCGCTGAGCACCTTCCCATTATTTAATCTACTGTTCCATAAATTCTTTCCCTTCTTTCTTTCCTCCCTCTCCTTTCTTCTCCTCTTCAGCCCATACTGCTCCTAAAGATCCAATCTTTACCAAAACACCAACCAGGTTTCGCACCGTCAAGAGTAAGTTCTATCTATTCTCGTAGCTAGTCTATACGAGTTATTGGCAACTCTTCGATATTCCGTTGCTACAATTGTTTCCCTTCCGAGGGGGTCAGGGGAGGAAGGGGCAAAGGAGGCCCACACCTTGGGGAAGCCCAGTCGGGGTTCCGAATTCCGATGTGGTCGCTTCGGCTGCTTCGGTTGAGAAGGCACCTGCACGGCGCGGCCTTACAGGAATGTTTGGCCTGACCCTGGAGCAGGTGATGGCTCACCGAATAGCCGCGGCGGCTATGTCGGAGTTCGTGAAGACCTTCGTGGGCTTGGCCATCGTGGACGCCACCAAACCCACTACCGAACCCACCACCACCACTACCACTACTACAATCACTGCCGCTGCCGCCCCCCGGGCTGCCAAACCGGTCAACCAATATGGAAGACCGGTGGCACGCCTCAGAAGGCGTAGAGTTGACAATGAGTCCTCCGCCTTAAAATCCGGTGATGGCCATTCCACCGGTATCCGTGCCTTTCACAGGCCGGATAGTCCATTAACGGTTACCTTCCAAAGGTACCAAAATCCGTTGAAGCTGCCGTGCCCTAAAAAGGCCAAGGATTCGGTGAATCCTCAGGCGAACATTTCGTTCGTCCTGAACACCGAAGCGAAGGTTTACCACCAAACCTTCGTGACGGTAGAATGTGAGGGGGTGGTGGGGAGGGGGGTATTTATAGGGCCCCAAAGAGGAAGTGCAAGACGTACTTCCCGTGGCTGTGGGGATTTTAGGTGGGGGGTTGGAGAGGGTAGAGGGGATCTTGTAGCTATATATATATGGAGTTTGGAGGGTTGGGGGGTTTATTACTTAATATTGAAAAGGATTTGGGGAGGGCGGGGTGCCTTCAACCACCGCCAGATGAAGCTGTTAAGCACTACTCGTAGTTACTAACACACTACAATTATCGATGATACCTGTCCTTGTCACAAATGCGCACGCCACTTTGCTTCAAAAAATATTATGTTCAGACACTTAAGTGCAGAAGATCACTTTGTTTAACCCTACGGGTATGTTACATCCTACGGGATATGTATACGTGTACTGAGACGCAGGATATGTCAGGATGTGTTGAGGATTGTTGGAAATTGATCGTCGTTGTCGTAGCAACTGAGAGCTGCCGGTGACGTGAAAGGGAACAGGAAGAAAATGAGCCAATAAAACAGTAGGAGGGTAGAAAAGGGCGGGGGACAGGGGAGATATCCCCTTTTGGGCATCTCTATTGGCCATACTTCAGCGCTAATCCCGAGACAGTTTAGTGAAAGTACCTCTCACTAGACCCTTGTCTTGACAGACCTCAAAGAAAGAAAGAAAATAAACAAAGCGTGTTGTGGTGTTGTTGTCGCACTAGTAGAAAAATGCCGTACCCGCCCAATTACTTTACGAGGGCCACTGAAGAGGCCCATAGAGAATACTACGAGCTCCAAGACCTCTGCCCACCTCCCCCATCACCAGCTGAACTTCGCCGACAACGTCGACGACAAGCATACCTTGCCCGCTTCCCTCCATCACCACCACCATCACCAGAGCTACAGCGACCACCGCCCATTGCACACTTAGACCCACGCACGCCTAGGCTGCAACAACAACCCGCCGTCGAACTTGGACAGCGATTCGACTACCTCGCCTCGATCCATAGGGAGGCTAGGGCCATTATCAAGGACTTAAACTCGTCCTTGGAAAGGGAGAGTGCCCATCCCGACGCCACTTGTAAAAGCGTCGAGGAGCTTCAGAGGGACCAGGCCAACCGGGTGGCCCTTGTGCCCCATCCCCTCTTCTTCGGGTCAAAGACCCTTATCCTTCATCCAACCCACTCCACGTATGTTCCCTCTTCCCTCTTCCCCCCTCCATTATTCCTGTTACTACTACTCCCTAGTATGTAGTATATGGTATATGGTCTGACAAGTAAATATCCATTGGAACAGCAGCTCCACTCTTGAAACCATTTCCGCCACAATGGACGAGGAAAACGGCATCCACCAGTTCCCAGGCGAGGACTCCGCCTTGGTGTTCACTACCCCAGCCTTTCTCAAGGCCTCATCGGAAGACTTTTTTATGCACGAGTCTCCGAACCCTTACGAAGAAACTCCCATCCGGCCTCGACGATCCAAGAGATCCACCGGAGGGAAGACTAAGCCACGAGGCCTAGCGACCCCTCACTACACCGCAGCTACCGACTTCAGATCCCAAACGGAAGGCACCCTTTTCGAGGGAATGTCACCATTCAAACAAGCTGATTTTGATATGGCCGAATACCTCAATCTTTCGCCGGAGAAGCAGATAACTCGCACTCCTGCTCCCAGACTAGCGAAATCGCGTCTTAACCAGCTAATGGAAACAGCAAAACCCGCCTCCCTAGGTGATTTCGCCTTCACCACTCCAGCTCCTAACATGAATTGGGGTGGCAACGAGGAGAATGAAAGTCCTATTGAGGATATGGGCATGCGAACCGTCACCAAAGCTATCGATCCTAGGGTCCTGGAACTAGACGAGACTGATGATGATGAGATCGTACCCCTTTCTAATGTAAAGGCCCGTACCAAACCCTTTTCTCAGCGGCTCAGCGACAGGTCTTCCAAGAGAAGACGTAGCAATGGTATCACTACACCCAGTGAGCGCCTTCCACTACAGGATTTGGATGCATCCGCTCAAAATACGGTTCAGGCTGAAGTGCCTCTTGTAACACCTCAGAAGGAAGTTTTCGACAAGTCTGAGAAGTCCGAGAAGTCTACGCCAGCACCTTCTAGTCCTTGCAGTGACTCTGAAGACCTTCAGACACCCAAAGCAATTCCTCCAACGACTAGTGTGAACACCACTCCACGTATTCCTTCGACTGATTCCGTTGATAAGAAAGCGAGCCCCAGTCGTCTGCCGATTTCAACCCGTCGAACACGAGCCCTCAGCGACCCTCCATCACTTCCATCTCATCTTGACAAAACAAACAACCAAGGGGACGAAAGCATGAAGACCTTCACCTTTTTACCAAATCGTACTTGGCATCTGGAGATCTCCGTTCAGAACAGTCTTAATTCCAAGCCAGTTCAAGTTGTTCCCGAAACCCCTGTTACTCCAAAGGCTAAACCAGTTGAAGTTCTATCCGAACAAGACAAGGAAATGATGGAATCACCTCGTTATCAGGGTCTTCCCAAGTCACCTATGCAGCTCAGGAAACTTGTGATCCACACCCAGGAAATCTTGGAGGCTGAGAGAAGAGCTAGAATTGAGGCCGAGAAGACGATCGAGTATATGAATCAGGAGAGGCAGTTCCTCATGCTGCAGCTGGACAATGCCAAAAAACGTGCCAGAAGCAGAACAAACAGCCCTCGCACTAAGGGAACGAGGCAAGATGCTGTATCTGCTACACCGGCACCGGCTGCGGCTCAGGCATCATCATTATCCAGAGCTACGACTACTCCGGCTCGATTTACGGACGACCCTCGAAGTGAAGGATACGCCACTGACGATGTTACAATAGAACGACGACAAAATCCAGCCTTGGCAGCTGCCCTCGCCCGCCATCAAGAGGACGTCATTGCCAATCGCTTGACACCCAACGAGGCGGGAAGGAGACGCAGAGAAGTCATTCGAGAGGCTGAGAATTCTAAAAACATGTCCGTTGATGAGAAAGTTGATTGGAACTATCGTGAAGAACGAAGGGTCTGGGAGGATAAGTTTGCCCATGCGCAGACTTACAGAAAACCAACTGAAGCCGAACTTGAGATCGCAGCTGCATATGCTAGGGACGATGCGAAAGGCGAAATCGAAGAGAGACGCCGAGCTAGGCAGCAACAACGGGACCGAGGAGAGGAGAGTCGACCTACCCCTGCAGCCCGTCCACCATCAAGAACAAATTCCACCCGTACTCAGACCAGTACCAGCACTCAATCATCAAGGCCGCAATCCATCTATACCCGCCCTGGTTCGAGCCTTAGTTCCCGCCGAGACCCTGCTTCTCAGACTCGCCCAGGATCTAGCCTTCAGGCTAGGCCGCCATCCAGTCTTCAAACCCGTTCTGGCGCCTCGCGCCCACAATCCACAGTCCAACCACGCACCCAACCAGCTCGTCCGCAGTCTCGTGTTCAGTCGACACGCCCTGAGTCTCGTCAAGAAGGTCCATTACGTCAGAAGCCCGTTCGCGGGAACAGATGAGGAGGACTGTCCCTCACATGTTCTAACTTTGGATATTTCACGAACCCTCTCCCACGATATAACATGAAGTGACGGCCGCATTCTTTTTGGCTCCCTTTCCCTCTTCCCATCCTCTTCCTGACTCTCGAAATCATGTTGGGGTATTATCCTACAGACTCAGCGATTTGGTCATACCAATATACCTTTGACAAACGGAGTCATAGATTGAATGACTTCTAGAAGATTCATACAGCAACAGAGGTTACTGGTTACCTGCAATGGTAATCAACTTAAACTTTACTGCGACCTTCGATTTGTCTTCTGGAGTCATGCCCTTCGCACCAGAACTTACTCGGAGTTCGCATTCGCAATACCCTTTGATACCACCTTTCGTCATTCTGATATATTTCCAAGTTATTCGACTACGTCTATTGAATTACTGTCTCAACTGCTACTTCCTCAAGCAGCTTCTCCGCTTTAGTTGTTTCCAACTTTTCTCTAGTCCTGGCGGTTTACCATTGTAATGGTTTGCTTTTGCGCTTTTTCTTTGATGCCGGTGTGGCCTTTTTTTTTTCCCCTTTTCAAGCGTTTTTCTTTTCTTTTCTTTCTCATGATGATTTTTTTTACTCTTTCGCCGCTTCACATTACATTAAAAAAGTATTGCATAGAAGTGGCGTTTTTGGTGTCCTTATTCCTTTTCTCTTTTTACTTTTATTGATCAGTGGGCACCCTTATTTCATTTTTTTCTCTTTTTCTCGAGGAAATCAGACTTTCGGTTTTAAACTGTAGATGTACTGGTTAGTTGTCCCCTTTTGAGGACTATATTGATAGTAGAATGTAGACTCGTGGTATACCCGTATTAGCAAATATTATGAAAATTAAAGTTAATAGTGGATATGAATATTAAAATATGAACTCGAATTCATTTTGGTATAATATATAAGTTGCCTCTTCAATGCTCGGGTATCCCTGTGACATCAATCTGTATGCTCGCATCTAAAAAACAAAAAGGATATCTATCATGCGGAGCCAAAAAAAAAAAAGCAATGATGTTGTGAATCAATTATCCGTTCAAACCTTTCTACCTCCTATAGTAGTATACTCCTACTATATGTATATATATTCCTCAAACCTCCTATATATAAGTATTTATCTTCTACACAACCGACCTCGCACGGCAGCTGGTAATCCGTTCGATATCAACGATCTCCTTCGGCGCTGGGGTTAAATTCTCATACCCGTCTTCGGTAATCAAAAGTACATCTTCGATTCTTACACCCCCCACGTCCCAGTATTTTGATAATACTGATTCGTTTACGAAGGATTTGTTGGATGGGAAGGTTTCGAGGTAGTCTTCGTAGAGGGGTTGGTTGAAGTATCTGTATTAGTATTATAATTAGTTAGTTTATTTTTCCTTTATTTTTTTTTGGTTTAATTGTAAGGTGAGAGGGAAGGGAAGGACGTACATTCCCGGTTCGACGGTTAATGTCATTCCTGGTTTTAGATGATTGTATATTTCCTCCTTAGTGAAAGCGTCGAATTCATCGATTGTTATTACTCCCCCTGCTTTCCTCCTTCTCACCTTCGTCGTGTTCATCCCACCGTCGACGTTATCGCCACTACTGCCACTGCTAGCAGAGATAAGATCGTAATAAAGCACATCATGAGTCTCCAAACCCACATGATGTCCCAACCCATGCGGGAAGAACACTTTTCCCAAAACCTGAGAGGCCAATATATCCTCCTTCTCACCCACCAACAATCCAATCTCCTTCAACCCTTCGATCGCAACATCCACAGCGGCAAAATGACAATCTCTCCATTTAACCCCAGGTTTCAACATCGAAAACACAGTTTTTTGCATTTTGTATACTATGGCGTATATCTCCTTCGCTTCCTTTGAAAAAGTTCCGGAGATGGGGAAGGTACGGGTTACATCGCTCGCATAAAGGTTATATTCGGCACCTGCGTCTAGGAGGATAAGTTGTTTATTCCTGAGAGGTTGGTCGTTACGGACGTAATGTAGTATTGAACAGTTACGACCGGAACAGGCGATAGTATCGTATGCGAGTTTCCCGCCACGTTTGATGGTTTCTGAAATAAATTCTGCTTCGATTTCTCGTTCGGTGGTGAACGTATCTACCAATGCCATGATTTTTAGATGAGCGTGGGTGGAGATTTGGTTTGCGACTTTGATGAGTTCGATTTCGTAGGCGTCTTTTATGACGCGGGAGACGTCGAGCGCGGGTTTTAGAAGGTGGTTTGTGCAGTGTTGGTAGAGGGAGGTGGGGATTGGAGGGTATTGGTGGTGGATTATGTGGATTTTGGCGGCGGGGTGGGCGACAGTGTAGGCTTGGAGGGTGGTGGGGAGGGAGGAGGTGTAGTTTGCCATGTCGATGTCGTGGGTTTGGAGGAGGGTTTTGGGGGTTGGTGATGGGCCGGACCTGGATTTCTGTTTAGTAGACATTCTTGCTTCTACTTAAAATACCTACTACTTAAGCACCTAATTAAGCACCTGCCTCTCGGTAGATACTTCAAGATAATACTTAAGTACTTAAGTAGTTATTGAAGAAGGGGGGTGGAGGGTATATATACCATAGCTTCTCCTTCGGATCCGGTCTCAAAATCCACAACGTCAAGGTATCGGTCCCGATATCATAGGTAACATGGCCGTCCGGTAGGTCATAGCCCGTCAAGTAGAAGAAATAACGCTTTTGCCGGAACACGGCGGGCATATCGCTGTCTTCATTATTTCGGGAGACCTCGCCAGAGAGGTAGATTAAGCCTTCCTTGAGGTTTAAAGCGAGTGCTGTCCGACGGGCATGAGATTTGGCTATTTTATTTTAGAATCCAAAGAATTGAAAGTTAGTTAGGAGGTATTGATTGATATGAGGCTAATGGAAAGAGAAAATTTACCTGGATATTTTGTAGCAAGGAGCTTTGAGGGGTCTGAGATGTTGATGTTGAGGTTGAGGTTTAGAGAAGAAGGGAGTGAAGCCGAAGGGGTCCTCATTGTGATAGCTTTAGTTGAGTGATGCAAGCGAGGAAGACAGCAAGCAGAGCAGCGGGAAGCCGGGGTTTTAAGCTTTCCCCGAGCCTAAAATTCCAATCCAAATTCAAACCAGTCCAGACCAGCCCAGCAGAGACTCAAGGGACAGTACGACACCAACCCCTCCATTCAAAGCCCATCACACTTACACACCTACCTCGAAATTCCCCGCTTCCAATCACACGACATTTCCAAGAGGGTAAAAAAAAGAAAAGAAAACAAAAGGAAATAAGAAATAAGAAGGTGAAAAGAAAATGGACAACAGACGCGGAAACTACCGCGGTTCCTCTCGAGGTTCAGACCGTGGCGGCCGAGGAGGTGGACGAGGCAACTACTCCAACGACAGAAATTACAACCGCGGCGGCGATTCGAATCATCATCAAGGTAACCGTGATGGTGAAGGGAATTCCAGCGGTGGCGGCCACAGAGGTGGAAGGGACGGTGGGAGCGGAGGAGGTCAATCGCATGAAAGGCCTAAGAAGGAGGCTATCTTGGATTTGGCGAAGTATATGGATAAGAGGATTATTGTGAAGTTTAGCGGTGGGAGGGAAGGTATGTTCTCTTTCCCTTATCTTGTCTTCTCTTCTCTTCTTTCTTCCCGGTCATATGGTTTGCGGATTCGCTGACGGGTTATACTGCTGGAATAGTCACGGGTGCACTCAAAGGATACGATCAATTGATGAATTTGGTGCTGGATGACGTTCAAGAAGTCATGAGAGGTACATAAATCTCCATTGTTCCCCTTTATAAATATCATTTCGATTTCGATTTCCGAAAGGCTAATATATATATCTCTATAATATTACAGACGACGAAGGAAACGAACAGACCCGTGAACTAGGATTGGTCGTCGCCCGCGGTCCTTTACTTGTCTTGATATCCCCAGTCGACGGCACAGAGCAGATTGAAAACCCCTTTGCAGCAGCAGAGCAGCCCACAATATAAAAATACTTCAGATTTGAGCGCAGAGTGGTCTCGTTGGTAACGCAGAGCGGTTTTTGTGACAGTCAGTCGCATACACGGTTTGGGACGGGTCTCACTTGGAAAATTTCTTTATTTCTTTGCATGCAGCTGTTGGACATCATATTTATACAAGATGTCGAGTTGATATGATAGCAACGATAACCTCTACATTTTTCTTTACACAAAAAAGAAAGAAGCGGGGGGAAATTGGGAGGAAATTGGGAGGAAATTGACAGGAAGACTAGTACTGGCGACTATGAGGGGATACAATTGCTGTAGTATACAGTTTTACAAAGCCTCTATCAAAAGCTTATAGAGATAATGAAATATTCCATCCTTGTCTCCAACATGAAACTAATCGATTAATATCCGAAATGTATGATAGCACGGATAGCACGGTTGGTGGGTTAATGAAGTGGACATATTTGTATAAAAACGAACCTGCTAAAAGTACACGATACTCAAGCCCTCTTCGATTGATCGATCAAAACGATGTATTTAACATATTCCCCATTGGAATTAAGAACGAAAAAAGAGAGGGGAAGAGATAAGAACCCACAAGACGACAACGAAGATAAAAAGTAAAACAGGATAGGCAGCCAGTTCACAGCCTGTAGCAGGTTTAAAAGAAAGGAAAAGAGAAAACAGAGGAGGGGTAACGGCGTTAAGAATCGTTAAAAAGGAAATAACTGATATGGTTCCTACGCGCCTTTAATAGAAAAAGGGCTCCAGAAAGGTAGGGACGATCATTGCGAAAAATTGAAATTGAAGCATGTGGAGGATCTGGAGTCCCTACCAGAAACCAGAATCGGCTTGAACGTTATGGGTCATACCGGTGGGGGCAAAATCGGGAGTTGAATGGCCAGAATCCACATAGCTATCACCCAGGCTAGGTGGCCAAACTCGCCTCTTCACTCTCGTCCTCCTATGATTTTCGGTAACTGGTACTAGCGGTGAAGGATGGGCATAGGGGTTTCTAGCTGCTCCGTAGTGATTCGTCACTGGTGTAGGCACCGAATACTGTTGATCTGGTTGGGGCGCAAAGGGCAAAGATGCTGGGTGTTGATAATACATTGTCGGGGGCTGAACATGCATTGTTGGTGGCGGGGGAGGTGGGGGTGGAGGTGGAGGGAGAGGCATGCGCGAATGGGGTGGTGGGTGTAAATAGTAATTTGAATCTCGCGGAACGACGTTTACGGCATCGGGTGAGGGGGGTGGGGGGTATGAATATGGTCGTCGCATTGACATAGAAGCGGTTGGTTCAAGAGTTGCAGAGTACGTAGCACGTCGAGGGTTTACAATTGGTGGTCGTGGTGGTCGTAATGTGGGTTTCGGTACGGAGGCTGGTTTCTGAATCACATCGGAGGTATCCTATCCCCTCTTCTGTAATTCCGAGAAGGACGACTCGATTACGCGTTTCAGCTGATCACCTTGTCAGTTTATAAACTCGCACATTGAAAACTTCTGGACTTACTTCTCTAAAGCTGACAATCAGGCAATTCTGCTCGTCCCTACTAACCAACATGATCCGTTCATCCGTCCCCGCATCAAGCTTGTTCAAGGACGATAAGACATGAACAATATCAATCACCGGGTTCCCAGCTTCGTCCACTTGATGGAAAACGTAATCCCTAAACAACTTGATCAAGTACCTATCACCAGTCTCGCTCCATGCTTGGTCGTGAGCAAACTCTGGCCGTTCATTGATAAACCCGAATTTGCAAAGCAGTCGGACAAGTCGGCCGTTCTCCAACTCTCCACCCAACTGCGCTTCGAGGGTATCGTTTTGGTGCAAAGAAGAATCGAAGTTTTGAACCAATTGAAAGGAAATCATTCCAAGTAGTTCTTCCATAGTCCTTGGCCCTCCGGAAGCTGGTCCGTTGAAGACGTAGAGCAAGAAGTTCTTGAGTTCCGGGCTATAAGTTCTACTAACATAGTCCATCGACTTCTGAGCATTGAGCGCCGCATGAGGGTTATTGCACGCGATGGCCAATATAACTCTTCCGAAGGCGAGGTAATCTTCCTGCTGCAGTTCAACTAGGGACCTGCCAGCGTCGAAATTCAGGACGTCGAGGACCGAGCAGCAATTGATTCGGATTCTGTTCTTGTTTGTGAGTAGAATTTTGTTTGGCTGGATAACTCGAGCTGCCAATCCAGCCGCGTGGATGGTCTTGAGAGCCGAAGCTATCTGTACGATGTAGCTCCAAAGCATGTGCTCTGTGTTCGCATTCTGAGTCTGGTTGGCATGCTGTCGGTTCTGATAGCGGGAATTTGGGCCAAAGTGGACGTCTTGAATAGTTTGAGAAAGTGGAAAGTAATCGAAGACGAAGACGATTGCTAGTCTACGTTAGCACACTATCATGCAAGTACCATCCAATCGACGTACAATTATCACCAAAGGCCCGAGTCGTGAAGGCGTCATGGACTGTAACAACATTTGCATTCATGACTCGCTTCCAGTGCTCAACCACTCGGATAGCCTTCTCATTTGATAAGCGGAAACCTGGTAGGCTCAACTGTTAGAATAACCGCCGGCTCAATCAACTAGTTGAGGTAACATACCTTCTAAGCGACGCAGAATGTAGTACGAGCCATCCTTCGTACTTGTTGCTTTGTAAACCCAACTTGTGTATCCGAAAGTCGGCTGCGGCGGTGCCGGAGCATTTTTACTCTGCGATTTGGCCACGTGAAGATCAAGGGGGACTAAGCTGTGATAAGAGTCCACATTGGGAAGAGTGGAATCTTATATACGTTAACATCGAGTTCTGTACTTTCATATCAACTTTTCTAAAGCTTACTAGGAAGAGTCTGAAGAGAGGCTTCCGCCTTCTTCTGCAAGTCCTCCCTAACACTATCCTTCAGGAAAAGATCATGGACCGTTCTCTGATAGGATAATAGGTTTTGCTTGTGTGGGCCAATTGGGGCATATAGATGATATTGCACCTATGATAGAATCCAAGGTCAGTACACTGGGTGGCACCTACCTATGAGTTCAAAAGCCTTAACGTACCGGTTGATAGGATTGTTGTGCGTAATAAACTTCATTAGGGTTATTCTGGTGCGCATATGGGTTGACCTGTGCATGTGGTTGAGGGGGGACCGGGTTGTATTCATAGGGATTCGGTTGGAGAGGGGCCTGGACATAGCTCGTTAGGTACCGAATAGCCTGGAACGATGGGTCTTGTCATATGCTTACCGGGTCGAGCCCCATGCCATCGAATGTCTGGGAAAGATTTGGGAAGGGTGGAATCTCAGGTTGCATGTAGCTGAGGGTTCGAGAAGGTTAGCCAATCAGAGAGAGTATCCAGGCCTTAGGAGCCTGCCATAACCATACCTTGTGCCTTGCATCATGGGGTCCATCATGTTCATCTGTGGGGGCAGCGGAGGGTTGCTCATAGGTGGGGAGGCGGCAGCAGCTATATACATAATGACGGTGAGGTTAGACAGAAAGGCAAAAAGAGAAATGGAAGATTAAAATGGAAGGACTAACACAATGCACTCATTCTAGGAGTAAACACAGCTGCTTCCAATGCCTTTGTGCTAAGCTTCGACTGCGGTGGAGATGCCATAACGGCATTCCCAAAGGATGGGGACTGGCCCGGGGTGAAGGAGGCGGACTCGACATTTAACTTTCTTTTCGACCTGGAACCAAGAAGACTCTCATATCAACATCCAGCCTGTCGGACCATTTATTTATTCACTCCACAACCGCTTGAACAGGGAGAGAACGAACATATCGGCGTTAATGTGGTTGCCGGGCTGACCTGGCGAAGCTGGGTTTTTGGATGGAGAAATGTTGCTGGTATCGTGATTGAAGATACACCCTGTTGTTATAGAGATTAGAAATGGCCTGTTTTCTCATTGGTTTTTGATATGAATGGAGAGGACTGCTGATGGAAATTGTAATTCCACCATTGCGACTACCTCGAAAGGGAGAAGAAGGAGGAGAAGGAGGAGAAGGAGAAGGAGAAGGAGAAGAAGGAGAAGTAGAAGAAGGAGAAGTATACATACCTCTATCCTGATAGCGGCAGTAGCCGTAGATAACAATGTTACGGCATTGAGTTTGATTCGCAGCTTCTAATCGAGTCTTAGTAACCATTTTTCGAAGAATATGTCTAACAAGGCGAGATGTTTTGGAATCGGGTTCAACTATGCTGCTCTGTCGAAGGGGTGTTCGCAGCCTTGTGGACGAGAGAAGGGTTGGTGTTTATGCCCTGTGGCACAGAAGCAAGTTACGTACCGCCTTTACTTCTTCGTGGGCTCACGCTGTTCCCATTGTACAGTACAGCACGACCATTTGGCGGAGGTGTTTTGAGACCAGACACGGCGGCGTATAACGGAGGCGGTGAGGATGGACCTTCAGCCCGCGGGTTTAGACCTGACATTTGCCCTTGGAGGGCCGTTCGACGTCGACGGCAAGGCGATAGACAGCTCGGCTTGATTGACTCGGTTTATGTCGGTTTTCGAGAGACAAAAAAAAAAAAAAAAAGAGTCGTCCGAGGTGATACGACCGATAAAGGATAATAATTATTTAAAATGATAATAACAAGAGGGTTTTATGTATGTACGGTGTCGGAAACCAAGATCTGGAGCGTTCGAGATTCAGTGTTACAACGGGTGCAACCTTTGCAAGTGCAGCAGGTACCTAAGTAGGTACTTGGTATAGGTAGGGATGAAGTCGGTATAGTAGGTAGTAGGTAGGTAGGTAGGTATGTACAACGAGGAATCGTGTCCTTTGTTTTCGGGATCGGATCTTTTCAGCCAGTTGAGATCGAAGCGGTTAAGATATATATTAAAGCGGCGATACCAACGGAGGCGAGAGAGAGCAATGGAATGACGATTCGAAGCAGCTTGGCCGAGTCACCGGGGACATATTGTGAAGTTCTAATGGCACATCCGTCGGGCGGTGAATTAGAGAATCTCGAACAAGATACCATGCGAAAACCCCACACCTACACCAGGAAATGTACAGCGGAAACATACCTGGAAGTCCTCTATCTATCCACCTGATCCCAGTTTGCGCTGCCTGTCAAACGCCGGGCGACTCGCGTAGATATCAGAACATGTCGGAGATGTTCGAGATGTCGGAACTATATCGATATCGGGTGTTCTGTGGTCGTCGACGTTGCGGTGGTAGTAGCAGTAGTAGTGTATATTTCGATACTCATATCCTCCCGGTCATGCCCAGGCCAGGTACCTCTTAAGCTCCCAATTCAAGTACACTTCTTAATATAGTAGGAGGTAGTGGTATGTACTTTGGGATTAATCAGCTCTGCCTGCGATAGAATTCGGAACTTTCCAAGGTCGAAAGCAACTACTTCTTAGCAAGCAGACTAAAAAGTGAAACTGGAATCGAATCCCACCAAGCGAAACTTTCCAAGCTTTTTTTGACCGGGCCGGGGTTCTTTAGCATCCCATACAAGGTCGGTACGGAGTTATATTAGTAGGTATACATACTACATATATACTTCTTACTCAGAGTATGTAATGTAAGTAAGTAAGTACCAGGTATTAAGTGCTTAAGTAGGTAGATGTTTGCTTGCAATGCTTGCTTGGAATCGGTCCCATGGACACTCTTGCACCGCACATCCCCCGCTTAAACCTGCCGTCGCGTCGCTCTAAATTTCTATCCAGAAGTTTGTAACATTCAAGAATATTAGTACGATCTACCTTTTTGAGTATATACTAGTACTTATCTATCGCTTTTCGAGAGACTTAAACTGGACATTTGTAGCTTGGGTACCATAGAACAATATAGTTATCACAGTATCGTTTCTATCTCGGATCACACGACCTCTTAACACAGCACATTAATTATAATATTCGCCGCTTGCTGCGTGTTGACATCACCAACTGCAACCCCAAAATGGCTGTGGGAACCACTCGAACTTCATATCAAAAACACAATCATCCTCTCTTCCCCCACCAGTCTCTCAAGTAACACCCAATTTGAGATCTCTACTGTAAGTAACTCTTCTATGCCAAATCCTCTTACGATTTTTCCTTGCTAATATTTCAATTGAAAGCTATTACTCGGTAGTTTGAATCAGCTACACCAAAAGATAGCTAGATTCGATTCGATTTAACGATCCACTCACTCAACGGAGCTACACGCCATGCATACCTAGCTCACTCAGCACACATAAACAACAACCACCCAACGCATAGCTAGGTAGTGCAAAACCAATTTGATGCTCGATCCCTGAATGCTGCAGGATGCCTACACCATCTAGCACCTTCGAGATCCTGGGCGAGCGAAAGCTCGTCTCTCCTGCACAGCGGCAGCTCGCAGCATGGTGTCCGACCAAAGACCTGATTGCATATGGTCTGGTAGACCAGACTGTCGCCCTCTACCGTATGAACGGGCAGAAGGTATGGCAAACACAGAAGTATACAACGGGACAACGTCAGGCGAAAAAGGAGCACAGTGTTACCAAGTTATGTTGGAGGCCTGATGGTATGTTTTTCTTCTCTACTATTTACCCAAGAATATTCACATCTAGAGTGAGGCTTATAGATAGCTATACTATAATTCAGGACAACTACTGGCTGTTAGTTATGACAACTTCATAACTAGAATCGTCGATGTCCAAACGGGACGGTTCGGTCATCAAGTCGAGATGGAAGATGTCACGGAAGGACGTATAACAGCTATTGGCTGGGTCGACAACCGTGACCCTGCGACCGAAGATGCCGAACAACTGGAACCGAAGACCAAGACGGACTTTATCAATATTGGAGGAACCTTGAAAAACGACAATTTGGGATATCTATTTGGTCTTTTTAATTTCGACGTTAGCACTGTACTCCCTAAGCTGAGTGTACTGCCTGGCGTTGCGAATGCGTATGTTCCTTATCCTATTCTTCTGCTTCAGTATGCCATACTCACTCACACATGTTCTCTCTCATAGGGATATCACGTTCTCATCTAAGCAAAGCTTGGATAGCTTGATCAACGTCCCGTCGATTCGTAAGGAGGATACGATGGACGTTCTGTTGATGGGAACGTCGAAGGGAAGCTTCGCAATGAACGTATTTGACTCATTCGTAGTTGGATCAATGGACCTCTCGAGTCTCATCGGCGAGAACGACAGATATTCATACAAGGTGATAATAGTGTTCAAAACCTGGCTGTCCTTGCGGATTGCTAACGTCGCAAATAGATAACTCACCACCAGTCTACAAGGTCCCTCAAGACCCATCTGTTGCTAACAACTTCCCAGCTCCGACCGAAATACAGGTCAGGGAAAGAAAAAGGACAAGGCCCAACTGTGCTTCATGCACTTGACATATTGTTCCTCTCGAATTACGGGCCATATCTTGGACGGGTTACGTATACTATCACAAAGGTCCAACATTTACTACGATATGTTAACGAGACCGTGGTAGCAATGGCGGCGGAGTGGAAAGCCATGGAGGCCGTCGAAACAGCCTATATGCGGGCTCAGAAGGAAATCCTAGAGGCCCCCGAAGGTCAAACTGCCGGACTTGAATTCTTCGAGCTTTTGATTACAGGATGTGCAGGCGAGAAGATGAAAGAATGGTTGGTAGATTCGTTAGGCGAGAAGGGTCACAAGAAGTGGGAGAAGGTTTATGTGAACGGCTATGAGACACTACGGCGGCTGGCTCACGAACATCTATTACCTTCGTGCGACCGATTGATCGTCCTATTAAGCAAGCTGCGAGGACTGGCTCGCTGGACAGACAAGGATAGTTCTCTTGGCTTGGACCCAGTTGACTACAGTAAGCTGCTGGACTTGGTATCCGGGCTCATGGCCATCTGCCATGAATTCATGGGCAGGGTCAATTACGAACTGGATCTCTTCTCAGCCTTCATCTTTTGGCTTAAGACTGCGTACGAAGAGTTCAACAACTTGACGGAAGGGAATGAGCCTGGTGTCCAAAACGAAGGGGAGCTCCTAGTCGATACACTCAAGGTTGCAGAGTTTATAGGGAAACATCTGCAAAATAGCGTCCTTGCAGCGTACTTTGATAAAACGGAGTGGGTATGGAGGGAAGGGGAGACGGTTTTCGCGGCGTTTACGAAGGTGGTAGATACGGATGGGGAAGCTACCGGTTCAAGCGGAGGTGATGCCGTGAAAAATATCATCAGTGGCTCTGGATCTGGGTTAAAAAAGAGAGAGAGCTCTGGCAGTTTCACTGGTGCGATAGGGAGTCAAGGTTCTGAGGAGGGACCGAAGACATTGCCTGGATTTCACCAGATTTCTACCCGGATTAACGAGGTCTCGAAGAGTATATTTTCGAAACCGGCAAATGCGATGAAACAGCAGGTACACGTAGGGCAAAGCATTGTGGTTCACAATGAACCGTACAGAATTTTGGATATCCGACTGTGCGATGACGGTGGCGCAAGCGGCGAGTCAGTATGGTATATCGCTATGGCGAAGAGTGAGCTTGACGAACTCGGAAAGAAAGTTCCTGCGTCAGAAAGCACGAGTATGTGTCCCCTAAACTTGCTCCCTATGTCAAGGAAAAACAAGTTATAACGTTAAATCGTCCCCTACAGTCGTCATGATTCGCATTGCGATAGTTAAGAATGGCACCCTCAGTTCGGTCAATGACGTTTCGTGCACGAGGATTAATGCGCCGCCGCATAAAGTCGTCTCCGACTTACGCTTTACGGACAACCAAACACTTCTCGTCCTCTTCTACGATGAGGATAATACTGATATGATGAGCATCCGCTGTACCACCCCTCATATGACATACACGCCCGTACCGAAGAGTTGGTGGGAACTACCAGCGTCGCCGACTGCTAAGCTTACGGACCAAAACGGAATCTTCCAGTTCGCGATGACGCTTGCTGGGAACTATGTTTACAATATCAAAAGGGTACTCACGTTCAACCACAACGATATCACACCGATAGCTTTAACGGTCAACGTTAATAGGGGCAGAAGATTGGGAAGTGTGTTAGACAGGGAAAGGTTGAGGTGGATTATCTTTGATTTGGGAGTTGTGGTGGAAGAGGAGGAGGAAGAGGAAGAAGAAAAGGAGCAGGATGGGTCGACTGAAGATGATGAATTCTACAGCGAGGAATTCAAGACGCCTGCAGAGAATCCCTGAATCGGGATTTTTATATCCGCTTTTTTTATATCTGCTTCTGGGTCTTGGGGTTTCTGCCTCTCGCCCGAGAGCCCTATAGGACCTGGGTCGGATATCCCCCACAATTGATAAGGATTGTGATAAGACTGCCCCTCCAAAACCCACTGGAATCACACACACCCAGAAACACCTTCATGTACGCATAGGACAGTACGACAGTAATAATATTATGGCTCTTTCGGGGGGCTGTAGATTTGGTGGAAGGCCGGAGCAAGGTATCTCCCAAGCTGTGCAGTCTTCAGACGTCTTGTGATCAATATATGTAAGTACAGTTATATTGGTGTCAATTTGGCCAAGAGTGCTGGCGAATCACAGAGCAGACCGAGACCCCTGGCTCGCAAACACAAGGAGCAAGCGTTCGTTCCTCAGGTCCGCTTCTGCAGCTTCTGTGTGATGCTGCAGCTCTGAATCATCCTGCCTACCTTGGAGCCGACAGCTCGATTGATCTGAATCTGACCAATAGTAGCTCCCACCAGAGCTCCCGCCGTGCAGCTTCCCCCTTCCTTGAGACCTGATAATATACCAGGGACTACATAGTTCTAGGCCGACAACAGCTTTTGCTTCTTGTCAGAGCGCCGTGCGAGTCTTAACATTCGAGGGACACGTCCTCCGGGGGACAATATGTCGGTGTTTAAGTACTACTAGTAATACTTATTAAATCGGTACTTTTAAGCTAAGTGCTGTGGGGACGAAATTGTAATCTAACGAGAGGTAATTTGACAGAGGGAACAGAACAAGAAGAAGTCGAAGAAGAAGAAGAAGAAGAAGAAGAAGAAGAAGAAGAAGAAGAAGAAGAAGAAGAAGAAGAAGAAGAAGAAGAAGAAGAATAGAACAGCAGACACGTATGATTGAAATATAATAGTCTCGAGGCCCCCTTCGTAATTCAATCGCCCTTGTCCTCTTCCTCTTCCTCCCCTCTTGCCTTCTCTGCTCTTCTCCTTTCATCCTCCAGCTTCTTTGGATCTACTGTGCATACCTTCCCTTTCCCTCCTACTACAAACTCGCCGGGTTAGTTGGTCCAAGATAGTCCCAGAGTCGTTCGCCACCGCCCGTTCCAGTCCAGTCCAATCCAATATCGATCGAGCTAATATCACACGCACATGTACAGCGGCAAACTGTCGTCTCGTCCTTGTTCTTGACGTGCCTGCATCCGAGCTCCTTTTGGGACGGGAACAGCTTACGCGACAGTTCCGTCCAGCTAAGCTGCTATCGGCACCCTTTTTGTTCACTTCTCTCTCCTTGTTCTTGTCCGTCCTACTGCCTCCCATCCACCATCCATATCGCCGGGCGTTTTTTTCCGTTTTGTCTTAGACCGGAACGTGTTTATATCGAATACGATACATATACGGCTTCAAGGGAGGGAAGCACCCGTACACCCCCGGTTAAGGAAAGAAAGAAAGAAAGGAGGAAAGCAAGTGAAAGACTCATCCTGCCTGTTACTTCAGGAGGCTGTTTTAGACTCGCATAAAAAGGTAAAGCCTTCTTTTGGTTATCGTCGTCACCGTCTCCCTTTTTACCTTCACCTTCACCTTCACCTTCAGCTTGATCTTTACCCCTTCTTCACCTCCATAGCTCGAGCTTCAGAGTTGGATTTAGTATATATAGGTTGTAATCAGGCGTTACCGCTAATTACCTATTACTAAACTGTTGGTTACCTCTGCTCCAAAATTTTTCTTGCTCGCTTGTGGTGTCTGGCTGTCTGGCCGGTCAGGACGGACCAACCAACCAACCTGACCTGACCTGACCTGACCTGACTGGACTGGACCGGCTCTGCACTGCTGCACTGCATCCACACAGACGCCTCCACAAGCCAACCATCAAACTTAACCTCCAACTCCAACCTCAACCTCAACTTCAACTTCAACTTCAACCTCATATCTTGTCTACCAGACGCCCTTTTCCTAGGTATATAATATCAGGGACGGGAACATCTTCAGCTTCAGCTTTCTTTTGCTATATAACCACCTGTCTTTCTCTCTCTCCCTCTTCCTCTCTCCCTCCCTCTCCCTCTCTTTCTGCTGCTGTTGCTGTACTCACAAAATCCTGACACTGTTTCTAGTAGGAGAACCAAAACATCTCTACCCGCCCCTCCACAAACAGATCCTCTCCTACTCCTCCTCCTCCTCACTCATCATACTCCTTCACACATCCACACCCATCCACCATCCGGCATCATCAACCCTTTTCCATCACGATAATTCCTTTCTAAGACTCTATTTTCTTTTGTTCTACAACATTCGCCCTCTCTCCTCTGGATCTCGTCTTTGTCTACTCTCTGTCCTCCTGTTGACTTTTGTGTCTTACCCATCATGGAGATTGCACAGGTCTTAGAAAACACTATCTCTGCCGGTCTGCACACCCCACCAAGCCCTTCCCCCCCACCCCACATCTCGCATCGAAGGAACATGAAAATGTTACCCCCGTCTGATACACTCCCCGCTACGTCATTCATGTGAATATCATCCACTGACATCCTTATTTCTCATTTTTCTTTTGTCTTCTGTAGATGCCACTAAGCGCCAGGCTGCCGAACAGACACTTCGAAATGCTGCCCAAGAAAACTTTGTACGATACTGCCTTCCCCCTTCCCTTCCTATCCCTAACTACCTCATATCCCTAAATATGTACTGACAGTTCTCCTCTTCCCTCCTTTGGGGTTTTCCTTTTTTAAAAAAAACTATAGCCAGCATACCTTGAAGGTTTATCACAACAACTAGCCAATGCCCAGAACTCTCCCGTTGTTAGGGCGGCTGCCGCTCTGGTTCTAAAAAATGAATTTTCCGGCCGAGATCTCGCTATAGTACACGAGAACCAGCAAAAATGGATCAATTTGGAACCAGCAGTCAAAGAGAATATAAGAAACCTCGGCCTTGGGACTTTGGCGACGGCCGACCGTCAGTCTGTCACTAGTGCAGCCCAGTTTGTGGCCGCTATCGCTGCCATCGATCTTCCTACAGGTCAATGGGATTCCTTGATGCCTGCTCTCGTTCAGAATGTCAACACAGGTGGCGACGGCCTGAAGATGTCTTCATTAACAACTATTGGGTACATCTGCGAATTCGAAGATGACAATCTCCGCGAAAGCTTGAGCCAGCACTCCAACGCTATCCTGACGGCTGTCGTTCAAGGTGCACGCAAGGAAGAACCGAATAATGAAGTTAGATATGCTGCTATGCGAGCTCTGAGCGAGTCCCTAGAGTTCGTCCGAAGCAACTTTGAGACAGAAGGTGAAAGGAATTACATCATGCAGGTTGTCTGCGAAGCCACTCAGAGCACAGACAATAGAATACAACAGTCTGCGTTCGGTTGTCTCAACAGGATCATGAGCTTGTACTATGACAAGATGAGATTTTACATGGAGAAGGCACTGTTCGGTTTAACTGTCCATGGCATGAAATCGGAGGACGAGGAAGTTGCCAAGCTGGCTATTGAATTCTGGTGCACAGTGTGTGAAGAAGAATTGACCATTGAGGAGGATAACTCCGATGCCGCCATGAACGGCATCGACGCCACCCGCCCATTCTTTAATTTTGCACGGGTTGCCACTAATGAAGTTGTGCCAGTTCTTCTCGAGCTGTTGACAAAGCAGGATGAGGATGCGACTGATGACGAATACAACGTCTCTCGTGCTGCTTATCAGTGTTTGTGCCTCTACGCTCAAACAGTCGGCGGTCTTATCATTACTCCTGTTCTCACCTTTGTCGAATTGAACCTCAGACACGAGAACTGGCGTATGAGAGACGCTGCCGTCTCTGCATTCGGTGCCATCATGGAAGGACCTGATGTCAAGATGCTCGACCCTCTTATCAAGCAGGCTCTGCCGTTGCTGGTTTCCATGATGAGCGATAAGGTCGTTATGGTCAAGGATTCCGCTGCGTATGCCCTTGGAAGAATTTGCGAGTGCTGTGGATCAGCCATCGAAGCCAATGTACACCTCCATGGCCTCATCACAGCGCTCTTCACAGGTCTTGACGACAACACCAGAATGGCCGGGTCCTGCTGCTGGGCTCTTATGAACTTGGCGGAGTCGTTCGGTGGGGACAGTGCAATGCAACCTGAAAACCCGTTGTCCAAGCACTTCTCCGACAGTGTCACAGCTCTCCTGAAGGCCACTGAGAGACCTGACGCTGACAACCACTTGCGTACTGCTGCCTACGAAGTTTTGTCGTCTTTCGTCACCAATGTCGGATCCGACCAAATCCCTGTTATCGGAAAGCTCTTGGACCATCTCGTCAGCCGAATCGAGAAGACTGTCGAAATGCAAAAGCAAATCGTTAGCACTGACGATCGTGTCACATTGGAAGAGATGCAGATTAGCTTGGCTAGTGTTGTTTCAGTTATCATCAACCGCCTCGACAAAGAAGTAGCCTCCCATGCAGACAGTACCATGCAGGTTATCTTACTTGCTCTTGGATCGCTCCCCCCAACCTCATCTGTTCCCGAAGCACTGTTTGGTGCTGTTGGTGCCATGGCCAATGCTCTAGAGGAAGACTTCGGCAAATACCTGGACGCCTTCACCCCATTCTTGTACACCGCACTCGGCAACCTTGAGGATGCTCAGTTGTGCTCGACATCGATTGGGTTGGTCAGCGATATCGTTAGATCTGTTGGAGAGAGAGCCGTCCCACATTGTGATAGTTTCATGAATTTCTTGTTGAACAACTTAAGGGTAAGCACTTTTTATTTCGATATCATGATCTTATTGGTTCATTCACTAACACAAAAACGTAGAGCAATCACCTTAACCAGCAATACAAGCCAGCTATCCTTCAATGCTTTGGTGATATCGCACAGGCTATTACTGGTGCCTTTGAAACCTACCTCCAAGTCGTCATGCAAGTTCTACAGCAGGCATCGTTCATTCAAATAACTCCTGATAGTTCCATCGACATGCTGGACTACGTTTTGAGCTTGAGAGAAGGTATCATGGATGCTTATGATGGTGTCATCATTGCCATGAAGTCCAGCGGCAAAGTCGCTCTCCTCGCTCCCTACGTTCAACACATCTTCGGATTCCTTGCTCTCATTGCACAAGACCAAAATAGAACAGAGGCTTTGTTGAGATCTGCTATGGGTGCCTTGGGGTATGTTAATCCGCTTAATCAATTTGAAGATCTACAGTGTTTTCTAACAAAATATTTCTAGTGACCTTGCTGATGCGTTCCCGAACGGCGAATACGCCAACTTCTTCCGTTCGGAGTGGCTTATGCCCATGATCAAGGACATCAGGGCTAACCGCGACTTCAGCAGCCGCACCCACGATACCACACGCTGGGCCAAAGAGCAGGTTCGAAAGCAGACCAACCTCCCTGCTTAGCCAACACCGGGAGTACAAATGACGAAGCCATCGAACTCTTACGACACCCGTATGGATTTTGCTATGATGTGAAAATTTAACGAAAAGTGAAAGAAAAATTATTCGTGCGAAGATTGAAATTTTGGGTTAGAGGAGCATGCGGGGGTCTATGACGCGCAGTTCTTTGATGAATCCGATACACCCACACCATAAGAACGCCGCTTTGGATCCCCCTAAACCCCTTCCCCTTGACGAGCAGATTGAGAGAATAACAAATATTTCTAAAACTGTTTTCTTTCCGATCCCCTTCGTTTAAACCCCGAGCTGCCCCGCGTCCCCTCCCCCAGCGCCTGTGCCCCTCATCCTACCCCATCGGTATCCCCATTTAACATTCCCCACCACGCGAAATGCACAATCATGTATCCTAGAACCCTTCAAAGATTTCCTTGTGAACAAAACTAAACTTGTAGCCCTTATACCCATCATGTAGTCCCTTCCCGGCAAAGAAATTAGTAATACCAGCCCTTTTTTAAAAACTGCCTTCACCTCCCCACTTACACCCACCTTTTTGAACAAAATTTGTATCCTCTTTTTTACCCGGGCTTTTGTTTTTCTTGTTTCCAATTTTCGTTTCTCGGACTCCGCACTTTACATGTACACTTCTTGTATCCTTTTTTATTGAATCATGGCAGTTTTTTTTTCCCCTTCACTTTGCTTTGCTGCCTGCCTGGTTATTCTTCTCTCTTCTCCCGGTTGATCCCCCCTAGGCCTTGATAACTTACTTCTCCCACTTCCCTCTTCCCTCTTCCCTTTCGGCCTGTTTGTTTATTAGATCCATTTTATTATTCTTCCGTATCCTTTCCCTTCTACTGACCTGCGGTTCTTCTTCTTTTTTTTTTTTTGTAAACGATTGATTCATGTAGACATCGAAAGGACTGTAACACTCATGCTCTCCCTCTCACTCTCACACACACATACACCTTAACCCACATATATGCGAAAATATATAAACATGTAATTCAAACTCCCCCCCACCCTCCCAATTCCATGGCGCCCCTTGCCTATTATTGATATTAAAAAAGGAAAAAAAAGGAGAGGAGTTCGGCTCGATGAGGGCTCTTTTTTTTCTTTGTAAGGATGGTAGAGTCTGCTTGTAACACTAGCCTCGAATATAGGCGCTCTTGAGGCAGAGTTTGTGACAACTGATATTTTGTATTAATGTATATGTGCATGTACCAGCTTTGGTTGGTTGGTTGATCGATCCGGTCATTCATGCATATGAGATATATAGCCAGAGTTAGTTTATAAATATCTAGTAGGCCGTTCGTGTAAATCTGATGAATAACTTTTTATAGAATAATAATATATAAGAAACTTTCTTTAATCGATTAATTAACCTCACATGTGCACAAAGCTCATCGCGGATCACAGTATTATATTAGTAGTATACGTACTAGTAGCAGTAAATAAAAAGCTGAACCCTTAATTTTCTCATAAATTTCGTAAATAAAAAAAAAAGTTAACAGATAGAGACACGTATGGGATTCTAGTAGTACATATGGCTAGGTATGAAAATATCAAGGGCTCTTCGACGATGGACTTCCTCTCTTCTTCTTCTTCTTCTTCCTCATCATTTCGAGTTTAATACCTTGTAGGTGTTTGTTTTCTTCTCCTTTCTTTCTTTCTTTATCCCCAAACACAAAAAAGAGGCCTTGTTTAGTATGCCACTCTGGTCCTCATATCTGCAACCTTCCTTTCGACTTCTCGAATACTTCTGTCCAATTCTGCTGCGATCATCTGCTTCTTATCGTACGGAAGTAGGGCGAACCTTTCACACACTATTTATTATACCACCCAAAACTGTTAGCAGATATTTCCAGAGAAATAATTAAACTGAAAGCGCGGGGTAAAGCGGGAGGGAATTGAAAAAAAAAAAAAAGGAGGAAAGCTTACAATCTCCATCAATAACCCCCTTAACAGGCACATAATAACTCCTATAAATCAAATGATCCCTTCCAGCCAACGGCGCATCTTCAGTCCTCATATGCTGTTCCAAAGTCTGGAAAAAATCAACATCCTCACGACTAATAAACGGCACCATAATCCCGATTGTTCCCTGTAATCCACTCCAAACCACACAATCCCTTCCACCGGCTACAAGATTAACCTTCTGTATTGAAGTAGGTACGTCTTGTGTGAAAAAGTGCGACATGAGGTTTACACGGTTTGGAGCGCCCTGGAGGTATGATTTTTCATGGAGGAGGTAGCCTGAAGATGGATCTTCGTCGGCTTCTTCTGATGCCTTCGGGGGGGCTCTGACGACCCAGAGGTTTCCGAATTTATCGCCACCGGCGACGGATTCGTAGTCTAACAGTGCGGTACAGGTTGTCCATCGGGGGACCATGTCGTCTGCGAAGGGGATTAACTTGTTCTCTTGTTGTTTGTAGACAACGTATGTAACGGACTCTTGGATGTCCGAGACGATGATACGGTTGTTCTGCGTGGTTAGACCGGTGATCAAGTTTGGTGCGACGGTGGCCTGGGTTTTTCGGAGTAGTTGTTTCATTCCTAGATCGTAGATTCGAAGGTCTTGACCTATACCTGCCAAAAGGCGGCCGTGGAAAGCGGCAAAGGCCAACGGGGCGTATTCTAGTTTGGTCTTGTGGATGAACTGGATTGTTTTCCCGCCGTCGGAAAGACGGTAGACGTGCGCATAGCCGCAAGAGGAGGAACGTGGGTTTAAGACTAGGTCCTTTGCTGTACCAACTACGAGGAAGTGTTCGTCGTCCTGGCTGGAGAATGGAACAACGGCAATAGAGAGCGCGGCTTCGTTTTCGCCGAGGTCGATCTTGTGGGTTACTTCTTTGTTGATAGGGTCTACTACTTCGACACAGGATGCCCAGTGGCCTTCACAACGTGGGTAGCCGAATTCCGAAGGTGGCAGTTCCGTGGAATCCCCGTTTTGGGCTTTTGCGATGAGATTATTGCGGGATTCAGGGGAGAGGGTATCTGCATCTGAAGAGACAACGTAGAAGTATGGTGCTGTTGGGTGCTTTGCCATCTTCCTGGGTGTGTAACTTAGAGGGATTGATTCCTGCTGAAGGTTTTCACTGATTTTCTCAACCGTGAAGATTCGTAGGTTGTTTCCCTGAATGCCGACCATACCTTCCGGACATTGTTCGCTGGAGAAGGTGCAGCCGTAGGTCAGGGATTGGTAGGAGAGTGGAGTGAGAAGGTATTGGCCTGAACCGTTGGTGTATCCGAGCCATGGTTTTGAGCTTAAGGCTAGGATGGCCGTCGTGCCGGCAGCAGAAACGCTGAACAATTTAACTGGTTGGGGTCCCAAGAAACGGGTTCTGGTGTCTGTCAGTTCACCGGTGATAGTGTCGAGAACCGTTCGAAGATAGACACCAGAGTATAGACCGATATGAAGGAACAAAGTAGAACGTTGTGAGTCACCACCCGCCGAATCAGGCATCGACATTATCCTCAGCGCTGTAGGAGCCGAGGTTAGAGCCTGGACGGATTTGGATTCAAGTGTCGAGTCAGGGTCTAATGAAAGGATTCTGACAGTGCTGTCATCACAACCGACAGCTAGGAAGGAGCTTCTCATTTTTCCTTCAGGCACGTCTCCAAGTGATAGACAAGTGACAGTACCAGACATTTCCTTTTTATCCTCATATTCGGCGAGTTGCCCATCTGAATCTAATTCGAAGTACACAATCTCACCACTGGATAAGGCGATTGCAACCTGGCGGGAATTTGTGGAAGCGGCAACAATCGATCTGTGCTGGGGCGCTGGCCACTCATTCACTCTTCTATCGGCACGGATGTGTCGAATACCCTTGGGGTGAACTTGCAGCAGTCCATCCTCTCCTAATTGTTGGACCGCCAAAGTTGGTGCCGAAGATAAAAACCCGGTATCTGTGACCTCTTCCACAGTTTCTCCAATACTCAAAACCAACGTTCCATTAGTAAACGATAGCACGATGTATGCATCATACTCGTCTTGACTAGCTAGTTTTGTAGTCCACACCGCAACAGGCCCACCAGGAAGCTCGGAGGATACTATCTCCGAGACTTCTAGACCATGTTTCAGTGTTCTAAAAGAGGACCGGGCGTTGGCTCCACATATTGTGTAGATTTGGGGCGCATCGTCGTTTGTTAGATTTGCGATCTGGCAGTCAAGAAGAGAGTTCATGCTGTCCACACTCTCCATAAGAGCCAGGTTCTCAGCTAGCCGGGGCGAGAAATATGCCGCATTAATTTCGTCGTCCGATGTAAATTCCGTCTCGTTATCATCATCACCAAGTTTTTCGAATTGGTAGAAGTGACTAAAACCACATTAGCAACTATATCTTAAGAAATCAGTTATGTGGAAATAAAATAAAACTTACTGATTGCCGTTCTCGCTCGCCACGAATAGGAAACCACTCTTCAGAATGCACAGACTAGTGGCAATCGGAACAGTGTCAAAGTATTTAATTCTAAGTCTTACGACTGAATTTTCATCAAAATCCAACCCGACTTTGAATAAGTCACCGTCCTCGCTCTGTAATAAGAAAAAGAATGCACCCCTCATTTTATGCATGACACCACACGTGATAAATCGCTTTCTGTTTGGATCTTCGCAGGCGCCACGTCTTCTTGGAATTGGAACCCTCAGCTCCGGTTGGTTCATATGGCGATAAGTAACAGCATCTTCAGAGCAGACCAAAACACCGGATGGGCCATCACTCCCTCCCGGTACGTGGAGCAAGAAGTTTGATGATCTTTCCACCGGCTCAGACCATTTCCTCACAACGTGATTTAGACCGAGATCTAACTCGTAGTATGTGAGAGACTTTTCCGCTTCTCTATACGCTTCACCAGTCGGATCTTGGTCTGTTTCGGAATAATCCATTTCAAGAACCGCGAATATTGGATTCTCATACCCGACGTCTAGGGCGCACAGCGCAAAAACTAGGCAATGGGGTTTGTGCGCTTCCAGTGGTGACGAAATCGTGAGTTCCGCCTGTGCATTTCTGTTCAAAACATAAACGAGCTTGTTCTTCTCCACCGATGCAATGAGGCACGCTCTTCCTCTCGGATCGCAGGCAAGGTATTGTCCGGGCACTACACGGCGAACCCCAGATTTTCCGAATGTTTCGAGATGTAGCCGCTTAAATTTGTTCTGCGTTGGGATGTATTCGAGGATTGTGATACGTCCAGAGTCGGAACCGATTATGATATAGTCTATCATAGACATGAATATCGTTAGCCGCAGCCCGTTTTGACAGCACAACCAGCGTTTCAACCTGTATCCCTTTCTCCAGCTCCAAAGTCCCAAGCAGATAGTGAACCTCAATCCTTACATTTACACCTTCATTCGGGAATCTTGAAAGCACGAACCACGCGCGTGCGCGAGTATAAACGAAGGAATTCTTTCAGGCCGGTGTCTCTCCTTAAAAGAAATCACTAAATGCTCTTGACTTTGAAAGGCGATACGAAAATCACAGAAAGAAGATATTGCTAATAAAGGGACACAAAAGCTAGAACATACCTTTGCCACTTCCAGCCAGCCTGAACGCGGCCAAACATCGAATGATACCGAAGACATCGTGAGTGAGGATAGTATTGACCTTGCCGACGTTGGGATCGGGTCTGAGAAGGGACAATCGAGAGCCTGAGGCGACTACAATCTCTTGGAGCTTCTGGCCGGAGAATTGGCCGAGGATGGCTTGGGTGATGACGGTAGGTTGCTGAATCGTCAGAGAGTAGAGGAAGAAGTTCGAGGTCGTCGCCTTTGATGTGTTAGTCTTGAGCTCATGATGGTAGAAACTGGGGGCTACGTACCATGGTTAGTTCACTTTTATGCCAGCTATATAAGAGGTATCGTGAAACTGTTCCTTAGGGACTGGTTGATGGCGACGACGAGATAGATTGTGGATGTCGTCTTTCGTGAGTCGTTCCTACAATCGTTAACTTTTTCGCCAAAGGTCGCGTCGGGTTATATCCGACTAAATGTTGGCTTAACCCCGATCAGGCCTTCAGCCGACACTAAAAGCTGCCCTGTCGGATTCAATGTCCATGTCGCATGACGTCGAACGCAGACGACCAGTCGCATATTCACCGCTGTATAAAACCCCAAATAGAAAGGGGTTTGTTCCAATCAATCCTCCAAGGCCAATGGAATCTTCGTCTTCATAGACACTATCACGATGCAACAGGCTTCGAGACTCGTTCAACAGCGTGTGGGCGGCGGGCCGCTGGCCAGACCCTGCATTCACCTCAACCTCCATATTACCCGTCGCCCTATATTACCTCGCAAGAATAATTTTTATCGAACTGACCAACATCTTTGCTTCTCCTCCTCCTCGTCGTCCTCGGGCCCTAAGAAATCTTTTTTCCAAAGATTAAAAATGGCATGGGACGAAACACCAATAAAATGGACGCCAATACCAGTGGGTTTGGGCATTACATATCTTGGATTCAAGCACTACTCTACGGTTATGAGCCGTGAGAAGCAGATAGCTGAAGAAGAAGACCCTAATGACCCTCAGAAGAAGAGAAGGATACGACCAACAGGGCCTTGGTATGTTAATTGACCTCTACGACCTCTGTAGGGATCTTAGTACTAATATGATATGCCTGGTAGGCAAGTCCAAATTCTCTCCACTCTCCCTCTCAAGGCATTATCCCGTCTTTGGGGCAAATTCAACGAAATACCTCTCCCAGTCATATTCCGTCCATTTGGCTTCAAACTCTACGCCTTCATATTCGGTGTTAACATCTCCGAAGCCAAGAACCAAGACCTAAAATCCTACAAAAACCTTGCCGAGTTTTTTTACAGGGAGATCGATCCCGCCGTTCGACCAATCGACAAATCATCCGCAGTGGTGTCGCCTTCGGATGGAAAAGTATTGATGGTCGGTGAGGTCAGAGAAGGTGGAAAAGTCGAAAATGTTAAAGGAATGACTTATAGTCTCGATGCATTGCTTAGTGGGCATGGAGAAACTAAAACATCAAGCCATCCTTCCTCGCCAGCCATAATATTTGGGGAAAATGAAAACGGAACCACCGAGGCGACAACACCAGGCGGGCAGATTGTGGATAGCCATGAAGAATTTGCAAGAATGAATGGAATATCCTACACTGTCGGTGAATTGTTCTCTGGAACTGAAGACCACATAGACGCAAAGGCAGAAGATCAATCACTACCACCTGGGGAGAAGGGGGATGTTGCAGCTGTCGTGGGTACAAAAAGCACGAGTTGGTTTAGGAACCAACTTGAAGGGCCCAAGCGGCTTTACTTCGCGGTTATCTATCTTGCGCCTGGCGATTACCATAGATTTCACTCGCCAACAGAATGGGTTGTTGAGACTAGGAGACACTTCGCAGGTTCGCATCATCCCATGTTTTCATGATCATATTGGCCAAAAAGCTAACCCTATCACCAGGCGAACTCTTCTCTGTTTCCCCTTATCTGCAAGCACTCCTCCCATCCCTCTTCATTCTCAACGAGCGTGTCGTCCTCCTTGGCCGTTGGAAGCACGGGTTTTTCTCAATGACGCCAGTCGGTGCCACCAACGTTGGTAGTATAGTGTTAAATTTCGATAGAGAACTACGTACGAACAGTTTGACCAAGGATACAAAGGCAGATACCCTTGAAGGCCACGGGTATGCAGAGGCACATTACCAATTAGCATCCCAATTGCTTTCAGGTCATCCGTTAAGAAGGGGTGAAGAGATGGGAGGCTTCAGACTCGGAAGTACGATAGTACTGGTATTTGAGGCCCCCGAAAGGAAGGACGGTAAAGGATTCAAATGGACAGTGGAGCAGGGGAAGACGGTAAAGATGGGAGAGGCGCTTGGACTCGTAGAATAACGGCCCGTCTCGATCTTTTCAAAATAGAATCATGTAAATACCGATATATATCTGTCTATAATTGATGTAATAGAATACATACCAATTCAATCAAAGATACAGAAGCAAAATAATGTTTTGGAGGGATGGATATGTCAACAGATAAATTACGCTGTTCAATCACGGAAGCGAGTTAAGGATTGAGAGCGTACTCAAAAATCGTTGATACGATTAAGATTCATATTGTCTATTATCCGTAGGGTCTTGTCAATGGTAAACCATAGACTTTATGACTTTGGGATATCCAGCTCAAGATAAGTCCAGCGAAAGGAGCAGACCGAGCGAGGCACAAGACGCGGATCAGCCGATATATCGATGTTAATGAATGGCTATTTCGCAACGAACAAGGTTGGAAAAAGTGATATGTAGGCAGGGACGAGAGAAGTAGTGGTTTAAGGTAATTGTATTAGACTATATACATTGCAAGGCGCAAATAATTTGGTTGGTGGAGGAAATATTATCAATCGATGAAAAAAATGAAACTTGGGTGGAGGTTGAGGTTGAGGTTGGAACTCGAATTCAGTCTTGTCGCGCAAGCAAATTTGATAGCGGGTGCCAAGAAAACATGTAAAATATAACACTCAACGCAAAACCCACACCAGCGATATCGATCTTCGCATTAGACAATGATACTGCGATAACTGATTGATTAATTAAAAGAAATCCCCCTTGTATTGGTAATCAAGTCCCAGGAAATTTTCTCTAGGGCGAAAATCCATGATTATGCTATCATTCCGCTTCTCAATATTAATATTAGCGCAGAATCGGGGCTGCAATTAATAGTAAGTATATGTAGCAGCTTTGACATCAGGATCATGGACTGTTCTTATGTTATTAGTGATAGTATATATATATTAAACAAATGTTATGTTCATAACTAGTCGGTTTCAACCATGCATACTCTAAACTTAAAGCATCCGAATGGAAATCTAACAATACAACGGTCTTTACATGCTGAGAAGTCGGCTTCCCAAATTTAATTATACATATGTAAACTAACTTGGTGGTAATCAAGGAAGGGAAACAGATCGACCTTCGATCAAGATACTATAATCCAAGGCATATGGAGGGAACTAGTTTAGAGTATTTCAAATGAAAAAACAGTTAAAAGTGCGATTATTCGAAGGGGTTACTAAATTTATAAAACGGTCAACCGTACATACACGAGATTCATGGTCAGAACTGTCGTGTAACTATCGATATGCCCGTGTCTGCCACAAAAAAGGTCTATCGGTTACCTCTCAATGCGAGCAACCGGTTTCTAAATTAAATTAAATTTTTTTTTTTTTTTAGTCAATAGAAGTCCTTTAAAACTTATTAGCAACAATGGGGTCCCGTTTTCGCAAATACCCAAGTGGGCCACGGGTTTTCTTTCAAGGCTACGTGGTTCGTGCTATACACACATGAAACCATGGAATCATGATATCACCACAAATACGTATACAGATGAGTTGTTGGACGATATATATAACTCCTCGACATAAGGCCCCAAAGATCTATCGCCTCGCAATCGATCATGCACCAGCGATAAGGCCCTTGCTTTGATATATCGACCATTCCCTTCCCAGATTAATTTCTTCCCAAATACATCTTAGACTGGGATTATGTGTTGTCAAAGGGAAGAGGCCATGTCCAAGATCCACTTCAGAGCCGCAGCTAGCCCAAACAAGCGATAGTGGTGATTGTCAGTCGATGTGCCCTTGCGGTTCTCCCTTCCGCGACGGGGTGAACTTCACATTTGACTCCAATTCAATAGAAAATACGATATTGACATGTATCTCAACATTATTAATTGTAGGCATGAGAATAGAAAGAAATCAAGAGAGAGAAAAAACAAAAAGATGGGGAGCCGTGACTCCGGCGGATTTCCTCCCATTCTGGGACATCCCGGTGGTTGAGCGCAGGGGCAGAGACGGCATCAAACATGGCTGACCATGGCCTGGCATAGCATTAATACATATCGCCAACGACAGCATTTTACTGTCCGCTCAAGTCCTCAGCCAGAGCTCCTGTGCAGGTGCGGAACTCGAACTTGGCCACCAGACGCATTGAATCCGAGAGATTATAAGAGAAAGAAGAAGTCGCCTGGTACTGTCTGATTGGGAAATTAAGTTAGTGTCAGTATCGACCTCGTCTTGAATTCAATTCGAGTGAAGGCTGTGCTTCCCGTCTTATTCAATTTCCTCCTTTCGCTGGCGGCCCCCGAAAAAAAAAATATCTTAGAGTCGAGTATATTAATATCATCACGAGGAGATCCAGAATTAATTAAAATTGGCTTCGTAAACCCCTTCTTCTTTTGCACAGAGCCTATTCATCTCGAGATCTTCTCCCAGAACTACAGAGTACAAGTACATACATGCAGCGTATGTACCCACAGTATCCAACCGTTGTGATAATTAATTAGCAACCGAACATATCTGAAATCCCATCGATCCTCCATTCCTCGCACTCGATTTCTTCCCGCATCTTCCTAGGATTAACCTTCTGCCTACTCTGTTACGACCGCCTACCCCCAGCCAGCCGCTAGGAACTTTCACTCGAATTCCGGAGTCGCTCAGATATTCCCCCAAGCTTAACTCCACGTTGCATCAAATTAACAAAAGTTGACAGGACTGCAGTCGCTTTGCTTTGCATGCCGCCACCGTCGTTGTAGACCTCCAACAGTGCAACGGTGGTGCGTGGAGTGCAGTGCAGTACGCAGTGCAGCCAGCTTGCCCTGCAGTTGCTTTGCTTGCTTAACTGTTGACGAACACACGACACAGCCTTTTGCATTTGAATTCGAATTCCCGCCCCGACTGCATCCTCTTATCATATTCTATCCTTGCCTCGTCGAGATTCTTCCTCTTTACCCGGCGACCTTTTGAATTCGCTCACTCCAAAACTCAATCTCTCGATAACTTTTTTTATTTACCTTTTCTCCAACATCGACGGGCTCCAATACCCTCAACAACTTGGCAACCCCCCTGCCTCCAAGACAACACCCGGTGCACCCCATCGCCATCGCCAACCGTTGACCATGGACTCCGACGTCGAAATGGAGCTCGACGTCTCGACGCCATCGTCTTCCACCACTGATCTCACAATACCGCCTCTTAGTTTTTCCCCATCTCACAAATCTCGTCGTATCGATCTTCCTCCTGAAATCATCCTCGAAATTCTCTCCCTTTGCGCCTGGGAAGACCAAGATGTCTTCCGGCAAGTCTCCGACCTATGGGAATCTTACATTTCAAAATCGCTTCGCCGCACGCGATTCTCATACCCTGATCCGTTAATTCCTCTCCCGGTTTCCTTATCTAAATCTACGAGATATACCTGCGGGACGCATAAACTCCTTCGCTCGCTCACAATGTCATATCTTTGGACACGCCCTACCGATGAATTAAGGCTCGATAAGCGTTCCGACGGAACCTGGTGGCCCGAAGGAAGTGTCACTGAGGATTGGCTCTCGAAAACTTTCTTTTGGACGGAAAGCTGCACTGACCCACCGATGAAAGGGGTCAAGATTCGATTAAAGGGATGTTATTGGAACAACCAAGAGGGTGATTTGGTACTCCAGATGACGTGTTTTGCGGGGAAAGGTGATGCGGTTAGTGCAGCGGATGTCTGTTCAAGGATTAAGAGGCTATTTACCGCAAGTCCTTATCGGTATGTGTTATAATACGCCACCCCTTCGGCCTGGTAGGTAATTCTAACAGACTGTACTCCGTAGAAATGTACTGGTTTACGATGTAGAATTGAAGATGGGAGAGGATGGCATAGCCTACTTGGGTGGAAAGGCAGTGTTGACGAAGAAGTCTTGATTACTTTTGTTCAATGTCTTCTTTAAGGATTCGATTTAGCATTTTCGGAATATTTATCACAATCTGGCGTTGGAAATGGAAAGGATGATGAAATGTCAATTTATTTAGCAAGAGCTTGGGACCTACGGAGTCAACTGGAATCGCTCAATCAACAAAATTTTGGATTCAAAATACACCTGCGGATACACCAGAACACCAGCATAACCATTTCCGACACGCAACTACCGAAGAAACCCCTTCCGCAGCCCCAGAGACCCGGTGTTACTCGGCCTTGCCTTCCCAGCTCTCACCCTTGAGCTCATCCCACCGTTCAAAGATTCCCACCGCTCATCAGCAGTCCATTTTTCAATCGCTTTTTCAAGGTCCCACGCGCTTTCATCTAGATATACTTTGGCGATATCATATTCCACACACTTCGTTCGAATCTGGAATCTCTTTAACACATTCCCTTCTTCGGATTGCACCGGGCTAGGTGAAAGTGACGGCCCACTATAATAGGCTCTGGGGATGAGGATATGATTCCGCCCGGCGAGCAGTGAGTCTGAATATAGCCGGTTATAAGAGCGGATTATCTGGGACGGAATGGAATACTGGAACGATATGGATACTAAAGAGTCGTTGGGAAGAAGGTAGTGAAATAATGAGTTGGAAGAATTGATCGTCTCGGGAGGATCAGTGGAGTATGGTGGCGGAGACGGCGGAATGTTACTTAGTGTGTATGAAGGGGGTTCTAATTTGATTTCTGTGTCGGTCTCTTGGTTTCCTTTGGGGCGTTTTATGGGGCAGAAAGGGCCTGGCATTTTTATTTTCATCACTGTTAGTATTTGGAAGTCTCTTTTTTTGCTTGGATCTATGGAGGCTTTTGTTATAATTTAGCGACCCTTGATTCCCCTTGTGCTTTTGTTCCCAATTCGCTGGAGTTTCTGGTTGATAATTTTGTTTTTGTTTTTCTAACTTTGTGCATTCTTCTGCTTACTTGGGGGGGGGGTTTCTATTTTGCAGGTTTAATGAGGGTGGATAGATCTCTTCGATACTCACAATACGTAATGAACCTTGGATTTTTCTTTTTATCCGTTTGATATCATGTCAGTAATTACTGTTCCTGGAATAATGCGGGTTCGATTATAAAATGGAATACGAACCGATATACATAAGAAACAAACATAACGTCCGCAGCACTCTGATTTGTAATGAAGGGCCGATGTGCGCTTTTCAGTATCCTTTTCATCGAAGGAATGTAGTTTTTCATTTAGCTCTTGGGCACTTGAAAGCTGGACTTTGTGAAGTAGTGTTTGGCAAGTTGAACAAGAGGCGGATGGGGGCGGGGTAGAAGTTAACGTTTCATCCATTTTCTTTTTCTAGGCCAATATATGTTCTTACGACGGTAGGGACGAAGTTTATGCTAACAGGGACGGAGATGAGTTTGAGAACGGGGTTTCGAGCATTATATCCATGGCTAGGTAGCATGGCAGTTCCACACGAGGGCCCGCGAGCTAGTTGGGTTGCCACATTCACGGATAGTCTCCGCCACCCGAGCCTTAGTCTATTCTGAGAGGCACATCCATCTTGCAATCTTAGGGATTAATATGGACATGTACAAAGCGGGCAGGGTCTGGGTAAACAACCAACTGTCATATATATATGACTAGGACATCTCGAATTGGTTCCCATGTCCATGTTAACGTTACACGAAGAAGTCGAGACGTTCGAACTTTGTATGGGCTTAACCACGCTGAAAATGCAACAAAGTTCAACAAGTTTTATCGATTCAGTTGGTTGATAAATTGCCCCAAAAAAAGCCCGTTAAGTTGGCTTCCCACGATAACTTCACAAACATATAATTGGCTCTTAAGTAAAATACGACAATAGTATTGACTTGTTGTACAGAGATGCGGGGGCCTCCTTCGTATGTGAAATTTACGGATTGTTTTGTTATAATTGGGTTTAAAAACTTCTGCTGGATCTTTGTAGCCTGAAGGCTACATATATTATTATTAATATTGTCATGGCCGATGGTCGTCGAGCCTGAAGTGCTTTCCTTCAGAGATCTGAATTTAACTACAACCCTCAAATTTCTCCCTTTAATAGCTCTATGGATCTTGGTGTACATTTATATGTGTTAGATATTTCGTAATCCATTGTCTTAAGGCCGGATTTCATAGGATATATTGTGGTGCCCACTCGTACCTGTTAGAAAGTATATTTACCCGCAGTAAACTGATTAAATTTATATGTCTCCAAATACATTGCTATATATATCTATAGATATCGCTACACACACTAGAACTTATAATGATTATAGATTTCCGAGCCTAGACATATGGGCATTATTTTAATGTATTTTACACTGCTTTCTGGAAGCCACCGGAAAGACTGCGCTGAAGTTCATTCGGTTTTAGTTCTGCATCGAACGGAATGGGAAATTAATATTAAATCTATCGATTTGAAAGTATAACATGACACTATCACAGTATTATCACTAATATCAAGCAGGCTGCAATATACTAGTACTATAACCAATATCAATCTCTAATTTTATTTGTTAGATAATGAACTATTTACTTGCATTTAATTTTAGGGGGTTGATCTCGATGGCTGGTAAATTATGAATGGAGTGTGTGGTGTCATGAATACGCCTAAATTCTGACCTTAAGGTATAATTATAAGTTTAAAGCGAATATATTTCGAATTCTAGAGAAGTTTTGTCACCTGTCAGGTCCACGATGTCTGAATCTAGACCGATTCTAGATCAGGAGTTAAGCCAATTAATTATTAAGACCCCTGTCATTTCACATTTGTGATATTTCGTCTACCACAAAATTGGGTGGAACGCCGCGTTGCCCAGCTTGTTAGCTATCTGCAATGCGCGTCTGGATCAGCGGCACCGCCATTCCGGGATTCTTAACATAAATATTGGCTACGGCGGTTGCGCACGTTGCTTAGAATCGTTTACATACCTACATACCCGGCTTAATGGCTGGTCTTCTCATACGAAACCCAATTCCTTTTCTACTAGCATCTAGCTCATCAGCCTATAAGTCGACGCCACATGCACCGGGCGTGAATGCAATGCAATGGATCACCAACGGCCTAGACGCTACAAACAGGTAGCGCTGACTACTCCTCGCGTTCCACCGAAGTATATTCGGAGACCGGATTCTGAAGAGGACTACGAAAATGAGCGAGCAAGAACGAATGTTATTATCCAAAAGATTTTCAATGTGCTTGCCGTGCTCGGGATCATCACATTGCTTTTCTTGACGGCGGTAAGATATGATACTACGAGTATGTGAAGCTACAAGGCTACCTTCTGTTGTTGACTGAAGTTTTGATACTTGAAGAATAGTAGTTTTATTTTCGGGTAGCTGGGCTAATATATTCCGAAGACGAAAGAGATCCTTACAAATGCGCTGCAATAACAAACGAAGGTCGCTGGTTGGAGTCTGATTCAAATACTACAGACCCACTTCGGACCTGGCAGCCTTTTGGATGCCTATTACACGATTATAGTAGAAGAGATATAACTACATGCCTACCAAAGCGTCGAATCCTATTTGTTGGGGACCAGGGCATCCAGTCCCTGTACTACGCTACAGTTGATAAACTGCAACCAGGGACCAGCTGGGGAGAACTTGACAGGAAGTTCAGTAGTGAAGGGTTAAATAGTGTTACAGTCGAATTTATATGGGACCCATACTTAAACTCTACACGACTAGCCGAGGAGTTGGAACCTTGGAAAAATGGCACGCTTTTGCCTGGATATCAGGCAGGCGGAAATTATGACCCACCGGCTCTCTTTATAGTCGGTGCGGGAATACGGTTCGCAGAACGAGGGTTCGACGAAAATCCACTCCGGGTATGGCGAGAAGCCGTGGACCGTGTTACAAGCCATATGCGATGGGGTGATCGCCCAACATTTTTGGGCGGCAAAGATACGCTGATGCTTGCGCCAGTCGAACACCCAGCGTGGGAGAAGCTCCAGCCAGATGTTAGGAAGAGCCTAATGCCGTCGGTTGCGCTTGATATGAATAAATATCTAAACTCGATAGCCACCATCCAGGGAATGGATTTAGTGAGGGCGTGGAAAGTTTCGTCGGATGACAAAGTGGATCTGGTGGTTTCGAATCATGTTTACAGTAAATACCACTCGAAGGAGACGAAAAAAGATGGAATAGAATTGTTGGAGGAGGTGGCGGCGAGAAGAGTTGATATGGTATTGGGGCTAAGGTGCAACAACGTGTTAAAGCAACTGGGAGAAAATCTCCCAAGTGATTGCTGTACATTGCCGCTAAGTCTAACTTGGTTGCAGAGCTTCATGGTGTTTCGGGGATTACTGGTGATTTTAGCACTGAGGGGGTGGCTGTGGTGGTATAACCCGAAGCTACAAAGTAATCGTGCGTCTTCCGATCGATACATATACGAAAGTCCCCCAGTTTTCAAGCTTGTTCTAACTTATAACTTTTATATAGAGATAAGCTACCTAGCAAGGTTGATTTATCGTTTTGGGCCAGAGAAGGAGGTGTTAAGAAGACTCTGGCGCCTAGCTCTCGTTTTAGTCCTTTGCCTTTTTGCAGATAGGTCACCAATCTTTTATCATACAGAACGGCTATGGTCTCCTGCAAAATTCCAAAAAGCTCTCCTTTTTGTCTTCGTTATTGGGGTCTTCACTTTACGAAAACCTACATCGACTACGGTAGGTTGGGAATTGGACAAACGGGTTTTAACTGAATGGAAAGGTGCAGCGCTTGCGATCCACTTGGTTTCTTCATACCTTGGGGCATCAACTGAGTTCTCAACATTCGCCCTAATATTTTTGAACTCACTCGAATGGACGATTTCACTTCTTGCGACGAATGCTTCCCGGAACGGAAGCTTGTATTTCCCTAGGAAACTCTTGGCTATAAACTATGTGGCCTTACCAACAGTTTTTATTATGCGAACGGAGTATTTACTCTACCGAGTACCAGCTCTGCTTTCATTTTGGTTTGTGATAGTTTATATGACGATTAGGATACGCTCCTGGGGTAACAAGGACGTGGAATGGTATATGGGGAAGCTGGTTATTTCTGTGATTCTAGTCACGGTGTTCTTTGGGGCGCTTGGAGTTCATAAAAGGGTCTTGGAAGCGCTTGAAGTGCTCTGCGCGATTAAGTGGGATAGCGAATTAGTGAAACAGTTGGGTTTCAAACATATGGGAGCAGCATACCTAGGGATGGGAATAGGTTGGGTCTATGCCAATGTGTTCTTACTCTCGAGGGGAAATGACAGGATCCGGAATGAGCGTTATGCAGGTTACTTAGCTTTGTTTTCTGGTCTACTATATTGCCTCCTGAAGGTGCAAGGTTTCGATTGGTTGGATGAGTGGCATAACTGTACATCGCTTGCCAGGGTCGCATTTTTTGGAGTCATCAGGCTTTGGCTTACTGGGGGCGGAGTCAGACAGAGTGAATTTTTTATCTGGCTGGGAAATATGGAAGCTGCAGTTCTGGGGATGATGAATCACCTTTGGCTATCAGCGGATGGAGAAGCAGTTTTGGATCTGGGGTTTTGGGGATTCAATGATGTGGGCGTTAATTGGAATTGGGGTTTCTGGACGTTAGTATTTGGATATCTCTGTTGGGTGGTAGGAGACACCCGAGAGACGATAGTGAATTGGGTTCTGGGATTCCGTACGGAGCCTATTACGGCGGGCGAGTTACAAGATAGGAAGAAGACTGATACTGATGCTGTGGAAATGGTGAGCGGAGATGGTCAAAATGATGTTGAGCTTGGAGATTCAAAGCAACCATTGCAGTCGTCTGGTGGCCCTCTAGAGCGATTTCCAACGAACGGGGGGTTACGTGCGGCATGGGTTCTCATCACAGTCTGGATCTTGAATTGGACAACATGATGATGCATGATGCATGATCATGATCATGAAGGCGTGTTGAAGATGTGGTATTTAGAAATTTCCTATTTAGGATTAGCTCTATAACAGGGATCGTCCTTCTCGGTTGCGCCCGCGAAACCAAAAAATAAAAAATTCAGATTTTTTTGCAAACCAAAACCTTTCGCCAAACATTTCAGTTTCTTGACCGTGACTAGGTTGCTTCCATCTATGGCATCGAGCTGCGATTCCATCTTTTAACTGTCGCATTCGATACCGCTCGAATCGCATACTCCGGTACTGACACTTCGACTATAATAAAAATCTTATAAGTGCGATACCAATACCAATACCTGCTATAATGGCGTCGACGCTTGCCTCGCAGCTGCAGTCCCTGCAGAAGAACCGTCCATCCACCCTCTCATCGACTGTCGACCCAAAGGCTCTTCGAAAACTCCATTCCGTATCGCTGCTATTTACCCCAGAACATGCGGCTACACAGGATTTTGATACCATATATTCCATCTGTTACGAGGGATTTGAAGAACTTTGCTCGCTTGACCGACGATTTGCGGTCTTCGAAAGATCCTTATTCAGCGAACAGAGTGTTACGGTTGATAGAGACACATTGAGCAAAGCAGACAATGAGAAACTTGATGAGAATGTCAAGAGTTTCCTGGGGCTGTTGGGAGCATGGGCTTTGGTTAAGAGTGGGGTGAAGGCTTTGGAATGGCTGGTTAGGCGGTTCAGGTAAAGCTCTCGCTGAGTCTACTTCGTCTATCACAATGATATACTAACGCGATACTACAGAGTACACTACCACAATAGCTCATTATTGATCCTTACCTTTTTGCCGTATCACCAACATCCATTCTTCCTTCGGTTGCTATCAATCCTTCCACAACCATTGCCGGATGCATTCAAATTTTTGACATCATACCGCAAATCAATTGGCACCCCTATCCCACGTTCAGTTTTGATCCAAAGTCTCACTACCCGTCCAGTGGTCTTCGACCTACTCGCCCAGCATGTAACCTCCATCATCAAGGCAGGGTACGGCCATGCTACCCTGGCCCGCTTCTGGTCTGCATTATCAGTCGAAACCCTAGGCGCCATGTTGGACCGAACCGCGACAAAATCTCGAACTGGTATTACTGAGGATGATGTGGCTAGGCAGATGCTCCCTATTATTGCCGATTCGCTACAGGCTGGCAAACGCATGTCGGAATTCCAGATTGGGACATACATGTTGTTAAGTTTGTTGGCTTCACGGGTGGTCCTGGAAGATAGTGTTCTCTGTGCGACTATGGAGAGTGTGGCTGCTAGCTGGAGTGCTGAAACTGTAGCGCCTGCGATTGCTGCTTTGTCGCTTTTGAGTCAGCAAAGGGAGGGGTTCGCGCCTGTTGCGCCCGCTGGGGTCGCAGTAGCATTTTTGAAGGTGGAGAATGTAGCAGATAAGCTACTAGCTTTGGGAGAGAAGTATAGGGTCGATAAATTGGCGGTGGGGCTGTGTTTGGCCGTTGTGGAAACTGAGAAATTGTGGGGCTTTAAGTCTTGCTCGTTTGTGAAGGCTATTTTTGAGAAGGGAAGAGTTACGGAAGGTCAGAAAGAAGCTATTATGCACAGTCTTATTGAAGCAGTTTTGAAGACCAGTGGAGCTGAAGGACCTTTGAAAGATTTATTGGGTGTTTTCAAGGAGAACGAAGTCCTCATTAAAGTATTGAAGGGCCGGGATGATGAGCTAGAGAGATTGGAACTGAGTTTAGGTATGGTTCTTGTGGAGGATCCGCAGGGCGAGATGAAGAGCATTGAGGCTGCCCCCGAGTCGAAATCGTCAGACGAAGAGAAGTTGAAAGCGCAGGAACCAAAAATCCAGGAGAAATTTGATGCCACAATCACAGCACTCCCCGAGACGACTAAGGAAGTCTCGTTTCTGCAGTCTGTTGAATCGACACTCTATCCGTTGCTTTGTCAAGCACTTCTTGCTGCTGCCGCGAATAAAGAGAAGCTAGTCCCGGCGCTCTTCTCCCACCCAGTCTTAGCATCGTCGACTCTCCGAACAACATTTATTATTCGGTTCTCGTTAGACGGTTTCCCCGTAGTCGCCAAAGAGGCTGCCTTGGAAGTTTTGAAGGAAGATATTAAGAATGCCGATGTTGCAGATTACCAAGCACTTCTGCCATATCTTATGGCCATTCTCCTTGATGCCTCCCAGCGGGTGAGAAGAGCGGCGATTATTTGCATAGCAGCAATTTACGCCAAGTATAAATCTGTGGACAAGAAGGCTCGCAAGTCAACTACGCCGGAGGTATGGGCTAAGAAGGATATCTATGGGCCTTCTAGCGAACAGGTTAAATGGATATCCTTCGAGGAGCTCTACAAGTTCGTTGATGCGATATCATCGTCAGGAGTTGAAGGGTGCATGCTTGACAGCACTCAGATCATTAGGTCTTTTGCGACAGCTGTGGGCTCTCTGAAGACTGCTATAAAGAAGAGCATTCTGGCATATATTGCTAGCCATGTTTTAAGCACGCCTCAGTTGCATATCAAGACCGCATTACTGTCCTTGATCAACGGAGTTTCTGGAAGCACACGTACTGACTTACTCCTACCGCTATTTGTATGGTGGAAGAAGGCAGTGGAGACGAAGGAGGTGTCCGGAGTTGCGCCAGTGGAAATCCAAAAATTCCAGGACCAGCTTATCAATGGCGTCGATGTCAAGGACCATGGAGATGGAGTGAACGCTTTGGTCGCTGTTATCAAATCCAGCTCTACTGATCCCGGAAAGAAAGAATTTGCTTCCAAGGCTTCTGCCAGACTACAAAAACTGTGGAATGATGGCCTCCGGGCAGAAGTCAAGCCTGTTTTGGCCATGTCCTTGATCAAGCTGATCGTTGGAACTAGACAGCCCGACCTCCATGACATTGTTTCGTCAGAAGCACTTCAGATCCTGAGGAACGTCACGCTTACATCTGAAATATACACTGCCTTTATTAACGAAGTTACACCCGACCACCCAGCCGACAACCTCCGCTCGAATGCCAGAAGGAAAAGGTCATTCAGCCGAGAGGTTGAGGCTCGACTTCCACAACATATGAAGGAGCTTACCATCGTGCTTGAGCTCTTGGAAGCGGATCTGCCTGAGCGTTTCCCAGATCTTCTCCCACTAATGTTTACGGTTCTCGGGAGGGCCTTGGAATACGCAGAAGCAGCCCCAGTGGGTGGCGACTACATGATCCAAGTTCTGCTCAGCTGCCTCACTGCTATAGTTACCGGCTATAAACAACAACATCCAGGCCAAGTTCTCGACACGAACAGTGTACGAGCCGATCTTATTGTTAATTGCATACGGTCTACATCGAGCCCTCAACTTCAGAACAGCGCACTTCTCCTCATCGCCACTCTTGCAGATACTGCGCCAGACGTTGTTCTCCATAGTGTTATGCCAATTTTCACATTTATGGGAGCTAATGTCCTCAGTCAGGATGATGAGTACTCTGCTCATGTTATTGAACAGACTATTCATAGAGTCATTCCACCACTCCTGGAATCCTTAAGACGAGGTCATGTTAAGGATCCTGAAGCCGGTGTATCGGAAATCATGTCTAACTTCGTAGCGGCATTCCAACATGTCCCTGCTCACCGAAGGATGAAGATGTATCTATCGTTGAGCCAGAGTATGGGGACTAACGAATACCTCCATGCTCTACTGCTTTTGCTTGGTGAGAAATGCTATGAAGAGAAAATGGCAGGGAGACACATGGCAGTTACGATCGCTGAGTTTTGTGAGAATTTCTGTGCCGGATTCCCAGCCAGCGAACAAATGGGAGCTTTTGTGAAGTACTTGGAAGTTTGTGTGGATTTGGCGGGAGGTTCGCCGAAAAAACAGACTCTCCAAATCTTCAAGGAGAAGCAAATGAGCGAAGCGAAGAGAGCGGAGGTTGTTACCGCGCTTTTGGAGTTACTGAGCGTGATCCTCGGATCGAGGAAGTTGAAGAACTTGGTGTCGAGTGCACAAAAGGGGGCTGGAGAGGAAGTCGTTGTACTCAAAGGATGTTTCGTAGATGCCGTGAAGCAGTGCTTGCAGGCGGGTCAGTGGGGAGGAAAGGTTGCTACTGGTGAGGCTTCCAGTCAATATCGCGAACTCGAGGGGGAGACTAACTGTTATACAGCAGCGGAATCGTGCCTCAAGGCTCTTCTTGACTTACTTCCAATTCCACTTTTCGTCACTATCACGGGCGAGTTGGTCAAGGATGCGGCTTCGCCCTACCGTACCGGTATCTTGGCAACTTTCAAGTCGCGAATTACATCAGAAACAAAGAAGTCATCTCAAGACGCCGCATTGGACTTCTTGCCTGAATTGGCCTGTCTTCTTCAAGACGGTTCCGCGCCTCTCAACCTTAGGGCGGAGGCGGTTTCTTGCGTTACTGTTATCACTGACAAATATGGCAAAGAGAAACAAGACGCAATCGCTAACCTCCTCGACACTATTACTGGTGAGCAGGCATTCGGAAGCGACGACCAAGGGTTGCAGGTCCTCTCCATACTTTGTTTGATCTCTATGACGAAATGTCTCGGTGGTCGAATTATTCCGGCCCTACCCAAGATCGCACCCCCAGCTTTGGCATTGCTCGAGAAGGAACTCGAGCAGGAGACACCAATGTTCCTGGTTCATAATGCGGTGTGCCCACTGCTTGAGGACCTTGTCAAGACGATACCGAATTTCATGCAGAGTTATCTCGAGAGAATGCTTAAGGTTTCTTACCAAGCCGCCCTGAAAGGGCTCCAACTGAATGAAGTTAGTGATGACGAAGATATGGATGAGGATATAGCTGGACATTTGACTACAGCACCTACTGTCCGCGCTGAATTACTCTCCGCAGTAGCTAAGAAGATTGCTACCAAGCCTTTAGTGAAAGCTGTACTAGGAACCTGGACGACCGCCACAGAGTGCGGTGTACCGGCGTTGAAGCAGCTATTCACTCTACTAGCCAAGGCGATCGAACTTTGTCCTAAGTCAGAGTTTGGACCTATCCAGGACATGCTCTTCAAGGTCTTCCTTCTATCTTTTGATGTCCGGAATCTTGTGCTACCTTTAGCAGACGAAGAGGGGGTTAGAGAGGTCGAAGAGTTGATGTATAAGGCTATGCTGCAGATGGTGTTCAAGCTTAACGACAAGGTCTTCCGGCCTTTCTTTGGCCGATTGCTAAGGTTTTCTAGCGAGGTTGGCGGAGACAATGTGGAAGAGAGGAAGAATAGGAGGCTACAGACTTTCTATGGATTTTTCAACACGTTTTTGGAAGGACTGGGATCTATTGTTACCAACTACTACTCTCACGTGTTGGATAATGCCATTGGATTCCTGGAGTCCGTCAAGGAGCTCGCCGAGGCCGAGAAAGCCGGTGTTGAGAAGTTGTATTCACTAGTGATTACTTCCTTGACCAAGAGCTTTGCAAACGATCAGGACGAGTTCTGGCAGAGCCCCACAAATTTCGAAAAAATCCAACCAGTTCTAATGGGACAATTGGAACTCGCGCATGGTGGTGAAGAGGAAGAAAATCTCCCAATATCAACTCTTGTCGTCCAAGCCGTCGGTGAATTGTCGATGGCAGCGCATACTGATGACCACGACAAGATTATCAACTCCGCTGTTCTGAAGGCAATGAGAAGTGAAGACGCTGATGTGAGACTTGTGGCGATTAAGATGATGGAGGAGTTGTATGAGAGGCATAAAGAAGAGTGGATAGGACTGTTGCCGGAAACTATGCCGGCTATCGCGGAGTTGATGGAAGATGATGTGGAAGAGGTCGAGAGGGAGGTGCAGAAGTTGATTGTGAAGATTGAAGAGTATTATGGGGAGAAACTAGAGACTTTGTTGACGTAAGTGGACTGGTCAACTAGTGTGTGTATAAGATGGTATGATGGGACGAGCATTTCATGTAATGATATCGTAGAGATTTTGATTATTTGTAAATTAATATTGTATTCAATTATTTAGTATTGACAACGCCTAGTGAATTATTCCTTGCTCGCGAGCAGCTTATTCTACGGGGGGTTATTCTCCACTCCCTCTATGAGCTAAACGTTGATAAACTTGCAAATTAAATAATTAATTGAAGATCTATATCGATCTAGAATTCGACTCGCTTTTGGTTCAAAATCTATACAAGAACTAAGAATAATTATATGAAATGATCAATATCGATATCATCTTAAGATCTTAAAACTTATAAATATAAAAGCAACCCGTCTCAAAAATTCGCATGATATCATGATATAATATAACCCAACCGCAGATGGTACGCATTAAATGGGGAAAAAAGAAAGATATATATGTATACTACAGTTTTTCTCCTCTATCTCCACTCTCAATTCCTCCTCTTCGAATTCATGAACTTTCCCCATGCATGCATGATAACATTGCAATATATTAATATCGTTATGCGTATATAAATGTTTGTATATATATACTGCCCCCCTGTATAACTTTTTATTTTACTACCTTCTTTAACAAGATGCTCTTATCAAAAAAATTTTCGCGCGGGGGCTACGTAGCTTATAGGCGGTTGTGTTTTTTTGTTCTTTTTTTTTTTTTTTTGTAAAACAAAAAAATATGTCTTCCTCTTTCTGCAGAATAGGAATGATAACGTCGCAAAGGGGGGAAAAGGGGGGTAAAATAATGGAGGGGCATCCTTCAATGGTTGAAAAGAAAGATTGATAGAGAGTGGAAAGAAGAGAAGGGAGGAGGAGGAGGAGGAGGAGGAGGAGGTGAGGGGAAAGGTGAGGAGAAAGGATAGGAAAGATAGAAAGAGTAAGAGAAAAGGAACTAAAAAGGAAAAATAATAATAGGTCCTAGCTACATACATGAAGTTGATAAAGGTGAACATTGGAAATGGGCATACAGTCGTGACACAAATCAAAGAAACAACCAGCGGTGACGGTATCATGCGATTCAAGTTATTTTTCCCCGTCTATCATGAACAAAAAAAGGCAAAAAAAAAAAAGTGAGGTCGTAACAAAGAGAATGGAAAAACAACATCAAAGACGTGTAAAGAATAGAAGGACAGTAATAACAGAAAAGGAGTATCTTGCTGTTGCCGTATAAAAATCCCATTATTTTTTCCCCACGTATGCACACCGATACAAAAAAGTTTTTTTCTTTTCCTCATCAAATTCGCTATGTCAGTTAATATCTTTCTGTCTTTCTTTCAGGACTTTTTATCGTACAACACGTTTTAAGTAAAAGGAAATAAAGGAATGGTTAAATAAAGTTGGAGGACAGAAGAGAAGAATAAGCCAAGGGAGTTGCCTCAATATTGGGGCTATCAAATAAATCGGGAGTAGACTCGGTTTGACGAAGCTGAGGTTATAATGGCCTAACAATTAGTGATAAGAAAAGGCGTACTGGGCAGAAATCGAATTCTCGTTTGATCTATTAGCCCAGGAAGGAGTGTAGTGCGGCTGGCCCACAGAGGCATCCTAAACCACGTATGTTGCGCGGAGCTTCTCCTGTGTTTTGAGGGGTAGTTTGGTGAAAAAACTTTGCCAGTCCGCAATGATTTCTTTGTACTTATCGATAACCTACGGTATAATTGTTAGTCTTCCAGAGGGTTTAGGGGTTAGTTAGATTGTGTGGTTCTTACTTGTTGGAATAGCATGTGTAACTGCTTAGAGGCATTAACGTATTTAGCGATAGACCCGAAGAGTACATCCACACAATCCTCAAGAGCTTGTGGGTTGGTAATAGTGATCATTGCAAGCCCACAAAAGGCAGTATCCTTCTCATCGGTTTCCTGAACTCTTGCCAATGTATGAAGGAAAGGTTCAGCGAAGGTGGCAAGATGCGGGGCTAGCTCGTCGTGGCATCCGAGTCCAAGTCGACCAAGAGCAATTGCCGCGTTTTCCGTGAGACTGGCAGGAATGTCGGGAGTCTGGACGACTGCAAGGAGCCTAGTAAAGAGTCGATCCACATACGGCGCCATTCCGGCTCCGCCCTGTCGGGCCTTTTGTAGAGAGATCTCGCCGCAAGACCAACAAGCGTTATTTATTACGCTATAGGCGGTGTCGGGTTCATCGTCTACATCGATTTTAGAGAGATCAAGCTCTTCAATCAGAAGGCCCATGACCTGAGGGAGGACCGGGTCTAGCTCGCTAAACACGTAGATTGAACAGTCTCCTAAAAGTGCGTATGCTGACTGCTTCACCTCATTATTTGAATCGCTGAGGCAAAGAGTAAGCATTTGGAAGAAACTCGGCTTCGCGGCATGAACGAGGGTTAGCGATTGAGAATGAAGAGCTTGAATAATAGCGCTAAGAAGGTCAAGAGAAGTAATCAAATAATCCTTGTTAGGTTCTTCCAAATCCGGATTTTGAAGATATTGGACTCCTTGTTCCAGATTTCGATGAATGAGGTGGAGGCAACGGAAGAAGATGTGCTGAGAATAAGGCTGGAACTCAGGGCCCATCGCTTGAGCGACAAAACTAAGACACTAAAGCCATGTTAGCGGATACCAAATGGAACTATGAATGGCGTATTACCTCGAGTAATGGGAACAGCTCCCGTTGGTCGTCCTGGACTTTGTGATACCTCTCGATCAGGGTCGGCATAAGCATATCCACAGCTGGACGCTCTGCAATTGCATGACCGACGTGTTCGGCAAGTGTCTGGATACAGTCATAGAGAATGTACATATTTCTGTCTTTGTACTTCCCGAAAGCAATCATGAAGACTCTGAGAATGGGCTCTAGATATGGTGCCAACTCCTTTTGAGCTTGCTCTTCTAGGAAAGCAAATGCGGATGCTCCTGCTTCTTGTACACGCTTGTTCCTGTCAAGCATTTTCTTCAAAAGACCGTCCATCATTGGCACAAAGTACCTTTGGCGGATCATAGGATCTGTTGGCGAAGCTGCCCATTTCGAGTACCTCCCGAGAGTCCAACAAGTGATTTGACGAACAAGTGGCTCCGAGTCGTTGAGAAGGCCGATTAGGAATGGGATCAACTTAGGAAGATGTGGAGTGACAGTATCCCAACAGCCATCTGCTACAGCACCTAATGATAACACGGCTGCTTCCCGGAATTGCCATTGAGGATGCTCGAGATTCTTTTGAAGATATGGGAGGATGATTTGGAAGATGGTGTCGTGGTAGACATTGGCGAGAACATCGAGAGCGGCAGCCGAGCACTTACGCAGATTCCATTTCTCTTCGGGGTTGCCACCCCCAAGGAAATCATCGTCTTCGATCTCGCCCTCACTCAAGTCATCATCATCATCTCCCATTTTATTCTGGTTGGCGCGGCTCTCAGAACCCTCTGGTATTTCACCATTGATGGTTCGGGCCTTGCTTTTGGCAAAAACTGGTTGAAGGTCCTCGGCCTTGTCCTCAAGTTCATCATCATCGCCCTGACCACTAAGCATCAACATGTCTTCTTCGCTATAAACCATACTAGAGAGTAAGGTGGGGATGATTTTGGGTAGGTAAGGTCCGATATCATTTTGGAGAACGTCATGTTCTCCAAGGGTAAGCCAAAATTCGGCGGCTTCTAAGGCAAGGTCTTCGTCGTCTCTGCGGTTCTGTTGAGCAACCATATAGTCAATGATGCCACCGAGATTCGGTCTTATCTTATCCGGTCGAATATCGACAATCTGAACCAACGAGCGACAGACAGCCTTTCGAACATCGTCAGATGGATCTTGGGCGAGCTGGGTAAGCACAGTAAGAAGGTCATCAATGTTCTCGACAATGGCCTGTGGCTTGCCAGGAATGAAAATGTTGATTGATGCGAGTGCAAGTGCTCGGATTTTGTCAGACCCGGCAGATGCGTATGTGAGTAGCTTAGGGATAAGGAAGCTGAGAGGGCGTTCCCCGTTATAATTAGTATCGAGGGTTTTCCTATCATCTTCACAGATCTTGTGAAGACAGCTCATGGCACCCTCTCGGGCCGGCATTGGGACATCTTTCCCGTCAATCAACCCTATTAAGGTGGCTAGAATCTCCGGCCATTGGAGGAGCCCAGCGCTTCGAAGAATCTCAGCTATGAGCGAACCAGTTAGGGATCTGATTTGGGGAGTCTGGTCCCCAAGTCCTTGAACGGTTGATTGCTTGACATAGCCCTGAGCGTCTGGCGACATGTGAACCCAAGCGTCTTTTAGATGGTTCTTGAGGAATATGCCTCCCGCCGATCGGGCACCGATGTACTCTGATGGTTGGTCATTTTGAGGCGGGTTGGGGTTGATGAGAATGTAGCACAGATAGTTGCAGATGTCCGGTGACCTCTTAGCTTGTTGGAGCATCTATAAAAGTCGGGACAGGCCAATGGAGGCAATTTCCGTTAGATAAGAGTATCCACGACAGAAAAAAAAGTCGAACATGACCCTCCAGCCAGTCTCCTTATGGGATTTTGGACAAGATTTCAAATGATGATGGTTATAAATTTTTCTCGTACCTCTCCAGCTCTTTTTCTTCTTTCGGCATCTGCCCCAATACTGTCCACCAGATATCCGACAAGCTGCCGTAGCGGCTCTTCCTGTGGTTGCCACTGCATGGTGGAAAGGAACGTAGGACAATGCAACCGGGAGTAAGGACGAAATAGGTGACTTAGTTGATGTTGTTTAAAGGAACGGTGTTGTAATCTTGAGAACCGTTTTTCTATGGCTAAGCTTGTTGCAGCTCTTTTTTCCTTAGATAAGATAAGCGGGAGCTTCAGCTGTCAAGCTACAGCCGATGAGAGGTTGTGGCTAGAACCTGCAGCCCTTCTAGCTTCAGACAGGTTTATGCTGCGGACTGGGTACGCAGCTGGGGGGGAAGCCCAGCCCACGGCGAAGGGAAAGAGGGGAGGGAAGGAGCGGTAGAATGGTGACGGACGATACTCTGCACTGACCAACAGCAAAATATGAAGAGAAGGAGCAGTGGGAGGAAGTCAAAAGACGAGATGGAAGATGAGAGCAGGCAGGTGGATGGATGGGTGGATGTAAGTAAGTAAGTCTGGGTGTGGGTGTAAGTGTAGGTGTAGGTGTAGGTGGTGTAGAGTAACGCTACGCTATTTTGTGTGGGCGACACTACAATACCCGCAGGATTTGTTGTGGTAAAAGCTCCAGCCAGTCTGTCTACCACCGAAAAAGACTCTCATACAATGGGACTTATATAAGTATTTCAAGGCTAGGAAGTACCTAAGTTTTTTCTCAACCACGCACGAGCCAGTTTCTTCCTCTCTGTATTTCTTCCTTCCCTCTTTCTTTCTTTTTTTTTGGGGTTAAGGTAGATTAAATTTTAAAACAAAGATACTTGGGAAGGAAGCACAGAGTTTTTCAGGCAAAATTTTTTGTTTCGTCGCTGGTCAGTGGCAGAAGTCAGCATAAAGCAAACAAGGCATTCGGGGGAGGGGAAAGCCGTTTTCTTGCCCCACTCCTCCTCACCCAGGTCTTCTCCACCACACTCTTTTGCACTGATAACGTACTTAAACGACAATAATAGCGATCGCCTGTACCAGTTTAATTACTTAAGCTGCGCTAGCTGAATCTGGAAAAAGTATCGAGCTGGACGCTCATGCAACGCACGCCGACCCGCTCGAGCTTAAATGTACCACAGTGGGGTCCGCGATGATGGACCGAGGCCAGCACGCCTTGGACTGAGAATGTTCCACTCCCGTATCGATCGATATCTATCTGCTGCTCCTCCTTTGTATGCTGTGAGCAAACTGTGTCTGAGCATATGGGATCTGAGGCATGAAACCGTGGAACTATAAGGTAGACAGGTGATAATTGTTCCAGTATCAGAACTTGCTGCCTTTTTCCACCCCTGTCCCCATGCGGGTTAGCGATTCTGACCACGGTTAAAACTGCTGTCTATGAACAGTCAGATCAGTTTGATGTTCCAGATTTGGTCCAGGTCCTTAAAATGTTTTTATTGCAGTCTGAAAGCGAACACTATGGGCTTTCAGTAAGGCCAGGTCTCGAAACTGTTTCCTGCAGGAACCCATACAAGTGTTAGGATCGAATCCTTCTGCCGTAAGCCTGACGCCTGCTTGGAAGTTAGTTAAATGATATTACTATGCTTGTCACAGGCCGAAATAAAATGTGATAGGTATGGGACTGGAGAAGTCATCCGATCGAAAATCAGGGAGGGTCAAACTCATACCACCCTTCAGGTTCTCGCTTGGGTTCCGCTAATAGCCTTTCAAAAAGAGGTACAATACAATGCTAAATTGTAATCTTCTCTCAATCAGGATATCGAAAATCGAGGGTGTAGATAGTCTAGGAATTGATTTCCGGCATTCACAGGGTGCAGGTACCCGCTGCTCGGAGTCGATATTGGCCACGATGCGTACCCTTAATCCTTGCCCTTGGACTTTTCTGGGCTCCTTTGACTGGTATATAGATACTCCGATTAAGATCCGTAGAACGAAGATTATTTCAGGGAGCAGTGTCGGAATAAACAGAATCGCGAGAGTTTGAACTCGAAATTCCGGGGTTATATATTGGAGACACCTTGGGTCGTGTAGCTTCTGCACCCAGTCGGTCGCGTTCGGGTGGTATTTCAAACCTGGGATAAAGTGGAGTGACCTTTGCAAGCCGAAGCCTCTGAATAAATCTGCTAGCTATCCAAGAATAATAACTGTAGAAGGAAATAGCTAGCCTCAGCAGGGCTATGTCGCCTTTATGAGCACCAGCTGGTCAGCTATTGCCTGGATAATGTTAATTAGTAATGCGAGGATACCGAGACTATTGGTGATTCTGCGCACATACCATTGGTATCGAACCAGCTAACGAGCTCAAGATCCGCTTTGGCTTCTACTACCGTAGCTATAGTCCGAGTACTCTTATCTCCATACTATTCGATGATATTGATTGATACGATGAACAAAGTCTCACAAGCCCCGTTCACTGGTGCATCTGCATACAAATCGTGTTGCATTTGCGAAGTTGTAGCTCCAGCGAGCTCCAGCTAATCAACTGCAGCATTCGATCTCCAAGGTCAATGCCGGCTTCGGGGGGTGACTAAAGCCTCCATGTCGTATATTGTTACTTCATTAAAAAAATGTGAAAGAACTGCATTGAATATGCTTGGATCGCGGAGCATAGCGACATTCCATCGTGAGCTCGAGAAATCAATCCGGCCAGCAGTTGGGAACATGTTGACAATAACTGGGACCTGCTCAATGCGGTCAGAAGCATCGGACTTCATTTCGGGAGAAGCAGAAGGAAAAAACTTCCAAAGTATAATTCTGGTGCATCAATGACAAGTTGAATCTAACATGTGGTCGTATCCTCGCGATTGGTGTACGTAGTTTTCAAGTTAGCGGTAGGGTATGAATGCATGATATTCTTCGATCCAACATCAAGGTCTCTGGAAAGAGCCTCCTACGAAGTAGGTATTTATATATTCGTTTGTATAGATACGTCAAGAAAAGAGCACACCAAGATCAAGAGGAGCATACCCCTGAACCTTCGAGTATTCATTCAAGATCGATATCACATATATGAATCTCGCTTCTGAAAGTATTGTGGTTTAACGAAGGTGCACATAAGTTTTAGACTGTATACATATACAATCGAGTGTCTACGGGCCCACTTCCAGAATTCTACGAGTTCTAGAACGTTGAGAATTCGACTGCATTTCATCTTTTCGATAGGATAATTTATTCACGATTCTAGCAAATTTAAATATAAGACCGTCTTCTTTTTTCTAAAAAAAAAAATGTATACACCTCTCCCGGGTGGCGGCTTTGTGCAGTTGAAATTCGTATTTGTGTATCTGTGTCATCACCGACTGCGGGATCTCGCTACTATCGTTTTATGAGTCCAGCAGCTGGGAATTTCCCTTTTTCAAGATGTCAAGGTGGCCGTCCTACGACGGCAGGTAGCGAATGGTACCAGCGGCTGCAGGGAAACCGTGGCTTCCTGCCGGCTTGTAGAATATTACGAGCCATAGTACTCCCACGTTAAAGTGCCATTAGGCCTGAGAATGAGACTGAGGTAATGTTCGGCTTGGTCGGGGTACACAGCAGACTGTATCACGCCTAAGTATCAAGCCATAGAACCATGAGGGTATGTATCACAACCACTAGCTAGCACCAAAGAATTGTAGGATCGATTTGGCATTTTAGAGTTTAAATTGATACTATCATGAAGAAGTAATTTTAAATTTTTTGATACATCTATTATCCATGCGCGCGATAGATTTAATATCCATAGCCCACTGAAACCGCACTGAATTGAAATAATGAGTTTTCGGTTGAGAATCTCTAAATAAAAAAACGCTATTAGTATCTCCACCTCTAGAAAAGTACGTAAATAAATGTATGATATCGAAATAAAGTTTCTGTGCATACTATACACCGCCTTTGTCCTACTACAACAGTTCCCGCTTTTGCCACGTTTCTTTTCCTTGGTGCTTTCTACTTCCGGATCTTTCCGGCTGGCTTCATTTCGAGTTTACCATTCACATCCTCATTCTAAGCTGTTAGATCGTTTAGGATACCTAGTATGTACGGATGGTTTCTTTGTATTTACGCATCCTCGGCATACTATATATATAGAGCATACTCAATTGCAAGTTTGCGTACTATAATATCAATTTCTTCGCGGGTGGTAATATAATTTTTGATAAAAGGAATCAAAGCTTTTTATCTAATCAAATGAATTTTAAAACTCTGCTAACTCCGATTAACCATGGCCGATTATCGGAATAACTACCTAGGTAATATCAACCAGTCAGGCGCAGTACGCATATTGGAATATATTAATACAACGGTATTATGATTATATATATTAACCGTAGATAAAAGAAATCTGTGGAACCCAACGAATTCTAGATCCATGGTACTCCTTGAAATTCGAGTAGATACATGTACAGCAAATCATACTGAATCGGGCCAGTTGCACATGAAGCTCCACCAGACTAGCTTATTGGGTTCGCGCATACATATGCATGAAAATATATAGCAAGTTAACAATCTTTTGGCTCTATGGATCGAGGATAACTTCCATGACAAAGGATTTTCGACATTACAAGACTACGAATATAATATGATTGGCTCCGTGGACTTAATAATGCCTGATTACGCAAACACGCAAACCCATGTGCATTAAATGCTTATATCCTGTCTAGAATTTAATTTATGATCACAAGCCCAGACACAATCTCCAAATTCAGGCATCTACTAGGGAAACTACCATGGGACGGTGCATAAACCCAATTCTTGGCGAAGCCTCCCCTCTGTAAAAAAATTTGAAAATTGAAAAAATACGAGCCAACTCAAGGCTGCATGTAATCGCGCAAACTACATGTTACACAGAAAGAGGTGATAACGGACCCAAGCACTGCATGGCATTAGCTTACTGCACGCCTTGAATTGTTCTAAGGACACTGAGACACGTATCCAACGAATCAAAGTCAATTCGTATCAATATCTTTCGCCATTATCTACCACCATCTCGAGATTATTGCATTAAAACGACTGCGTGATGCAGCTAATGCAGCAGCAGCAGTAAGATACCGATGTTGTATTTTTGGGTCAAAGTTGTGTTGCTTTGGTTCGAGGCAAATCTTGCCGGGTCTGTTTGCATTGAGGTGTGGGGCGAGCTAGTCTTGATTGCCAACGGATAGCAGCAGACGCTGGAATGCGAACGCCTCGTTCTCCAGGCGGTTTGATGCCTTTATGCTGTGCAAGATGGACTCGGATTATTATGCGAAATAGATCATGTTGACTGATCGTATCACAATTACCTAGGTGATTCTGTTTGGTGGGGTTTCATCCTATTCTTTTCTCTCAAAGGATCTTAGGATCACGCCTACGCAAGTGAAAAGAGCCATGCAATAGTGATGACACCTGTGACAACTAGAGCACTTCCCATCGTCACAGTATGCAAATCCTTCATTTATTATTCGTCATGACTTTTGAAGAAAAATTATATACTATGAAAGAAATGGAGCACAGAAATATTGCTCATCTCATCGAGAAAGGAAAGGTAAAGGAAAACAGGGTATTAAGCAGACGTTTAATAGAAGAATCCCAAGACCTTTCCGGCAACGTGTTTTCTCCTGGCCTCCTCGTGGTCCATGATACCGGCGGAGGTGGTGAGGACGATGAAACCGAACTGACGGGATGGCAACAGGTTGACAACCCACTTCTCGAAGTCACCGATGCGGACGTTGTAGCGGGGGGAGATGACACCGCACTTGTTGAGACGGCCGTTAAGCTGGATGACGATCTTGCCGGAGCGGTGGTCATCGACTTCCTCGAATTCACCGATGTATCCTGTTTTTATGACCATATCAGTATCAAATGGTCTTGCAAACTCGAAGAGCGAACTGCTTGGAAATGAATGTTCAAGAAAATAAACGATGTCAAATATGGAAAAAAACAAGACAACGTGTAAGAAGGATTCCCGAAGAGAGCTACCTTTCCCCACCAAAAAACCTCGCCTTCTTACAAATGCGAGGAAAAGGAAAGAAAAAGGCGACTCTCAGATTGATATTCCGAGAACTTAAAGGACAAGGGCCGTGGAGGCATTACAAGAGGGCCAATCGTCTAGTTATCATCTCGGGGAGATTTGGGGGGGATTCCTTGTTCAAACGCGATTGCAGTTTTGATACGTTATAGAATCATGAGCGGAATTTAAGAGGGGTCGAGCTTACCATGCTTCTGCATGACGGACAAGAACTTGACGATGACCTTGGAAGCAGGTCGGATCATGACCTGACGCTTTCCGGCCTTTTCGGCATTGTTGATCGACTTCAAGCAGTCGTTGAGAACCGAGGTCTTAACCATTTTGGCGGTAGGAGTTTAGAAGACGTGAAAGTCAAAAGCAAAAGCTATCCGGGATCGCATGTTAGTTTCAGGATCATTCCCATTTTTTCATTTTTTTTTCACTTCCAAAGCAAAACCATCATGAGTGCCTTTACGTGTCGAAGGGCATCCCATCAATAGAAAATTTGATCGAGATGCCAATCATCAACATCGAAGAAAGGTTCAAGAGGCCGTCTTGCGGTATCAGAGAAGAGTTGGGCTCTTCCCTGATCAGACCAAGACTCGACCCTGACTAAAAATATTGTCCACTCGTTTTGATCCGCCTCATGAAGAGAGCGTGGTTGTAGATGTTTCCGTACCTTATACGTGAGGGAGGATTTTGGAGAGGTGGTAGACCGTAGTAGTTGCTGGCAGGTATCGTGATGTCGTGAATTGAGGATGGAAAAGAAGCTTCGCTAAATGTTGAAAAGATCAAAATTGAAATTCAATTGTGGTTTGACAAGGGCCTGGAAAATTGTGCCCTAATCCAAAGGCTAGTCCTATTTGGGGGCAATCAAAAAGAAACAAACACCAGAAGACGACATCAACACAAATTCGGTCTTGGCATTTGTAGCTGCTTGCTTCCTTCGACAGTAAGGTTCCAATTCCAGGCCAGAAAGATAACATGAGCTACTGGGCTATCTGGCTGCCCATTTGTGGCAGAAACAGATTCGAGGATACGAGGTACCTAGTAAAGTCTAGGGCAGGAGATTGCAACTAACAACAGAGGGAGTCCTCCAGAAGCAAGTTGCGGTATAAGTCGCTGCCCGTTGTACATGCGCTCATTCCTATATTGAATTCTTGGTAAATATGAATGAAATCGCTTTCGGGTTCTCGTCAAGCACCCTCTTGAGGATTTCGTCTTCAACAATAGGCAGTTGTTCCTCCCCTTCCTCTTCTTCGCCATCACCATCTTCCTCGCTCCCTACCGGTTGTTTGGACGAAGAAACACGAGTCTCGCTCTTAGGAATTTTGTCAGGGTTGATATGCGAGAACTCAAGCAGTGCCTTCATCCTCTGCCTCGCTTTTGAAGTTGCTTTCCTATAAGCTTCCTCCTGCTTGTCCATATCTACAGCTGACGCCCTTGTCCATCCGGTCATTTGAATCGGTTCGTCTTTTTCATCCTCTTCGTCGTTTTCAATATCCTCACTAGGGGGCTCGCCGATCTCCCCACATTCGCACCCCAGCAAGTCGTGGGTGTTACATGTTGTTTCAGTATCAAGCCCGAACAGATCCTTTAGTTCAGCTGATGTGAAGTTGGACCCTCCAGCCTTCTGGTCCATCACCGAATCCGCAAGACCCTGTTTTGTGATTTGCCTTTGGTATATTTTTTCGTCAATGCACCCGGTAGTTATCATACGATAGATGTATACATGAGACTTTTGCCCGTCTCTGTGGACTCGCGCCATAGCTTGAAGATCTGTTGCAGGGTTCCAGTCCGAGTCGAAAAGGAATAAACGTGATGCACCAATGAGATTAAGGCCCGCTCCGCCGCTTTTGGATGATAAAAGGAAGGCGACTGGAATAAATGATTAGCTAGCAGTAGGCGAGGGACGTAAACAGGGATACTTACAAGCGACATCAGAGCTAACACGATTAAATTTGTCGACAAGGTCCTGTCGTTTATTTGTTGGTGTCTTGCCATCGAGCCTCAAATGATGAAATCCCTTTGAGTTAAGCATTCTCTCGAGGATATCTAACGTCGATGTGTAGTTCGAAACTAGCACTACTTTTTCTTGGGTTGTTTCCTTAAGCGTCACTAGCAATTTTTCCAGAACCTTTAACTTGCCAGAGCTATTGCTATTGACAAGAGCTGATCCTGCTACCTTCGCTTCCTCAAGAATTGAGTTCGACAATTTGGCCTCGTCATCTTCTTTGCCCTTCGGCTTGAGAAGCGAAGTTGAATTGCACACTTTCTTGAGTAGTGTGATAAGTTGTAACGCAGTATCCATGCTTCCCATTTGTCGCTTTGCAACAGAGGTATTAATGATGGCTTGATATAGTTCGAGTTGCTGCTTCGTTGGCCGACAAAACAAAACTACATCTGTCTTCGGCGGGAGGTATTTCGTCAAGATTTTTGCAGTTCTCCGAAGTACAAACTTATTCATTAATTCTGCGAGTGAAGCTTTTCGGGCATTCCCAAGTTCTTTATCCGCCTTTAAAGCCTCGGGTTGCTGGCTTTTGACTATAGGATTCTCGAACTGTTTTTTAAAAGTACTGTAGTTTTCCAGAATCCCAGGGTTCACGAAGTCAGCCATGACAAAGAATTCTCGAAGGTCGTTTTGCAAGGGTGTTCCACTGAGAACAACTCTCCGTGGCGTCGCTAGAGATCGAATGGCTTGCGCAGATTTGTTCTCTGCTGTTTTGAGCCGGTGCCCTTCGTCAGCGATAATTATATCAACTTGACACTGCTTAAGTTTGTCTTGGATACTTCGTAGCCTTTCATAGCCAACGATCATCACGTTGTATACTGGGCCATGTGTGAAGTCTCTAACGTTGCTCTTCCCGTCTGCTACGAAAACGTGGATCCGCTCGTTTCCTAACCATTTTTTGAACTCTCGCCGCCAGTTGTTGATTAAAGAGACAGGGCAGACAATCATAGCTTTCTTAACAACTGGACCTTGGTTGTAAATGGGGTTTTGCTTCAGAAGCGTCCATAGAAGAGCAATCGTCTGTAGAGTCTTCCCAAGGCCCATTTCGTCAGCCAAAATTGCACCCCGACCTTCATATGGCCGCATCCCCATAACTGCTTCGTAAAGAAATGAAACACCTTCGCGCTGGTGAGGACGGAGGTGCCGAGATATGATAGGATCCACGACAACATCAACTACTGTCTTATTTTTTGAAGAAATTTCTAGTCGTTTCATAACTAATGCCCCTTCGGCGCTCGGATCGAACCTCGCCACCGGCTTTTGGGGATTTATCTTCGTAACCGTAGTTCCAGACAATAGTGGAGGTTTGAAAGTACTCCTGGCATAGAGTTCGGTCGTAGGGATAGTTGGTTCTGCATCCGTTTGTTTCCCTTTGGATTTTAAGAATGGCTTACCAGCCATGAAGTCGGACTTCGGCAGGATCGAGTCGATTTCAACCTCTTTCCCGCCTAGGCTAATAACGTCTCCTTCTACCGGTGTTTTTGAGACCCTGCCAGTAGCAATATCCCGTCCGTTTACATCCTGCAAAGTAGCATTCCCATTTACAATGGCCAGTACACCATCTCCATCCCACGTTTTGTGTTTCCGCGCCTGAAATTTGCGCCTACAATATAATCAGCAAATGGAACAGCCTCGATATAATAACAAAACACTCACCATAAAACATTAAAGTAATATCTGCCATTTCCATTGTCAGAAACCGATATCGGTCCCGCTTTTTCAGCCACCCCAGGAGGATTTGATACTGGGATCAAAGGTTTGCGTATGATTGTTGGAGGATTGAATCGAGACCCAGGGCCAGCTGTTATCCTAGACGAAGGCAGCATTTTTCGAGCCCCATTAGAGCTCTGCGACGATCGCCCACCATCTAAATCAGCACTCTTTTGGCTACTGCTTAGTGGCTCTAGTTTAATCCTCTTTTTTGAAGGTTCTGAATTGGTATTATCAGTCGTTGGAGCTGTTGGAGGCCTTTTTAGAAGCGGTGGTATGAACTTCTTGCGGTACATCCTGTATATGCTTGTCACTGTTAAGTTTAGGTGATTCTTAAACAAATGTTAGTATAGTTGTGGAGGGGGCATTTGGGAAGACGCGAGGACCTACATAGGAAGACGTGTTGTTTGGTCATTGCCAAGCTAATCATTTACACCACATCGAAGAATACTGCTGACTCAGCAGCTAATCGAAGGTTGCCATACTGCCTGCAAACACTCGATTTCGCCTCACTTGTCAAATTTCTTCGAGATCCTAGAGTTTTGTACATTATTCTCATATTTCAACTTGTCTACAAACTTTATTGACATAGACCGTCGACACGGGTGATACCGAGGGCATATAACTGCCCTTCGACGCGTCCAGAAAGACATACAACACCAACTCACGTGATGTTGCATTATGGCATATGCATCCTCCTTCATTCGTCAAGGTCAGATACGTAAGTTCTTCGTAGTAAAATTACAATATACTTCTTTAGAAGGAGGTTAATAACTGCTAGTAGGGATCTCATCTCTCCATTCCCTGCGATATGGCTTCAATTTCGCTATAAGCCATGATCTTAGGTTAAGGTCTCGCTTTGGACCCAAGTATGTTGCAAGAAGGCTGGGCGTATATGCCAAAGACCGGCTGCTCGAGGGTCGGCCATTGACATCATCTTCAAGGCCACCAAATCAAGAGAATAATCGCGACTTAGAAGAAGAAGATTATGACGATTTCATAGTTAAAGGTCCGGATGCCCCGAAACCACTACAGGAAACGAAAGATGCATCCACAGGGACAAGGAAAGTCCTTCTTCCGCCACTTTCAAAGCAGCAGGAACAAGCAAGGCAGATTTTGGTAGCTGGCAAGCAAAACATCCTAATAAATGCATGTGCTGGTAGCGGGAAAACTACAACTTTGCTACAGATGGCTTCTCATCTTGGAAAAAAGTTTCTTGCTCTTCTCTATAACCGAAGATTAAGGGCAGAGACAATCGCGAGATCCGAGTCTTTGGACCTTAGAAATTTGACAATAGATAATTACCACGGTCTAGCGTATGGCTTCCCTATCCATTTCTTTCAACTGATCATGAGACGAGTTTTTCTTACAGAATCTCTTCTCTTGCATAGATATCGATATTATACACCAGAAGCAGACACGGACCAGGGATTGAAACGAATAGTTGAAGAAGATATGCAACCAACTCACCCACTCCCTGAATTTGATGTCCTGGTTCTCGACGAGCAACAAGACATGAATCCGATCATATACAACTTCGTACTGAAGCTATTGCGAGATTGCGCCAAAACCGGGACCAACTCACCTCAATTAATGCTTCTCGGTGATCCCAGGCAGGTATGAAAGGAATAACTCATGGCCCACATAAAAATGCACATTCAAATCGCCACGTATAGGAAGTTCTGACTAGATTCGCGCTATCAAGGAAATTTATCAATTCAACAACGCAGATAAGCGGTTCCTAACACATTGTCGGGACCTATTCACTGGCCAATATCTTGAAAACGGCAAAGCTCATGAACGAACGTGGGTAGAAATTAATCAAATGGTTTCCTTTAGAATGACAAGCCAAATCATTCGTTTCATAAACCGACAGCTTCTGAGAGGCTCCAAACCACAGATTGAAGCTGTTAAGGACAACCCTGATGACCCTCTCCCAAGATACGTGGTGTGCGATGCATACAGCGATGCGCCACTAAAAGAGCTTAAACGTTTGTTAGAGGAAGAAAAGCTTCCTCCAGAAGAGATTTTAATCATGGCACCATCTTTAAGATCCGCGAGAAATCCTATTCGTGACCTCGCCAATCTCATCGCTTTGGAGATGCCCGAAGTCCGTCTTCATATACCCACAGACGACGATGATAGTATATCGGAAAAAGTTAGCGCGGGAAAACTTATCTTTGCTTCTTACCACCAAGCAAAAGGAATCGAAAGAGAAGCTGCCATACTCTTCAATTTCTCTAGTTCCTACTATGACTTCTATGACCGACATCCTACAACATTGGTACATGTCGGGAATGTACAATATGTCGCTGCCACACGAGCAAAGAAGCACTTAATTTTAATTCATCATTACGAAGATGACTACCTCCCTTTCATAGATCGGAAGACATTGTCAAAGTATTGCTATCGACCCCCAGGCCCGAACTCTAGAGTCAAACCCCATCGAACAGAGAAAGAAATTGAACGAATAAAGATGCCGAAGGTTCGATGGAAAGTTACTGATTTAACGAGAAACATACCTGAGATGATTATATCCGCTTGTATGTCTGCACCCTACCTCATAAATTAGTAGTCGGAGCACTAAGAGGTCTTTTAACAGGTTTTAAAGAACTCGGGTTAGAGATGGTTCGGGAGCCAAATGACTACAGAGTTCGACCAGATCCACATGTTGAAGTCGCACCTGGTGATTGGGAGGCTGTGGCAGACATCACTGGAACAGCTGTACCAGCGATATTTGAATACGAGCAGCGAGGAACGTGCAAGCTGATTACTGATGTTATTGATAGTTTGGATAAATCTCAAAAACCACTGGACTTGCTCTCCAAGTCGAAACCGAAATACATAAACCACATGTTAGACATAAATGATCGCCTAAAAGAACAAAAACTCCAGATATCGGATATCCTGTTTATGGCCAACGTCTCTAACATGCTAACATCCGGTTACATATACAAGGTTTTATCAATCCCGTTGGAAAAGTACACCTGGTTTACAACAGAACACTCTGAAGCTTCATTCAACATACTATCGACACAAATTGGTGAAGAGGCATGCTACGAGGTATTCATTGGTCACAAATTTACTGATATTACAGCCGGGAACAATCATGCATCGGTCATAGGGCGAGTTGACTTGTTCGATTATGCAAGATTATGGGAGCTAAAATGGACGAGTGCACTACGCCCGGAACATGTGCTCCAAGTTGCATTGTACGCTGCAATCAACAAGCGATCAAGGATTAAAAGGTTCCGTGAAAAAGAGTACGTGGATAGCCAGCCTTTAGAATACAGAGAAAGGATTGCGAAACGGAAGACGAAGCCGAAAATCCCCATCGACATTGATTACAACAACCTTGAAGATGAAGATCTTTATAAGAAGTTAAACCGGCTTTCAAATTACTTGCTGCATGTCCCTACGGGCCAGCGAATTAAGATTAGTTCACCTCTTGGCGGGGAAAGAGATGGCTTTATTGAAGTATTGAGGAAACTCATCAAGGCGAAAGTAGATCCACCGCCACTTGCAATCACCGACAAGAAATTTCTTGAGGAGGCAAAAAATGGATTTCCAAGCTTTGTTGGGCAATGTGCCGTCCCTCCTTGGTTGAGTCCTGGTTGGAACAAGATGAAAAAGCGATCGAAACTAAAGTCCAAGACCGTGGAGGATAATACGGCTGGATCTGGGTGAAACTGCACAATTGTACAATTCTGCGGACCAATTTCGTGTCAAACCGCAAAACTTGTAAATATTACCATAGATGCTTTATAATTTAAGCTGTACATAGGTGAAACGCGCAAAGATTAGCGCATAAAGCCCGAGGTCTTTCAAGCTTTCTTCAGTCTTTTGCGTACGCAAGTATCAGTACATCTTGAAGTGTTGCTAGTGTGGTGATATCAGCCAACCAAAACATAGGATGGCTACATGCATTGTACGTCATGAGAGCTCTTGGACTTGATGGAGCCCGACTGCCCGAATTATATATAGCGCTGAGAATAACAGCTTGAGAGAAGTGCGAATGAGACCAATTCAGGATAGCCGATACGGACTTTTGGGGATGCCATAGTGGGGACATCCATACAATCGTCTGATATCTTTCTCACACCAAGAGGACCCGAAAACTTACGCCGTACTTACAGTACCTCATATTTGCACCTCACCCGATTCAACATCTAACCTTCGCCCAGCTTGCAGCTTCAACACAATGCCGGGGCTCGTTCGCAAAATACTAATTCTTGCTGCTGTTGACGGTCTACTATTGCTCCCTACTGGTCCTCGATCTCGGGGCCAAGGGCCGACCAAAATATCTTACAAGACCGGCGCTGTAAATGCTTCGACAGATGAAACACCAGTTTCGCAGGCAGTAGCTTCGGGCAACTCATTTGAAGCTGTGGGAATAGCAGGTTGGCTTGAATCTCTGTTTTGTAATTGCAAGTCGTGAATACCAATTAATATTAATGGCGCAGGTTTATTGTCCGTGCCATCTGGCTCATGGCTTATCGCAATTACCAAGAGATCACAAGTAGCAGAAGTTAAGGGTCGCCAAATATTCGTTATTTCCGATATTGCATTGATTCCACTTCATTCAAAGTCTGAGGCCGAGGCAGCAATCTTGCGAGTAAAGGCGAAGGCAGTAAAGCGAAGTTCTAGTAATGCCGGTATAGAAGATATAGATTCCGACGACGACTACGACGGGGAGTCTATTCTTTCGAGCGACGATGACGTATCCGACGACCCGCCTCGAAGGCCCAATCATCATAGAACACTATCTTCATCCATCGCAGAAGATGTGATCGGCAAGAAGGGTGTCTACGGACGATTTGCAGAACGCTGGTTCTCAAAGAGAGGGTGGCAGGTCGATAGAAATCGTTTGCAAGGACTAAGCGGGAAAGGCGAGATTGGCGGCGAGAGTTTTCCGATGCGCAAGATGAGGTCCCGTACAGGGTCTCCAGATTCAGAAGCGGCTGAGAAAGCTATTTCTCCGGCTCTGGATGAACAAGCTCAAGAATCACAGGGAGAGAGGACTTTGACCGGGGACAGCACTGGGGCAGATGCTCCAACTGATCCGGACCAACCGATAGAGGAACCAGTCGATAGCGAAGTCATCGAAGGGGTCGCAAATAGCCTGACCCCAAAGCTCCTACGAACCACAAAGCTCTTACTATCGGCATCGCGCTCATTTTACTTTTCATACGACTACGATATTACCCGTTCGATATCCAAGCAAACCTCAGCGACCAGTAGCGAAGTCCCCTTACACAAGAACGTAGACACTGAGGTACATTGGGCCAGCACCCATATATATATATATTCCTAGACTAACCTTCTACAGTTTTTTTGGAACCGCCACCTCCTAGAGCCTTTTATTGAATCCGGGCAGCACCATTTCGCTTTACCTTTGATGCAGGGTTTCGTTGCCCAGCAACACTTCCAAATCCCCAATAAAGAGGGATACTCCCGAAACTTTCTACTTACCCTCCTAAGTCGCCGCAGCATCAATAGAGCCGGTTTAAGATATCTGCGCCGTGGAGTAGACGAACATGGTTATGTTGCGAATTGCGTCGAAACGGAACAGCTTCTCAGCGATATAGACAAAAATGCCGAGTATTCTTTTGTTCAGATTAGAGGGAGCATCCCTCTGTTCTTCCAGCAATCACCGTACGCTTTGAAGCCGAAACCAATCCTGATGCATAGCGAACCCGCGAATAAATCCGCTTTCCAGACACACTTTAAGAGAATGAAAGACCGCTACGGGGAAATCCAGGCAGTCAATCTAGTCGAGAGGCATGGGTTTGAAGCGATAGTAGGCAATATGTACGAGAAATGTGCAACAGAGCTCGACGACCCGAAGATAAAGTTCGAATGGTTCGATTTTCATTCTGAATGCCGAGGGATGAAATTTGAGAATGTTAATCTGTTATTGGATCGGGTTGGAGATGTAGTTGAGGAGTTTGGCTGGACCGAGGAGAAAGATGACAAAATTGAAAGATCACAGGCAGGGTAAGGTTAAAAACTTATTCTAGATTGGCTGAAGCTAATATTTTGATAGTATCATACGGACGAATTGTATGGATTGTCTCGATCGAACCAATGTCGTGATGAGTAACTTTGCAAGAAGGGCGATTGAGATTCAGCTTACGAGACTCAACATCGACCCCACAAAACTCGAGACATCACTGAACTTCATGAATCTCCTGTGGGCTGACAATGGCGACGCTGTGTCAAAACAATACTCCTCCACCGCAGCACTCAAAGGAGATTTTACCCGCACAAAGAAGCGCAACATATCCGGAGCCCTTGCGGACTTCGGCTTAACACTAACGCGGTTGTGAGTATCTCCCCAGGTCCCAATTCCAATCGACCCTCCAGTTAATGGACCTATCATAGTTGGAATAACATAATTGGCGATTTCTTTACTCAAGCCGCTATTGATTACCTGCTCGGGAATGTCTCAGCGCAAATCTTTGTCGAATTCGAAGCAAAAATGATGAGCGGCGATCCAGCTGTTAGTGTCTCGAAGGTCCGACAGAACGCGAGTAAGTAACTAGCCTATTGCCAGGAAAATTTATCCCACTAAGTAAAACTAACTTGCTGGTAGTTGAAACGAGCTGCCGTTTAGTTATTGCAGACAGTAACGAAGAAATGATCGGAGGGTGGACCCTACGAACCCCTGGCGAGGAGAACACATTGTATGTGATTGATTCTTGAGCGAATGTTCCTTCGTAAACTAACGAAGCTATAGGCGGACCTTTCCATTCAAAGAGATTGTTCTACTTCTAACTGATGCGGCGCTCTACTTTTGCAAGTTCGACTTTTCGATGGACAAGGTCTCTGCTTTCGAGCGGATATCTCTTGAGAACGTTAAGGGGCTGCAATATGGTATGAGCTTACCTGGTTCTATTTCCGTTCCAAATGAGAGAGCTGATATAATCTCTAGGTGCCTACATTACCTCAACTCTGACGTCTGCGCAAGTGAATGAAAAACAGAATGTTGGGCTTGTTATAAGATACGAACCCGGGAAAGACGACATCTTACGGATAAACACCCGGTCTCTTACCTCCAATGTGTCTCGCCAGAACGGTGATATAGCGGCTGAGGCAGCTGTACCACCGCCTGATGCCGAGGGTCAAGGTGACACAAAAAAACCTGACGATGTGGAAGCTCCACCAAAGGAAAAAAAGAAACCTGAGTCTGACCCTACTCATGAACGCTTCCTCGCATTTAAGGCAATACCTGCAGATTCTTCCATCAAATCATCGATTCGTCTTCCGAGCCCACTTCGTAAATCTGCTGAATCCGATGAAGAGGGCCTAATTCTAAGCATATGCAGCGAAATAGAGAGAGCCTGTAAAGTTGTGAATTCCCAGCTCAACGGTTCCTCGGAGAGCGGGTCTGTTTCGGATGGTAGCACGGGTGAAGATTTGGTGACACCATTTATCGAGAAAAAGGACATTGTTAGTGTTCAGGAGGCAAAGAAGAGTACCGGACTATTCGAACAAGTTGGGTATTCTATCCGTCGGTGGGTTTGGGCATAGACATTGTACTAGACTACCCTGCTTACAGCGATCTTTCATCATGCCAAGCGTTTGGAGCATCTAGAATTCTTTTTGGTGTTGCGTGTGGTTTTTTTGTTCTGATTGTCAAAATGATTTCAGGTCCGCTGCATCGAATGAAAGCTGATACAAAAATCCTTTATACCAAGCCTTTTCTTCCGTATTCTCGTCAGCATCATGCCGGGTTCTTTACACCAAATAAGAAACATGCATAGAAATCCATCGCTGGAGTTTTTAACGTTATTGAAATAGTCTGACTGACTTCCCAAGAAAAGCTGAACCTGCCAAGCTGTGCGTCTGACAGAACAGCTCCCTCGCCTAGACATATATTTGAGATTCGCAGGATATTACTAACCACATCTGGAGCAGGCAGTGCGGCTGATGCTCGACACAGTGAAAGCTTGGCGGTCAAACGGCTATCTTTTTGAAGATGCATTTGCATTTGATCCCTCCAAATTACGAGAAGCAAGCAGCAGTGGCAACCATAGTTGTGCCCAAGATCGACTCGAGATCTTAACAATGGAAGTTCTCAAGATTTCTCGAGATTGAGCCCTCGTTTTGATGTGGGATTGTACCAATACTCATACCCTCGGATAGGGTTTTCGTACTAATACGAGCATGGGAGAATATACCTGTATTTGTGTTAACAGAAATATGTTACCTGGTGCAGATAATCGATAAGTCTTACGGTCGTGTCAGATTTTGGTTCAGGGCCAAGAAGTCGCCCTGGGCCGAACCCACCAAGACCCCTGCACTCTTTTGCGGCTGAAGCTCTCTTAGCGGGCGACGGTTTCTAAACTTATCGCTGGAAACACAAATCATTCCCTCCATATCAAATCCTCATCCTCGCTGGACTGTAGGCTGCATTCGGTAGCTCGAGATCCCTGTCACCAAGCTAGCTGGCCCTGGTGGGGAGCAAAGCTCCTCCCTCACAGCCCTCCGCCGACACACAATGATTTGAGATTTGAATTTTTTATGTGTGGAGCTTGGTACGCTGGATCACCATACGCTCATACAAAAATTAATGGAGGCTGAGACGACTTCCCTTCCTCTTTCGATCCATGGGCTTTTCTTAGCTCATGGAGGAGCTACCCTGATCAATCTGCACAAGGTCTTCCAATTTTTGACCGTCAATCCTTACAGTGGGGCTGAAGCAGCTTACTTTGCTGATACTTCTCTCAGCCTTACTAGTAGCTGCTCTTTGCTAGGGTTTTAGTTCTTATACTACCTTCAGCCCAGGTGGACCTTACGAAGGCTTCTGAACTCATTCCCTCTTTTAACGACACTACTCCTCCCTCAACCATTTCCGACATATCTTTTGACGAGTTTCCTTTTTGTTTTGCGAATCCGGGGTTTTCGGGTTCATTGGGTTTTCTTCACTGCTTTCTGTTACTTGATACCACTGGAGGTTCCTTGCTTGGATGAAAGGCCGCACATAACGATTCCAACAACAAAAAATATATCCCACTCGTTCTTCAGCTCAGTGTGCTGAACAAGCACCACAAGGCTCAATTCAATATGAAGTCGAGATACATATTAGCAGGTGCTGGTCTATTGCACTCCGCCAGGGCAATACCTGCATACATCACGACAGTTTTTTCCTGCCCAGATGTTGTGACGATTACACAAACCGTATACCCACCTGGGTGGACAAACACAGGGCCAATATATACAACTAGACCTTTGACTGAGCCTCAACCAAACCCTCCACCAAATCCTCGACCAGAGCCCGAGGGTAATAGGCCTCCCCAGCCGCAATGTACGGAACAAGGCCTTACAACATCGTGGGAGACGGAATACGCAACTAGAACTATGTACTATTCGGAGTACGGAATGTATTCAGGACCACCTGGTTGCCCTCCGACAATCTATGCCTACATGCCAACCACAGTTACTGTGAGTATCTAACGATCTACCCGCGGTTTCTATATCAGCCACTAATATACCTTCAAATATCAGTGTTCGGAGCCGCAGACTACCGGATGGGTTGGGTACGCATCAGATATCGCATGTGCCTCATGCACGGCTACTACCCTCGTTGGATTGAGGCCAGGCGTTAGCACTGTCGGCGGCGCTGAGGTTACATACTATACCATCTTCACTGAGGTTTATGTCGAAGCCGGAGCAACCACTCAAGCTAACATGATTGGTGCCCAATGGACAACAACTGGATCTCCACCATACGTCGCTCCATACGCCAAACAATGTACTAACACTGCCGCTGGTGGTACATATGGTGCTGCCACATATACTCCAACCAATGGTGGTGGCCTAACCGTCACCGCAACCGGTAATCGGGGATACCCATCCATTGACTACAATGATCCAAACCTCTTTAGACCTTATTCTAGCGGCGCTGGCAACCAACAAGCTCCTAACCCTAACCCGACCCCAGTCCCGACCCCAGCCCCAACCCCCAATGGTAACACTGGGGCAGCACCAAGTCAAGGTGGTCCATACACTTGGACTCGTGGGAGCGGCTACCCAAGCATCAACTACGACGACCCGGACTTCTTCCGTGTCGGCCCAGGCACTGGTACATATACCCAACGTGCGGGACCAAACACCAGCCGTCCACCATCAGCTGAAACCGCTGGTCCAAACACCACGATTCGTCCTGCTGAAGGCACCTCGCGTGGCACTGCTCCCCCGCCATCTGGAACTGGCCGCCCTACCTCCTATCCCGCGGACTATAGCGACCCCAATCTCTTCCGTCCTGTCAGTGGTATTGAGATCGTTTCTCTCACAGAGCGAAAAACCTTGCCTCCACCTACCACAACCTACACTTTCGGAACCAGCGTCTATGGCGCCAACTATAACTCGATTGACAACGAAGCTACAGAAAATTTCCGTCCTGTCAGCGGTGTTTCTATCGCCTCCCTCGAGACTCCCCAAACCTTCCCAGCCCCAATTACTACTTCCATCCCAGTCACTTCTCGAGTCACTTCCAACTATCCTAGCATCGACTATGCCAACACTAGCCTCTTTAGACCTCTAAATCTTGGTAATGGTGGAGCCGAGCCAGCTTCCACAGTCACTTCACCAGTTACCAGCGCCACTTCTGCTGCTTAAAGCCATCGATGATATGGGTACTTAAGGAGTTAGGTTGACTTAAAAAACATCCCCCCCCTAAAAAAAGGGAAATATACCTACACCTATTTTTCTCTCACCAAGGTTTTTAACAAAAAAGCGGGCATTATCATAGTGTTTAGTGTGTAAGCGGGTCCCAGATATATATTTTTTTATCATTATTCATCATTGTGTAGTTTTATATCTTAGACTCAAGAAATACATTCCTTGGGGGGTTTTGCTGGGTTTCTCCTTTTTTTCTTTTTCTTACTTTCCTTCCTTCTTTTCTTTTACTACTATACGGGCTTTCATTTTTCTATATCTATGGGTCATGTCCTTTTTTTCCCTTACTATGTGTTTTCGTGCCTTGCCCTTTTTTACAATTTAGCTAACGGCGCTGTCATACCAAATGGCTTGAAATTCTGCTTTCCTCTCCTCAAATCCATAATAGCAAGCAAGTCATGAAAATTCCTTTTTCAGGGATTAATGATAATCATTTGAAATACCTTTGATATAAGATAGTGAAATTGCAGACGCACGGTTTACCAAGGAAAAAAAAAAAAAAACAAATAACCGGCAGATCCAAAAAATTCTCGTGTTCTGAGGGCTGAACGAGCTGAAAAGAAAACCTGCAGTTGTTGCAAACAAGGCTTCGGGTAAGCTTAACTATAAATAGAAGCGGCTCTTTTTTTCAGAAGCTCGGAAGACAAATTGGTGTCCATGGCATGGGCAGGAATACTGCTTGGAAAGGTATTATATACATACGTGCTGACGGCCAGCCTGCAGGGTAAGCGACCTCTTACTGGCCAAGCTTACACTATTACATGATATGAAGTAACTGCCTTGAATTCCCCGGACTACCTTGAACTTGGCCAGTTTAAATGTGCCGAGGTTCCTTTTGCATTTGGTGAGGAAAATAGTACCACATAGTCAACACGGCATCATTAACCTTAATTTTTTGACTGAATCGGGGGCGATTAGTTACAGCCTTGTTAGGATGTTAGTACTATACCTTGGATTCAAAGCAGCCACGATGTCGCTATCTATTTCCGTGAGCGTACAGTTTCGAAGATTTTACTTATTATTGATACTATATATTAGGAATAATTTGAAGATGTATGTAATCTAGATTATTGATTCATTTAGATACGACTTCATCCATCTACCATCAACAGCGTCGTTCCCATATCATAGTCGTAAGTACTTACAATGATTGTGAAGGACAGAAAAGAAAAGGAAACAATGGATAAAACAAGAAATGCATTTAAGTACAACGAAGAAGAAGAAAGAAAAGAAAAAACGCCTGATGCAATGCCAATGCCCAAATCATTTAACAGGTTGATATCAAGCCCCCGAGCGTGAGAATCTACAAACCTCTTTAATCGTAGAGACCATCGTCCTCCTCAATATCACCATCATCAGGATCGCTCATCTCCATATCTACATCTTCTTCCATATCACTGTCATGATTTGGTACAACAATGACTTTTTCTCTCCCGTGGTCAGAATTCAATAGAACATGTGCCTCCTCACCATCCCTGATTGCTCCCTTTAGTATCAACACTGCAAGGGGATTCAAAACTTCTTTCTCGATAACTCTTTGCATGACTCTGGCACCATAGGCTTGTGAAAACCCAGCTTGAGCTAGATAATCCTTTGCCTGATCGTTTACCACTATCCGAATATTCTTGTGATTGTCGAGAAGTCGTTTCTGGATTTCATTTAGTCTCAGATCCACAATTCGCCTGATGCCACTGCGATCAAGCTGGTTGAAGATGACAATTGAACTGAGACGGTTGATAAACTCTGGCAAGAAGTGCCGACGAATCGCTTCCATGACTAGCGACCGGGTTTCGGGGTCGATTTTCCCGCTACCAGACCGTTTGGAAGTAAGGTATTCAGCACCCAAGTTGGATGTCAAGATGATGACAGTATTTTTGCCGTCGACAATACGGCCCTGGGAGTCTGTAATACGGCCTTCATCGAGGAGCTGGAGGAGAACCGTAAGGACCTCCTTAGCGGCTTTCTCGACTTCGTCGAAAAGAAGGATTGAGAACGGTTTTCGACGGAGTGCTTCAGTGAGCTGACCACCAGAGTCATGGCCGACATAACCGGGTGGCGCACCGATCAATCGAGCCACAGAGTGCTTTTCCATGTACTCAGACATATCGAAGCGGATCATACTCTTCGGGTCGTCGAACAGAAACTCGGCAAGACACTTGGTAAGAAGTGTCTTACCAGTGCCAGATGGACCACAGAACAGGAAGCTGGCAATTGGTTGGTTGGGGTTGTTCAGGCCAGATCGCGACAGACGAATGGCGTTAGAAACTACCTTGACAGCTTCTTTCTGCCCTACAACAGTTTTGCCGAGGTACTTCTCCATGTTGAGAAGCTTCTCCTTTTCTGTGGTCTTGAGACGAGTAACAGGAATTCCTGTCCACTTAGCAACAATCTCGTTGATTTGGTCTGGTCCTACAACGTCGGTAACAAGAGGGGATTCGTTTTCGGAAGGGTTGGTGAGTTGATCGACTTCAGCTTGCATCTTCTGGCGCTCGAGGAGCTGGATCCGGTCTTCGAGTTCAGGGATGACATGCTTGTCAAGGTCGTAAACCTCGGAGAATCTTCTTTCTCGCTCGAGGGCTTCCCTTCTATGTCGTTTTTCTTCGAGGCGTTTCTTGAGATCTTGAAGCTCATTACTTCGGCGCATCTCAGACTCGTATTTTTCACGGACAGGGCGTAATTCCTCTTGGACATTTGCCGCTTCCTTGCGAGCGACTTCGAGACGCTCTTTGGAAGCAGCATCCTTCTCTCGTTCAAGGGCGTGTATTTCGATTTCGATTTGGCGGAGTTTGCGCTCAAGGTGATCAAGAGCTTCGGGTTGAGATTCACGGGCGACTCTGACAGCGGAACAAGCTTCATCCATAAGGTCAATGGCCGAATCAGGTAGTTTGCGCGAAGTAAGATAACGCTGTGCCAAAGTCGCAGCTGTGACGAGAGCGGAATCGAGGATGGTTGTTCCATGGTGAACCTCGTATCGTTCCTTCAAACCTCTCAAAATCGAGATGGTCTCCGGTAGCGATGGTTCTTTGACGATTACTTGCTGGAAACGACGTTCAAAGGCCGCATCCTTCTCAATGTACTTTCGGTATTCGGCAAGAGTGGTAGCACCAATACAGTGCAACTTGCCACGGGCCAACATTGGCTTTAGCAAGTTGGCCGCATCCATACCACCTTCACCGCTGGCTCCAGCTCCCATTAGAAGATGGATCTCATCGATGAAGAGTACTATCATCTCTTTGCTTTCTTCGATTTCCTTCAAGACGGATTTCATTCTCTCTTCAAACTCTCCACGGTACTTGCTGCCAGCTACTAATGCACCAACATCGAGTGATAGAAGCTTGCATTGGGCGAGGTTTGCAGGAACATCGGAGGCAACAATTCGCTGGGCCAACCCCTCTGCAACACTCGTCTTACCGACACCGGGCTCACCGATCAAAACTGGGTTGTTCTTTGTTCTTCTCGATAGAATTCTGATGACTCTGCGGACTTCTTCTTCTCGTCCGATGACGGGGTCGAGCTTTCCGTCTCTCGCCTGGGTCGTCATATCAATCGTGAATTTTGAGAGAGCCTCATTCGGAGACTCTGCATCTGCAGTTTTACTGTCCATTCGTCTGTCACCTCGAATGGCAGTAATAGCGTCCAGGAGAACCTTGGTGTTTGGAACATTCGCTATTTTCAAGGCAGACTGGATGTTTGGGTCCTCAACGACTCCCATAATTAAATGGTCGACGCCGATGAATTTGTCTTTTTGGAGCTTCTGCAGGTCATGTGCCTTCCGTAAGACCTTGGACATGGTTGGAGAGAACGAGGCGTTTTCCGGTGGTGGATCCTGAGAAGGCTGACGGACGAGAGCCTTCTTCAGTTCTCGATCCAAAGTTTGGAAGTCACCGTTGGCGCGTTCGACGGCCTGGCGGAAGAGGGAAGGTCCCTGAGGAACAGCATCGGTGACACCTGGTTTGCTGTTATCCGGAGGAGGGGTTAGAAGAGATACAGCCAAGTTCACCGGACGGATCTCGACATGTGAGTATTGTTCGGCGAGCTCAATAGCATTTTTAATAGCCTGTAGAGCCCGGTCCGTGTAATCGTGACCGCCTGGTCCAGACATTTTGATATGTCCGTATTAAATGACAAAAGTATTTAAGAGCAGTAATGAAGGTATTTGTGTATTTGCTATGGTCGTAACTTCGTGAGGTGTGACAGTTCAGAGCAGAAGAGCTGCTTTTATACGTGTCGTTGGAAAATGCTCAGGTGACAGTTCGTGATCACTCGGCAGGTCCGTTTGATAGTTGTAAATGCAAGGGAGAGAAAAAGATGAAACGGACGAGAACAGGTAGATTTATATACACTCGGACAGTGGCCTAACCTTTGAAGTCGAGATCGCGAGATAGATCCAGACTGACGTAGAAGGTACCGGAATCCGGTGGCTGTTTCGAGACATTTCTAGATGCATCACAACACATCCCGGTTTTGTGTTTGTGACGTCAAAGCGGGCCATGCCGAGGTCACGTGCTGAGCTGCGAACATCGCCAACTTTTGCCAACTTCACAGCTTGACCGTCGACCATCGATGCAATATGATGAAAGAGTATCTCAAGAAGCGAGTATCCTTGAAGGCTAAAAAATTACATTGCCCAATAACGCAGGCCCATGTCTACTAGGTGCAAAAATGAACCGTCGGGATATCCTGGCAATTCCAAGAGCAAAAAGATTAAAAACGAAGATCGGTAAGGTCGTATTGGGAATTGAACCCAAGTCGCCAGAATTCACTGATCAGAATCTGGAGTGCTAACCACTACACCATACAACCGGACAGATGATCAACATTTTCAAAATGCTTTATCTAAGGCTTTTACCTTGAAATCACGGAAATCGAGCCAACGCACCCTGGTTCAGAAATACAACAAAGATTGAAAATTTTTCCAAGGCTCTGAGTGCAGGGAATAGTAGGCTAATGTGACCACAAGCTAAGCTGCGTGTACAAGTCGCAAATCTAGCCTCGAGTATTCTGGGTAATTTCACTGTGTGGTTTAGTGTGGCCTCCTTGAATCTTATAGATACCTAGCCATCTCTGTAAATATAAATATAAGAGCTTGTCTATATACTCAACCAGATATATGCTCAAACTGTCTTTCTTGATCCTCGTAATCTGAATTTCAAAGCCTTTCGATTACTAACTTACGTTGTAGTATATGGCTCATGCGACTGCGCAGATTCATCACCCATTCTTTAGACCCATCCTGTGGCTTCTGACGTTCATCCTAGATCCATCCCGAGAAGCGCTATGAATGCTTCTCCGCTGCCGTGATCTCCACTCAAGCGGTTATGGTTTAGTGGTATAATTCTCGCTTAGGGTTCTTCAAGATCCAATATGCGAGAGGTCCCAGGTTCGAGCCCTGGTAACCGCCTGACTACCTTCTCTTTTGCATCTCTATCTCTCCGTCATCTGTCGGGGAGTATCTTTTTGCTCCTGAAGTTTATTGTTTACCCTTTTGTTTGACTGGTGGTTGTGGTTACTTTCAAATCGGCTAAAGATTTGGTTCGTTGGTATATTCAATTGTGTCTCCGTATATGAAACGATACGAACATGTCGGTACTGCGAGATTAATTAAGCTCATTCACCTCACTAGTCATAATGTTGTATATAACGGACTCGGGGCTAGGGCGACTACATTCTCACTTATAAGGCCTTTAAGCTTTCTATAAGTGCGCGAGTCTGAGTATACTAGCAAATTCTGGCTTATCAAGGACTGTCATTGTATTCCAGAAACTAGCTAGCTAAGCTATAGATATGCGAATATATTATTTAACATTACAATGATTGCTGTGCTCAAAAGCATTATTCATTACTCATAATACTCCAGGACATGTAACAATTCTTAAATTTAAAGGAATGGAAATAATGAAAGCCGATATTAGACTATCCCCAACCTTCTCGCGGCTTGTTTTTTCCTTTTTGTCCTTAATTGCGCATGCGATCGTTACTTATTTAGTTTTCTTGGGTTCGGTGTAGTGACCGTATGGAACGGTAAAGTTCGTTGGGTAGTTGATATACTGAACATTGCCATTGGGGTTCGCGGGATTGACTCTAGTCCGGACGTCTGTTCCGACCCAGATAGTACCGAGATCAATTGTTTGATCCTTATTATATCTATGAATGATGGTCAAGACATAACCAATACCCGTCTTGTACTCAAGCCCGAAAGATACACCAGGCTTGTTACACCTTGTGGGGAAAGGTGCGGTAGCTATAGTAGGCATGACGGAGGAACTAGCAGTGCAGTATGCGGTGAATGAAGGGTCTTGTACGTTAAATGAAACGTATGAATAGAGAGAATGCGGGACGCCGCTGTCGTAGAAATCCGTGACTGTGAAGACGCCGGCGGGGACCTTGGCGCGGGGCGCAAGGATTGGGCTCGCGTTTAGAGTGGAAGCGAGCGAAAGAATGGGAAGGATGAAATTGGTTAGTTGCATGTTGCCGGTAAATTTGGTGGAGCGAGAGGATGGTATGTTCAGTTAACGAGAGTAATAGGTATAAATAAGAGCTTAGCTCTAAATATTAATTAAGTAGTAGAGATGTATCGTATTGATCTGAAGACTTTCAAGGTTATCGATTGAAGATAAAATTCTTCGATAGAGCGAGGGTAGTTCAAGTTTAAATACCTCTGTCGGTCGCCGTGCATACAGTCTCCTCGCATCATGTTAATATCTTCTGATCGATCGGTGAGTTACCTGATCTGATAACTAGTTTCGCTCTTCTTAGCTAACCAGAACATGGTTGTGCCCGGTCGAATCACCTCATCCATGTACGCAAAGAGCGTAGTTGGGGGAATATTCGCACAGGCAGAATTTACTTGCATCCATTGTAACCATACAAGGGTCACAGGCATGGGCGAACGCCTGTTTTCAGCCCGTGCTACCAAGAATAGCATGTTGTTGTGCACGTGTAACTTCCAACAAGCCATTGTCACCAATCGATGTGTTCCTCCGAATCATGGCGAATAACTTCGGTGGAAATTACCTAGCCTATAGAGCTCCGGGAAAGCTATAGAATTCGAAGGAGTTTAGTGAAGTTTAATTCGGATGATCCAGCAAATGCTTTCGAAGGAAGGGGCGTCGAGAGGAATGGCCTGTGCAGATGTGGAGTCCCGAGGTTGGTGGAGCTACCCTTGTAAATTTCCTGCATGATGAAAGCTTGAAAATGCTTGGCCAGTTGGCTGAAGATCTTGAACTCTGGGCACAACGCACAATTGCATTTAAATATTTCTAGCTCTTTGAATTGGTCTCTACACATCAGGCCTGTATCGGACAGATTAATTCAGAAAGTTTCGAATAGCAAAGTTGAAAAACCAGGGTAAAATCGAGAAAATGAGGTCTTGCATGCTCGATTGAGAGTGCAGCTTCGAGGGTTGCAATTGCAATAGTGGTTCAGGTGGCCAACAGTTATCCAAGTGTTTGAAAGGATATAGATTAATTGCTCAAACTTCCAATTAAGCATTTTGCGGATTTCGAACTTCCTCTTTGATTTCGTGTATCGCAGATCTACTTTATCAGGTCCGTTTCATAACTCGAAAAACTAGTACGGATACTGGCGTTCGTACTCCTAACGAAGTTATATTTTATCGGATCGCGGGATTATTTCAGGGTACCAAGGAAGCTTTCGACGGTCCGGCATAGCCGCCTTTCAATAAGACATTCCTAAGACTATAGGGTGTAAATGTCAAGAATGGGGGTCGGATTCCAGGTTTAATTAAACATCCGAGTCAATTATAAGCTTATGAAATGATTTCATAGAGGGGTGACTGAGGAAATTAAGTACATGTATCCGAATTATAACATTATCCTGGTTCTGGACCTCCGAAACTCACGGGCCTTCTCTGATGGACGTTCTGATTTGAACTTACGTAGGTACTTAAAGACATATTTCTTTAAAACGGCCCGGGATGACGTTATGCATGTAACCATCCGATGTGAAATCTGGGGAACTCCTCCGCCTCGAGCACCTGGATTCGAGGCTAGGGAACTCCCAGGGAACTTTCCAGTCGTTTTCCACTTTTGAGTGATCTGTGTTCATGTTCCGGTCCACAAGCGCGGGCTCGCTAAATAAATGTTTCAGTGAATCGATCGTATCCCACGAGTTTCTTTTTCAATCGATGATTCCTATTGAGACTGTATCACGTTTTGATCATGAATCTCGGCCACGGAAATCTTGTGGGACAGAAATGCAGTGGGAGCTATCCTTGGAATGTCATGATTGATACTAGTATACTGGGTTATATAATAGTCTTGTAGAACGCTAATTATCGCAATATCCGTTAGGTCGCTCGACCCCGCGCTCCGTGATCCTGTATCGTTGTTTCACACGGACGGGTGAAACGGTGCCATTTGGCAGTTGTACATAAGTTCAATATTCAATAGGTTGTGTAACTATTTAGCTTTGCAGGTGAAGCGCCGGGCCGGCAGTACTAGTACGTAATCGAACACTCACGATTGGTACCGCGCCCTGTCCGATGATATATGTACCGACGGATTTACACCTCTTGCTAACCATTTTCGGTATATCAGCTGATCAGAATATCCTGGGGGGATCTTTTTAACCCTTCGACACTTTTCCAATACTACAAGAAATTTTATGCATGCATACTTGATCATGAAGCATTTGACCTGCTCCACTCGCAAGACTAAACCTTCTATAGATTCTTCCTTGAATCATCCAGGCCTACCCGTTTTATTACCTTCAATTCTATCGGTCGTTTGTATTTAGCCGAGTCCGTGAACCTTGGTTTCTATCAATACATGGAGAGGCTCCGAATCTGTGTGTTTGATCTATACTTCTATATCCTATGAATCGATCTCTCAAATTACACTCTTAGCTCGCCACGAGTATTGTATATATATATTTACAATAGATTGAAAGATGCATAGAAGTATTAGCCCAGCTCTTTGGGAAACCGGAATTGGGTAGCCGTCGGGCCCCACCAATTACTTTAATTAACCTCCGCTTTATTTTATTTTTTTTGTATGGGGCTGGGTACGAGACAATATCTGAGGTGTAAGTCACACAGCGTCGAGTTAACTTGTGTGGAGAAGCAACATATAGTGTATGTGATGTGTATGTGCGAGACATAAAATTTCGGAGTCTGACGCTCTACCGATTAAGCTAACCGGGCAATTGCATTTGTCGATTGCAGAAAAGATAAACTGGCTTATAATAAGAATATTCGAAGTCACAAGATCGGTATGGCTTCAGAACCATCAAACTCAGTTAATTTAAATTGTCTTCCTTGATTGTGGCAACAGCTGACGGTAATTAGCCTATACCTGACAATCAGACGCTAGTTATTTAGAGCGTTGTACGTCTGTGGTTTATTCTGCAGGGCCTTCCTTTTTCGTAGGTGTCTCACTTACCTAGGGACATGTATCTCATCCAACATCCCATTACATCAATTGCCCGGTTAGCTCAATCGGTAGAGCGTCAGACTCTTAATCTGAAGGCTGCGGGTTCGACCCCCGCATCGGGCTTCTCTTCCTTCGAGAGAAGCAGTAGATGCATCCGCATCAGATTGGCAATTTCTTTTTTGAAGTTTTTGCGATTGGAGGAGGAGAAATTGGACGTTTCGATTTTTTGATTTTTTTTGGCAATGATTTTGGGTCCAAAAATTTCAGGAATACCAGAACAAAGCCAGACCATTACGACCTCAAATTTTCGAAGTTTGGGGGCGACGTTTGGTGCTATTTTTATCGATTCTTCAATGTGGGGTTTCGGTTCTCGGTTGGAGAAAAAAGTTTTTTTCTGCGATCACATGACTAGGCCCCAAAGCATTTTGGCAAGACACAAAAAATGGGTTGACACCGACGTTGGATTTTGTATGGTCACACAGGATAATAACACCCATTTTATTCACTTCCTGTAAGGAAATCCACCCTCGTTCTCATAATATGTTTCTTCTGTAATCCTTGAGCAATATAATATAATGGTACCAGATTGTACCATTGGTTTATATGTAAGTCAACTAATTCTTTTTTCTTTGCTTATAAATTATAAGACCAACCAAAAAGATACTTCGACCCTTAATCGCTAGCCCATATCACCCTATTACATGCACATGGATTCACAGGTGTATAAGGCTCTTAAATTAAGACCTTTAATTTATGCACACCTAAAATTTCGAGAAAACCGTGTAGTTATTATCCAGTTAAGGACCGGAAGATCATTCAAGCTGCTATATATGGCTCAGAAGTGACTTTATGCGATTTTGAATGTTCTCAGCTGATTCATCTTTTTCCTTGTTTCGTACCCAAGTTTCCCCCCGTTTCGCAGTGCAATCGCCCAGTAGGGAGAAGCTAGTCTCGGGGCCTGTACTTATGTATGACATTAATTCAAGATCGAACTATAGTTAATTAAGACTTTCTAGAGAATGTTGCTAATACCTCGATCTTTGAGCCATTGTAAATGTATCCAAGCACATGAATATATTCGTGATCTGGCCTCACCGAGCTAGCTCACAGCTGGTCTGAAACATAAAATTGCAATGCTCACGAGATATAAGTGTGTGATCCAGGAACGATTATGGAGCCCAGGAGGTACTACGGTGGAGGTTTAACTATAATACTAGAACATTACTTATATCTCTTCACTCCCCCTTAAGTACACAAAATGTCCCTAGAGACACCAGTGTTACTTCAAAATTAAGAATTGATCACATTTAACCAAGATGAAAAACCGAAGCCACGAGATGTATAATTTTTACAACTTAATGTGAACTTCCAAACTATTTCTAACACTTGAAGTCTCTAAAACGACTAGGTTTATCACAAGCGCAGTACCCGATCAATACATTAATCCTCAAACTTCAAATGGCACCTTAATAACCAAGACCCCTCTCCCCTCATCCCAAACCCCCCACTTCGCAATAACCATCATCAAAGCCTTATCAATATCCCTCTCCAGCCCACTATCCACATAAACCCCCAACTGTTCTCTCGTCAACAAAATCTCGACATTACTAGTACCCTCTTCACACGCCGTCTCCTTATCCAAAGCCTCAAAATCTATTTCCTCATCTCCATCAGGCATTAAAAACCTCTTACAACCATTCGCCCACGGACAATCCTTAAACTGTAGGTAATTAAAAACCAACTGCTCCCCTTCCTTTACATCCCTAGTTGTCCATGCACTCCACCCAACCATCGTATCTTCTGTAACCGCAGTTCCACCAATATCTACATTTCCCATGCCATCTTCTTCTTGTTGTTGTTCGTCTTCTTCTTTTTGTCCTCTTTCAACAATCCCATGGTTCAAGAATCTTAGATTGTCAAGTGAGAAGTTTACTGTATCCCAACGTTCTGAGTATACAGAGTATATTTCGATTGATTTCTTGAAGATTTCCCATTCGGGATTCCTTTTACCAGCTTGACGGATGGCAGTGAAGGTTCTTTTAGGGATCGGGAGGTAGTTATCGACTGTTGCCAGGTACCATGTCGTACCCGCTGGAAGGTCTTGGGTGGCGGTGAGCCCTAAGCCCATGGATGGGATGTGTGATAGACGGGCGTACTTGGTTATTACGGTGTTTTGCGGGTAGGTTGATACATCGCCGGGGAGGATTGAAGATAGTTTGCGTGTTTTTGGTTGTAGCATTTTGAATGGGTGGTCTGGAGCTTTAGGAAGTGTAGAAGACATCTCAGAATAAAAATAATAATATGAGGAGGAGGAGGAAGAAGAAGAAGAAGAAGATGATGATGATGATGAAGAAGAAAAGGAAGATGAGGGAGAGCGGTGACTATTAATCGTGCGGTGCCACCCCCTTCGATGGCTGCGCAGGAGACAACTATCTTCTATGAAGTTTCTAAAATCAAGTAAGGCCCCAGTTCTCATACTATATATAATACCGCCCTCTGGGACAGCTCTGGCTCCGAGATTACTACCACCCTAATTGTTAACAGCAAGATTTCACTCGCTCAACAACATACATACACGTATCTATGGCTAGCTGTCAAGCAGCATTAGCCTCCGTACCCGGACCTCCTCTTTCCTCCAAAGGGTATACTACACATCATCTAAGTTAATCATTTTTTTAAAAAAATTTCCGACCCCCCGAATGCGACACGCCAATTAACCCCGAGTACGACAAGGAGCGCCACAAGACTAGATATTTATATCTTACACATCTGAACCCGAAAACTTTCCCCAATTGATAGAGAGTTGACGGTTAACCGGTTAACCGGTTACGTAAAGCTAAGTTTACTAATGATAATATGATTGAACATAATAGACGACGAAAGTGCTAAAATATATATACTTACATAAGTATGTATGTATAGTTCAAAATATCTTCTTGAATACTTGGATGTGGCTGGGGGGGCACATCTACTCTTAGCTAGCTAGCTGGCTGGGCATTCATACGATTGATATGCACCAGTTGCACATGGAGCTCCACCAGACTATATGCACCATGCATATGATATGGTTGAAAAGGTATACAACTTATTAAATTAATTTATTTTCGGTTTCATGACATATGCACTCTTGTACTTATGTAAAATATCCTCTATTTCATATGAGGACCGGATTATGAACTTTCATCGAACTGCCAAGGGTATACAGTGGAAATGGTACACTGACTGACCAAAGAAGGTCAAAAAAAAAAAAAAGAGAGATGAAAAAATTGAAAAACTCCAAAGCGCAATCCATATGTGTACCTGTCCCAATTCCACAAGCAAAAAGAGAACCATCACGATTTTTTTGTAACCCGACGAAAAGAGTTGCAGAAAGCGGAAACAGCTACAAAAAAAAGATCAAACGCGATCTGGGTAGTTGGCGGACGAATAAGATAGCCGCTGTTACGAAAACGAAACCGAAAAAGGGACATCATGTGCTAAAAAAGAATGCGCTTCCCAATCCAAAAGAGACACAAAAAGAAGCCATAGACAACCGCCCGAAAAGAAAACTGTCCACGTGAAAGATCATGCTCCAGAAGGATACTAGTAAGCACTAAAAACCCCCAACCTAAGAAATTCGTTAATCAGTTCCCGACCCCTCTTTTACCATCCACGATCTTCCGTCGTTCATCTCCATCTTTTCAAGCTTTATCATAAGTTGCCCATTCAACCCTAAATATTTCGTTAGTATCGATATGCTTTGTGAAAAAATAGACCGGGGATGTATAAACTTACACTTCCAACCCACAAATAACCAAAATCAACGTGCTCGGTAAAATAACCACCACATAACTCCAGAACAAGATCTTCGCCATCACATTCTCATACACCCCGTTCAACTGACAGATCTGGCTGAGCTGTAACGCACTTGGCGCACCCGCGAGTAAGAAACAGACAATAATAAATATCGGATCGCCGAGTAAACTGATTGGTAGGAACTTCGCCGCGATAGCTAGCATGGGTGCTATTATTATTGTCGGGATGAGCATACGAGAGATTAGTGCGGCTAGAAGAATGTTGCGTTCATGACGGGCGGTGGCTTTATGATGTCCTGGGGTGGCGAGGGGATCATCCTCTGGTTTTGGGATGGTATTTCCAGCGAGGTTGGCACCTAGGACCACAAGAATCAATGGAACGGCGACATTTCCAGATTGCTTGACTGCTCTGGTGACGGAGTTTTCGACAAAGGTTCCTGGTGTGAAGAAGAGCTTTTGAAGTGCGGGGACGGATGCAACAAGGAGAGCTGCCAACATGGCCCAAAGTGGTGGGTTCATGAATTCCCAAAGTCCCATAAAGAAGCGCTTGAGAAAGCCGGCTGGTTTCTTAGACCACTTTGGTGCCTTGGGAAGGTTCTTGGTTGCTTGGGCGATGTTCTTGCTCATCTTATGTCGGAGTTCGGGTACGGCCTTGAGGAGATTCGTCTTGGAGCTCATGGGCGATGTAATGGCTGACTCTGAAGGCTCAGGAAAGCTAGTGATGACCCTAGAATCTCGTTTCACCATTTTCGACCGAGTAGGACTATCAGACCTCGACGTTGTTGGAGACGAAATATTGCTAGCACTCGCGCTGACAGCTGTCGATGATTGCCCTGGCGTTTCAACATCATGATACCGCTGATCGCTACCCTTACGCTGCGTATTTCCGAGTGCCTCTGTCACACTATCCAAACTCTGCGGTATCGGTGGTAGGGTCTTCATTTTTGGTGGAATAGTCGATCCGGAATTCAACCTATCTGGATGGCTTCGAATGTTCTCGCTATCACGACGGTTCATACCGGTAATCGGACGACCAATAATGAGTTGTGGCGCTTCACCAGTAGGAGTTGCAAGACCTTCATATTCAGGGAAGCCGGGATGACGGAAGGGATCAGTCGATTTTCTACGTGTACCAGTTTCGAGGTCTTCGTCCCATTCGCTTTCAGAGTCGACAGATTCGGTGCGAGATGCAATAGGGGCAGGTTCATCGGTATAGCGGTCATTTTCGTCAAAGAACGGGTTTTCGGCCTCATCGTCAGCTTCCTCGTCAGCTTCCCGTGTTCCACCCTCTTCGACGGTGTACGCGCTCGCCGGTGCAAGCAGAACATGATAACCCCAGCTCCATCGCACCAGCTGTCCCAACTGCTGAAAGATGAGCAAATACAAGATACCACGGGCAGCGACGTCGTTGTCATTGTCACCGGGTATCTTACTCCAGTGCAAACCTTTCAGTGTGAAAGCCAGCGACAGGACCAACGAAATCGGCAGCGAATTTGAGTTTCCGAATACACCCATAGCGATTACGAAGTTCCTAGCCCGACGACGGAATTTGAACGCCTTGGCTACGAGTACGGAACCGACATAAGAAACGGCAGTCATAAAGACAAAGATAATAGGGATAACGGCGAGGTCGGCAAGTTTGTCAACGGTCAGTTGAGAGGCTAGTTTCGTAAAAACTACATTTCGCAACTATTAGCAAGAGATCTAAAGACCTTAATAGACGAGGAGGCAACATACTCAAACATGGTGTAAACAAGCTAACGTTCAAATTCGCAATAAATTTCTGGTTCCCTGCATCGAACATGCCCTGCCTGGCGATGATATAACCCGGTAAACTGACACATACGACTTCTAATACTGCTTCGAATACCAATAGAATAAGGTTTCCTAACGAAGGATGGGATGAATGAGGTGGCATATGCTTTTTGAAGGCTGTAGCAGCTGTCGAGGCCGCCGTTTGTAAGAGAAAATCGGTAGAATTGTAGGCCATATCGTTCGAAGAAAATCCAGCCATACCGTCACGAAGACGGAAGGCGGTCGGAGAGGTGATGAAGGACATTGTAGTGGATTTTTTTTTGTAGATGGAGGCTGAGAAGGTTATGATGTTATCTGGTTGTTATTTAGGTTTTCGAGATGGATGAGGTGGCTAAGTAGGGGCAAGCAATCCGCCTCAATTGCGCTGAAGAAGACGTAAGACAGAAACGAGTAAGAGACAGATAGATTAATAACAGCCGTGATCTTTGAAGCGGATTCGATCGTTGATGACGATATGCGACCGACGGTCGACTTCTTCGGGGACCTATTCAGGTACCGGCTTCGAGAAGGAACGGCTATTCAAACGTAGAGTTACGTAACCGGGTTGGAAGTGCGAACGGGACAAACGTGGAAAGGCAAACGGCCCGAATTAGGCCACGAGCGAATTGGCGCAAAACATCATGATGGTTAATTAAATCTAAAGAATAGTAATTGAAGATGAAAAAGGAGAAGAGATGAGATGAAAGAGAAGAAGAAGATGAAGAAGATGAAGAAGAAGGAGGAAGAGGAAGAGATGACAAGATACTAATGTAGCTATCCAAGCAAGAAAGAAATACAGAAAAAGGGACCTCCTTCTAATTCGAATTTCTCTCTCACAGCCAGCCAGCCAAGAAATCACATAAGCCTCGAATAAGAAAATGCATTCTCGATTCTTCACCCACCCACCCACAGACCTATTATATTCACGGACCAAGTTGGTCTACGATGATGCGATCGTTCCATGTTCAATGTTGGTGTCCCCAAGCGATCCTAGTGAACTATAGTGATGTACTTGAGATATTCTCATGCATGTCCCACGGGCTGAAAAAGCATGAAACCGGTACGAGGGCGTCCTAGCTTGCAGATACTATCAATGCAATAGTATACTTACATACTTCTTGAGTACTTACAACCCTGACTGATGGATGTAGATACACATGTATATATGTAAACCCCGGAGTTACACGATTACGGGTTCCCTTTCTATCAGGCTCGTCGTCGGTTACGTTATCCCACAATTCGAAACTGATATCTCAATCGATTCGTGGGGTTCCTTTGAAAGAAGGAGCGAGATAAAGAGATATCTCGATCCCGCTGCATGTTTTCTGCAGATATCTCCAGGAACCAACCATATCTCCCCACTCCATCCCTTCCGTTGTCTCCCGACAGATCAGATCATACAATTCTGCTATGCTACTGTGGATGTCAGTGCTTGAGTACAAGGGAGAGGCAGTGTCGTCCGCCCAGATTTCTTCCCCATGGAAGAAAAAAATTAGTATATATCCCTCTTCGGTATTTGCCCCCCTCCCTCAGAAATATTATTGGATGTTGAATCTTGACGAAACAGCCTTACGTCCATAAACTTTAGGATATACGTATGCATATAGATACATGCGTACATAAATATCCAGCGAAGAAAGAAGGAACGATTCGAACCCGAACCCTTGTCCAACGAGAACGAAAGGAAGTTAAGGAAAAGAATGCAGGACGGAGAATATAAGCTAGTTGGCTAGTTCCCAGCGGGATCCTTCCAATCAACGCTTGATAGCGGGAACGTGCTATTGACCTGCCATGGTGCCCTTGCCGAAGACGTCACTTTTGGTAATTTCAACAGCGCATCTCCGTGTTCCCCGTTTTTGTTTTTTGAGGCTGTGGGCTGGGATGCGTGTGTCCTGCATGCGGCATGGATTTGTGTCTGAACGAGAAAGTTGAGTCGTCAGACCAGTTTACCAGCTTGATGATGATGCATATGTATGTCTGTACATAAGGATGTAAGTAAGTAAGTAAGTATGTACATGAATATATCCGGTACAAGATGTTCAGTCGAATTCAAGGATTTTTCTGATTCATTCCTCATGCTTGCTCTCGAATGAAACCAATGCTGGTTAGCCGGAGACTGGGAGGGAGGATTTCCGAACCCTTGATCAGCCGAATGGTCCCAGACCAGCTCGCTAGTTAGCTGTCAACCCAACTTTTTGCTAGTTACATCCAGACAGTCGGATACTTTTTTTTCTCATGTAATCCTCGTCACCTTCCGTCGCGCGCATTTTCCAGTATTTCTCAATATAAAAATTTTCTCTCTCTATCTCTTTTTCTCTGTTCTATATTAAAGACCTAGCAAAATCTGTAAAGAATTTTCTTTCCCACTATAAGAATTCTCTAAGTAGTGGGCCTAGGGACTTGAAGTAGGATTTTTTTTCTTTCTTCATATATCGGCGAGCAGATGATGAAAGAGATAACAGCCAGAGATTAAACAAGACTAAACAAGACTAAAGATGAACATTTAAACGAGTGATTCAAATTGGCAGCTCAAAGTAGTTAGCCTTGTAACTGTGACCTAGTTGTTATCAGACGCTAGTGTACTATTGAATCATCCCGAATCGAACTTCACCTCCAAAATTAAAATACCCATACAAAGTTCCACCCCGCAGACAATTATAGACAATACGATACAATAATGAACCTCACAAACCTCCCCTCAGAAATACACCTCCAGATATTCTCCTATCTGCCCCAAGGCTGCATCTACAACCTCCTCTTGACCTGTAAACAAATCTATCCAACCGCCCATCAACAGCTCTGGTCCTGTTTGGGATTCTTGTCCACATTCACAGCCGAAAACACACCCTCAGATTCCAACGACATCAACGCATATTTGGCTAGAATATCATTATCAAGAAGGGAAAACTTTTTCCATTTCCCCCGTATCATCACATATTCACGGTTTAACAAATACCTCCTCCCTCCTTTGAGATGGAGGATATTAATCGACCCGAATTTGAATCCGAATTCTTCATCTAATACAAAAAATAATGGATGGGGACTCGTAAAGAGGATTATATTAGGCGGCTTCGACGTCCTCCTTGAAGATAAATTGATGAATGCATTAAGAGAAAAGATCGAAGCAGGAAATCTAAACCCCCAGTTTATAGAAATATACCTCGGAGGTAAAATCCCCCCTTACCCATGACCTCTCTTGAAGTTTCAAACTTGTATAATAGCTTGTATAAGTGCAAGTATAAACTGGTATTATCAATTGGTAGGTAGTATGGTAGTATAAGCGCTAATATCTAACCAAAGATGGCCTCAACCACACCTACGACCCCTTAACCGCCGCCCGCTCCTTCTTCTCCACCATAAACTCCCACGCAAACGCAGCATTACTCAACCGTAATAAAACCGAGTACAACCCCCCATCACTAACCCTCCAAATCCCCTCCAGCACAGCCCTAAAACTCGACTGCTTCCCTCTGAACACCATCACAACCCTCTCCCTTGGAATCTCCCCATCGAGTAGGGAGGACTTCTTCAACCCTGCTTCCCAAATCCTTCAAATAGCTGAATACCTAACCACCGCCTCATCTTCTTTAAGATCCCTGACACTAAATAATACTCACAACGGAACAGTTCTACAACCCCTCGAACAATTCTCTTCGGTACTGGAAGCCTTACAACAGGCGTTTACGAATCTAACCGCCCTCCAAAAACTAAAATTCTCATTCAGGTTTTTTAATGCTTCGTTATTTATATCACCCCCTGAGAACGTCAGGGTACTGTGTTACGATGACTTCGAAGCAACGGAAGACTGGTGGTATCAACTTTCGAAAGCAGAGTTAAGGAATGTGGAATGGTTGAAGGTTGGGATCAGATGGTATCATTGCGGTGTCAGTGGGGATAAAAGTGATGTCCCGAATGTTGGAACTTTTAGTGGTAAAAAGCTTAAATGTTTTTATTTAGAGGGAAACAAGGGTTCTATACCGAAGGGTCTTGCGGATTGTGTTTTGAGGGCGAATCCTGGGTTGGTTGAGAACGGGAAAGGGAGCTTTGGGTTGAAAGATGGAGATGTAAGATAGACTAAGTACTTAAGTCGGTATTGTTGCTTGAGTACCTACTATCCTAACATCGATGCATCGTCTACTTTATATGTATGAGTAGTCACATATAACCAGTCTAACAATTTTTTTAAAAAAACACCCAATCAATTTGTACCTCCATATGCATATGTACCGCCGTCTTCCAAAAACTACACCTATATATAGCTACCTCCAATTTCCTTTTTGTTTTTCTAAATAAAAATAAAAAGAGAGAGGGAGAGAGCCAAAGTAGCTATAGACACAAAGGGGGTTGAAAATAGAAACAATCGAGAGTAGCAAGAAGTTTTTTTAAAAAAAGAGGGGGGGACACATTGAAAGCGAAGGTATCTTATCTATAACGAGCGCAATTAAAGAATAAAATGACGATTGAAAAAGGGAAAAGAAGGGGTAGGAGGAGAAGTATGGGGAGTCAGGGGAGGGTCGGGGGGTAGTATATTCATGTAAACCGTAAGCAAAAAAAAAAAAAAAAGAGGTGATGGTGACGATGACAGTGAAGGTGAAGTATAATATGCCAGTGCAAAGAAATCGAACAAGTAAAAAAAGCGAAAAAAGGCCAAAAGACTCACGCGCTCAAAAACGTAGACTAAGGGGAAGAAGGAGAAGATGACATGACAGATAATCTGCAACCAAGAAAGGAGAACGGAAGAAAAGAGAAAAAAACAGAATCAAAAAGGGAAGAGGAAGGAAGAAAAAGCTTATATGTATAAAAAGACTTCGAAGAAGTGAAGTTTATCAACAAAGAAAAAAAAAGTACAAAAAAAAGGCCCGCCAAAAAATGAGGTCATAGTATCAGTCCAAAGCTGACCTATGAATTCACCGTCAACCCTCCAAACCCATCTACGATTTCGTCATCCCTCGGTGTCTCCCTCACGGGACTCACGACCTTATCCAACGCCACACTGTGTAAAGCAGGCTTGGCCCCTCCCCACCTACCCCCTTCTCTCAATTTCTCTTCTCTCTTCTTCAACTGATTAATAACCCACTCTCTCACCTCTGGGAACCCGCTTGTCACCGGTGTAGCCGGTTGCTGCGGCTCCACATTCGCTACTTCCTCACCTTCCTCAGGTTCTTCTTCCTCAGTTATTGTCTGAGTTGATTGCATATCCGACAACCATGGATGTTGCAGTAGAGCGGCATATGTCGGTCGCATCTTGGGTACTTTATGCAGCGTCCGCCTCACGAAATCTCTAGCCTGAGGCGAGAACCCTTCATCGGGCAGGTCTGGTGGCGGGCCGTCCACAATTGCCTAAGAGGCATATTAGCATGGCTCTCTCCCACAAAAGAGTATCTTTGGAAAAAGCAAAATCGGTAATACTCACACTCAATTGACTAAATATATTATTATACGTCTCCGGCGGGTACGGATACCTTCCCATCGCGCATTCTAGAATACTCAACCCCAAACTCCAAATATCGCTCTGGACACTATACGTGCCATCTTTATTACCAATCCCTCCACCTGTGTTCCCATTCGCCCCTGTTGCAATTCTTTCGGGAGCCATATAACTCTGACACCCGATATTCGTTTTGGCGATACTCGCCACCAGGTTCCCGCTGACCCCGAAATCGCACAGCTTCACATCACCCTTGGTATTAACCAGTATATTCGTCGGCTTTACATCTCGATGAATGATGTTGTGTTCTTCCTTTAGGTATTTAAGACCCATTACTGTGGCCCATGTTACCTTTTTCAGGACATGTTCGGGAACTCCATCACCATAAAGTTTGTCCATCGACCCGCCGTCCATCCATTCTATACAAATATAAACGGCACCTTCCTGGAAGAATGCCCCATAAAAGTCGATAATATAAGGACTAACACAGCGGTGGAGAATGTCCAATTCCATGATAATTGCCGCAAATTTGGCTTCATCGAGCTCAAGCCGTATCTCCTTCATGGCCATCACAACTCCACTGAGCTGTTTATCGTCTCTGGACTCCGAATTCTCGCCATCGGGTAATGCAGAGGAGGTTTTTAAAGATAAAGCCGGGGCGACGCCAGCGCCAGCGACCCGAACTTTGGGTTTCCGATGGATGACTTTGTAGACAGTGCCGTAGTTTCCCTTGCCCAATTCGTCGAGAGACTCCAGTTCGTCTAGCGAGATACGAAATGTACTTCCCGAGGAAAAATCGACACCCTTGCCGTGTATTACGGCTTTTCCAGCGAATTTTAGAGATCCAGTAGCAGTATCGACGTAGTTTGAAAATTTGTTGAAGAGAGAGCCAGTAGCGGGGTCGGTGCCGCCGTTTGTGGTAGTTGCAGGGCCGCTGCCCGTAACTGGGTTCGGAGCGGCACCTGGAAGGCCACCGGGGAGCTTGAGGCCTCGACGGAAGCCGAGAGATTGTCTTGGTGGCGTCGGTGCGGCGCCTGCTACCGGTGAAGACTGCCACGTCGGAGCATTGGGCCGATTTAAGCGGGGAGAGGCGGTGGGGTTAAATGCTCCGCCGATGAAAGCACCACCTGGTGAAGCCGTGGCTAGTGTGGGAGCATTCGAACCAGTCATCGAGTGCTGACGTTTCTGGTGGAATGCCTTGAGAATTGCTTGCATATCTTTTGCATCTTTAGGAAGTTCTGCCTTTGTCGTTGTAGAAGTGGTAGGGACAACTGGAGATGATGGAGAGAAGGCGGCAGCGGGAGGTCGACGGGCGGCATTGAGAGCGCTTAGAGGATGAGACACTTCAGGAGTTGGGTCTGAAATGGTACGTAGATTTGTTGAGAAGGGAGGAGCTGGCGTAGAAACAGTGGAGGGGTCTGTAGGAGGTTGGGGGTCGGTGTCGGGAGGAAGTGAGGTGGACATGATGTTGGTGGAGGAGGAGGGGAAGGAAGGAAGGAATGAAGGAAGGAATGAAGAAAGGAAGGATAGAAAAGGTTATGATCGTAGCTCCGGGGCGAAGCTTGAAGAGTACCCCGCTGGAGGGAGGTCTCGATGGTGATGGTAGTTAGGCAACCTGGTTGACCGGTTGGTTGTGGTCGTTGGTCGGTCGGCTGGCTGGCTGGCTGACTAGTTGGCTGGTTGGCTGGCTGGTGGTTGGTTGTGGCCGTATGATGATGCAATGGTGCTTGTGCTGAAGAAGAGATGATGTCAAACAGCAGCAGAAAAATGAAACGGTCGTCTGCAGAATTAAGAGAAATCCGAGTCAGAACAGCGAACAGAACAGAACAGAACGGATACGAACGAGATAGATCAGACGAGTTGCAGGCAAAGTTGAAATAGTGAACGGACAGGAATGCTGGAAGCTAAGTAGGTACCTACAGTACTCTGCTTTTGCTGTGGAGATATTGACGATGGTGGTAGTGGTGGTGGGTACAGTGATAATGATAAAGATGGTAAAGGTAGTATGTATGTACTGTACAGGAAGTAGCTATGCTTGTGCTATGCTATGCTCCGGTATGGCTCTGGCTCTGGCTCTGGCTACAGTGGGATGGTGATGGTATGATGATGAGGTGGAAATGAGGAGGAAGGAAGAAGAGGAGGAGAAGAGAGGCTGTTTAACTAAGAGCTTTGGAGTGGTAATAGCTTAGCAGTGCTCTTGTTCCGTAGTTGGGTAGGTCTTGGGATGTGAATGCGGGAGCGGCGGGAGGAGTTCTTTGCACTGGCCGACGACCAACCACCATCCACGAACCGTCAACCATCAACCATCAACCATCAACCATCAACCATTAACCGTCAACCACCACCACCACCATCATCATCATCATCAAATCATCAAACAAAACAGCTAAAACAACTAAAAACCAGCCACGACATAACCATAATGACGGGAAATAACGGCGGGCCTGAAACTTCAAAGAAACTCTAGAAAAGTATAAACTAAAAGGAATAACTGAACTGACCTTTGCTTGACAATCCGAAAAAGAACTTCCAAACATTCACTCACTGCATTACCCACATCCCAGTCAGTCGAAGAAGATCGGGATATACAGAAAGAACACTCTTCTTTCTTTCTTCAAAAATATGCAATGCAAGGCATGCAGGGACACCGCAGATATCGATATATATATTCTAAATTCGAATTCGAATTGGATTTTCCTTCTGATCTGGTTCCACCAGAATAATCCGAGGCGGACTAGTTTTATATCCTTTTATACGTTTAAAAAGGTATATAATGCAAACCAACCGTTCACATGTGGTACCCAATCGAAATTCAAGGGCCTACTGCTGAAATGACTGAATCCGAATAAACGAACGAAGCAATACTCACCGAAAGCCCTATCAAAAAGGAAAAATCGGTGTCTCCGGTCACCAAAGTGAGGCATGCACCCACACTAGTTCGTACACTATTTGGACTTTTTTTTCTTTCGAAAAAATTCTCCAACCAAACCAGCTAGGGTCTAGCGGAACCGACGGATAACTGTTGAGTTTCACTGTTTTCGAAGCACCAGCGGTGTACTGGCGGTGGTCCTGGTGGTGGTGGTGGTGATATTGATTTTACTCTATCACACTGCGCACTGGTCTCGGAAACACCCCAGTCGAATAGGTGGTATTCCTCAGCCACAAAAGAAGAAGAGAACGGATTCTAAAATTCTTCGGTGCTTTGCCGGCCTGCCGGTCAGATTATCTGTTTCTGTACCACCTGGGCTCCGGATTCGACGATTCCTGAGCTACTGATTGGGTCCGAGGCCGTTTTGAAGGAATTGTATGGGATGCGAGAACCAGGGTACGAATCTGAGACCTTCTCCCTCAAATTGTCACGGGGCTCTCTTTCTATATCTTCTAATCACAAACAAAAGTATCGCGCAGAAACCAAAAGCAAGAAGAGGAAGTATTAGGAGACTAATTAATTTAGAGGGAACTTTAAAAACCACAAAGCGAAGTATTCAGGACCAAATATATATATTCGGTACTTCCTTCTTTTTTCTTGTTCTTCTTCATCGATATGTTTTTTTATATCCCACCCCTCCGGTTATAATAAACAGGTAAGAATCCCCACCACACTCTCACCCACCCACACTCCGGGACCTGCATCTCTTCCCACATCAACCGCCAAAAAAAATAGCTCCCCCCAGCACCAAAAGTCCCAAATCCAAGGAAGAAAAACCACCCACCAAAGAAAAAGTACCCTTCCCCAAGGAAAAACCCTGAAGCAACATCTGCACACCTACATCATCGTGCACAGAGACTACCAACCATGGTTAAGACTTATTTCTCCATCCAGTAAAAATCATCTCCTGTACAGCTAACAGGAGAAAAGACAGAGCAGAGGGGGCGGAAACTTAGGACGAAAGAGATTTAAGCTATTCGAGTGTAAAAATAGCACAAATTGTGGGGCAAGTTTATTGGGTGCTCTCCCCGCCATCATACAATATATATATCTGCCTGATACTATACTACACAGTATAGCTTACTTACTACCCTGACCAGCAGCTCAACTTTGGCAAGTGAGTATTAATAAGATGATCACAGGCTATTCTTTCCAATTTCCATCTTTTTGACCAGTGCCAACGAACGATATACGACAGCTACTTTACTTTCTAATTAGTCAGAGTGGTTCAAAACTTTGGAAGATCTTAACCATGACAAGCCTACATGGCTGCAGCTAGCTCGTCCGGAACATCACGAGAAAAAAAACACCCACTAAACCAACTCCGTCCCATTCCACGGAATAATAATTACCCCCATTTCTCCATTTGGTCTTCTACCGTTAATTCATGAATTCCAAGGAAACAAAACCTAATATAGCTCCAATTTCAAGGAAACAAAAAAAAAGAATATTAATACGGATATAGACAAGGCTAGTACAAACCCAGGGAAGAAATAACCGACCGTTTTCTGCTTCTCCTCAATCGCCTTTTCTAAATAAAAACCTAAATCTGACAAGCTTAACTGCAAGGTCTTATATATATTGCCTAGGTAATCTACAGTCTGACATATAGAACATACGTACATACCTATATACGTTTCGTTTCTCCATAGATGTGCGTGTGGGGAAACATCGCTAGATATGTGTTTATGTGTATGCATGTAGCTTTTTCTTCCTTGGTTTTTTTAAATTTTTTTTGTTCGTGTTCCTGAACTATTCTCGGTCCCTGGCGACTCCACTTCCAACTTCCTTCTTTCAAATCCGGGATGTATGCGCATGCAGCAATGCATTGAATATCAAAAACAAGAAAGAAAAAATATCTTGGAATCTAATCGGGGTATTACTTAGGTAATTACTCGTTCCAACTATCCCCACGTCAAATGCGGTACCCTGAAACGCAGGTGCGGAGATGTGATTAATAATATCGATGTGGTATAGATAGATAGATAGATGAATTAATCAATTATATTATACTAAAAACTACCTCCTAACTGCAATACGAATAAGATTCCAAAGTGGCCTCCAAATGCTGCATGTCGAGTACTCGCTTTCATCATAATCGTCAATCATGATCGTGAGACCAATTAACTAGTTACCTTGCGTATGTATCAACCAAACAAAAAAAAGACTATATCCTCCGTTGCATACCTTCTTTTTCTTTCTCTTCCTTCTTTAAACAAAAACCCTTCCAGAATCAAAAAAAAGTCTCTAAGATCAAGTAGTTCAAAGGATGTGGTCGTCGTAGTAGTGGTCTACACAGGCAACCACTTAAGCTTATTCTTCAAATTCTCAACTCCACTCCACTCCTTAACCTCATCTTCACTAACAACCCCAAGACCCACCATATCCCCCCAAAACACCATAGCCTTCTGCTCCGCATACTTCACATAATCAAACTCATCCCCTTCCTCTTCACTCTTCAAGCTCTTCACATCTCCATCGTCCCCTTCCTTTTCCTCATCACCGACCACAAGTCCAGGAATAACAGCTTGAACAATACCCCATAACGCCCAACAGGCGTTAACAGCTCCTCTCCAATCCCTACTTTCTACTACAAGTCTTTCGACTTCCTTTTCCATTGTTTCCATTTCGTCCTTGGTTGGGAGTCGACCTTCGAGGTTGAATATCATGCTTTGGCGTTTACGCATGTATTCTGGGTCTGCGGCGTCTTCGGTTGGGATTACGTAAGGTAGTGAACGGTGTTCGACGTAGGAACGGAGGATGTTACGTTGTTCCGGGACGGTGGGGAAGTGGGCTTCGTGGACTGTGTGGGCGGTTGGGGAGAGGATGCAGTGGTAGTCTGACATCCATTCGCACTGTTTTTTTGGAAGTGGTGGGTGGTTAGTATTTTGGTTTATATTGTGGGTTTGGTAAGGGAGAGGGGATCATGACTTACGAAGTGGTTTGCGAATTCGGCGCCACGGGTGTTTGCACCGGCGTATTCGAAGTCGATGACGATGAGGGATTGTCGGGGGGTTAGGGAGGTGAGGGGTAGGAGTGCTGGTGATTTTGAAGCTGGTGTTGGAGGTTCGGTTTCTGACATGCGGGACATGATGTTGCCGTATTGTGTCTATGACTTGTTAGTTCCATCTAGCCGATATTATATGATTCTCATATGGGTGGAGGGGGGGAGGGGGGGTAATACATCATTGTGACAGAACACCAGTTGCCTCTTGATCTCCTTCCTTCCACCGTACCGTTCCTCCAACCACGGCCTATAACGCTCTTCAACAATCTCTCTCAACTTCTCCCAATTGGTAACCAATAACTTCTTCCCCACCTTTATCCTCTGCAACTCCTTCATAACTCTCTCACCGCGACCAACCCACTTCTCCCAATTACGCCATATCATAGGTCCACCTGCTCTTTCGGAGTCAAGGAGCGGGATATGATCGTGAAGATCTCGCATACGTCGACCGATACGACGGGAGGTATCGGGTAGTCGAATGTCTTCGCGGGTGAGTGTTGTCGCATCGAAGAATTCTTCGAAACGACCGTTGTCGAAGGTTCCCAGGAGGGTTGGACCGACTTTGTGCTTTGCCAGACGGCGGAGGATGTTGAGTTCTGTGTCGCGGTCGATGAGGTGGCCGACTTGGGGGCCATAGATACGGAGCAGGAGGGGTCTAGATGATGATTAGTATTCATTTGTTTTAGTTGTATTAGAAGTACGTTAAGGGGGGTATGTTACTTTGGCTTCCTTGGGCGACGGTCTTTGTCGACGGGTGTCATGTATGGAGTGTCCACGGGCTTTGAAGCTTTCTCGTGGGAGACAGTAGGCGGAGTGACTTTGTAGACCTATCCTCCAAAATTAGAATACATCTATATCATCACGGGGAAAGAAGGGCATGTCATGGCATACAGCATTGGTAAGAGCACCGCTAATCCGACTGACCACTAACTCCTCTCCACGTTCCAAATCGACCTTTCTCCAATTCTTAATCTTGAGAGTATGGGTCAAACGTAAGATCTCAGCTCTAAATTCGACACTCCATTCCTTAGAATTATCGAGGTCGGCTTCACATCCCGGAACATCTTGAAGAATGGTCTTTTCGTTATCAGTGGTGTAAAAATCTTCGAGACTGGCAGCATGGGACAATAATGGTTTATGATTATTTTTCAGAGAGCGAGAAGAACGACGACGGATATGGGAAGGACGTTCGAGAGCTGCAGAGTCAAGGATCGCTTCGAGCTTACGAAGGGATTCAAAACTTGAACCAACGGGACCAGCGGGACCAGATCCCGCAGAATCGCCGTTTATATTGGCGAACTGTTCGAGTTGCTCTTCATACCATGATTTTACTTGTTCGTAAAAACTATTGGCAGCACCTTCACGAGGAATCGTGGCGAGAGATTTTGAGGAAGATTTGGAGGATTTCATCATCACGGATGAGGTAGAGTCTTCATGAGAAGGGCCGATGTCAAGGTCTGCTAGGGACGAGCCGATGGCAGAATCGGAGACTGGGATGTCAGGAGAAGATTCAGCAGTGCGGTTAGCTCGGTGGAATTTTGCCTGGAGGACGGAGGAGAGGGATGCACGGTGGGGACGGATGCGGGGGGAGGCACGCGGGGAGGCGGCCGGGGAGAATTCTAAAGTATTTTGCTTCAAATATTAGCACGTCATGCTCGCATATACCCACAGAGCCTAGCTACCACATTTTTTTTTTCAAGACTAGAAATCACTTTGGGTAATAGTATTTCTATTTTATCTTTTATCACAAGACAGGATACCCAAGTGGTGTTAGGGCGTGCATATATGTCTTGTCATGTCTTGTCCTGTATGTGGGTGGAGGTATAAGTAGGTATGTACGCACCGACTTTGTTAGGGACGAGGGACGTCATGGTGGATGATTCGGGGCAGAAGCCAGCCAATGGAAGAGATTCGCTCGACAAAGAGATTCAGGGGATTAGTTAATCAACAATTCCGATTCAATTCAAGCGCATGCATTCACAAACACTTTTTTTAGTTTGGCACCAGTCAGATCTACTGTTCAATATGAAAAACGATCTCACGAAGAAACAGAGATAAATGAGAGATAGTTAGACGAGGAGGAAGAAGAAGAGAAGAGAGAGAAGGGAGGGAATTCAAAAGAGAGAGAGAGAGGGAAAGAGGTCAGACGACCAGTTTTTATAATTCGGAGTCGAGTTTCAGTTCCAGCCAGTTACACTCGCTCAAAGGCTCCCCACGATGGAGGAAGAAAGCAGCCCTATCTCTTTAACTTAGCTTAACTTAACTTTCAGATATCCCCACGCCGGGTCCGTGCTAGCTCTCTTTCTTCTTTCCCAACCAATGCCGAAAGACTAATGAGCATAAAAATGACTGGGTGGCTGAAAGAGGATTAGCAAATATGAAATGGAAGAAAGAGCCTCTTTGCAAGCTTTGGGCTCCTGCCCGATTGTGTTTTTTCTTCTCACAACCAAATTTTGGGGCGCACGAGCTGGAGTTCTGGAACGCTGTTGGACAGTTTGACAGGAAACCGGATAGACCTGCTTTGGCACATGGAATTTTTCTTGTTCGAGATTGTCCGCGTACGTACACATTCCCATACCAACTGCTTATATTGCATGGGCATAGGCATGGCATGGCATGGCATGGGTGGGTATGGTTGTGCAGCAGCGTGGGGAAGCAGTTTATATCAACTGAACCATTACATGCATGTACATAATGGTATGACTTTCAACAGAAAATTCATAAGGATGTACGATGTGAGTACTTTAAGTAGGTACCTAAAAGAGCTGTCAGTCCACCAGACCATATATTATTATATAAGAAGAAGAAGAAGAATAAGGGGAAGGGAAAAAGAGCCTACGGGAACTTATGCAGCCGAGGGCCAATAAGAAAAAAAACTCGGGCCGATGCGATGAGCTATTAGCTGCTGTTGATATCATGATTATATAAGAGTCGTCGTCAGATTGTGGCTTGGGATGAAAGGTCAAAGGTATGCCGCTGGGTGATGATGGTATGAAGATGAGGCTGCTGGCTGCTGCGGCAGTTGCGGTTGAACATTGTTTTAATTAAAATGCCTGCATGCAGTAATCAACTTTCCCGTCGGAGCTGAACTGTCCCCACTGCACTATACTAGTTTCCACATAGACTACTTCTTTAAGTAATCCATGATAGATATTGATATAGATCTGGATGGATCTGTTATATGTAGCAAGTGGGGCATCGTGGGTTTTAATATGAATTCGGCTTCACTGATTTCCGTTGGATGTTAGTGTAGGTACCTGTCCATACAACGGGCATAGATAACTCCGACACACTTACTAAATGCACAGCCCATCTTACCCTTCATTCATTCGTTCAATCCATTCATTCCCCTCCTTTGCCTATCCATTCATTGATAAATGTATGTAGAAATGAGAAGAAGTATAAGTATATAAAGTATATAACATCACGGCACGACAGTCGAAGAGTTTCTTGGTTGTAGTGGTGGTTGTGTCAGGATAAAACTGCTTAGTCAGGCAAATCAGCCAAGTGGATAGTGTCGCCAGTACAAGCTTAGGCACCGCTCTAGTTACCAACTGGCCCCATTTAGCCAGCCAGCCATATCACTGTCAATCGATCAATCAGCCCCTCATTCGACTCCTTTTACTTTACTCTACTTCTTTTCTTTAACTCTTCTTTAACTCTTCTTGTTTTTCTTCTTTTTTTAATCTTATTTTTCTGGTTCAAGTATTCTTCCCGCCCGTTCGGGTGCTGCTCTGTTCTATTGTAAAATGGCGGACGAAGCTCCAGGTCGGCCCAGCTTCAGTTCCAGCCACGGTTCTGTTGCCTCCTCCTCGTATGTACTGTATCTGTCCCCTATCCCCTCCTTGATCATGATCTATTGTAACCCACCATCACATTCACCATCCTACACCATCTTGAACTTATGGAATCGATTGAATGGATGAGTGAAGTGAAATAGAACAGAATAAATGATCATATGAAGCATCCTGCTGACTCCTGTCAAACGAAATCACACACAAAATAGTCACAAACGCTCCAAATCAGCTATCGCTCTCTCCCGCCTCTCTGTTGGCTACCACAAATCCAAGAGCTCCGACAAGCTGTCTCCTTCTCCAACAACCTCTGCATATAAACCACCTCCTTCTGCCGGTGCTTCGCCCACAGCTTCCACCCATCCATCAGCGGCTTCACTGCTGTCCCCCACCGCCGCTATGGGTAAGAGCGAGAGCATAAGATCCTCCGCCTCCTCCACAAAGGCTCACAAGCGAGCTCAATCATATGCTCCTTCGTCTCAATCCACTCCTTCTCTCACTCCGGCTTCTACTCTCGATTCTAGCTTGACTGTTGCTAGAACGCTCAGTGTCTCGCATCCACCTCCTAAACCGACTTCCCTAGAAGAATCCGTTCGAACATTCCGTCTCTTCGAAGCTCTACGGAATGGAGACACATCGGCTATATCGAAGGCAATCAGGGATGCCTCTGAACCGGAATCTACAATTGAAATGGCCTCAATCCTGTTGCTAGCCGTTCAGTGCGCCGAAGTTCAGGTCGTCGAGTTTGTGCTCTCTTCGACTTCTCGCGACCCTTCCAATCCTTCAAAACCATATCTGGATATCAACTATCGTGACATAAACACTGGCAACACTGCTCTCCATTTCGCTGCCCACCTCGGCCGACAGCCTCTCGTCTCTCTTCTCCTTTCGGAACCTAACATCAACGACGTCATACCGAACCTCCAAGGTTCTCAAGCTATCGATATTTCCCGGACACCAGAGATAGCACAAGAACTCCAGCTTTCCAGAGACGTCTACCTCGACAACCGACTGATCGACCTCCATAAGCTTGTCGTGACACATGCATATTCCGACTTGGAAGCTTTCCTTGAAGTCCCCCGTACCAGAGCTCTTCTCGACCTAAACGCCCACGATGGTGGTATACCAGGCAGTACCCTCCTCCATGAGGCTGCCAAAAACAAAGATATCAGGCTGATACAAATTCTTTTGCTGCACGGTGCAGATCCATTCCGCCGAGACAAAAGGGGCAAACTTCCACAGGATGTTACAAAGGACGAGAAGACTCGAGCTGTACTAAAGCGTTCCCCAGCAGCTATAGCTGCTAAAAACAGTATCCAAGAAAAGGCTGTTCTCGGCTCGGGTGCTGGGATCCCTGGTGCTGAAGACACGTCCAGGGATGGAACCCACCGCGAGGGGAGGGAGATGAAAGGACACCTGAAAAAATGGACTAATTATACGGGAGGTTACAAGTTACGGTGGTTTGTATTGGAGAATGGCGTACTCAGCTACTACAAGCATCAAGGTAAATTTTTTTCTTTTTTTTTTTTTTTTGTCAAAAACAGGTAGAAGCATGAAATTAACACAAGTGCAGATGACATGGAATCCGCCTGCCGTGGTGCTATCAACATGAAAATCGCAAAACTCTACATGGATCCCCAAGACAAGCTTCGCTTCGAAATCCACGGAAAATCGTCTGTCAAATACCACCTCAAAGCTGACCATCAAGTCGAAGCCAAACGATGGTATTGGGCTCTCAACAATGCTATCCAGTGGGCGAAGGATGAGGCACGCATGGAAGCTCAGAAGGTCGACCGAGCGAAGGTTAGACTGACTACCGCGAGCAGTACTACAAGCACAGACCAACTATCGATCAACGACTCCGTTACGGATATTCCTGGTACACCTGGTACACCCAGCTTCTCCGGTGAGCGCCGACAAAGCAAGGTTTACGCTCCATCCGCCCGATCCCGACTTACTGTCAGTGGTGAGCTCTCTTGGGAAGACGTTTCTGAATCCAAACTAGAATCCGCAGAAAATGGACAACCGCGACGGATGCCTAGTTCTGAAGACGATGATGACGACGATCTCGATGACGACGAGTATGACGATGCAGTGGAGAACAACGGGAAAATGGCAGACCCGGTCTATAACGAAACCTACCAGATGATGGCACATTCCACCAAAATGCAACTCGATATGCTCGCCGGAGCCTGTGCCGCCATAACCCTAGAGACGTCGAAGAATCCAGCGACACCTATCAGTGATCCTGGTATTCTCGCGGCGTTAACAAGCTACGAAGGGGCGGTCAATAACCTCAGAAGTCTAGCCGGTGATCTATTCAAGTTGAGCAGAGACCGCGAAGCGTATTGGAAAGCAAGGTTAGATAAGGAGATCCATATGAGAAAACTGTGGGAGGAGAATATGACTCGACTAGCGGTGGAGCAAGAGGAATTAGAAGGGAAAATGAACGAAGTACAATTGAAACAGAAGCGTACAAAGAGGGCCCTGAGAGAGGTATTGAGGGAAGGTGCTGTTGCCTCGCCAAGTGGAGCTGTGGAAGAATTGCACGAAGCATTGGAGGATTTGGCAGTTATTGAAGAAGTAGGCGAACCCTCGACGGCTCCACAAACGGCACCTACCTCTGTTGTTGAGAATACACCGGTGGCTGTTGCCCTAGCTAGGAAGAAGACAATTAAGGTTGCGAAAATGGAGTTGAGTGATTCCGATGATGCAGATGCCTCTGATGAAGAGTTCTTCGATGCTGTGGATGCTGGTGAGATCGATGTACAGAAGGAGATGCCAGCACCTGCCGTTACAGTGGAAATTCCAGTCACAGCGGATAGATCTGACATCGAGGAGATCGTGGAAGAGGCAGTGAGGAAGAGTGTTGAGTACCAAGACGAGAGTGATAAACGATTAGTCGCTATCAAGAGGAGTTTCAAGGGATATGAGGAACCACCTCGGTTCAAGTTCGATAAGAGTGCTGATGATAGGCCAAAGATCTCGCTTTGGGTGAGTTTATAATCGAATGACAGGGTTTACGGCTCGCAGTGGCTAACATAACTATAGGGAATCTTGAAATCCATGATTGGCAAAGATATGACTAAAATGACACTGCCGGTTTCTTTCAACGAGTGCACCTCGCTGCTCCAGCGTGTCGCCGAGGATATGGAGTATACCGATCTTCTTGACATGGCTGCAGAACGTGCCGACTCTCTTGAGCGTCTTGTCTACGTCGCTGCTTTCGCGGCAAGCGAGTATTCTTCCACCATCAACCGTATCGCAAAACCGTTCAACCCACTTCTAGGCGAAACATACGAATACTGCCGTCCCGACAAAGGTTTCCGATTTTTCGTCGAGCAAGTCAGCCATCACCCGCCCGTCGGTGCTGCATGGGCAGAAGCCCCGCGTTGGTCGTATTACGGTGAATCTTCCGTTCGCGCAAAGTTTTACGGCAAAAGCTTTGATATCAATCCACTGGGAACATGGTTTTTAAAACTTCATCCTGTTACTGGAGGTGAAGAGTTGTATACTTGGAAGAAGGTGAATACCGCTGTGGTTGGTATTATTACTGGATCGCCGACGGTGGATAATTACGGGCCTATGGAGATTAAGAACTGGACAACTGGGGAGCAGTGTGTCCTTGACTTTAAAGCACGAGGATGGAGAGGTGCAGGTGCTTATGAAGTTAAGGGACGAGTAGTGGATAAAGATGGAATGCAGAAGTGGAGTATGGGCGGTAGGTGGAATGATAAGCTGTACGCAAGGATGAGTCCCGGATACGATGCACAGATATCACCTGCAGGCCAAGGAAATGATTCGGCAGCGATCAGCAAGAGTTTCTCGAGTACCCAAGCGTTTTTGGTGTGGGAGACACACGAACGTCCACCAGCACCATTCAACCTTACACCATTTGCGATTAGTTTGAATTACCTACCGGAAGGATTGAGGCCGCATCTATGTCCAACGGATACACGGTTAAGACCTGACCAGAGGGCTATGGAGGATGGAGAGTACGACTTTGCAGCTGAGGAGAAGAATAGGTTGGAGGAGAAGCAGAGGGCCAAGAGACGGGAGAGAGAGACTAGTGGGGAAGCTTACAAGCCAAGGTGGTTTACGAAGGAACGGGATGAGACTACTGGTGAGGAGTATTGGAAGAATAATGGAGAATACTGGGAGTCGAGAGATGTGGTGGGGAATGGAGGAAGTTGGGAGGGAGTGCCGGATATCTTCTAGAGTACTACTGGGGGTTCTACTTGTGGGGACGGACGGGTTGTAACCTCCAAGTTTTGGATGGGCACCTCGGTTCACGGATAAGCAGGGACGCTTGCTGCTTGGAAGCGAGAGGGGATCGTGTCGAAATTTAAGGTTTGTGATTTATGTTCGAGGAGATTTCCAGATCTGTATCTTTTATGTCACTAGCCTCGACGCCTCTTTTTTTATTGTGGATAATCTTTGGCTTAGCATGTACTGCCTATTTGCTGAAGCGGTATGATTTATTTTATTCCTGATGCGGGGCGGATCTATCCCGAAAGTTTCTTCTTCTTTCTTTCATTTCATGGGGCATAATTCTCTTCGGAGCCCTGAAAATTTTTGGTCTTCTTGCTTTAATATTTTTTAATCTTGAGATATCGACGGTACCTAGGTATTTACCTATAATTTATTTAGCTATGGCATAAGTATAGTTGCGACGGCGGGAAGGGGAGGTTAGCCCAGACCGAGGCGAATCGAGCAGGTCTCTAAATTACTTTTTTTTTCTCCATCCCGTTGATTCGATCATCCCATAAGCCCGTTTGTCCCAAGTCGTGATCAACTCCGCTCCGCATACTTTCGCAAATCCACACTCTCCTTCCCCACTCCGGGTGGGCCCTCTATATCGGATATTGATTGGTTTCTGACGCGATTTGGAGGTCTCGTAAACCCAGATCCACCATGAAACGATTTATTAGACGAGAGCGAAAAGACTACGGGGAGCCAAAAAAAATGCTACTACGCAGTGTCAATGCGAGCTCGAGCTCTCGAACGGGGAGGCTATTTGTTTTTAACCTTCTTGAAGAAAACCTTAAAAACCCCCGTCTCGGCTAGCTAGCTGCCGGTACGCGGGATGAACTAAGTGCATAGCTCGACAATCAAGTTGTGGGATTTCTTTGAAGAAGAAGAAAAGGCAGAGCTAACTGAGATGTTTGTGGTACCAGATTGTTTTTACTATACGGCTTCCAGACTAGCTACTAGGAGTTGTGGAGCCGCAGGAGCTACTAGATTAGTATAGATCCTGTGATGAATAAGACCTCCCCCCTCGATCTATGCAGCTAAATGCAGGATGCGCGCCGTTTTTTACGATAGTACATTTCTATTATACCACACGGGATTTGATTAACTCAATAGGTAAGTAGGTTGTAGCATATGCATTGCGATGCCGTTCAGGACCTAGAAGGATTGTATTTAGCGGCTGATGGCGATTTTCTTATGTTTATTTCTTTTTTTAGGAGGGCTAGAGTTCAAAGCATGGATGAGGAGTGCGGAAAGGTGATAGGGTGGCCCATGTACCCGCATACATGGATCGTACATGGCTTACGAGACGAAGGGAGGAGGCTGCTGAAGACCTTCAGGACCCGGATTGGGGGGTTAGAGGTATGCATGTCCAAGGGTTTTGTGATATTAGACTTGATGTTATCGACGGGACGGGGATGGGATCCGATGCAAGTATATAAAGACCCTAAAGAGGTACCTATCGCTGGATTTCTTCCCTTTCTTCTGGCCAGCTCAGTTGAAAGATTCTACTTCTTTTGACAGAGGGGGTTAATTCTGGGTTAATTCTTGCTTTCTCTTTTTATCGTTTACATCATGAAGACCTCAACCATCTTCTCTCTACTTACCCTCACGGGTAGTAGCTTTGTAGCAGCTGTTCCTGCTGGCCATGGTCATGGAGGTCCCCCTCCCGCACCGAAGGCATATATTCGCAACGGAACGGTACATGGACGTCACAGTCCCGAATGGGATCAAGATTTCTTCTTGGGTATTCCATACGCTCGACCACCTACTGGACCTCGTCGGTTCAGGCCGCCACAGCATCATACCCATCCTCTTGGGGATATCCAAGCTCAAGAGACAGGGAACTGGTGTTGGGGGTATAGGGTATGTTATTACTGCTCCCATCTTTTAACTTTTAGAGTTCAAGTAGGGCTAATATATTGTGCATTGGTTGTATGGATAGGGTGATCAATGGGAATACCCTCAACATGAAGACTGTCTGACGTTGAACATCGTTCGTCCGGCGGGTATAAATTACAATCATCGTAAATTGCCTGTTGCGATATTCATCCACGGTGGTGGATTCCTTATCGGTTCTGCGCATGATCAACGTTACAATATGACCTTCCTTGTTGACCAGTCTGTCAAAGAAGGGACGCCAATAATTGGTATTGGCATCAATTACCGTCTTGGAGGGTTAGGATGGATTGCTAGTCGTCAAGTTGCTGGTACCAAGAATTTGAATCTTGGATTAAAGGACCAGAGAGTGGCGTTACATTGGGTTCAAGAGAATATCAGAGCCTTTGGAGGTGATCCTAGGAAGGTTACACTCTTCGGGGCTTCGGCTGGAGCCTTGAGTATTGGACTTCATCAATTGGCTTATAACGGTCGTGATGATAAATTGTTTAGTCAGGTTATGCTTCTATCTGGTGCACCGACTTTCTTTGCAACACCAGGATTCCCAGAGACTGGACAGGCGAGATATGATTATATTCTTGCACAAACGGGGTGTACGAATCATGTGGATAGTTTGGAGTGTTTGAGAGGAGTACCGATTAGTACTCTTAATGCTGCTATCAATTCGACGGGAGGGCAGTATATAGCTCCCACGGTTGATGGAGAGTTTGTAAGCGGATTGCCAAGTGAGAATCTCAAGCACGGACGGTTTGTGAAGGTTCCTACTGTGATGGCGGGGACTACGGACGAAGGTGCTGGATATGCGAGGCAATTGGTGAAGTATGAGACTGAAGCACAGTTGAGAGGGTGGCTTGGTATGTTCTTCTTCCTCTTCTCTTTCTTCTTCTCCTCCCCTTGCCTCTCTCTTTTTACTCTTGGTTCTTTATACGTTCAAGATGCTAATATAAAGTCGCGGGATTGTGTAGAGGCTACTACATTATTCAAACCCAGTATGCTGACTACCCTCTTAAACCACTACGACGACTCGACTTCCATCCCCGCGGCCTCTGATTTCAGCCCCGCACGTCCTAACGACCCAGGCTCCATCGCCCACGGTGATCAATACCACCGCATGGCCGCCATTCTAGGCGACCTCTGGTTCATCTCTGGTAAAAGAAACTATGCCCAAAAACTAGCACATTTCGGCGTCCCCGTCTGGTCCGTTCGATCCAACGTTCTTCCAAACGGTTACGCAGCATGGTCAGGTGCCGTACACACCACTGACGTAAACTTCATCTTCAATAATCTTCATTCCCCTGGTTATGATATTGGTGGTACTGGAGTTAGAGTCGTACAAGACCCCATGGGTGGTCCTAGAGCAACCCAGTTTAAGGATCTTGCAGACTTCGCTAGTAGAAGTTTTGTGAGGTTCTTTGCTAGGGGGGATCCAGCTGCTGGGAGGAAGCCGGGGGATGTTAATTGGATTAAGTATAAACAGGGAGGGCCTCTTAAGGCGAACCAGATCGTGTGGGATGTTGATGATAATGGGATTAAGGTGCATATTGAGCAGGATACTTTCAGAGAGTCGGGGATACAGCACATCACCGACCATTACTTGCAGGGCAGTTTTTAGTTTTTTAATCATTAGGTGGTACTTTTATTGAACATGAAGGGGTTATGGGGTTAGTTATTGGAGTCTGTTATATACGGTAGTATGTATATAAGTATGTATAAGATAGTAGAGTAGCGCTATATAATGCTTTGGGGTGAAGATCTTGCCTCGAGATTAAGTATTCAACAATGTTGATACATCAATCCAATAGTATTGTCTCGTACTCAGACCTGGAAGCCAATATTGTATAAAAAAATATGAAAATCTCTATTTAATTTTTTATTTAACTATAGCTAGGATCTACTATTTAGCATTTCAATTTAGTTTGAGATCTAGGTCACAAGATGTAAGTCCATGGACACAAAGTTTACAGTTACAGACGTTTTATGGCGATAAGCTAGCTATATAAGATGGTCGATGATATTATTATTGGAGAGCCAACCGAGCGAATGAGAACCGTCGTGCGTTTGACAGCTGATCGGGTGATATCGATAGCGTATCCCTCGGCCTCCGGAAAATTCTTGTATACCTCATAATATAATTACTTTTAAACACAGTTTTGCAGGAAGTTGTTCAGGAGTCGAGAATGTTATTTACGAAAGCTACTGTATTTTTGGTATCACAGAACTTTGGTCTGGGGGCCAGTGCACCCGTTCCTTAAGAAGTTTTTATAACATGTCAATGTTAAACTCCTTAGCTTTCCTAAATCATTATTGACTTGGTGTAACAGGGTGTATAATATACTTACTTAGCTAATGCGTCGGTGCACCGCTGTGATCGGAAAACCAGGCTACGGAAACCAACAGGTGCAACACAAAATACAAAGAAACCAGCCCGGAATAAGCCGATACCCAAAACCAAGCGCCCCTGTACGTAACTTATGAAGGATTATTCACAGTGTTACCTTGCTTTTGCGGCATCAAGGCCTGTATAGGCTCATATCCCGTATAGGCTAATTAGTCGCGTAGGCAGCGTGACCCTAGAGAAATTAACTCCTGTCCCGTTCAACTATTGTATTACCTTGAGACCTCGAACTAGTCTGTTTACGATTTCTTACATGTAGGTCAGAATTGAATGCTGGGAGCATTAATTTGGGCAGTCTTAGGTTGAGCAGTCTAGTAGGGCAACTGGTCTCTGTCCCACTGCTAATTTGAGTGATTCCGCTGGCAGCGTGGCCCGCATGATATTCCAGCGGGCAATACGGTATAATGCCGTTGTTATTAAGCGTTAAGGTTGCATCCAATTTCATTTTTCTTTGGACGAGACGAGAATCTAACGCCCTTATTGGCGGACACTGGCATGTCCAGTATACCAAGCTTTTTTGCACCCATACCTCTTCGATACAAGCTTTTTTTGATGGGGCAGGCTGCAGGGGTTTAGCAGACGAGTGTATAGGCTTGATGATTGCGCTCTCTTAGCTTACGTTGCCATGTCTCACTCGCGTGAATTCGAGAATGCAATTGGAATAATTCTCCTCAGCCTGGGAGACGAAGGTGATTGAAAGGTCTCTTGTAAGACAGGGCTATATTTAAATTTCTTATTCGAATTGGGTCCGTTTCACGAAATAAATACTTCGTTAGCACATGCAGTTCCCCGCCGGCCTTATACTGGTTTCTGGGCTAGAGTATGCCTGAATTAATAAACCCCCTCTGCGCTGGCTTTTCAATTCCAATCTTACACCAGGCTGGGTTTCCAAACCTCTACAATTTTTCCACAATATTAATCAAAGCGACCCGGTCTCCAGTCTGTAGTTTACCTTTCCCGAATATACTCCTAGGCAAAATGGTTCTACTTTCACCCCAAACCACTCCATATTCTCCAAAAAAATCCCCGATCTGGAGATTACCATCGATAGTTCGGGTGAGAACGACAGTGTGTCTTGCGGTGTCCATTTCAATATTCCTAGTGTTGTCCTTATATATATACAGGGGCGTAGAGATACCCGTTCCTAGGGCTAAAGGAGACAAACCGCAGCCGGTGAGAAGCCTTTTGTGGATGCTTACGTATTTCTTCCATGTGGAACTCTTCAGCTCTAACGTCTTCAATCAATCTCAACAGGGACAGGACTTTTCGTACCGGCACGGCACTCCAGAGACAGATGCAAGTCTGGAAGAAGGGGAGGACCGCCCGTTGATCCTCTATGTTTATCATGAAAAGAAAAATGCTCGTCAAAACGCCCGTTTCTTTATAAACCATGGTCTACATGCACATGCCGACTTCATCTTCATCTTAAACGGTGAGACCGATTTAAGCAACGACCTCCCAACGGCACCAAATATCAAAGTTATCCGACGAGACAACACCTGCTTCGATCTAGGCTCTTACGCCGAAGTTTTAACCAGAAACGATAACGAGTTAATAAAGAAATATAACAAATTTATTCTTATGAATGCCTCTATAAGAGGCCCATTTCTACCAAGTTGGAGTCGGGAGTGTTGGACTGATGCATGGTTAGCTAAGGTTACGGATACGAATAAGGTATATATATATCATATGCACCTAAGACCTATAGAAATTTAACACCAGTGTCTGACCGCTACATCTGTTTTCACAGCTCGTTGGCATGACTCTCAATTGTAGACCCAGCCGCCATATCCAATCTATGATATTCGCCACCGACCGCATAGGCCTGAACCTATTGCTTCGCAGGATTAACACATGTTTTCCGACCTTTCGGTCTGCAGTGGAGGCTGAGACGGAGTGCACGGGAATTATTATGGAAAGCGGATATAGTGTCACAGCTTTAATGACGGCTTTCGCTTCGGATAAGGATTATGCTACTAAATGCCGGCATACAGACGTTCTGCATCAGAATAGGTATTACGGTACGACGATTCATCCGTACGAGAGTATGTTTCAAAAGGCAAATAGAAAGCTCGCGCCGGAGCAATTGGAACTGTTAACAAGATGGCATGAACGATCGAATTATTCGAGCTGGGACGTTTGTCGGAAAGCATATAACATAAGAAAGGCGACACGTTTGATGAAGCAGAAAGGGTATGACCTTGACTTCGGTCTGTAAGATCAAGGTGACCATATACATGAATACCAGTCTTGTGTTTTTTTTTTTTTTTTGAATAAATGAATATTTTCATGTATGCATTTAAAAACTTGGACGGCCGGAATCAATAGACAGTGACATCTTGTATATAGTAGGTATACAGGGAAGAGAAAATATTCACCATTACTTACAAGGCGCTTGCAGTTCCAAAGGATTATCTCTATTTTTAACAACAACATGCAATTGATCTGTAGAAGACTCAGCGGGGGAGAGATGGCCATTTCGACTTCCGGAAACAGCCACCACCATGTGTATATATATCCCCATCTTAGTATCCCCTTCCCAGTATCCTCATCTAATCCGACGACACCTCCCTCACCCCAAACTTGTGCAACTTCGATGCCCCAGGTTCCACACATGCAAAGTCTACCCTTTCGACTATTTTGCACTCTCTTCTCCGATATATATACGGCATACAAGTATTTGGAGTAGCAAGCAAAAGAAAATGAATCAAAAGGAAATACAACGATACTAGCTTGAGGGTCAAAGAACTTTGTAAGAAGCAAATGGATATCAAATAAGAGGCGCTCAAAAGGGATGCCACATTGTTGTTTGTGTTATTATTGCATTTGCGTTTGTGTAAGTTCCTTCGAAGCGCGTTAACGAGGTAGGCCCCCAAGTCTCGCTATCGCCTACTTACCATCTTATGCGATCAAACCTAGAAAGCAAAAGGTTGAGATGCTGCCTGTGAGGGATGTGGTTTGTTTAGGCTCTTGGTTTCTAAAATTAAAACCGTGAAACAGTTGTTTCTCGGATATTGCCTTGTTATAAGTAGAATTATTCTTATAAATCATTTTTGATTTGTCTCGTAGAGATGATGAGATATCGATATATCGAGATTGAGTCGTTAGATAATAATGTCACTAGCACCAACTTTAGACACCCTCAACATATCGCTCAGAAAAAACGAGATCTTACGTAAACGGGAAAAAAAATGAAAGGACAAAACCATGTGAGCCAAGAATTCTAGAAGCGAAGCTGGTGCTCCGGAAATTTTTCGTCATGAATACCTACTAGTACTATGTACAGGAACCTCCAAAAAAAAAGTGACAAACCCGTCCACGTCCGTGAAATCAAATGGCGCCACAGAAACTCATATTCTTTCTTTCGTATTCTCGAGATGAATAACTTTTGAATTAAAATACAAAACTATTTTGTTTTTATAGTTATATGTATTTTTTGTACTTTATTATCATTCTTCAAAGTTAATTCGTCAGTTACATAGTTTTGTATATCTCTGTCTTTCTCGCTCAGAAAAAG